TTGTTGATTTCCATGAACATTCATGGGGTCGCGTGTGCATCAGTAGACTTTAGAAGTAATGTACGGTGGTGTTCTCAGGTGCACAAGGCACGGCAAGTGTATTTCCGCAGCACGCCATATGTGTAGAGTATTTAGTAAGTAATCCGTACTCTACAAGGCTGTACGGAGAGATTGACTCGAGTCAGTCCATGTCCATGCTCTCAATAAGCGCCTTACGTGAAACGTAAGCCCAGCGAGACCGGAGAGAAACGTAAGATAACCTCAATGCCCACAAGGGTACTCCGTACTCCGTACTCCGTCCACGGGTCTGTAAAATACAATTGTAGCCGCTCAATACCACTAGAGTGTAGATCATAAGCTACCCGTGGGTTTGCAAAATCCAGAACAAAAAAAGAGAATCTAATAAACTGGGAAAAGAAAAAAAGGGAGGTAATCTGACAGTCCACAGGTCTAGTCGAAATTCAAAGTAATTAAACAGCGCACGTGCAGACACAATATACAATGATCTGAGTGGTAATACTCCGTACTAAATGACTCTGTTTCATGTAGCGCCTGTTAGAGTACCATTCATCTCTAAAACAAGTCTAGAGTCGATCTCGATCGTTTCCTTCTCTCTTTTCGGTTTAGATCTCTAAGTGGATGTGTGTGGATGTGTGTGTGTGTGTTTCACTGCTCCATCCAAAAAAACAAGATTCTGGCTACAACAGTGGATCCAAATGAAGTCATTTGCGGCTTCTGCCGTCTGATCGACCGCACTGGACTGTTTCGGGACTTTGACTTTTGAACATTCAATCTCACTCAGGTTTAGCTTCGACTCTAGTCTTTCTCTTAGTCTCTGGACTCCCCCGGTCTGGAACCAGTGGTCCCTTCCAAATCATCACGCTACACTTGTGAGATCCCGCGTTGATCTGCGATGTTTTGCACCTTCTTCGCTATCTGACTGGTCTGGTCGTGGGTTATCCATGAGAGACCAGACTTGTCTGATACCCGATCGGCAAAGCGTCTTCCATGCCTGGTTGGTCTCCGTTTCTGGGGATGCACGTCATGGATATAACTCAGGCTAAATCGTGGGTTTTTCAGGGGTAGATCCGCTTGCCTTTTCCATTCCTTGCTTGATTTGCGCATCCCTTTTATCGGATATCGTCGGTGGGATGGCGGGATTCCCGACTGACTACCTTAATGAGTAATGAGGGGGACTACTCCGTACAGTATGAGACAAGGGTAGCTATAGCAAACGACAAAATAGGCAAGGTAGGTCGATCAATGCAGGCATTTGGTGTGACAACATGAGTACGTACTGTATCCCCCTCATTCTACTGTATGGACGGAGTACGGAATACGGAGTATAGGGAAGAAAGGGGGAATTCCTGGACTGCAGAACATGCCAGTGAACATTCCTCAAAGCTTCTTTCAATCTCCCCTTGACTCAATGCAACTTCAGATTCCGATGTCGCCCAGAAATTGAGGGACGGATCACAATCAGGATAGTGCAAGATAGCGTATCGTACTCCGTATCTTACTCCATAGCTCATGAGAACTTCTACGAGCACGGAGTTGTATGGAGTACTCCGTACAATCGCACTAACTCCGAACAAGTCTACTCCGTACTCCGTACTCCGTAGTGTTATCAATAATATCGCACATCCCCCACCAAAGAGCATTAGACGAAGCCAAAAACAAAAGCGAAAAACACAAAAAAGCCCTAGCAAATAAACCCCAGGACCAGGACCTACAGTAGCGTAAATGTACAATGTACCCCAGTCCAACCCATACCCACAAAACCAACAAAAAACCCATCCCTCGCTAAAGAGCCGACACCGTTCTAGACGCTTTCCCGTTTCCATCGACGACGCTAACCGCAGACGCTAAGAGGCGCAAGGGCGCATTGGAATCCCGTGCGCGCCGATGTGGGGAGCAGGCGCCTTTTTCTTTTTTTTTATACGGGGAGAACAGTGGATTCCTCACTTTTCTTTCTTCTTTGGTAATAGTCTCGTAAAGAGATTAAGACGTGTTTCAAAATGAGCGTTTAATTGGCGTGAATGTCTACAAGTGTATATTGTATATGCACGTTGCGCTAAGGCCGGTCCTTTGATTCCTCGGTAGGTGGGCTCCGAGCTAATCTTAAGGCGCCTGTCCCCAGAAGGGGGGACTTTGGGGTTGTATGGGGTGATCGCTGGTGTATTGGGCCGAGGAGCTGCATGGACTTGGCGTGGGTTGACCTTTTGATTTGTTTGATTTTGTTTGCGCTATTATTACTCCGTATGTACTGCGTAGCTATGGAGTAACTATACTGCGTAGAGACGTATAGTTGGGTTAGTGACCTGCAGATGCAGCTGTAGGTACTAGCTGTAGCTGTAGCTGTCGCTGTCGCTTGTAAGCACTGTGTGGAATGTGTCTGTGAGCACTCCGTACATTCCTATTCTCATTTGACAGCCGTGGTCGTATTAGCAGGTCTGTGCTGCCCAATTGAATTTGCTAGCCGCATGAAAATCAAAATATCCAAGGGGCGATCTGTTTACTTGCGATCGGACCGTGTGAGGCGATACAACGCTGGGTTCTGGACTCGACTGTCACAACCTATAACGTTACGCTTTTAATAATATAACATCATGACTTTGATCAATTGAATTGAAAACCCACTGGATAAAAATTCTCGTATTGTTCCCAGCACGAGTCAGCCATTGTACGGAGTAGACCTGTCTAGATGTCAAGGTTGACTTCATGAACTGTCAGATTCAAGCCCAACCGCCATGATAGGACGAACCAAGCTTCCCGGAACCATGTCCAGCGGGAACCTTATGGTCCTGCAGAACGAGCCAGATCTCATGATATAATCAGACAAAAAGCATATAGCCTTGATGTGTTCGTGTGTGTTCTTTCCTAATAGGTTATATCCTACTCCGTCCATACACGGACTCTACGCTTGTACACTCCATCCACAGACACGGAGTACTTTAAAATTGATAATAATAATGCCTCACCTGACTCTTATCACTCGGTGAGAGAAGTGGATCAGTGGATCCTTCTCCGGTCCCTGGAGCCCCCGAACAGATCCTCCATCCAGTCTTGGTCTCTTGGCCTCGGTTTGAGTCGGCCCCGGTCAGCATGCCCGAAGACGAGCCTGAACCAGGGCTGATAATGGGAAGCCCATCGAAAGCCCATTTCTCATTTCCATGGCGATTGCGGCGATTGCGCGCCTCGGAATAAATAGGATGTACGATGCAAATCAATGCAAATCATAGCGATAAGTGTCTGTCCTACGACTAGGCTTGGCGTGCAGAAGTGAAAAGCAAAGTGGCGACACTCGGATCTCTTAAGAAAATTCTGATTCCACAGATGACTGTGGAACTTGAGTCAGGGGTGTCAGATCATATTCGATAAACACGGATGTACACGAGTTGAAGTGACATTCAGTACAAAGAAAAAATCTCTGTGGCGATCCGTTGTGGATAGGCTGAAACTAAAGTGCTTCGGGACTTTTTCTGGAATTCTAGAAGGTCTGGGCGATTCCGGTTGCGGTGACACGGAACTGCGCAGGGTTGCTGGCTAGGGCATTTGTTGTTTCAATATCAATGGAATTTATTTCTTCTAGAACCTCCAATGTAACTTGTCGCATTCTGGATATTAGTTTAAATTCCTTATTTTCGTGCTTTACTTTATGTAGATTGTTGGAATGTTTGTCTAGACACGCGTCGAGTACCTCTACCAGTATGAGACGTGTGTTTACTACACACGTTGGAGGTTGTACAAGCCTCAACCGGTTTATCATGATCGGCAGGGCCTGAATGATTTGATATGTTTAAGTTTTTGCTTAAAAGATAAACGTATGTTGCAGTGAGGTTTTAGATGACGTGCAAGACGCTGCGAGTACCCTCGAGACGCAAGGAGGACCTCTTCTGTGCGTAATGACCAGGTATGGACTGGTAATAATACCTCAGAACCGTGGGTCGACGATTGACATTCCGGTCTCGGATGGCGTGCTAGCGGCCATCGTGGGCCTTTCTGATTCTGAGATTGGTGCTAATTCACGATAGGAATCAGGTGTAATTCAACCTGATAAGGTCGATTCGATCGTGTGTCTACGGAGTAGCCCGACAAAGGCGTGTATTTTCCACCCCGTGGCGTCTCGGTGGAGATCAGGGGAAAAAGAATGTCGTTAGTACAAAAAATAAAATTCCAACATTCGCCACGTTGGGCGCTTCCAGAAACCGTGGAAGATTACACGTATGAGTTCTGGAAGCATTGTGGAGTGAGCAGAAAACAAGGATCACGTTCTGCAAGGAATTGAAATCTCTACGGAGGACAAGGGGGAGACGTTGGATTCGTGTCCACGATGGAAGTGCAATGTAGGGTGCAACGTATATACATGCGAAAAACATCCCTTGCAGATCTTGAGCGCTTGTTCAAACGTGAAGGTTTCGTGGTGATCGTGTTGCCACAAGACGAGGATATGGGAATGAGCCAATGATGATTGTGAAAGGGGAGAGATGAATGGGGATAGGCTGGAAAAAGTTAGCGCAAACCCAAAGGCAGAAAAAGGAAAAACCGGAAAACCCTGATTGGGACTAGCCTTAGGGACAAAAAAAGGGAGACAAGCGGAAAGAAAGGGAAAAAAATCGGAAATGGGAAAAAGAAATGAGAAAAAAAGAGAGGGAAAAAAAAAAAAAAAAAAAAAAAAAAAAAGAATTATGACATCTTATCGAAAGGGGTCCACTTGGGCGCAGGACTAGTGTGTCTCCACTCACTCGGTCCACTCAAAGGGCAGTACGAGGAATTACCCAAGGTATCGTCATGGGCGAATTCTGGAATCCGCCCATTTATGCCTTGGGATTTCCCGCCCTTCTGGAGTTAACCTTTGCCTTTTCGGATTACCTTATACACCTTCACCACTTGTATAACAGTGCATGTCTTTATAGCAGCCCATCCTGGAGATTCGTTCCACACGCAGGGGACGGCCGAGAAAAAAGCCGAAACAGGGTCCCCGACGCACACTCTACGCTATGCTTAAAAAGAAGACGCTGGCTCCGTCCCTCTTCTTCCGGAATCACACCCCGACCGCAACCCCCGAATTGTCTCCCACTTCCTCCGACAGCGACTCTGAAGAGGACATGGAATCCTCTGGCTCCCGACCGGTCAGCCTGGCGGGAGCCTTCTCCATGCGTCCGACCCTCGACGAGGTCCTCGCCAATGTCGCCCCGCCCCCATATACCCTCAGCGCCTTCATGGCCTACCTTTCTCAAAACCACTGTCTCGAAACCCTGGAATTCACCATGGAGGCCAACCGCTACCGGGAATCGTACTACGCCCTGCTCGACCGTCTCGGCCCCAGCGCCCTGGACTCCGAATGCCCGGAAAGCCAACACATGCGGATGCTCTGGCAACGCCTATTGACCGCTTATATCTTCCCGGGCTCCCCTCGCGAGATCAACCTCTCCAGCGAAGTCCGCGACGCCCTTCTCCAGCACGCGAATGTCACCGCACCCCCCGTGCCCGAGACCCTCGACTCCGCCGTCAAACGCATCCACGACCTCATGGAGGAATCCATCTTCCTCCCCTTCATCAACAGCCACACCACTTCCCCCTCCATGATGCCCGCTGAGCCCCTAATGGGCCCAGAAGACATCCTCAACCTCTCTTCGACCTCCCTAGACGAACACCCCATGAAACGGGTGCGGTCGCGCGTCTCAAGACGCATCTCCCCCCCAATCGTCCCTCAAGGACCTCCCGTCAACAGGCCACAGCCGCGCGGCAATGTCCCTCGGCCAGGCTATCAGCAAGCGCACTTCCGGCACGCTGCTCAGCACCAGCGTCGAGTCGGCCTCCGGCTCCGTCGCCTTGACGGATGACTCTTCGCCTCAGTCCAGTCCTACTGCCGAGGAACCAATGACTCCTCCCACTACTCCGCCTGCTGGTGAACCTCACCTGCCTACGAGCCCCAAGCTTCGTACCGACAACCCTTGGAAGAAGATGGGTATGAAGCTCGGGTTCAAGAAGCGGTCTGGTGGATCTGGCGGTGCTTCGCGGGATCCTAAGATCCTTGGACTGGACGACCATCTTTGATATATGATACGACTACGAACGACACTCTTATATACTTCTTATATGAAGTACAGCACACGACTTGATTCTAGCCTTTGTCGAGCGTTTTCTCTCTTCTCTTTTTTTTTTTTTTTTTTTTGGCGGTGTATGAAAGCACGATGCATCAGCATATGAATGGCGTTTACCTGTTTCCCTTTCATTTCTTTTGTTTATTTTTTTTCCACGAGATTGTCTCCGGCTGAGCATCTCTTTTTTTTTTGGCGGCATTGGGAAATTCTCCCTATTTATCATATCATGTTCTCATCTATAGATTGGATAGAGGACCACCAGTTGGACAACCTCTGGTTGGCGTTTTTGTTCGGAGACTTCGTTCTCTCTTTCCCCTACTGGGGAAGTTTGGAATCAATAGATTTGATACCCCCTCTTCATCTTTCTTTCCTCCATTCGTAATAACATAAATTCAATTCTTCAAATCCCGCATATCGACATATCGGCCCAATTGGGTCCGTTGGCATGTTGGTAACTGCATGAGCTGTTCCCGCTCCAACCTTGCATCTGAGCCATATCACACCGAACTGGATATACCCCGTTCCCCTCATCATGCAGCTCGGTTTCACAAGACTAGGTTTTTCGAAACCTGGTCTCGGTCTCAGGTAACACAATCAGCCAACGCGGAGAGCCGGGGAGACTATCGATAGACTTCGGTGGGTTGTACAAAATGCACAAATGCACCCGTAACCCCCACTTCATACACAAACACAATGGCCAGTTGCAATGTCCCTGCGAAGGCAAGCGAGAGAAAAAAACAAACAAAACGTCATATCTGCAAGTTGGGAATCTGAAATTTCCCTCAAATCTCGAATCGTCTCCCTCCCCTCGTCTCCAGCGCTGCAATCTCAACATTCCACCCTACACCACGCAGCTCAGAGAGATATCTCATAAATCGATCCTCGGTATTCAAAAATGCAAGAGATTCCTCAATTGCCCCACTCACATCGGAATCAGAATCAGAAGATCCGTCCCACAACCTCACAGCCAAAAGGCCATGCGTCCATGCCTTCAATTGGTCTGGAACAGAGCAGCCCTTCCGAAGCACAATGGAAACATGTCTCTTCTTCGAGATATACAGCATGTAAGCCTCGTCCTCGAAAATCGTCATAAGTCGATCCAGCGGAGGCCTATCTTCCAAAAACTCAGCCATGGCAACACCCACCCTCGCCGATCCCAAATTGATAACCGTAGAAGTAGAAGTAGAAGTAGACCCGGAATTCGAATTCCACTGCAAAGCACCGTCTCGGTGGAATATACGCTCTTGTCTCGCGACCTGCGCGGGCGTGAGAATCGTCCATTGACCGGGCTTTTCATAGTCTGAAGCCAGTAGGGTTGAAAAAGCGATATTCGCCCGTTGACGATTGAGACTCGTCATCTGCACCGCGCGCACGGCCGCGTAGTTCATGCTTAGATGTAGTCCCAGCAGGATGAGGAGGACTAGCCAAGTCGTTACGAAACCGGTTATTTGGGATACGACGACGGAGCCGACCTGCAGTGCATTAGATCGACCATTATTCCATACGATGTAATGCATATACATGTACATGTACATACCAGCATTCCGAAGAGCGAGATAACAGTCTCCTGAGACGAATCTTTCTACAGGCCGTTAGTTAGTGATTCTCATTCTGATTTGCGCAGAGAGAAACATACAGCATTGAGTTCAGCTAGATTCCCCCATTTGGCGAAATGCGCACTGAGGCTTGCTTTTGAGCTCCCACCTGCTACGCCGCAGAGAGCGCGTAGTACGCCTGCGGTGCTGAGGACGGAGACGCGCATTGCGCCTGCTGGGACGCCTGGGGAGAGACAGTCGAGGATCATGGCGATGTCGTTGAAGACGTCTGCGGCTAGTCGGTAGGTTTTGCATTCTGGTTCGAGGGCTGTGCCGACGCGATGGGCGAAGAGGATTGTGGCGATTCGGCCTGATGTGTCTTGTAAGATGTGGAGGAGGAGGGCTGAGGTTGGAGAGGCGTTGGGATTGCCGACGCCGACACCTGGAGTTGGAATGTGGTTGAGGAGGGAGCTTTTATATTGGGGTTTGAGGGTGTAGTACCTTGTAGGACGGCGCGGGAGGAGAGGAGGCCTGCTATTGAGCTGCAGAAGGCTTGTAGGGAGTCCTTTGGTATATTAGAGATTTATTTGTTGTGATGAGTGTGGTCACTGTGGCTGTGAGGCTGGGTATATGCTCACATAGATTTGGTATCTGAGTTTATATTAGTATTGTGGGTAGACTGCAGTGTGGCCAGGAGAATCTTCTGTTACTTACGGAAGATAATCCTCACTGACGCTATGAGGATATCCAGAAGGGAGGAAGACATGATTCAGAGAGCTGATCAGAGGCTTGGTCGACCATGACGAGGTCTGTTTGGGGGAGCCCTATAAGAGCGGTTAATCTTTGGTGCTCAATGCATTTTGAACCCCATCAATTCAACCAAGAACAAGAAAGCGTAGTTTAGGTATAGTATGCATGGTATGGTAGACCATACATATCTAAGGTCATTCAAGTCCCCGAATGTTTGGCAATGAACATGATCGTCCACAGGAAGCCAAACATTTCGCCTGGAATAGTCTGTCGCAGGTCCACCCATAGAATTCTCCAAGGAGAACACGTGGAAATGAAACTGATCCGCTCATCCAGTCCTTGGAGAGGTTCGCGTACTCGAAAGTACTAGCCTTGATCCAAATGACAGCGCATGTACTCCGTACTTACAATTGAGTCCACCCGCCCCACTCGTTTTAAAGAGGGTCCTTGCTCGGAATAGACAAAGGTAGCGGTGAGATTGCCCGCCTCGTCTGTCTCCCGAAATTCCACTTTGGGTTGAGAATGCATGTTGATGGGTTGGAGATGGCTGCCTTAGCGGTAGACGTTGGAGCTTGGGCACGTGAGTACTTAATGTTTTGAGACTTGTTGACATCCTTCTTCTTACCTGCATCGATTAGTGACAAACATTCAACTCGTTATATTATTATTTATTTTTCTTCTCGTTCTCAATTTACGTCTTGTTTTCTCAAGATATAATCACCGTACCTGTCAACTCGCATTGAGTACGGTGCCGGCTGTTAGTGACTTCCATATCGCAAGCAACCTTAAAAGATATTCACCGTTTCATCTCCTAACTGCACGATACGTGAAATAGCACACTTCACGCGAGAATTTCTGCGATAATGCTGTGGGTTGACTACCACCTGATACCGCGACTTATGACCCGCTCCAGCGCCCATCTGGGCACCGCTCGAGTCTGTCCTTTCACTTCGAATTTGGTGCTGCCTCATGTCCGCCTGCAGCGGCGCACTGAAGCGCCATGCGACTATTTCTGCTATTCTCGGACTTGGCATTGACGCCTGCCCCATTCTCGAGTAGCAGTTGGACCACTGCCTCATGTCCGTTGGCAGCCGCCCACACCAGCGGTGTTCGCGCCAAATCTACCAACAAAACATTGTGGTAACAATCAAAGTTCAGGCTTGACTGTCTCTGCTTTTGTCTTTTCTTCTTTTTCTCTTCTGGAAGAGAAGCTATACCGCTTGATGCGTTACGTTGTTCATCATCAACCTCGAAAATCTTGCGCTTTCGCTTTCGCTGTGAGTGATCAAACCATAGACTGCAGAGACAGCTAACAATGATAATGTAAGTCATCGTGCTCTCCAATTGACCGTGAACGCTATGCTCGAATCGAGCGAAACTCACCATCGTTTGCCACCACCAGGCACCGAAACAACCTGATCAGATCCACAAAGAGGCATAGGGCAGACCTCGCCCGTGGAGTTTAGGGGCTTAAGTATGACGGCCATGGTAATAGCTGTGCCGGGTAACAACCGTGCAGCGGGCGAAATAATCGACCTTGTATTCTTTGTGTTGAATAGCTCGTAGTCCCCGGCTTGAACCTCGTCAGATCCCGGACCCTCTTGAAAGCGATGTTTTATTATGGCATTGAGAGTACCAAAATCGTATTCAGACGGGACGGGGAATTTGAAACCAAGAGCATCCTCTACCACAAGAGGGGCTTGGAAGAACGTCCATCTTGGGTCTATCGGGACCAAAGAACTTCTTAGTTCCAACACAATTGAGTAAGTTTGTTGCGTCGTCACACTATTAAAAGTACCTCAGATGAGCAGCAGTAACAGATAAATGCGGATGAACACTTCTTACCACACTCTTGCAACCATATCACTCAAAGATCTCCAAGACGCTTTAAGTTCCCCATTTACCATCTGGAAAAGATCTGTGGTCATCGAAGCCACCCTTTGTACCACCGGAAGCTGACTGGAGCCTTTGTCACCGATCTGTTGCAGAAGCACTCGAGTATCTTCCAGTCGCCGCTCGATATCTTGCTGGCCTGCTTCGGCCTTTTCAGACGCGAGAGTTATCTTCTCCAACCCAAACTCAGCTAAAAGCATGCTAATCGTCGCGACATGGACATTCAAGTAACTCTGTAGCTTGTGTATCTCATTCGTCTGTCCAAATGCCCATCGGACTTTGTTCACCGTCCCTTTGAATGGATTCGCATCTTTCTTTGCCCATACACCGAGAGATTTGTCATATCTTTGTATTTTGCTGAGAAATTGTTCAAGTGGACGGCGGCAGCTGAGAGCTGCGTACTTTATCGAATCGAGACTTGAGGTGGAACTCGTATTGGCCTGCAGCTTGTCAAGATGCTGAAGAGCATGGTGAAGAGACTCGAGCTCCCGGATGAGATTTTGGTATTCGGTTTTTGCGCCGCCAGACTCTCTGAGACTTGCAACTATTTTGACTGTCAACTGGCCGACCGCCAGAAAGTCACCAACAGAAAAGCCGAAGGACATGTTTGGTAGGCGTTGTTTTCAACCGCGTTAAAAAGGTATTTTCGCCAGATGTGGAAATTTGCTGGTTTTCCTAAACCAGGCCGTAGAAATTCCAGGGAACTCTCATCAGCTGTGTATTTCAATGAGATTTTGAAAGCTCGAGGCTTGATGCAGGCTTCAAGTCTAAGCCACAAACAGCACATCACCTGATCGCAAGACGAACCATTCATAAGATGAGAGGCAGTTTTAGCCTCATTTTCGGTGCCTGATCAATTTTCAAAGGCTGCAGCGAAAGAGCTATCCCCAGCTCTGGTAATTCGCACCCCCTGGCGAACGCCTGGATGACTGGTACAATGACGCAGACTGAAGAGGGACCTCATTGACATCGGCAGTGGGTGCATGCCTTTTGGTCTGGTAGTTGTTATTCCATTTTTTGGGAAAACACAGCCTCAATGGTGACTGCGCCTCTTTTGGTTCTCTAGGGACCCTGGAAAGTCCCTCGAGCCCAGTACCCAGATTGCTTAATAAAATTATGGCTAGGCTCTGCCCTTTTGAATTGGTGCCATTTTCGAGTAGCATTGCCACCTTGCAAGTCAATCACTACCCTATGTATGTTCGCAGTCGCCAACTGCATCGTCACGCAATGACCTTGGAACACCCGTTCTTCTGGGGTCTAAAATTCACGTCTGTGCCCTTCTTGAGTAGTAGTCTGACGATTGGTTCCTGTTCATTCGAGATGTAGGTTCTTCACGTGGTATGGTTCTTTCGCTATGGAGTATAGCCAACCATGCAGTAACGAAATGTATTACGTTGATCGCGCAACTTGGCCCCAATCTTATCTCACCTCTTTCGGTGTGTTGATGTCTCTGATTTCTTTCGGAATGGCCGGCGGCGCGGAATGGAAAGACAGTGATCTATTCGTGTCCGTAGGATCTTCGAAGGATGTGATCGAAGAGGAATCACGGAAAGTTTCATCATTGGATCGGGGCTCTAGCGTCGGCCGCCGATGGTGGGTCGGCGGCCGCCTTGAACCTTGAAACAGGACGATCTCGATTACCAGACCACATTGAAGTCTTTGAGATCTTTGTCTCATTCGTCAGAATACTTCTCAACCATGATACTATCCTTGATATGTGACTTCTAACGGACACTCTCATGTCCAGGTGACACACACCACTGAAATACGATGTATAAATATGGCCTTGGAAAGTTCTCTGTTAGAAAGAAGTAGCAATCCAATACCTTTCGATCTTCTACAAACTTATCTCGTTTTCTAACAGTTCGCTTACTAGAACAACCATGACTTCGTCCGTGGACTCCAGCAACATCTTCCGAGTGGATGGCATTGTGGCCGTTATCACTGGTGGTGGTAGTGGTAAGTTTCCTTCACCCCATACTCTTTATTGTATCAGCAATCCTCACCTATGGATGTGACTATACAGGAATTGGTCTGAACATGACCCGTGCTCTAGCTGTTAACGGTGCCCACAAGATCTACATCCTGGGCCGTCGCCTAGAGGTTCTCGAGAAGGCCGCTGCCGAATTTCCTGATGTGATCATCCCCCACCAAGCCGATGTGACCTCCAAGACGGATCTTCAGGCAGCCGTAGACCGAATCAAGTCGCAAGTTGGCTATGTCAATCTTGTTGTCGCCAATTCTGGAAGCATTGGACCCCCCGTGCGATTCAACCCTGCGGCCTCTCTGCCTGAATTGCGTCAATCCCTTTTCACTGATTTCTCGATGGATGGCATGAATGATGCTCTCAATCTCAATATTACCGCTGCTTTCTTCACCATGACTGCATTCCTCGAATTGCTCGACCTTGGAAACCAAAACGCCCTTAAGGGCGGGTTCGGCAAGCCTCTCAAGGAGGGCAGCGATGTGCCCTCGATCCAGAGCCAAGTCATCTTCACCACGAGTATCTCGGCTTTCAGCCGTCACTGGACCTCGTCGCCCCCATATTTGACCAGTAAGGTTGCCATCATGCAAGTGGCCAAACATGCCAGTTCCCAGCTGGCCCGGTTTGGCATTCGTGTCAACGCCATTGCGCCTGGCAGTATGTTCTTTCTCCTTTTATATGCGTTACTTACAATGCTAATACATACGACTCAGTCTACCCTTCAGATCTGGCAGCAGTTCTCATATCAAGCCGTAAGCCTGAGGAGGAGGCCGCTCATGATGATCGCTTCATTCCAGCTCGCCGTTTTGGAGGTGATGAGGAAATGGCCGGTGCCATTCTCTATTTGACGAGTCGCGCAGGCAGCTACTCCAATGGACTGATACTTACTACTGACGGTGGCCGCTTATCAGTCATGAACGCTACCTATTAAGCCCACAGTGGGGTGACTGTCTACTGGGTATCTTGATGATGGCTATCTCAATGGCAGTCTAGGAATATTCTAGATTGCTCTAGCTTTACGATTGTGGGGTCTAGTAGTGTGTACATTTCTTGAACATATACAGCAATGCCACACTGTATTTTCTCACCTAAATTTTACTTTGTAAGAGATAAGCAAGCACTCTTTTGTGTTTCTTGGCGTGGATAATCAAAATTATAAGTTATCATCGAAGCAGAAAACATCCCAGAACCATTGTATCGTCTGGCTCTTTAACAAGGCCCCTCTTCCGTGTGTCTTTATATGGTGCTGATGCATGTTCGGAGCTTGCATGAAACTCGCAGCGCCCTGTTTGTTTGGACCAAAGGCAATTGGTGCAGTATATCTTTCCGGAAACGAGAAGGCACGAAACAAACTTGCTGTTTCGTTCCTCACAGCTTGTTCAGGCCCACTCTGCCGGGAGCCTTTCTCCTACGGCATGAGCTAGCAGTGCCCCAGCCGTATATAAAAATTGGGCGATTTGGCCATTGAAGGCCTCGCCGTCGACAATTTTCCGCTTGATGTTGTTGGTATCTTTCTGCAACATTGGCTCTCTTTGGAGCTCTATGGCCATCATGCGGTGTATTTGACTTTCTCGTCGTGTGATGGGCCGAAGCACCGCCTCCACGGGGCTTTCTGTGCCCATTTCGCCCAAAATCCCGGGCCACCCTCTTCTGTGGCGAACTCGCCGTATATGGGGTCGGGATATGGGTTGGCGCTCGGTTGCTCATCCCGGTGAGCTTCGGTGATCAAACTTTGGGATCTGGGGTCTTCCTTTTGACTCTCAACTGTTTTTTTGGCTGTCCTTCCAACTAATCGTCGAGTAATCGTGATTAGTCGAGTAGAGGAATTTACCTCATTGATAGGAAGAGTCTTCTCGGCCTCTAAGTTGGCCCTCTCGGCCTCTAAGTTGGCCCTCTCGGCCATCCACTTCTCCTTGTTGAGAAGGAAGGTTGCCGTCTGGTTCCATTCTGTGTAGAGCCCGAACAAAATTGTTATCGGACCCTACACATAGGTTGACCAATGTACCCAAGGTACCTTCAGCAATTCGGCGCTTTTATAAAGCACTTAAATTCCATTGTTAATATGTGTTTTCCCGGCTTGGGGGCATAGGACATACCCGTGGGAAGAAGAGAGACCCGTAACACCCGGGATAGATTTGTCCCGGGGTTGGCGTGAGTTAGACTCTCTCTGACGTTGCCAATTGTGATTCGGAGGGCGTGGTCATGGGTCTTCCCGGTATCGCCTCTGGGGTTGCTGGCCTTCAGATCGCCGACGATTCGCGCGATTAGCCATGTCCAACCACTGACCGTAGCGTTGGTCCAACTGCTGCATGAATGTAGCGACAGAGGTACCGGCATTAGGCTCTGCAACATCCCGTTGCAAGGATGGGTCGATGCGCATCCACACTATCCTCAATTGCTGGGTTGTATCAGTTATCTCCGCGGCCTGCGCCAAGCGGAGCATAAGTCCACGGGTAGATCTGAGAGTGGATTGATGACGGAAGAAAGCCATTATCGAGAATTTATGATTGGTTGGCTAAGCCATGGAAGACGAAGTAAAGATTGTAGGGAGGTTGTAGATCGGATGGTTGCTGTGAGTGAGCCTGAGATCTTTAGAAATGAGCATTCGTTCAAAATATCAAAAGTAATTCACTTGCTGCAACTCCATGAGGCTCGTTCGAATGCACTCTGATTCTGATCAAGTGAGTATGAGGTGACAGGCCTGATCTCTTACCCTTGCCCTCTCTCTCTATCTTCTTTCCTTTGTCAGTTTTTGCTTTTACAGTCTGAATCCTTCTGTGACATGATGATTCTTACTTCGCCTAATAAATCAGTCTGTTATCAGATTGAGATTCCTCTCTTTTTCTCGCATTCCGAGCACATACACGTGGAATCTGATTCCCCAGGCGTACACGCTCGGGCCCAGAGCCCCACAATCAGCCCCGGAGCTGTACCGATCCTTAACCTTATCCCGCCGCGAAGCCCCACCAGCAAACCGCCCCGGAAAATGGTCCATGGACATGGAGATCGCGCGCGACGGCGTGTTGCCCAACGCATATCGTGAGTTACTTCAATTAGCCGCGCGGTGATGCGTCGATCCCGAGAACATGGAGAAACACACAGCGGAACTGGTAAACGCAGCCCGTGAGTGCGACTTCATAGATGAAATCTGGTGAAGGCTACATACATGCTCACCGGAATACGATATTAGTCTACATCACGGCTAGCGCTCAAAGACCCCCGTACCAGTGCACGTTTGATTATTGGATTCTCCAACTCTCACTGCCAGCATCGGGCATGTATCTTTCCTGCACGATCCATCAATGAGCAAGTACCAGAAGGCAAGGTTGCTGGAATGGAGTGGCCTGTGTTTCATGATGATTTATGCCGGGCTGGGCGTGCCGCAGCTTCGGCTCGATTACTTGGGCGCGCATCGGTCCAAACTACCTGGCCAGGGGTGGCCTGAGGTATTTGAGCGCGCTACTCGACATGAGGTGAGTAAACGGCCCTGGAGAGGCTCAGAATAACATACCCGTGGACGTCTCGAATCGACCCGAGGGAACCTTAGGGCCAAGTTAGGTTAAGACCAAGACTATCCAGAACGACCACCTTGGAACCTTGTAATGTGTCAAGTCTTTGGTTTTTATTCGTGTGTGCCTTTCTCGAGAATACCACACCGAGTCCAAATTTGCATGGCATGAGTTGAACCCAATTGTCGGACATGGTATATGCAATGCTAAGGCGCAAAGATGAAATTTGCAGAGCAATAAACACCACTCCATCTACTCGCATGTTGACACGTGCTATGCTCTCTATGTCATATCCCTATAACTCCATCTATATGGCGGAACTTCAAGTCCGAAACGCTGGCAATCTTCCAGGTACATTTGGCAAGGCACCCCAACGTGCTTCGAATTGGTTGAGTGAATTTTGCAGCCGAGCATCCGCAGACACTGATTGATAGTCATGAATATGTTTCAGCGCTGCTCGATTGATATACAGACAGCTGGGAGGTAGGTGATCGATTTGATTAAACGGAAGGTGTTCATGCGTGGCGGCAATGTCAATGACCATTTTAGTGATTGTATCCAGGGCCTGGTGGGAAATGTTGTCTGAGTCAAAGACCCTTGGGGAGTCTCGGGCGCGTGAGTCGAGGAGATGCCAATGAAGAAGAAACAATGTACTATACAAAGTAAGTTCCCATCAAATTATATCAATCATTTTGAGAGGCAAGACTCGAGTTTTGGAGAGGGACAGACCGGATCGTTAGAGCGATTGGAACACAGAATATTCCGTAGTTGCCTCCGTGCTGTTGCATCACAACTGCCAGAAAGGACTGCAGCGTTCGATCACATTCAGTAAGGTGTGCCTGTTTCTGGTCCGGATCCGTCATAGAAAGACCTCGCAGAACCCCATCCAGGAGCCATGCTGCTTGAGCGCTGCGCCCGAAACCGCCAACTTCGGGTGAAGTCAGCGCCTGGATCGAGTCGCGATGTGGGATTGCCACCACCGGGTTTATCTGGTCTAGAATTGAGGGTTCGAGTGGTAGACAATCGTACTGGGTGGGCATTATGGAGCCCAATGGCTGATTTACAATCGCTAGCTCACACAGGAACGTTCTATGCCTCCATGAGCCAATAGTCTCGTGGGATATGGAGAGGACCGGGTACGTACCGCTCACATATGCGGATTCCCCACCAGGTATTAATCTCCTCTTCTTCTATGGTCCAATCGATCTGCGACGGGGCATTTCTGGCTGAAGCAGGGGTCGATCGTAGCTGGGCTGCATACGCCATCCTCGCGGAGCTTCCGATCGTCACGAAAGCCTGCTCCGGATAACCATGGGCATACTCATAAACCGATAGCAAAACTCCAGCTTGAACGAGCCGTGTTGTGGGTGCGCAGAGTGCTTGTGCCTGGGCCATAAGGGATTTAGTGGCAATATAGAGCGTCGAATCTTCAATTCGATTGGGTCCTTGCGGCCCCAAGACATCGAAAGAGTCTGTGGAAGAGACAAGTAATGCCACGCATAGAACGAGTAGCGCGAAATCAGCCTGGAGATTGGCTCCAAAAGAAAGCAACTGTGTATGGAACTGTCGTCGGGAGATAATTGGTACGAATGTATGAACACCCTGGAAGTATCGGACACTGATTTCATCAAGGTAAAGCCCCGTAGTTTCGAGCAACCGCTGAGCCTGGAGACATAGTGTAGTCTCAATTGTCAAGACCGGTGGCCCGCGGGGAATATGCGCGTTGCATACAGGGCTGTCGAAAAGTAGTTGTGTAGATGCACTGACGGGGTTGTTAGCTCGTAGAGCAGCGGGGGCTCTCGAGACGCCACTTTGGGACCGAGGATTGGCTGCGGGCACAAAGACCGAATCTGCGATTACTCGATGCCGCGGACTATGGCTCAAGGTCTGATACCGACAGGGTAGATTATGGCTAATAAAGTGGGTAGTTGGTCAGCAGGTATTCCAACCCTCGGTAGTAGAAGCAGCATGGTACTCATCGCAGTAGCGGCAGCGCGGCAGAGACTTATCACATCGTTTCTTGCGGGCTTTGCAATTGGCGCATACATTAGGAGACTTCCCAGTGGCGGCCGCTGGCATGATTGAATCAAATCGACAGTGGGTTGTAGATTGGAGCGGCCTTTATGTGGGACCCGTCGGGGATCGTCGGCCGCCGCTAGTACATATACAAAGCCTCAGTGCCGCGCTCATGCGTGGCCAAAAAGACGATAACATTTGCTTATAAACAGGAGTCGTTATGTATTGGCTTATTCTGCGAGGCTCTTATTGCTAACGCTTCTGATAACATTAGCATTAATTCATATTCAGGAGAGTGGACGCCATTACTCGTACTAATTATGTCTTGGAACACCCATGGACTATTACTTATTTTTCGATTGGTAACGGAAGAGAGCTCTAGGGCTATCATTAACCCCCAAAGTTGGGGACCTTTTGTAAATTGGCTGTCTGTTTGGCTGTCCTTTTCACTATTCTTCTAACTGTTCACTACCTATTCTTGCTTCCTTCCTTTATCTAATATCGTAATATCGTCATCGAGTAATCATGATTACCCGAGTAAAGAAGGTCTTGGGCTAAGCCGTGAACAGAGAATCAGGGATTGGGGATATTGAAGTGAAAAAAAGCGCGATGGTGGCCTGACGTCGCAGACAAGACGACGGGAAGAGAACCAGGGCGCACCATGGGCATAGCACCGCCGGGGCATGTCAGCTGCACCTACACAGAGGGCATAATGAATCCTAATTTCGGTTTCCGCGTGAGTGAAGTGTCCAAAAGGGATAGATTACCAATCATACGTGAAGGTCTGTACGAAGTACATATAGGCATTTGAACCATTTGGCCATGGAAGAAGGGGAGATAGTTGTTACGGGTTCCATAAACAGTGCCAGATTTGGTGGTGTAAGTGCATTTGCAAGCCGACTCCCAGGAGTGCTCCAGGGCTGGGATGGGATATAGATACCAACAAAACTTCCAAAAATTTATCACGTTCGCCAAAATAACCTGCAGGCCCTAGACCGACCAAGCTTGAAGTCTCACCAGTCGACAGCGAGAGGTGTGAACATGGCCCACCTGAAGCTTTGAGCTGGCCCTTAGCAGCATCCCGGTCCTTAGCAGCAGCCCTATACCCACCTTCGCTATATGACAAGACATATAGGGCTATAGGTGGAGCTCAGCTCTATAATCATACGGGGCACATGCATGAACACGGAAGCTTAAAGTCAGAACCTTCAGATAAGATAATGCATTTAGGGCTCCCAGAGCCTCACATCTCATAATCTATGTAACGAACGAACATGCTCGCTTTTGGAACATCAAGACAGTAGTCGCATGTCGCGAGAAGTATAACACCGAGAATCAACCACCAGCGCCGGGTACAGAGAAGAAAATAGAAAAGAGAAGAAAAAAAGTGGGCCAACCGCTGGGTTGACCGAAGGGGCGTCCTTGTCGACTCGACAAGGAGGTATCATGTGAAGTTTCGAGGCGGATCACATCGCGACCACACGGTGTAGCAGACGAGAGATACAGTCTTGAAACCCAAGTTCAAGACGGCGCCCGGAACTTCGGCTTGCGTGACGCCCATGCTCATATAGTTTAACAGAATTATTTGTCGACTTAAGCGAACATGCTTGCGCCGCCGGTCTCAATGGCGTCCATCTCGGCCTGAGTCCAGGGAAGACGACCGAAACGAGAGGGGAGCTCGGAGCGGTCGAAGAACTCGCCGTTCTGGGGCTTGATGGGACCGAGGGACGCGCCGGAGTGGCCGCCAATGGTGCTGTTGAAGGAGGAGCGACCGAGGGGACCGTGCTGCTGGGCCTTGGCGCGGTAGGCGGCGAAAGAGTCGGGGAGAGCACCAGTGGGAGAAGCAGGGTGGACGCGAGGAGTGTGGTCAATCGACTCTGGGAAGAGTTAGTCGGGTGTTGGGAATTGGGGTTTGGGGGGTCTAGGAGATTCCGGGAGGAGCTCCAGGGGGGATTTTGCACGTACTAGGAGTAGAGCGCTTGCCGATGAAGCGGATGAGAGGGGTGCGGGCGTTTGCGAGGGCCATGGTGACACGCATGATTATTATAGTTGGTAAGAGGAGTGGTGTTGGTAGAAGGTGGGAGGTGAAATTCCGAGTTGTGCGAAAATGAACGGGTCCGGTAGTATCCGAGCCCGGGTAACGCGATGTGGAGTAGGAGGTTGGGAATAGTCGAGAGACGTGAGACGAGAGACGATACTAAGAGTGACTGTAGGGAAAGTGAATGTGTCCAGAGGAGAAAGAGAAAAAGATGGAGGGGAAGGCAAAGAAGATAAGAAACAGGCAGGGTTACCGCATTGGGACGAGCCGACTCGGAGCCGATGCAGGCTCTGAGGCAGAACGACGGAGCACGGCACTACACGGTACAATCAAGTACAATCCAGTATGCTTATTGAATTCATATGATTTGTGTCACGCCATGTCCGCTTCGAACTACGCTTTTCAGTTGAATTGTCCCTACGGAATACGGATTACGAAGTACACACATGCATTCAAACCTACGTTGGAGCCTCGGATTTACACCCGATGCACCTTACCATTGGTGAACGGCGCCGCGGAGCCTGTGATTTCCCCCAAGCTCCCCGCAAGTGAAGCATTCTTCTGGTTCCCCGACTTTTCCGATCTTTGCCTCGTTGGTGCGTTCGGTGAGCTCCTCCGTATGCATTAGTCAGGGCATGAATTATCAATTTCGTGCAATATTTAGATGCTCCGAATTCGCCACTGCAGAGAACACAGAGTAAATCAATACACGATAGTCATTGAATTTATTTCTTGTCAGTAGGACGATATACTCGTGACCAGTTGTTAGCAGCAGTATGGAGTACAGTTCTTCAGAGATGCTCCAAGTACTTTTGGCCAACTCTCCCAAACTCCCCCAGAAAGGGTTAGCGTCCCATGATATAAGCTAAACCCGCACGTTAGCCCCCGTGAACGAAGTACGGAGTCCTTGCACTCTTCTCTAGCATTGGTGTTGTTTTCCTCCAATCCTGATTCAGCAAGAAGTTCCGAAACGATTGGTCACTCGTTCGGAATTGAACTTGCGAAAGTTTCAGGGCGAAAGGCGAAAAGTGAAAGGCGGTGGAAAAAGATAGGGTACAGCGGACTAAGCTATTAGCAATATTGTCAACACACAATTATTGATAGGAAGCTTGGACCCTGACTAATACCTTTCCCCGGCTTCACCCGTCAACATATCAACATGCACGAGCAGTCACTATTCGCCTCGGTCCCTGTCCATCAACATCATGAGCTTCTTCAGCAGCTCGCCGGGCTGACTGCCATGCAGCCCCGCCACTGCCTGGAGCGCCGGATGATCTTCAAGGCCTTCCGGAAACCAGGGTTGGCGGGGCGCACCGGAGCCAGTCAGGATCTCCAACAGGGCGACCTGCAACGCCTGAACAAAATGCTGAATGGCAACATGTACTACACACAAGTCGTCGGCCCAGTCACCGAAGCGGACTTTGCATCGTCCGACTCCGGCGCCGACGCCGACGCCGACGCTCAGATGATCGGCTCCCAGCCTATCTACGACTACGCGCGACAATCGTGGAATCTGGAATTTCGCGATATTCCCGAAGCCGGTACCAGATCGGCCGTCACCTCGCGGCTGATGTCAAGTGCTACTCTGCCGTGCGGGGATATCATGCCACAGATGTTTGCGTGGGGATATCAGTAAGTGGCGCCATCGGGGGATCGTACGATCGACGCTAACACCCGATCAGTTTCACTTCCGAGTATGTTGTGGAAGGTGATATGTTCGTTCACAATGACATTGCGATCTTTTTGCATCGTGTGTTGAACTACCCGGATGAATCTAACGAGCCCCGGCAAACCCTGCCTGCGTTCAAGGATATGGTCCTTCTGGAGAAGAGTGGGAGCTATGTTCTGCAGGCTTTCATTACTGTTCAGGACGGTAGTAACCAGGAGACCATGAAGACTGCCTCTCAGCATCTGTTTGGACTGCGCGAGCAGTTGAAGTCCGCTGTTCGTTTGGAGCAGGCTGATCGATTGTCACTCGACACGAGGGCGAAGTAGGTCACTTCAGATGGCCGCCAGATCATCGCCGGTGGTTGTTTTCTAGAGGAGTTGATGCACGTCGAGTATGCCACAAAAATAAGATACCCATTTACACGCATACGCGTTCGATAATCACTTTCACGGATGTGATACATGGTTTGGGACTATAACCCGGACTGTAGAAGACATCAGTGAGCATAGATCGTAGTCACAGGTGGATGAAGACGCCTTGGTCACTGATTTTAGATGGTCTTCGTGAACTTTAGTTGCTACCTATCCCATAGGGACTACATGGATTACTACTTCGTTCCGATGAAATTGATTTTAACCTCCTCAAGCTCACGGGCGCTCAATCGTCCATGCGAACATCATCACTTGGTCCACGTAAGGATCTACCTAAGCATTGTAAACACTACCCTGAGAAATATGCCGCACTGACACAAATCCTGAAACGAAGAAGTATATTGTGGAACAGAGAATAATTTCTCAGGCCCTCAAAACAGCCTTGTTACTACAAATCGCAAATCGCAAATTGATAAATGCGTAGATCAGCCGAACATGTGACTTCGTGACAACTCCCGCGCCTCAGCGCGTCCAACTCCAGCATCAGAACAAATAATCCCCAAACCGCCCACCACGTTTTCCCTCACCCGAATCCTCAGAATGGCAGAGGGGGCAGCCAAGCGAAGCGCCTCACCGGCAATCTCCCCACCACCACTGCGCCGGAAAGTCGACACAGCAACCAGTGCGTTCAAACCCGCAACGCGAAAGTGCCCAACTAACCACACCTACAGAGAAATCAGCCTCCAACTTCTTCACACCAGCCTCACAAAAGAAGCCTGCTCCAATCACATGGCGCGTTATCGGGACCAGTGTCGTCATCGGAAAACAGAATACGGGAAACGATGTCCCGGCAGAGACACGGCGTCGCATCGCTGGGTTTGATCTGGTTGGTCGGTCAAAAGTTGGCTGTGGATAGACTGGCTGACTTCAACTCAGGATTCGACTTTGATCAAGACGAAGTCCGGGAATGTTTTCCCTAAATCTGCGACGGATTGGCAATGGTGGAATGCCAAAGTGCCGGGGCGGTTGAAGGAGCTCAATTCAGAAGGGTATGTGTGGATCTTGGATTTGGATTTGGATTTGTTGATTCGAGCTCATGATTCCCAGGTACCAAGTTGTTATCTTCTCAAACCAGAAGAAGATCAGCATTCAGAAAGATATCAAGGGTGGGCGCAGTGACTCGAAGAGTCTGACAAACTTCAAGGAGAAGATGGAGGCTGTTATGACCGAATTGAACTTCCCTTTCAGTGTCTATGCTGCCACAACAGACCCTGAATACCGCAAGCCCCGCCTTGGGATGTGGCGGGAGTTCCTGGATGATTATGACCTCGATGTTGCGGGAGTTGATCTCCCTGGATCATTCTTTGTCGGTGATGCCGCTGGGAGACCGGGTGATCACTCAGCTGTAGATCGGTAAGTTGAGCAATCTATACAGGTGGAGTGGTGCTAACATGACCAGAGGCATTGCTACCAATATGGGTATGCCTTTTAAAACGCCAGAAGAGTTCTTCCTGGGACAAGCTGCTGAGCCGGCAACGGGAGTTTTTGATCCCATGTCATATGTGAAAGGTGGTCTCGAGGAGCCAGGTACGTGATCTCAGACCAATTGGCGTGTCGTTGTGGTCTGGGGGACCTCTAGTTGACCATATACAGCCAAACCCTTCTCCCGCAAACATCCCGTCGAGCTTGTGATCTTCTGTGGCAGCCCAGGCGCTGGGAAGTCAACATTCTACTGGAACCACCTCGAACCTCTCGGCTATGAACGAGTCAACCAAGATATTTTGAAAACAGTATGTGTGCTAGTCCCAGAACAAAGTCTCAATCTAACAAAACAGCGCCCAAAATGCATCAAGGTCGCCCGCGAGTTCTTGCAGGATAAGAAATCAGTGGCAATCGGTAAGCACTACTCAGACTACGGAGTGCTTCGAACCGGACAAAATCTAACTTCACCAGATAACACAAACGCCAACGAGGAAACACGCGCATACTGGGTCGAACTCGCAAAAGAATTCAACGTGCCTATCCGCTGTGTCCAATTCATCTCCACCCCGGACCTGTGCCGACACAATAACGCCGTACGGGCCTCGAACAAAGAATTGGTAAGCACTCCGCACCCCCGGGCCCCAAAGCCCATCTTTGATCTCACTAACACTTCATACCCCTGCAGAACCCCGAGTCCCGAACATCCCTTCCTGGAATTGCCTTCGGTGACTTCGGACGTCGCTTCAGCGCCCCCAAACTCGATGAGGGCTTTGACGACATTATTCCCGTGGAATTCCAATTCCGCGGGAGCAAAGAGGCGAAGGAGCTCTGGGGCCAGTATTGGATTTGAGTACTCAGTACTCAGTACGGAGTAATTACAATTCGCATACTTCCCCCCTCCCCCGCCTCCCCCAGCCCTGGAGGGGGGCCGCGTCTTCTCTGCTTACGCCTAGACTATCTTTAGTCAATGCAAGTCCGAAACTTGACATATAAACGTCGAGCGATGGGTGATTCCGAAACCATATCGATCTCGACTGCTTAAATCTGAATCCTAAATCCTAAATCCTCAATCTCAAATCTCACTCCAAATCAAAAAAAAATCAAGATCAAGATCTGAATCAATGCATGTTTCGGTCATATCTTTAGATTCCCCCCATATAATCATCACTCGCACCCTATATCATAGTCATTATGATCTAGCTATTTCCAAGGTTAGTAAGACAATCAAGACATTCCAACTCGTATTCCCATGCTCAGGCATCAGGCCCAGCCGAGGTCGGCGAAAAAGCCTGCATAACTAGTGTCTCCCAGCGGCCCAGCGTACAGTTAGTACGGAGTAACCACACGTAGTCAGGCCCCCGGCTAGTTAGTGCCTAGTGCCTAGTGCCTAGTGTCGACACCCATGTACCTGCATACTTGCCCAGAGCGCAAAATGCGTCTCGACCCCTCACGAACCCAACAAAGAGCTTTGGCCTTCACGTCAGATGCAGAGGCAAGGCACTCCCGAGGCTAGTGAAGATTTCCGCGCATAAACACATTGTCCAACGGGGTCTTGGGTCTTGGGGGCCCGATGTTGAACCCAACATAAAATAGCGGTAGAATTCATGTAACGTGGCTGCGGCTCCACTGTTGCAGGTGCCCAGGTGACTCATTGAAGACCACGAAGAGTGCGATGTGCAATGTGCAAAGTGCAAAGTACGGCAATTGAACGGTCGATAGATAGCCTTGGAGAGGCCCGGGGTCAGGTACAGAGGGCACTCCTGCGCCTCACTTGACCCCCCTCTCAGGTCTCTCGGGCCCCCTGCAGTTTTATTATGCACCGAGTCAACCCCGAACTAGTTCATGTGGACGAGGCGGTTCAGCTGTGGGTTTGGGCCTAGATGTACTGTGTAGAATTGAGAAGGTTGACTCCGGTCCATAGCCCTGGATAGTAACTATACGATAGTATAGGTGATAAATTGATGAATAATGAGTATTGTTTGTATTATTGGTATATAATTTTTTCATGCAATATTTAGTATTGGCTTCAGCGAATATCTAATACAGTAGTGTATGAGGGGGTATAAACGTTGACAAAAAAATAGGAAAATGTGTAAACAAAAAGAAAGACATGATTCGCGAGAGACAGTAGTCGGGAATCGTAATTGAGACATCAAAAAAGCAAAGAGAGAGACATTAATCATGGTATCTATTGTCATTAAGCATTGATCATCGGGGGGGGACAGCGCAAAGTCCAAAAACCAGGATCTGAATCGGAATCGGAATCGGAAATCAAGGTCTCGAAACCAGATCCTGGAAAAAGCGAAAGAAATTCCTCTTTTTCTCGGACTTCGCACGACACCCGGCAACAGTCATGGGACCAACGATATCCTCATCGCCCATTTCAGGAAATTTGTCTTCATGCAGACGCGGGACCCGCACCGAGCACGGGTGAGATTGCGTGAGGGTCAAAGCGACGCCATCGCATCCTAGCTGGTTAAGCAAGGCGTCGTAGTGAGATTGCCAGTCCGCATTAATGGATTCCCACTTCTCAACAGTAAGTTTGTAGATGTAAGAAGTGACGCCGTAATGTTCGCCAGTGCGCACTAGGTGCTTAGCGAAATTGCAGCGGGCGATATCCCAGTCCGCGCGCAGTTGCTGGAAAGAGTCCATATCGTGGACGGGTGGCATGTATGGTTCTGGGGAGATAGTGAAATTGGCGTGGCCGAGTTTATTAGCCCATTCGTCGTTTGGGTCTGAGAGGACGAAGGGTGTGGCGTCGCCGGAGACGGTGCGGACTGTGCTTGCGCGAGGCCGGTTGAAGGAGGCGATGGAGGGTTTTGAGGATAGAGGGGGTGATGGGAGGATTCCCATGAAGCGGGGGTCGGTTGCTACTGGGTAATGGTGTTCGCTCACGTCTGCGACGGAGGGAGATTGGAGGGGAGATTGGACGCGGGATGCGATGATGCTGGTTGGGTCGTCGCCCATGAAAGGTGGGAGGAGGGGTGTTGTGGCCTGGGCGTCGCCGTCGGCGTCTTCCTGGAAGCTGTTTGCGTGGGAGATATCGATTGGGCGGGTGCCGGACTCGCTGGCGCGACCTTCGAAGATGGTTCGCGCGGGGGATGGCGGGATTGAATCGACTCGGCTCATGGGCACGGGACTGGTGATCGGGCTGGCGAGGGCGGAGGAAGCGGTGGAGTTGGCGCGCGAGCGGAGATCGTCTGGGAACATATCGGCCTCGCCGCCTGAGCCGCGCTTTTTCCAGCGCGCTGACATGGTGGAGATGTGCGAGTTGATGCGCGAGACGCCTTTCATCGATACACTATCCGAGCGACGCTTCTTCGGTGAGGGTGCAGTTTCCATGCCGGTGTCGCTCAGATCGTAGGTGTCTGAACGGTCCACTGGGGCGAAGTATGACTCTTCGGCCGACATGTCGTAATCGAAGTGTTCTATGTCTGGTTAGCACAGCCCGGGATAATTTTGCCAGTGGCGACTGAGAACATACGGAAGTAGTGATCTTCTAATGAGTCGCGCGTGCATTCCTCTTCCTTCACACCGGTCAAATGACTCCGACTGGGACTGTCGAGAGAGTTCCCCAGACCGGGAGTGGAGACGAGCGAAGACACCGAGCTCGAGACCCGATTGTGACCGGCCACCGAGAAGAGCGACACAGCCGGGGAGGCGGGCGCTGAAGTATTGATAGTCAAAGGCGAAAGCGGCTGGCGCGCCGTGTGATCCCTCACGTCGGGTTGATTCAGTTTATACATGTTGCCGCTCGGCGGGGAGGTTGGTGTATCGATGGGCGTGGTTCATCGAATGCGAGGGGTATATAAGAGCTCAAATGGAACGAGTCATCCCCTTGGGCAAGAAGATATGTAGCGGTGTGATCCGGGAATCGCGGGAACTGAAGACCACCAGTTAGGAAACGATCAAAAGGTAGGGGAAAACTTCTAAAAAAGAAACCCACCCGAGCGACGTGGACCAAACACGTCCACTTAAGCCAGCTGGCTGGGCAGAGACTTACCATCGACAAACGGACTGGAAGAGATGCGTGATGCAGGGAGAAACCTGGAGCAAAAGGAAAAAAGAAAGACAGTAATACAAATAAGATCGTAAGGAATAGTCAGAATAGTCAGAATAAGATGGGGGAAGTCATTGGCTCTAGACTTCAAAGAAACCGTTAGGTGGGGAATTCCATCGGATTCCCGACAAAACAAAATAGAATTAATTCAATTCACGAAAAAGAGAGATAAAAACCCGAAAGAGGCCCTCAGAAAACCAACGATCGGCGGTGTTTTTCCCAAATGGTTGGGCTCCGCCCAGTTCCGGTGGATGACACAGCTCGAACCACGGTTACTGGCGAGTCTGGAAGGGTTCTTTTCCATCTTTATTTCTTCTTTCGTCTTTTTCGTCCTATTTTTTTATTCTTTTTTTTTCATTCTTGGCTCTATCTATTTTATCTTCCATCTACGGAGTATTCCATCTACTCTGTCTATTCCATACTCTTCTATTATTACTCCGTACTCTGTATGTACTATACTCCGAACATTCTGGCCTGTATCCCTTTGTTACAACGGCTACACAGGTACGGTTGTGTCACCTAGTCAAATTCTACACAGTGCCAACCAGGACCCTTTTTTAAAATACTCTCTCTCTGTGTGTGCGATCGACACCATCTAGACTGAGGTGGGGACCTAAACAAGAACCACTATGATGCTACTGACTCCATACAGAGACCCAGCTACCCATTCTTGATTCGTGGGGGGAAAGTCGGCTCACCTTCTGTTTTCCTTCTGTTTTCCTTCTACAATTACGGAGTATACAGCTAGATATTCTACGTCAATCGTCAATGCTCCGTTAGTACTCCGTACGGAGTAAATGAGATCCATCCCCATTCTTACGGGCTAGTGCATCCGTTTGACCTCCGACGCTGAGCAACCAGTCTCCTCCCGGCGTCAGAACTTTGTCCGAGTATGACGAGCAGGGCAATTGTCCGCTTCTTATTGGTAAATTCCCATTTGCCTCGCAATTGTCGTAGGGCAATGCTAGCCAAACATTAGATTGTCATTCTGTCTCCGAGCTGGACCTGGTTCGCCCTACGTCAGGCTGCGACTCTACTGTCCAGCACAAAGGCAAGGCGATCCAAAAATCTGCCAATCTGCCTAGGGTGCACGTATGTACAATGTAAAGGAACGAAAAATTAACTCGAAATGGTGTTTTAGTAAGTACTATATCCCGTATGAGGGGTACGGAGTATACAGTGGTAAACTCGTGGACAAAGGACCCAGACGTCAGATCCACATGGCCAACCAAAGTTCTCCAGCATCGGGCTTTCGGGGAACATTCGAACGGTAAGAGTTGCCCTGGACAGAATGGCGGAAAGAGGGGGTAACGTCCATGGTCGCTGGACGCCTCTGCCTCTGCCCGCCGGGTGTGCCTCTGGAGGCGTCCAACAGTGACTTGGCACGGGATTGATTTTCGGCAAGGTTTGCATCGACAGGTCACTTTTTTCTTCATTTGCACTCCCACTCTACGCTAAACATTCCAGTTTCTGGTTGATGGAAGGCATTTGATATATCATTTCTTTTTTTTTCGAATGGACGGAGGAGCTGTGAGGCTGTCATGTCGATCTCTACGATGTAGCTCACTGCAGTGCACATCACTAGGACCGAAAGGGCCTTCGCAGAGGTTCCGAAGTGGCATCTTCCGTTTCCCAGGGCTTTCAGCTGGTGGCCAATCATTGCCGCTCGGCTAGGAAAAACTCAATCTGGCGCTGAGGTAATTCGGTGGAGAAAGTTTGTACCAATCAGGAAGGAATTGCCTCCGATCCCGGCGATGTCATGTTGATGTCACATGCCCAAATCTGGTTCTTCTGAAGATTTTGACACTCTCTTCACACTTGTGCTACTGTAAATAGGGCTCGACTTGCTTAAAAATTAGTCAATTTTACCTCGGACTATAGAACACAACCTGTGATTGCTTGTACAAAGTTCTGAAATTGAAAAAAAAAGACAATTAACTTCACCCCAACATTGAGAAAACTATGATTACAAAGTGTGCCTCCCAAATTAATCAAAACCGCCACTGCTTCAACCAATTCTGCATCATGTCGGCAGACACCGGGCCCAACGTTCTCATAGTCTGACTTGCCACTTGCGCCCAGCTGACATCCAGCGGCACAGACATAGCACTCCCCTCATCCTGCAACCCCCGGTAAAATGGCAACAACTTAAGCGCCGGCATGGCAGCGATTTCCTCGGCGCTGGGATTCTCGAACCGTTCAAGCTCGGCAACCCACGCGGAATAATCCACTGGCTCGACCCTGAACGCCGCCTGGATGGGCGGGATCAACGATAACCACGGCGCGACCTCCGGATTCGTCAGGTGAAACACGGCTGGCGAGGTGCCCCGATGACGTGTGTGTACAATCTCCACTATCACTTCAGATAAGGTATCCTATACATATTGAGATGGGATCAGCATTCGGGTCTTTCGGCAGGGGTGGTTTTAATCAAAAGAAAAAATCATTGGATGCGATCATCGATCACGGGGATCAACTTACGACAGGTACCCAGTCTACGGGCATTGAGCCGAGACGATTAGGGATTTTTCCTAGGGCTTTGGATGTCGAGATGATGGTCGGGAGCCATTCGTGAGGATTCCATTGTCCGCTTGCGCTCTTGGGTCCTGCGATTTGGCCGACGCGGTAGACCGTGGTGGGAACTTGGGATCGGCGCGACGCTTCGAGACAAATGCGCTCTGCGACGTGCTTGGACTCGCCGTATCCTTGCGGGAGGACCACGGCGCTGTCTTCCATGGGTACTTCCGGGACTGATGCGCCCATGTCGGGTGTCCAGCTGCCCACTGTACTGACGGAGGAGACGAAGTGGATGTGGGCATTGTAGCGACTGTCCAGACTGAAGTCCACGAAACGACGGACGCCTTGGATGTGGGTATCTTCGAAGGAGTCGACGGTGTGGTTGAAATCGACCTTCCAGGCGTTGTGGATGATTGTGTCGACTGAGTCGAGAAGTTCCTGGTATTTGGTCTCTTCGAGACCGAAGTTCGGGGCTCCGAATGAGGCCTGTAGGAACTCAACACGCTCTTGCCAGTCGCTTGCGGTGAGATGCAAGCCCTTGTCTTGGAAGCCTTGCTTTTGTCGGGACTCGGCGTCTGAGCGGTTGAGACAGTAGACTTTCGACACTTTGTTATCGTTCAGCAGAGAATGCAGTAGATAATTTCCCAGTGAACCGGTCGAGCCGGTCAGAATCACGGTTGTAGGCACAGGTAGTTCATGTTGATGGTGTGATTCCCGGACTGGAAGGTCAGACGTATACTTTTCCACCAGCTTCTGGATCTTCTCTTCTCGCGGTACCTCGACCTGGGACTTTCCTTCCAGGAGGGCCACCACAAATTGAGACAGTCGGTCTACAGTTGGGTTTCTATAGATCGCCTGTGGGCTGATGGCATTCGCTTTCAGATCCGGGCGGCGCATCTGAACACCGCGTTGCAGCAACTGAGATACCCGGATGGTCATCAGCGAGTCAAGACCGGCACTGTCGAAGGTCTCGGTGTTGGAGAAATCAGAGCGTTCCAGAGCCCGGGCAACAACCTCGCGAGTGAACGCAGGAACACTCTCTGCGTCCAGTGTCTCAGGCACAAGCTGATCCAGATCATCTTCCGAGCCGCCAGCATAAAGGGCATCGATCTCATCCGCATAGTCTCGAAGCACTGCGCGGCGCTGCACACTTCCTTTGGGAGTCCTCTTGAAAGGCTTGTCCTTCACAGCGAACCCGATCTTGTCCTTCATGATGCGACCATGGGCAGCGATTCCCTGGTTAGCCACTTGGATGGTTGGCCAAATCTCATCAATGAAGACCTTAGTGTCCATATCGGCGACTCCGTGGTCCGGCTCGATAAGCAGTCCAGCCTGGAACCGGGCCTGTCCGACCACCACTGCTTTTCCGACGAGCGGGTGACCTGCAATGATGGTCTCCATATTGATAGGATTGAACTTCTCGCCGTTGCTCAGGACAATAACATCATCTTTGCGCCCATAGTACTTCCACAGGTGTGGATTCGTCGGGTGTTGGGTGTATAGATCCTGGGTATGATACTCGTTGATATCGGAGAATGTGTGATATATGCCCTTGAAGTCACGGGCATTCTCCTGTCGCGGAATGACCATCTCGAACACCCCCTCCCCGACATTTTGCATGTCGATACCGTAGGCTTCACTCCATTCAAAGTAACCCCAATTGGCTGGGTCTTCGGGGATCAGGGTCGGGATCCAACCGACTTCACTGGTGCCAATCACAGACACGACTTGGGTGTGTTCTTGTAGTCGGTCACCTGCTTCGGGGGACAGAGGTGCTCCTCCGAACAAGACGCGATCAAGTTTCTCCAAGCAATGCAAGGCCTCGTTGGAGTTGCTCATATCTTCTAGGACGGATGGCGCGCAGATTGCATGGGTCGGGCGGGCGGTTTCAAGTAGTTCTATCATGAAGTCGACAGAGGGTGGCTTTTCAGGGCCCAGAAGGGTGGGAACACGGAACCACACTGAGAACACAAGAGGCATTATTCCCATGAGATGGAATAGAGGTGTCGTTGCCAGGACTAGGTCTTTCTGGCCAAGATGGTAGTAAATACCCGGCAGACGGCCTGGCGGCAATGGAAGGTAGGCACTGGCACTAAGGGTCATGAAAAAGCCGTTGGTAAGATACACCGGCTTTGGCATGCCTATTACTGAGTTAGCACCCCCCCGAGGGCTTAGATCATGACGCGGAAACACTCACCTGTAGTTCCTGAACTATGAATGATCAGGATGGTGTCATCTTCAGCGTCGGCATAAGACTTGGTATAAGCATAGTGGCGAAGGCCGGACTTGTCTTCGAGCATTGTCTTTATGGCCGGCACTGAGAAGATATCCAATGAGGAGCACAATGCTTTGATCTCCAAGATTCGTGTGCGGCGCTCCTCGGTGAAAAAGAACTTGGAACAAGTTGTTGCTTTCAATAGGTGGACATGGGCTTCGTCGGAGTTTCTGGTTGAAGGCAGGAAAGCCTGTGAGAATTCGAGGTCAGTATGCATCTCTAATAAAATCTCAAGCCCAGTGCTTTCTCTCACCTGGTAACCGGTCTTTTGACAAGCCAGCATGAAAATGAAGTAGCGTATATCGTTGCAGCCCAGGTAGGCCAGGGTTTCCCGGTTCTGCGCTGGTCCAACTGTGCTCTCGATCCACCAGGACATATAATTAACTGCCTGAGCCATGTCCTTCATCAAAAGGGTTTGGAATCCATGGCTAAGTTCTGATCCTTGCGGGATAACTGCAAATCGGTCATCGGGAGTCTTTCTAGCAAACTCGTCGATTGTTGTCGCCAGAAGTTTCTTGTGCGAGGAGTCCATTTTGTTGGTAATTGATTGTCTCGGTGGCTTGAAACGATATAATGCAAATAATTTTATGAGATGGTAGGTAGGATGTGCTGAGGATAACCCGTGGTTCCAATAATGCTGCCACTGGAAGGGGGGAGGATCGCATGCATATATATAACTTTTGAAGACTTGTTCTTGAGTGATATAACCCAGTGGATCATTCGGACAGCCCATTCCGAACCGACACAATGTCTGATTAATTATTGTACCCCTACTCAACACTGACTGGGTTGAGTATGCAGATCATTCCTTGGTCGGCGTATATCTACTCCACTTTGGGCATATCCACTGGCCTGAGCATCACTATGCTTTATTTTGGCTTCATAATGAAGTCTCCACTTTTCATGCTCGGTAAGTGATCCCGCACTACAAGAGGAGACATGATACTCTGTACTTGTTTTTGCGGTCATAATTGTGGCATTTTAGTGGCTCCTTGCTTGTTCGGCGGTTCGCGGCGCCCGCGCCGAGGGGTAAATTATGTCGCTATTTTGGGGCATAAACAATATTGTATAGAATTTTCATATCTATCATTGGATCAAGAATTGACGTTAGCTTCCATCTGCTTTAACCTTGAAACGACGTGCCATGGTCGTCGCTCTGCAATTTTGATACAACATCGAAACAACTATGGAGTATCTTTGGATTCGTTGTACACGTATAGGGGCATTGTGTATCCGAGCACGCCCCCCAATTTCATTAAGGCGTCATGGAGATGTTTGTGTCACTGCTGGAGTCAAATTTCCTGTTTCGACTTGATGGACTGTGCATGTCACCCTGGTCTACATTCTTATCGGTATGCCGTGAGTTCCGTAGAGATGCATATGCAGCTAAAGATTCCAGATTTTCTAGCCATCTTCTAGAGGAACTAACGCTTGGTACTATTTGTCTCACTTCTGACCCACCAATTAGCTCATCGTTGATGTAGATTTTGGAACTCCGATACTTCTAATCTACCATCAGAGTATGAAAGATCGCGCTTTAGTTGATCGTACGATTCTTTTTCCAAAAATGCTGGGTATTCCAAGAAAAGTCAAAAGCGCAAAACAAATATACTAGAAAAACGTCTAGTTGTTTATGGCTTATGGCAAGGTTCGGCCCGGAGTGATGATCATCCATGGAAGCATTCACTACGGAAGGTGGCTGAATTGCTTAGCATCGCTAGTGGATCGTGATGGACTGACCTGGAAGTATGCGATCTGTGTCTGTGTTGGATCCATCATGAATTCGGCTTCTGATTCGCTTTGGTGCACGGGGTACGGGTTGAGGTGCCTCAAACCCTTTACGGTAATATGCCGCGAACGAGATACCTCCTTATGAAAACTCCTCTATCGCGTGCCGAGATCCTTGGTAGCTCGATTCTACGTCATTTGTAGTACGCTGGAGCCCGGTGTCGGTGTGTACACGTGTAGTATGTCAACATAGCACTGATGCTGATCTGCCGAGATTCGGGATCACCACTGCCGATGTATGCACAGAGCTTGAAATTGATTCATGTCGCAAAGTGCATCAAGGGGCTTGATTATATCTCCATCTAGTAATATATTACGAGAAATAGGGTACTCAGTGAGCGTTTGGGTCTCTTTTTCAAGGTTTCACATTAGCCTAACTCTGCTATTGGAATGATCTTGTCACCGTCAATTCCCATGCATGACACTGCCCAGGTGGCGAAGTAAGTTACTTATTCTATTGGATGATCATTGACGTACACTATATACAAGAGATAATTTCACACCTGGCAGGTGTCATACTTACCTCCCATTCCTGTAATCATCGCTGAGATCGACCACCTACCCGGCCCCTTGTTCATATTCAGCCTTTAAACCATCCCTGTACCACGGGATATTGTATCTACTAGCGGTCGAAATTGGATGACTTTATACTAGAAGAACAAGATTGGTTGGTTCCAAAAGAGGAGTTAGCTGCCGGGGCTTGACGGACAAAAGCTTGTTCTAAGAATATCTATATCCACTACATACTGAGGTATCTGATGTGCAACAATGGCCCCATCTGCCAGGTTTCAAGTCATCAAAGCCCGCGAAAATCCGTGCATAGTGGAAATTTCCAAGATTATTAGTCCAAGCAGGTATCCACTCGGATAGATGCCTGGCAGATCATGTCGGCGATGGTCAAACTGCAGCAACCCTGCTGCCTCCAACGATATCCCGAGTGAGTCTCTTCGGCAAGTAAAATCGGGAGCGGCCTTCACCGTCCAGCACTTGCCTTATTAGGCAGTTGTAGAGTCCATTAATCTAACCATAAACGTCCTGACGTTATCGTCTGATGTATAATGTCCGAGAGCTCGAGCATGCATGGAAATTCAAGTTTGACTCAAACAGACGAAACTGTGGGCTCACCAGGGTCGGCTGCAGTTTCCGTACGAACAATTAAATCAACGAGCAACATTCTATGCCTTTTCGATACACATTGACCCATTGCAATATTCACATCCTTCACATTCAGCTTCATGAGCAGCGCGGAAGGCATCAGCTTCAGCTATAGTCTTGTCTAACTCCTCGCATAAGTCGTCTGCGGTGATGGCGATGACTTGACCATCCATCGTTTTCATATAGTACCCCCCATTCTCATCATAAAGACAAGTCTCTGGGTAGACTTTGGTCAGGTCGTTGAGGGACGGCCGGTCATATACGATTATGACGTCGCTTGGGGGCGGGGTCTTGTATCGGGTGAGACCTTCAGTCATAGTGGCTAGAAATTTGGAATTTGCTAGTAGATGAGAACAGAGGTGGATGTTGTATGATATGGGATGATGGCTTTTGAGAGGAAGGTCTAGAGAGAAGGTGAAGGATACGCTGCTTGATGGGTTACGGCCTGGGACACGAAGTGAGGTGAATTGCATATCAAAGGACGAAGCCCTGCACATCGAAGGGGCCAAAACTTTTGAGGGGTCCAGCCCCAAGGCAGCTGTGTCTTTGGGGCCGGCGGCCATACGACGCTTGGAGGAAATATCACCATGACAGAGAAAAGCGAGCGCAGCAACAGAGTATATATCAGTCCGACATGATGCGCGATGACTGCGTATATTCAACGGCACGCTGTTATCGTTTATCGAGTGCTCGCCAAGGGCCTCGGGAGTATCTGATCTAGAGAGTGAAGCTTCTGTCCAGCCCCTCAGAGTGCAGGTGTACCCTAAGCCACCCATGCAAATCGCCCGACTGAACTCAAGCACATAATTGCCCACGGCATCAAACCTCCCAAACTCCGTATTTCATAGTCTCGTTTTTTGTCCTTATTTTTACTCATTATGAACGTCCTTCCTCCACCAGATCGCGCTCCTATCAGCCCAAGCGAATACCCTCGTATTCCGACTCGAACTCCGCTTGCGACCCTTGAAAAATTACGTACAATCTTTTTTAGGGGCGGTATTGATGAATTTCGGGATGTTCTTAACTCAGTAAGCTCCTCGATCGGGGCGTTCGACATATGCGACCTCCATAGGATCATGGCGGAGGCCATCAAACGGGACGATGCGCGATTCATCAAAGAGCTTCTTGACCGGGGACTACCTATGAATACATCATATGCCTCGCAAGCAGTACAAGCAAAGGCGAAAAATGCCTTAGAGATTTTCATCTCAAGCGGTTGGGATATAAATGAACCGATAAGCGAGCTGAGACCTCCGGTACTTAGGTTAGATTCATGCTTAACACTCATCATATTGCTACTCAATTTATAACTAATATTCGTATGATTTGTTGCAGTGATGCCATAGAAGATGAAGACATGACAGCCTGGCTTCTTGATCATGGAGCTGATCCAAACCAGCGATGTTTCATCGATTTGACACCACTCTCTTACGCCGTTGAAAGCGCCCCAATTTCGATAATTTCTCTCTTGTTCAGCCATGGCGGAGACGCGGGGAAAGGTCAGCTGCTTCATCACACAATTGAGCGACGATCGGGCACCATTGAGGTCCTGAAACTCCTCCTCGAAAAAGGCGCATCCCTGAATTCAACCGCATTCGAGGACCATCCTTCCTGGACGCTGTTTTACTTTATGGGTCTTGGAACAGCTCTGCATAAAGCAGCCGAACTCGGTAAAGTGGATGTGGTCAACTTCCTGATCAGTGAAGGCGCCGATCAGGGTATCAAAGATGCAAATGGTCGTACGCCAATTGACTGTGCACGGATGTCAAATCAATGGCAAGTAATCGAGGTTTTAGAAGGGAAATAGGTTGTCTTATGTGTGATCATCATTGCTCAAGTGCTTTGCTCTCGGGAGATCTTATCTGTAAACAAACCACCCCAATTCACGTGACCGGTCCCGGTAGACTACTATCGCGTCATTCCGACGGAGTTTACTCCGTTCTCAAAGGTTCAACGCAGTTCGAGTTTTGTGCGTCTTTGTCCCTCGGCGCCCCATTGAGCTTTGAGTTTGAAACCTGTAGTTGAACAGCAATCACGCTATCTTTTTAAATGAAGCTCTCTCCATACCTTGCGGCCGCGGCCATGATCGCCGGTGTCAAGGCTTCTCCGCACCCCGCATATGAACAGCAGAGCCAACAGTCCCTAGGGACACCCTCGCCAGATGGGCCCAACTACAGTCAAACCCAGTTGGATGATATTATCAGCGAGTCTCCATTGCTGTCATTGCACCGGGATCTCGTCTCAATTGAGTCCTTATCTGGCAATGAGCACGAAGTCGGCCTCTTCGTTGCACAGTTCCTAGAAAGTCAAAATTTCACTGTGATCAAACAGGAAGTGCCTCCTGTGAAAGGACAGGAAGATGCTAAGACCCGCTACAACATCTATGCTCTTCCCAAGTCCTCTGAGCAGCCCCCTTCCGTGATCCTCACCAGCCACATTGACACTGTACCGCCTTTCATTCCATACTCAGTCCACCAGCCCCAAGAGTCAACATTCAATGCCGAGGACCTAATTATCGCAGGACGTGGCTCCGTTGATGCTAAAGGCAGCGTGGCAGCCCAAATCTTCGCGACCCTCGAAACCCTCGAAGAAAACCCAGATGCAGGCCTCGGCCTCCTGTTCGTCGTCGGCGAAGAAATCGGCGGCGACGGCATGAAGTTCTTTTCCGACTCAAAGCTCAACGAGAAAGATGCATTCAAGACCCTCATCTTTGGTGAACCCACAGAAGCCGCCCTCGTATCCGGCCACAAGGGCATGCTGGGCTTCCAGGTCCTTGCCCACGGCAGCGCCGCCCACTCCGGTTACCCCTGGCTAGGCAAGAGCGCCGTTTCCGCAATCCTGCCCGCACTCGCGCGCGTCGATATCCTCGGCGACATCCCCGCCGAAGAGGGCGGTCTTCCTGCGTCCCCGAAGTACGGGCCCACAACGCTCAACATCGGCAAGGTTCGTGCTGGTGTTGCCACGAACGTTGTGCCTTCGGAGGCAATGGCTGATGTTGCCGTTCGTCTTGCGGAGGGAACTCCCGAGGAGGCGCGTGAGATCATCCGGCGTGCTGTCAAGGATGCTACGAAGGATGTAGAGGCTGAGGTGGTGGTGGATTTCGAGTCGCACCCGGAGTCGTACTCGCCTCAGGACCTCGATGTTGATGTTGAAGGCTTCGATGTCACTACTGTGAACTATGGTACTGATGTGCCCAACTTGGCTGTCGCGTCAGGTGTCAAGCGGTACCTTTATGGCCCTGGTAGTATCTTTGTCGCTCATGGCGATAATGAGGCTCTGACTGTGCGCCAGATTAAGGAAGCTGTCGTTGGTTATAAGAAGCTGATCCAGGCTGCTCTTGAGTAAGAGGGCGAGGACGCATGATTGGGAATTTTCTTGCATTATCTGCCGTCTTAACTGAACTATATGCAGTGCTCCTCTAGACTGGATATGAATACTTTTGACTGTATATAGAAAGCATATGAGACTAATGGCTGATATCTGTCAACCTTGGAAGCAATGCTGCCGATCAATTGTGGTGGGCGTGACCTGTAATTTGGGAATGGTACATTGTGATCGTAAAAGATGATGCTCAAGCTCACCAGTGGAGATTTGCAATGCGAAATGAAACCAACAGTGGATCGTAGAGCGTATTGGTACTCCATTCAATATGTTTATGCTTCAAAGCCTAAAAGTGATCTCATATTCCCTACATCGTAGAAGATACCCTCGTTGCCTCGCCGGCAAGGCTAGATAACAATACTTAGATCACAAGCCAGCCAGCATACTGTGTTCTTTTCATGCCCCACCAAGCACGCCGCCCAGCTTGAGCGGGCCATTGGACAAGGAACCGGTCAACCAGGGGTAATAACAGAGCCCCAGACATGCTGAGAGTACTCACCCGGGCCCACGACTCAACATAGATAGTGCGGAGCTGCGACACGGTGGAGACTGGAGACCGGCCTGGCAGCAATGAGCCCAAATTGAACATAAATAGGAAGAAGCGGATCAGTTTCGCGGCAACGACCACGCAGACTGCTGTAGCTGGTCCATTGGTTAGAATCAAGTCCGGGTAAGGAGATATGTATTCTTTCGGGAGTTGCTGGTCAGGATGGTGACCTCGAAGAGTGGCAAGACAAGTCCAGAAACAGTGAATGGTCGAGAATGGCGCGGTCAGGTACGATTGGTGGACTTTTCGAGCACGAGGAACGGTGAGGATATTGAAGTTCTCGCTGGCCTGTTCGCCTCCTGTATGCTTGGCCTCGAATTCTTTCGCTTTTCCGGCGCTGAAGTTATCTCCTGAGCTCACGACGTAGGTCCGATACGTATATTCTTTGGAGTCAAGTTTGATCTGCTCGAGCATGTAGAACATCTCGGCTGTATGTCCACCGCTCCCGAGGACAATCAGGATATGCGCTGGGGATCCACGTTTGCGACATTTGGGAACGTCGGTATTTTGCGAAATCATAAGGGAGGCGACTATGACCTGAGAAGAAACTGTAAGCTTGAGTCGATTGTGGAGGAGCATCTGGCGCATACAAAGAGAATGCCGATCCCAAGTAGCATTACTGAGACCATGCCCCAGAGAAGCTGATCCCAGAGGGACCAAGTGAGAAAGAAACTCATTGCAAAAAATTAATTATTCAGGGCATTGCAAGTAGAGTGATGAGAAGCCAATGTAGGAGAAATACATGGAGCTATGATGTAGTGAACAGCAAAATTGGAGTCGCGGTAACACGTCCCCCGCACGTGTTTTTTTCATGTTGCCCTTTGGCATCTCATTCTCCCTTGTTTACACCCACACCTCTTTCCTACAACTGTCTACTATGTCATGTCGTCTCTTTTCTCAAAGCGTCTGACATGCTTTTATTGTGGGCAGCGGCCTACTCAGGTTAATCGACCTATTCGCGGACCTGTTCGCAATTTCCACTGCGAGCATTGTGAGGCTGACAATTTCTTTGACGAGGTGAGTGTTGTTTGTCCCCCCATCGTGTCGCCCTACGGTGCCTAACTTTTTGTTTGATGCGACAGAAAGGAGAGATCACCGATCCCCCAGCTGTGGTCACAAATGCCGAACCTCATTCACCCGGCGCATCAAGCCCATCCGGAACAACCGATTTGAACGAACCTCCATTATTCTGCGCCAAGTGCACTCGCAATCAGCATCTGTTCACTAGCTCCCTTGCCTCATATTTCCCTCCCTCGGACGATCCTACGGACAGCGAGTATGACCGTGGGTATGACCAGTTCCGTCGCAGCCTAGAGGACCGTTACCCTCAAGTTTGCGAAATTTGCGAGCCACGGGTGAAATCACGGATCCGTAAAGCTGGATATGAAGCGAAATCAGATCACTTGCGACGCATGATGGACCAGAGCAGGATGAATCGGGAATCGCGACAGGCTAGGAACCGGAGCTGGAGGAGCTTGTTGCTTGTTTTCGGTGCATGTGCATACTGGACGAGTATCGCTGGCCAGATTTCGTGGGACTTGCTTGCTGCAATCACGGTTCCTTCATCGGGAGAGGGGATGGAGGAAGATGAACCCAATACAATGCTATCCTGTGTTTCTCGGTCGTTTCATATGTGGCGAGTTCCAGGTGATTGCTGCCCAGACCTAGCACCCACTGCTGGCCTGGCGCTGGTAGCAGGTGCCCTTTCCCTTTGGTGGAATCCGAAGCTGCGCTTCAAGATCGATGGACAACCTGGCAAATTCGGTGGCCTTGCGGAGTATTACCAAGCTCAGCTTATCGTCATGGTAGTGAGATGTGTATTCTGGGCTGTGCTCAAGGACCCTTCTGCCAGTGGATTGGACCCAAACCTTCCTCGGGCTTTGCATGCACTGATGGCTCCGTTCACGATTCTGGTAAGTAGCGTACATATCCGCTGATTGAAGTTGGGAATACTAATTCGAGTAGTCTGTGTTGGTCTCAAGATATCTTGTGAGCTACTCCAGTCGCCCACTGGTCAACTGGTCAGACAACAGCTGGGAAACCCGTCTCGAGGGCGCCAAGGCGTCTTCTCCGGCTCAGGCTGAGTCGCCTGCGGCGACTCGCATCCACAGGTCCGGTGGCACTCCAAAGGCCAATGACACTGGATTCAATCCGCGGTTTCCAATTGACAAACTGGCTACAAGCAGGCCACCAGTTGAACAATCGGTTGCAGTTGCTCAAATCCAGGACGAAAGTGACACCATGGACTGGTCTCCCTCTGTCACTCACGATCTTCGACCAACTAGAACACAACGAAACGAACCTTCTGTGCTGAGTGGTCCGCATCCTTTCCAGGGTCATGTTCCAGCTGCCCCTACACCTCCTGCATGGAAACTTCGCAATCAGATTCCGTCAAAATCCATTGACCGAGTGATCCAGCCAAATCCCTTCCACCGCACCCCTACCCCGACATCAGGCCAGTCGCAACAAAAGCCCCGGGATGCTGATACGGTCTTCAATCAGCCCAAATTTTTCGCACCCGGTGACCTTGACACATCCACTGGACTCGAGACATTGTTCGATCGTGCCTTTAACTTCCAGCCCGACGGTGCTCAAAGACCTGGATGGGACCAGAACACATACAAACAAGGTTCACCACGTCTGATTGAGACACAGAGCTATCTCTTTTGGGGTTGTCTGCGACTGGGACTGCTAGTTGGATTTACTAGTGCTTGGACTTTCTCGCAAAACCACCAAGTACTGCTCCCAGGAAATTACGTGGAAATTGCTGCCCTAGGTGTTGCAAGTTTGGTTGCTGGGTTCGCCTTGATAAGTATGGTGAAAAGACCCCTTTCAGAATGGAATGGCACAGAGATCCTGATCTCGATCACGGAACTCGGCGCCGCTGTTCATATGGGGGCACATTTGCCAACGGCCTCACTGAACCGGGACTACTTTGATCGCTATGGCAAACTTCTTCTGCTATTCATGGTTCTACAGGAGGTCATGAATGTATTGTCCTTCTACAAAGATGCTAAATTGGAGAGCCAGAAACCACCGGGATCTGCATCACCTCCCACGGAACCGCAGTCACCGGTGAGCCAGTCAGGTGCTCTTGACTGGCCCGCGGATAGATCTTCGGATAGGCCTTCGGACAGTGCAATCTCGACCTCTCTGCCTCGCGTCAGCAGTCCACCTGTGCATCGCTCTTTTGGATCACAATCAACCGCACCCGCACTTTCGTTCGGGGACACTGAGGCAGCTTCGAGTTTCTCATCGGCGCTGCCTTCTGTGCCACAATATGGGCTTACTTCGTCTCAAACCGTCTCTTCATTCCCAGCTGCCAACCAAAACGCGTTCCAGCAAAACAACAACAACCCACATAGCTTCACGATGGAAACTCTGAAGCAAATAGACCCTGTGTCGGATTACGAGCAGGAGTCCGACAGCGAGACTGTGGCTACTACAACCACTGCAGCCACGAACTTTACCAACCGCAACATCCGTTACGGAACCAGCCCAGCTTTGGGGTCAGGGTCCATGTTTTCTCCTCGACGCACCGGTCTTGGTTCGGGCATGGGCGGGTTGAGTTTGGATGATGAACCAACTCCACGCCGCATGACTCGCAGCCAGACTCAGCATGGACTTCTTGGTCGACGCCCGGCCAACTATGTCCGTTAGCAAATTGTTTGATCCCGTCTTGTCTGTCACTAAATTCTTTCGTTTTTCGTCTGTTTTAATTCCTTATAGCAGCACCACTGGCCACCTTGTGCCCACCTCTGTTGCCATCCGGTTTGAGATTTGGTGCTTTTGGCTTTTGGCAGCCTCTACATTGGAAGAGGCTCCTCGCCTATCCATTGACACAGTGCCAGTCGACCACACCTCGGTGCTTCTTGTTTCTCTTTTTCTCTCGATCGGTTTTTCTTCATAGCGCAGGCGAATCCTCTTTTGGTCATGTATTGACAGCCGAGGTCCTTAGGACCTATGCACATATTTCTTTCTCTTATGATGTACATGATATAACGATGATCGATGTGAATACTGTTTACAGACAAATACTTCAAGCCTTGACTTCTCGTTCTCAATATCAAATTTCCATTCACATTCCTCATCCTAAAATAGGAAATGATTCACTACCTAGGCCACTCTCTCAACATGCGCTTGGGAGGACTTGCCCACTTCCCCAACAGAAGCTCCGCCAATAGAAGCTCTACCAACAGAGGTCCGCTCCACATCGGCCGTCTTGTGATCCAGGAGCTGGGCAACACCAAAGAGCTCATCCATCTTCTCGAGAGACAAACCTGTAACACGATCAGCAAAGCCCGAAGCATCTTAAAGCCAATCTTACCTTTAGTCTCAGGAATGAAGAACCAAACAAAGACACACATCGAGAAGCAGAAGCAAGAGAAAATGATATAAGTTCTGCCCAATCAGCAAAGTCGTTAAGACATCCATGGATGTACCCGAAGGTAGGAACTCACCCGTAACCATTAGCACCAACAGTAGCCAACATATTCGGTACAGCTCTAGCAACCACAAAGTTGAACAGCCATTGCGTCGCCGCTCCAAAAGCAACGTTCAACGAGCGCAGCCGCGCAGTCGGGATCTCAGAGACATAGATCCAGCACACGGGTCCCCACCCGAACTGGAAGAAGGCCGCGAATAGGAAGATACACACCAGCGCTACATACCCAGCTGGAATGACGGGTGCACCCTCAACGGGCGGAGCAATGCGAACGTACAACCCGATGTAAAGCATTGCCAGGCCTTGGGCGATGGATGTCCATAGGAGGGAACGGCGACGACCAAGCGAGTCAGCTACGAAGATGAGGAAGACGCCACAGGCGACCATTTTCACGATTCCGTAGACGCCAGTTGCGAATAGATTTGTTGCGTTTCCGACAACGCCAAGCTACTATTGTCAGCGATTGTAAAGAAGTTAGTATGAAAGGTATGAATCTCACGTTTTTGACTGCGTGATGTTAGCTGCGTTCTTGTTTTCGAATCAGATTCCGAGAAATCACTTACAGATCTGAGGAGCGTAATAATTAATCGCATTCGTGCCAGTCATTTGCTGGCAAATCATCAAGACAATTGAAATGATAGCGCGTTTCCTGTTACCGGGGATCGTCCACATCTCTCTCATAAGATCCCAGAAGCCGGATCCGCCGACAAGAGCACGCTCCTGCTCGAGCTGCGTGGCAATATCCTGGAACTCTGCTTCGAGGTATGGATGGCCACTTGGCAAATTGCGCACTGTGCAGAGTGTTGCGCGGGCTTCTTCCCATCTGTCCTGTCTGGCTAGCCAGCGGGGCGACTCGTTGCACAGTAGCATTCCGAAGAATAGCAGGACTGCTGGTAGGCCTTGCATGGCTAGCGGGACGAGGTATACGGCAGGACCTTTAATGTGCAGGAGAGAGCCGTAGTTGATCCAGAATGCCAGCATGATGCCCATGGTGATGAAGAGTTGGTAAAGACCTGTAAGACCGCCGCGGATGGCGCGAGGTGCGTTTTCGGAGACGTACAGTGGGTTGATCATGGATGCAGCGCCGACTCCAAATCCTGTGATTAGTCTTGTTCTGTTAGTCGTCTTGTTGAGTTTGAAGGAAGGCTTGGTTCGTACCGTCCTATATACATGGCTTCGAGGTGGCCACTGGCTGCACATTGCATAACGATTCCGAGGACGGCTACCACAGCCGCCCCGATCAGGGACATTTTGCGACCCCATTTTTCGGTAATTGGAGATGCGAACAATGCTCCGAAGAAGCAGCCTGCCTGGAGGGTGGACACAATGTTGGCTGATAGGTTGGCTTGTTCGACCTTGGAGGCATTTTCCAGGCCGTATGTGCTGAATTCATATATTTAGAATGACTGGCAATGATATCATTCGAGAAACGTACCGTTTGAACTCAGGCATTGTGAGAACACCGCCAATGATACCAGAATCCATACCAAAGAGCATTCCTCCGCAACAAGCCTGAAGCCATTAGCCACCAAAATCTCATAGGAGACAAAGCAAGACACCTACTGAACAAGCCAGCATAAAGACCCTCCACCCATAGATCTCCTTCGGATCTTCTTTCATCGCCTCATTGTGAATAACTTTTTTCAAAAGCCACGACATCTTGCAAGTCTCGTTCTGGTTGTAGCCCCTTGACAGATCCTTCACAGTAGGAAAGACACAGCTTTAAGCAACTTCTGTGAAGCTGGAACCTTGTCGGCTATTGATTCAAAGGCAAAAACTGAGATCCAACCCGATTTTTAAAAATAATGGAAGGTGTCATCCTAAGCCTACATGTCTTGGCTGATCACCGAGCGGCCTATGGGACGGGAGGAGACTATCTTAAACAAGGCGAGGAAGCAAGGTTGGAAATATCCACGAATCCGAGGATCATCCGACACGAGTTTGCAAGGTGTGACAGTCGGGAGCTTGGACATTTGGACGACTCAAAAAGGCGGGGGTGGGGGTAGAGTTTCAGGTCAAAGACCAAGTGAGCCCATTAAGAACAAATGTGGCTAATGAAATGAGCTTTAGCCGGTAAGAAGGGGAGAAGAGATGAGAGAGTTGCCGCTAAGTCACTTTTTACCCCGGACTTGCGGGGAAAGCAAACTAGACTATTCCTATTTGGGCTATGAAGTACATCTCGAAGTATCCTTGACATCTTTGCTCGGATTATTGGAATATTAGGTCTGTCGAGAGTAGTGACTTATATGGGAATCTGCCTATATGGAGATTCTCTCCTTCAACCATTCTGGAATGACAGGTCTCTTCTCCCAACCATGCCAATCCCCCGATCCAGGCATGGCAAAAATAGCCGACACAAACCAGCAATCCTGACCAGTCTTCAAGTCCACCGAGAGTGATGGGAGAAGTGTACGTCCATGGATGATGTTGGAGTTAGGATCAGCCAGGACAATCCTTCCAACCCGCTCAAGTGAAGAGTGAAGTTCGACAATGCCCACAGCACCAGCAGACGAAACCACCAGTCCACTGCGATCATCATGTGCAGTCCCTTCACCATCAGACATAGGCCCCAGAATACGCCCATTATCACTGCGGCATCCATAGATAGCAAAGGCTCCTTCTGAAGTCTGCAAGTCACGACCCGTACGAACATGGTGCGCTCGTAGATGCCAATTTTCGTTTTCTTCCGTTGGCGGAATGAGGATTGTCTCGACATGGACATCGGTCCATGGTTTCCAGCTAGAGACAAGTACCGGCTGTCCATCTTGGTGCTCGAATCGTGCATCGAGAGCAATTCTTCTGGTCTGCCAAGTCTCTCCGTCCTCTGAGAGTGCAAGCATGCTGTCCGGGGCATGTTGCTCCAATTGATACCCACCGGTTGGAACGGAGTATCCAAAAGCGGAACTGTAGGCAAATTTTCCATACTTGGCCTGTGTTGCTTTCAGTGGGTAATGACAGGCCTGGCCAGACGACAGTATAAACGAGTGTCCACCACGGCGGATGGCGATATGCTTAGGGTACTCCAATGCAGCGACCTGAGGCAGATACGGATACGGTTCTTCTTGCGCGGACCAAAATGGATGAGTCTCTGGTAGCGCAAGCGGTATGAATGAGAGACAGCACCAATATGGCGATCCTGGGGAGTTGTAGTTCTCCGTGAGATACATGTTGGCGTATGTATAACCGAGACTGAGCGTGCCGTCATTGTTGAAGATATCCTTCTGTGTAGACCACCACCGGAAATGACGCATCAGGATTCCTTTCACAACACCCCATGTCAATGGCGCTGGGAGCTCAACATCTGCGAAACCAAGTGCGCCCCAGAATCCAACCATGGCGAAGCGGTAGGTCATAGAGCGACCAAATGGTATCGCGCTGCCTTTGTGGAAATCAGTCTCGGTTTCGATCTAGGAAAGAAAAATGTAGAAAAGGGTGCTCACCATTGGGATCAAAATAATGCACGAAATCCACGGCAAACTCTCTTGCGCGCTGGCGATACCGCTCAGCACGCTCCGGATCAAAGTCACCTGCCAGTTTCGAGTAAAGAAGCTGCAAGAACTGTATGGCGAACGAACCGGAGTAATAATCCATCTGATGATGACTCTTGGGCCCATCATTACTCCACCCGCCTCCAACATGGAACGTATCCAAATGATCCATATCAGCCTCGATGCGGGCAAGCGAGTATGGCGCACCGTTCTTTCTAAGTCCCAAGTTGGCAAACACGCGGAACCATAGCCTGTACAGCTTAGCTTCAATCCTCAATTCCGTAATATGAGCATGGAAAGTAATAAAAGAACCCACCAATTTGTATTCGGCATCTCCCTTTCATTGATACTGCCGAGCCAGCGACTCACATCCCCTCTCTCCTTCTCACTCAGCGGGTCCCAGAAGATATTTGGTGCAACAGCCAACGCAAAGCCAATGGGACACATCTCTACCATTCGCTGATCCAGGTCTTCGATGTCGCCCCAGAACTCCCGGTGCGACGGATTCGTCCCGTTGATGAGACCTTGGCGCCAGCGTTCGACATCATATTCGTACCCGCCAGCTAGAAGTGAGGCGAGGCCCCATAATGGCCTGGCATAGCCTTCTATCTGTGCGCCGCCCTCGTCGAAACGTGTTGTGGAGGTTCCTATCTTGATACGTGTGCTACCTTCTGTGAAGAGGGGTTTGAGTGGGTTGAGGATGGCGGCGCAGGCAGACTGGAGGTCGGATCGTGTGAGATAGGCAAGGTTGTTGAAAGGGTGGGAGGGAGACTGGGCGTTAGCGTGAATTGACATTGTAAATTCATGTATTGCTTTTCAGGTGTATGATTCTGGCAACAGTGACAGCGAGAGCGTATGAGGTTATATAGAGCCGGTGTCGGGCTTGTTGCCGAGTTGTCTTCTTGACTGAACAACAATCTTTGAGATCTCATCGGGTTTGGCCTCTTCTCTCCGATGCACAAGTTTGGAGTCTCGGATTTCGCTGAGAAGACCGATTCAGCCAGTTGGGTGATGGGCCTACGCGGGGATTTGGGGATTTAGCCGGACGTACCTTGAGATCGACCTGGAGCTAAGATGTCCCAAACAGGCTATTAGTGTTAATGTGAATAAGGTGGACAGTTTCTCCTGCGATTTGGGATATGTGGAAAAATTATCGTCCGCCAATGACGATGGACGAGCCAATGCTCGGCAGTGGCTTGTCCTTGTATATGATATTATTGTACAGTTTAGGAGCTGATATGATACATGTCGCCTTGGTTGAATCGATTGGATGCTCAGCCACCCAGCAGTCCGCCTAGGAACTTGGCCAGTTCTTTGACAAGAGCATCATCGACACCACCGGGTCCACCGAGACCCTGTTTGAGAATTTCAGACCATCGCGCCACGGTCATCTCGTGTAGCTTCTGTCCGTTCAGGGCTGCATGGACACGACTGGCTTCGTCAGAAGCAGTAGTCTCATCGGACGAAATGGAGATATGGCTTTCAACAACAGCACCGTGTTGCAGACGGAGGAATGCGCGAGTACTTGAAGGAAGCGACGCAGGCAATGGCGGTCTTTCACGCGGATCCTCTTCAATGGGATACGTCGAGAAAGTGAACCGTGGGGTTTGAGTGTACTTCCAATCCAACGATCGCAGCTCAGCAATTCCCTTCGCAATGTCTGACTCCTGCTCGCCCTGCACTTCACTAACAGTACCGGCAACCCAAGAGTCTCCAGCAAAAACCTCCGGCTCATTAGCATGGGCACGTTGCGCTCTGAGCACAGCGTCGGAATTCACCCCGTACAGCTGAGCGAATTGTTCAATGATGCCCCCCACCACGCCCTGCATGGAGAAGAACGAGTCGGCGAGTGAAGCAGAGACATTGCCCACTGGGGAGCGAACGCTTTCCACGCCCTTGGCTTGGATATAGCCTCGCGCAGACGACCGCAAGTATTTTCCGAGATCGTGGATATTAGGGGAATCGAGCAAACAGGTGCCATGATGTAAGGCCCGGTGCCTCGTCAGTTTGAATGCTGAGCCAGATACTTTGCGCGTGAGAGGTTCGTCGGGATCGCCAGTCTCATCCCGCGCCATGACAATGTCATGGCGTTCATTGACACTGGTATTTGTTGCCCCGACCCCGTGGAGGGCACGCACAACCATCTCAGCATGCTTGTCGCGTGTGAACAATGTGCGCGGAGAGATCACGCTATAATTAAGATTTCCTTCATCGTGGAAAACAGCTCCGCCGCCAGACCGTCGGCGCACGAAGACAGCCTCTTCTTCGGGAGCGCCGATCCGGTCATTATGCAGCGCGCGGAGATCCGTTTCAAGCCATGGGTTCTGATTGCGACCGATGACTACGCATGGACGGTTGGTATAGAGGAATAGAACGCTGGACTCGTCTGGGGCGTTTTGGAGTAGGAAATGCTCGATGGAGAGATTGACGTAGGGGTCTGTGGATAGGGAGGTATAGATTTGGTGTAAGGATGAAGGGCGACGGGCGAGTTCGGCAAACTGATGAACGGGATAGGAGGAGTTATAGCGCACGCCCCGTAAGGTCGAACGGAGAGTCGAGGGGAGCATTTGGAGACGAAAGGGAAGAAGCCCGCGGCATGTCGCGCAAGGCCGATAGTCGGGTGCGCTAGTCCCGGATCGGAAGTGCGATGAGTCGATTTCATCTTGCTTTTTCTTGTGATCATCCGTCTTGTTGATTTCCACTTTTCATTGCTCTTCTCTTCTCTTCTTCTGCAATTGTCCCCTTTTCATCTTGCAAATAATATCCATCATGTCTACGTGGGGAGAGCATTTCCGTGTCACTACGTATGTTGCCCCTCAACATTTTTCCAATCTCCCCCCACTAACACAATACCCAATGTAGTTATGGCGAGTCTCACTGCCGCTCTGTCGGCTGTATCGTCGATGGATGCCCTCCGGGCATGCAGCTCACCGAGGGTGACATTCAGCCTCAAATGACCCGTCGCCGTCCCGGCCAGAGTGCCCTGACTACCCCGCGGGATGAGAAGGACAAGGTCGAGATCCAGTCCGGCACAGAGTTCGGTGTTACTCTCGGTACACCAATTGGCATGATGGTTCGCAACGAGGACCAGCGTCCCAAGGATTACGGTGGCAGCACAATGGACCTGTTCCCCCGCCCCAGTCACGCCGATTTCACCTACCTTGAGAAGTACGGTGTCAAGGCCAGCAGCGGTGGTGGTCGCAGCAGTGCCCGTGAGACCATTGGTAAGCGCGAACCTTGAATCAATTGTGAAGGACACCAGCTAACCAGCCTCAGGCCGTGTCGCTGCCGGTGCTATCGCCGAGAAGTACCTCCGCCTGTCGCACGGCGTCGAAATCGTCGCCTTCGTCTCCTCCGTTGGCAACGAGCACCTCTTCCCCCCTACCCCCGAGCACCCCTCTCCCTCCACCAACCCCGAGTTCCTTAAGATGATCGAGACAATCGACCGCAACACCGTGGACTCCTTCGTCCCCACTCGTTGCCCCGACACCGATGCCGCAGCCCGCATGACCAAGGTCATCGAGCAGTTCCGCGATAACCACGACAGCATCGGCGGAACCGTCACATGTGTGATTCGCAACGTGCCCGTTGGTCTGGGTGAGCCCTGCTTCGACAAGCTCGAAGCTAAGCTCGGCCACGCCATGCTCAGCATCCCCGCCACCAAGGGCTTCGAAATCGGCTCTGGTTTCGGTGGCTGCGAGGTCCCTGGCTCCGTCCACAACGACCCCTTCGTCTCCGACGGCTCCCGTCTTACCACCAAGACCAACAACTCTGGCGGTATCCAGGGTGGTATCTCTAACGGTGCTTCTATCTACTTCCGCGTGGCTTTCAAGCCCGCTGCTACTATCGGTCAGGCTCAGAACACCGCTGCCTACGATCTCTCGGAGGGCACCCTCGAGGCCAAGGGTCGTCACGATCCTTGCGTTACCCCTCGTGCTGTGCCTATTGTTGAGGCTATGTCTTCCCTTGTTATCATTGATGCCCTCATGGCTCAGTACGCCCGTGAGAGCGCGAAGAACTTGCTTCCCGCGCTCCCTCAGACTATTCCCACTAAGCCTGCCACCAACGGTGCTTCCGCTTAAGTGAGTAAATTTTCTATATACAAAATTATATCCTGGCTGTCTAAAAGCGTTGTTATGAGATTTCGGTTGTTTTGAATCCATGAAAGGGGGCTATAATCTTTTATTTTTCTTTTACATAAATGTTATATCCAATGGAATTCCGGAAGGGTTCGTCTATATGCCGTGTTAAGTGGATCGATCCACTCAAGCGTGAAGATCTTCAAGAACTCGTATTGTATTTCCGAGCTATGGTTAAAGTATGTCCCCGTACGGAGTACGGAGTACTCGATCACTAGACCCACGAGTATGCCGCACTCTACAGTATGCAAAGCTCCAACCATTCTCGAGATCCATACTTAATGGATCAGAACCACGAAGAGCCAGCTCACGCCTACAATCATTGCATCATTCCAAGGCTGTGTTGGACATTCAGCGACTGGACAGGAACTGCAACCAAACACGCTAGCGGCAGTAGTTCAGATTCAGCAGGTCCACAATGCGAGAACTCAGACCAGGGGCTCAGCTGAACCCTAATTACTCACATTGTGCCAGACTGCGGTGTAGAAGCACGTATCATGATGAGGGATCATATCACGCCAGCGGCAAGCGTCGAGCTAGTGAAATTCTTTAACAGGCTAAGACAAAGTACCCCGTAGGCTCGATAAGTCAGTCAACACCGACTGCGTCGATTTACTAGTGGTGAACAAAGATCGAGCCCGAGATGACCCGGGTGCCCGATTGGTTCTCGGTGGATATTGACCCACCATCAGATCTGAGGACGAGATTGGGTTGTTGAGCTGCCGAGTACGGAGTATTGCTAGCTGGTCTTGGAGTCTACAGAAGATGGGCTTGGGATGAGCCATCTCTACTTGCATTGCCTTCGATCTGGGCTGACAGCCTTGGAAGTTACTTGGACTTGTTTAAAAGAAAAGATCAATTTTGTACTAATAATCTAACTTCAACATCTCATCGTCAAGACATTCAACTCACGCTGTGGATATCATAAGCGACAGAAAACAGCATCCATAACAACTCCAATACCAGAATGCAAAGCAGTGTCAAAAGTACAAACAAGAAGTTTAAAAAAAACAAAGGCTCACTGTACTAGCAAAAAACAGCACAAATCAAGTACTCACCCTGCGACTCCCAGGCCTACTAGCCGAACGCTCAGAGATATTATCCATATCCCCAGCTGTAGCATTGACGACTCGCAATTTCTCACGGGGAACGGTAAACGTCATTTGAACGCGGCGGCCTTCTGCAGTCCCTTCTAGATCCCAATCATGAACATCGTCCTCGTTATCAGTCAACACGTCGTTACCCAGGTACCCTGGTGCGTCTCTGAAGAGATCATCACGGGTTGAGCGGGCAGTATTGAAGACGTCGTCTGAGACACGCTTCGCGTTCCAGTCTTTTGCGCCTTGCTTTCGGCGGAAGAGCTCTGCGGAGGCGCTGACTGTGCGGCGAGGGGTGACGGAACTCGAGGGTGAGTCTTGCTCGGAGCCGATGAGGGTGCTGCCGCGGTCGATGCCTGATGCGGAGCCGTTGTCGGTGGATGAGCCGTGGGCTTCGCGGCGGGACATGGTGAGGGCTCTGCGCATGGTGTTTATCATCCATCCGGAGGATGAGCGGGATTTTTGACGGGGGAGTTTCGATGGGGAGGATGACTCGTAATTCGTGATTGGGGTGGATGGGTCTAATGGATCAAAGAGCAGAGACTCGTTCTCTGCTTGGCGGTGGGACATGTTTGTCTGGGCTGTAGAGTAGGAGTCTGATGAATTCTCGGAGGGCGCGACTCCATCTGGGTCACTGTGTGTTGATGCGGCGGCGAGATTCTCGAGAGAGTGGCGCTCGCTACCCCAGCTATAGGGTCTTTGAATAACCACGGCTCGGGCCTGGTGCACCTGGCCCACTGGTTGAGAGGAGGCATAGGAAAAGGCTGAGCTATCTGATAGATTTGTAGTTGTCCGTTCACTCTTCGTAGGGGATTCGGGTGAATCCTGGCCAATATCCTTTCTACGGGAGTAGAACGGGCCTAGACCGACGCCAAAAATGGTGCTCCGGGGTGTGGCATAGGGAGTATCTGAGAAGGGATCTTCGGGCTCGCTCTTGGGGCGGGTTTGTGAGATTGCTGGAATGGTGGCCATGAGATTCTCCCGGAAGACAGCTTCATCTTCCTCGCGCTCATCGATGGGATGGATGTCGGTGGCATCACTTCGTCGATATTCACTGTAGCGATTCGGGAACGGTCTGGCATTCGCCGGGGGTGGGTTGTTCTTTGTCGGACTGGGAGCATCCATGAGAAGCCCTGTTCTCTCCGCTGCACTACCACGCCGGTTCTGCAAATCGGAGGTTGGTGACTGGTTGTTATTAGGAGACCAGGGGTATGCGGGAGAATTTCGTTTCTCGCTCATGCCAGAGCTGCGGATACTGCTCGCCTGGGTTGGATCACCTCGCCCCCAGAAATGAGCTCGTTCTGCCCCCAGCGCCAGCTCGCGAAGCTGGGAGTCACGCTTGCCTTTGACGCAACGTTTTCGATGACAGTTCCATGCAACCAGAAGAATGGCGATGGCAGCTGGACACCCGATACCAAGCCCAACTCCCAGACCAGCTTTTTGGGATGACGAAAGCGCTTTGGAGTTGCTACTCGAGGCCGGCTCCGATATAGCTGCAGGGTTATGATATGAGCCACTCCAGCTGTTGGAGGACACATTGTAAAGATAGACCTGGGAGTTGGAAGTGGCAGCAACGGCCCTTTTCGATGATTGCTTCGCGATATTGTAACCTCCAGAGATCATCATCACATCTCCCGGAAGCATCGCGGCTCCATGGCCGAATATTCCCGATCCTTCGTCTATCCCAAGCCCATCTGGAGAAGGCGTTGTCCAAGTCCACTCCGCAGCTCCTCCAAACCCTTCATCCAATTCCAAAACCGCAAACTGCGGATCAGCAGCGACTGATGTATCGCCGACCCAACCTCCAAACACGAATATCTTTCTTCCATTTCCTGAAAGAACAGCAGTATGACCAGACCGAGGCTCGACATCTGTCCAGTCCCGAACAGCCAATTCGCTCTTTGTCAATTTCCCACCCGCAGAAACAAAACTCCAGCTCTGCTGTGGCACTGAAAATATAGCAAGTTGTGACATGTTCAGGAATGCTTGCCGAGTGTGACCGCCGATGAACAAAAAGTCCTGCTGTTTAACTATCAACTCGGCTGAATATGTGGCTTCCAAAGGAACCACGGCCATCCCGGCCTCAGCGACAGGTGGGGCGCGATTACCAGTCGTTGCCGCAGTGTACTTGTTGCTGTAATATGGGCTCTGGCCTAGCACCACTGTTGACTGGGAATAGTTTGCTGCTTCGATCCATGTATCGTCTGTGCTGTTGGCGAAGGGACACATGCCTCCAAAGGCATACATAGAGCTTTCCTTCCCATGGCTGGATGAGTAACTGAACCCCGCTGCTAAGTAATTCGGCGCGGTCTTTCCATCACTGTTGATCTGCAACTTAGTCCAAGTGCCGTTGCCGGTTGAGCTGTTGGTATCTGGACGGAACTGCCATAACGCCTGGTGATCGGTCGCGCTGCCGCAGCTGCCAGCGTATACTGTAATCCGACTGTGATCATCGATAGTGGAAATTGCAGTCGAGTTATGGTCTGTGTGGAAAGGCGCGCTGCTCAACAAGGTGTTGTATGACAAATCGTCGGCATTGATAGAGCTGGACAGATTCAGGGAGAGGAACTCGGTGCCGGTCGCGCCGGGACGCAAGATATAGGCGAGAGAATCATTGTGTTGCGGGGAGAGAAATACGGAGGTTGGCGAGTAGATTGCGGTGGAGGGGCAAACGAGCGCGACAAGCGCACTCAGTAGGAGTGGATAGCGATTTCGCTCCATATCTGAGACAATCAGCGGTAGGGATGCATTCCGAGCTTAGTGCACACGCGATTGACAGGGTTATTTTAGGAAATTAGGAAAATCGGGTACGAATGAACGCAGGAACTAGCAGTTGAAGAAGAAGTTGGAAAAAGGTGCCAGGTGCGACTGTGTGACTGGAGTGTATGGAGTATGACAAGCTCAACAGTAAACAGTCGCCGATCAGACCTCGAGGCCTCGCCATTTCTTCGATATTACTAGACCAATCATCGGGATCAGCTCTATGGCCTACTTTATTTGCTCGCTCTACACTGACGCTAAACAAAGAAAAGTGAAAGCTAATAGATTGCCGAGAGCCAGATCGACGTTAGATCAACACCGTTGCCCGGCAACGCGCTTGCCGGTGGCGCTGGGAACAGTGGAATTGCGTGTTTTCACTCTGTCTCCCACGGGGTTTCTATGCAACCCACAGTGTTGAGCCAAGAAATCAGGCAACCTTGTTGAAAACTTGGTCATAAAGTGGTGATTACTTGCGAGTTGACGTTAGCCTTGACGTTGACGAAAGTGGGCCATCTACACTATGTGTTTCAGAGTCGCCCTGACCAACTCTTAATGTCCTATCGGTGCCGGTACGGGGTAGCTAATTTCTAGTAGAATTGATTCAGCTTTGAGACGTATATATGATTGATGACCTGAACTGATTGTCACCACATCCCGTCTCAAATTTCCATCCAGGCCATGAACCATGGCTCTCTGTCTATGTTGGCAGGACAACCAGATCTTCAAGCCGTGTCTATGGGTCCCAACAATTCTGCCATTCTGAATGTGAATATGAGAGATGAGATGTGAGATGTGTCCTTGGCAAATATGTGCCCACGTTTCAAAGGAATTATCTTAAAATCAAAGCGGCATGCGTATTTTTTTCACAGTCTTGTATGGAGTAAGTCATGTTTACTCTGACCTCGGGAGAGCCCTGAAGGCTTGGAGGAACAGTCAGAATGCCGCGGAACAGCAACAATTCTATTGTACCATCGCTAGTGTAAAAGTGGAAAGAAAGAGGAGAAGACCTGTCAGCCTTACACTACCTTCAATACTCCGTGCTCTGCACTCCGTACAAGTGCCATATCCGAAACCTATCCCGAGGCATGAAGCCCGTTCCTAGCGAGATCTAACAACCGATCATGCATGTCAGATTTGGCACTTAACCAAATTCGTCTCCCTGCAGTTGGCACGAATCGCTTATTGAAGGCAGCCCCAGCGCGCCGCCAGCAACGGGCATGGACTCCAGACCATCGGTTAGCATCGTCAGTTGCCGGCTTTTGGGCATCTTCCAGCTCACATCAGATAAAATAAGCTCGGTTCAGCTGCGTTGGCTCTGCGTCAATAAATGGTATACGGAGTACAAATGGGGCTGTTTGTGGCGTGGTTCGTAATGATAGACGGAAGCTGCAGCGCTTTTGCATATGTGGACTATAAGAGATTTTCGCTTGCCACTGTACGTTCAGATCACATGTGGAAAAGCATGGACGTAGTATACTCGTGGCCGGCGTTGACTCTGACGTAGTATTGAGCCTTCGCCATACTACGTACTAGATCATTCTTTAATTTAATATGGACATTTTCCACAAGTTCAATCTGCGGATTTCACATCCAAGTTCAAGGCAAACGCACACCGTGCCTGCATTGTACAACAATCCTGGTGACTGGTGTTTGTTCAGAAGCCAAATTGCAAACCGGACTCGACGTTAACACAGAGTAATAAGGAACTAGGGCGTGGCACACGCCCAGTCGAGCGGAAATCAATCAACGACGAGAGTGACAGAGAACTTCCTCGCCGCTTGTGTCACACAACATGATCAACACGAGCAATTTGCCTCGATCAGCACCAATGCATTGCTAGCGCGTAAAGAGAAGGAAGAAAACCGAGTGTGCTTTGGGCACCGGCGCTCGGGGATTGTAAGTGTGAAACTCGACTACAAACACGGAAAGTCACCACGCTTAGGATCATCGTTATTGAAACGGCGCATAGGAATGTCATCCTTTAGGGATTAACCGGCATGCATTGGCGCCTTGAACGGAAATGGCTGCAGAGCGTCGGATGTTCAGGCCGATCTTCCACATGATAATCAACTAAGATGAAGAATATGCACAGTGATAGAGCATAAGATGAGGGATTATTGCACATTGCTTCGAAATGCAGGTAGCCAGTTAGAAACAGTTCCTCCATTTGCGACGGGCCTAATCCGCAGCGCCGAATTAGCACCTTCGGACTATAGCATCGGGGCTAATGCATGAGTTCTCTGGTACGGAGTACTTAGAGTCTAGAGTCTGGTGAAACCTCCGACCATACACTGTCGTTTCCATCCCCTCACTTGTTCCCCGTGGGGATAAACCGGAGAATGGCCTTTTTTCTGACAGCACAGCTTCCTAAAGGGATCATGGTTTGGTTCCGAGTTCGAGGTAAAAGCCTGTTAAGAGCTACACGCTCCAGCCAATAAGTTGTTGAGTGCAAGCGCCAAGAGAGGATGAATCAAGGCCATTGGATGACCTTGCAATTCCTTGCGCTGGGACATGAAACTTGCGTGGAAGAAGAGCAAAAGAGTGTAAATTCCCGGCTAATTAGGGGCCAGACCCCTATATGACGTCGAGTATAACGCACGGACGGCTTTACTGAGCGTTTCTTTTTTTCTTCTTCTCTGAACTCCTCTAAACAGCTTCGTGCAGTACGCCTTTACGCCTTTTTTTTTTAATTTCTAATTACCAGTCAGTACGGAGTATAGCATGTTCAAATAAGGCCTCGGGGTAATCCCAGAGTGAGAAGTGCGGTCCGTGGACCAACTTTTCGCTTGTAAATGCCCATAAACCTTAGCGCACCCAAAGTCAGTGCCTGCACCGTACAGAGTACACTTGCGAGGATTTCCAAGTACTCCGTACTAAACTTTGCGAACGACTGCGCCGGGCTAGTTGCGGCTGGCTTGGGCAAATCCAGGGCAAGAGTGGCGAGTAAGGAGTAAAAGTACTCGTGTCTTTTCCGGTTTCACTAAGCGTTACGAGCATAAAGAGTGTAATTAGTAGGCTTAAAAGACTCGGAGCCGAGCACGGAGGAGATATTGGCATATCATCGACCATGGAAACCCGTTTTCCTAGTTGAGAAGCCCACGATACCTTCTAGCTTGGGCTGATCCACTGTAGCTCTCTGGGGCTATGTCTGCCAATTCGGCATCCATGGTCAATTCTCCGAGTCCTCGACGTAACTAGTGGCGAGGACGCCACTGCACACTACAGGGTCATTCCTGAGGAGCGGTATCTTCGAACAGCCTAGACTAACACCATTCACATCGTGATAAGCGTGAACACTTATAACCTCGTCGGACATGGGAAACACACTGGAGAATGTAGATAGCTGCAAACAGCCGACCCAGGAATTTTGCCCCACCAGTTGAATCTGATATCTGGAATAACTGCGAATTAAATTATACCGTCAATTAATTCCCTAAGGCCAGGAGTTTATTCTACTATCTTTTTGATCTTTTTTTTAAAAAAACCAAATTTGCCTGGACCAAAGTGTTCTTGGCGTCCGATCATCGCTCTGCCCTATTATCCATTACCCACCCCAACTTCCCTTCCTCTCTCCCCTCTCTGTCGGTCTCGGTCATTACCTCGACCTCATTCCCTTTCTTCTCTTCTATTTTAAACTGGTCTTTCCTTTGGACATCCCTTCCGGAACCCTCACATTCCCGCCCTCCGATCTCGCACCCCTCCTCTCCCCGAGACTCTGGCTATCCGAATGAGCCTAACCCCGAAATATTTATAGCACCTGTCACCGCACTCCCTTTTTTTTGGCGTTTCTGCTTGACTCAGCCACGTGTGGATTTGTGATTCGATTCCTCGTGCGGTAGCAGGTCTACCTCGTGGTTCTCCCGACGACAACCCGCTGTCCGGTACACGGTGATTGAATCGTCGCCATCGCCTGTGACCCCGCGACAGCCCGCGAAAGTGATGCCGGTCCATTCGTGCGTGCACAAGCTTCTGATTAGCTTGCCTTGAATCAATTAGGCAATTGAAGGATGTTCAACTAGGATGCTCAACTGTACCGGCACTGGCCTCTGATCTTGAACATACCAAAAAAAGAGTCACAACAGGAGGAATATGACGGAAATTCGGTCCTCGCAAGCTGGTCTGGAGGATCCGGATCAGCAGGCACACCATGTCTCGAAGAATTCAAATCGGGATGTGAATCGGCCAGAGGAGTCATCACAACCGTCAAATGACTCCGAACCCCGTTCATCGAAATCATCGACCAGACAAGCGCCCCCTATAACCGATGTCTCAGAAGCAGCGGCTACCTTTCGTCAGGCGTTCCCGAGTATCTACGGGACACGCACCCCTTCGAATCGATCGTCCTCCAGTTCTCTACAGGCCCTCAATGAAGACACAGTGGTCGATGCGCGATCGGAAAATGGTAGCGTTGGAAGGAGCCCTCGGAGGACTTCGAGACAGTCAGAGAATGAACTACCCGTCTACCCCGATCAATCCTACGCCTCCCTCCAATCCCAGATTCACCCCACCTGGCAACCACCATACGTTGCAGAACCGGAGCCTCTGCCCAGGTCTGCATACGCTCGTGGTGTGCGCACGGCGGGCAACACCCCCTTATCCAGCCCGGGTTTGTTTTCCATGAGACATTCCCGCCACTTCGGAACGCCATCGGGATCTGACGACGATGTTTCTACGGGAAGCTCCTTACTCCACCCCTCACACCTACAGCCTCCGAAAGAAACACACACCGCTGCTGTGGACCGTGACATCATCACAGGCAACAAAACCATCAATCAGTACGAAATACTGGAGGAGCTTGGACGAGGCGAACACGGGAAGGTGAAACTGGGCCAGCATGTTGCGACCGGGCAACAGGTCGCTATCAAAATCGTCCAACGATACTCCAACAGGCGTCGCTTAGGCAAGCTGGGCAACCCAGAAGACAAGGTGAAGAAGGAAGTCGCCATTCTAAAGAAGGCGCGGCATCCAAACGTTGTCAGTTTGCTGGAAGTTATCGACGACCCAAACCGCCAGAAAGTGTACATCGTGCTGGAATATGTGGAAAATGGCGAGATTGTCTGGCGCAAAAAAGGTCTCCGAGAAATCGTGCATGTCGACAAATTGCGTCTCGACCGAGAGAAGAACGGAATACCAGATACCCCCGCGTTCTTGGAAGAAAGCCACCAGTTCATTCGAACTGCTCAGCATCTTCGACGCCAACGGGAGAGAGCACGCGAGAGAGTTGAAGCACAGGCTGCTGACGCCCAGCAGGGACCAATCCCTGCCTGGAGTTTGGAGCACGGTGCCGAGTCTTCAGACGAGGAAGACGAGGATACTGGTCTCCCTATCAGGAGATCATCTAGCCGCTCTGTTGCGGTGACTGATGAATCCAGCCCCTCGTCCGCTCAAGATGCATCTCTCAATGCTGTTGAAGGCAGCATGTATGGCGCCTACTCAGATTATCCATTCGAGCGACGTTTCAGCACTACGTCCAGCAGCTTCGGCTATGCACCTTCCGAACCCGAGTGGTCTGCAGAGGGCGATGACATGGCATACGTCCCTTGTTTGACCATCAGTGAAACTCGCAGCGCCTTCCGTGACTCGGTCCTTGGCTTGGAATATCTTCATTACCAGGGTATTATCCACCGCGATATCAAGCCGGCCAACCTTCTTGTCACTAGCAACCACCGGGTGAAGATCTCTGACTTCGGTGTATCTTACTTGGGACGTCCAATGCGTGACGAGGAAGAAGAACAAGTGGGCGAGACCGACGCAACCGAATTGGATGACGCCCGTGAACTGTCAAAGACGGTCGGCACGCCTGCTTTCTATGCCCCTGAACTGTGTTACACTGGTGATGACTTCGTGGAAACCATCGGGTCGATTCCCAAGATCACCGGCGCGATCGACGTCTGGTCGCTCGGTGTGACATTGTACGGAATGGTTTTCGGTCGTCTGCCATTTGTTTCAGATGATGAGTACAGCATGTTCCAGACGATCGTGAAGAAGGAAGTCTTCATTCCAAGGAAGCGCCTCGTGCCCGTCGTTGACGATGTCTGTGATTCCAGTCAATGGAACCTCAGAAGTAGCGATGAGCTTGTTTACGAGGATATCGACAACGAGCTATATGACCTGCTTAGGCGCCTTTTGACCAAGGATCCCGTCAAACGAATCACCTTGAAGGAGATCAAGCACCACCCTTGGACTCTTCATGGTCTTCCCAACCCTCGCATCTGGATTGAAGAGACTGACCCCGGTTACCAAAGCAAGGGCAAGCGCATTGAGGTGTCCAACGAAGAAGTCACCACTGCTGTCAGCAAAGTGCCGTTCATCCAACGCGTTCGGTCCAATGTCGCCAAGTGGTTCGGCGGCAAATCTAAAGAAAAAGAATCTCGCAAACGCAACTCGAGCGCAACGCCGTCGACTGAAACCCTTTCGTCTACCGCAACCAACAGCACCTTTGGGAAGAACTCCAACCCCCGAGACAGTCGCCGTTCCAGCCTGCGAGGGGATGAGGATTTCTTCCGCCCGCTCAAAACTGGTGCCCAGGGACATCCACTTGCTCAGAGCGTCACCGCCAGCCCGGTTGACGAAGGTGACTGGAATTCTTACTTTGATGGTGTGCCACTTGCCGCCGCACCCAAACCTTCTATTGCAGCCAAGTTCGCTCCCGTTCCACCTCCCGTTGCCATACCCCGACCTGGCCCACCTCGACGAGCAAAGTCATCAATGTCCACTACCGAATCTACGAAGACGATCAAGCCTACAAACTTCGATGTTCCAATGACTGTCCGGCCCCGGTCGGGCGTGCATTCCTCTATCATTGAAGCTTTAGGACAAACCAACTTCGGAAGTCTCTTCAGTGGATCCGCACGCCGGTCTTCACGAGGCAGCCGCAGTCGACGTACGTCGCCGTCTGGCGAGACAGGATCCTTACGGAAAGAAGAAGAGCGACCTGCAGAGACTAGCACGGCCGAACCAAGTATCGCCGTCAGCAATGCATCTGCGCAAGGACAAGTGAGGATCCCCGGTCTGTGGCACGACGATGATCACCCCTCTACCGAAAAGTTGGCTCCGGTCCACGCCCATCGACGCAATCGCTCCTCCCAGCTCGAGGGCCAATCATCCGCGGACTCTTTCCACCTCACCAGAGATGCACTTCTCCGCCGCAGACGGAGCGACATCGAGCCGAATGAGGGAAGTCCTCTCCGGGTCGACTACGCGATGTACTCGACTGAATCCCTTCTCCTACCACCAATCAACCCGCCCACCAACCAATGTCCCGAAAACACCAAAGATGGGCTGACCTCCACCCCACCCACCATCTCCTCCTCCTCTGCCGACGACTTCACCAGTGGCATGTCGCAAAGCGCTTCGCATCCTAGCATCCCTTCCGTTGTTTCAAACGCTTCCTCTCTCTCCGGAGACGGTCACTCTTGTAAAGATAAAGATATGGAAGAAGTCCCCTCCATCCTGCGCACAGGCGAAACAGTCAAACCCGGCGGTCGAAACGCGTCTCCCAGACCTTCTGAAGAAGACGAGTCCCGCTACTATTGTGACGACGAAGAAGAAGACGAATCTTCGGAAGAAGAAGTCCTCATGATCGGGAAACGCAAGCCCGCCAAGACGGAACCGCCTTCGAACTGAAATGTGGCCGGTCCCGATCAGTCACTTTGACGCCTCATACATGAAATTGTCGCACATCCTTTTCTTTTCCTTCTGTCTTTTCGCAGGCTGCCATTCTGGAACTTAGAAATCGTCGATATACATTCTACACGGTCTGTACATATATTCGCGCGCGACCTTTGCATCTCTGTTTCTGTGTGTGCGACGCAGAGATTTCCCTTTTTTCTCTTTTTCTCTCTTGGTCTCTATGCATCGGCCGGGATTTGCTTTTTACCTATTGTATGTAATGTTGAACAAAGGATTGTGGGGTGCAACTTGCTTGTATTCGTGAGACGTCTGCGATGAACGAAATGAAACAATGGATCTTTCTTACACTTTCAACTCGAGTAGATTGTACAGATTTGAGGAACTTGATGCTTTATACTCCGTACAAGTATGGCGCCTCGCCTACCCGTAGTGCGTTACGGGTAGATCGCATTCGCGGCGGAGTTTTAATGCGATAGCCCCTCGTCCCCCTTCGCAATATTACTCTTCACGGCACTTCGCTTGGACATTTTCCTTCCTCTTCCACCAATGAGATGTGCTCAATGCCGACTCTCGGCATTATACCGGAGATACTCCGCAAAAGATGCGAAGTAATGCCATCACCGCGCGCCTTAACCTTGGAAATCTGATATACGATTTTTCCCCCTAAGCTTTACTCCCGAAGCCGAAGAACTCGAGACAATACCAGCAAACTAACCCGCGAGCTAGTGCGTTCCGGCGTTATGGAAGCTGATCGTGCATGAATGACATGTTTCAGGTCCAGTTGCGACACGGGAAACATGGGAAACTAGACCTTTCCAGGTATGTCCCCGGACAATTTGTTCCACTTGTGGGTTGATAGTGGGTAGAATCAAGAATCTGCGTTCCCCTGCTCGATGTGTGTATGATAGTCAGTATAAAGAGAGAGAGCTGGTAGCTCTCTGCATTGAATCGTTGCTTCAATTAAAATCAGCCATGCTTCCATACTTCTTCCTAGCTGCTGCGCAGCTCTTCACTGCAGCTTCTGCGGCACTCACCTACCGAGGCGCGGATATTTCTTCCTTGATCGTTGAGGAGAATAAAGGCATCTCCTATAAGAACACTGCTGGCTCGACGGCAAAACTAGAGTCGATCATCGCTGCTGCCGGTATCAACTCCGTTCGTCAGCGTATCTGGGTGAATCCCAGCGACGGCAACTATGATCTGGACTATAACATTAAGCTCGCCAAGCGGGTGCAGGCTGCAGGCATGACCACTTACCTGGACCTGCATCTCAGTGACACATGGGCGGATCCAAGTGCTCAGGTATCTATACCCTTCCGTTTCAATTGCCCAGTAGGGAATGTGAACATAAACTGATCTTCGAATAGGCCGCCCCATCTGGATGGTCCACCACCGACATCAACACCCTCACCTGGCAAGTCTACAACTACACATTGGAAGTGTGCAACGAGTTCGCCGCCAACGGCCTGACAGTCGAACTGGTCTCTATCGGCAACGAGATCCGCAACGGACTCCTCTGGCCCCTCGGAAAAACAAGCAGCTACTCGAACATCGCGAGTATCTTACACTCTGGAGCCTGGGGCGTCAAAGACTCGGATCTCGCCACGACACCCAAGATCATGATCCACCTCGACAACGGCTGGAGCAGCAGCGACCAAACGTATTTCTACGACCAGGTGCTCGCGTCCGGCTCGGCGCTTGTCTCAACAGACTTCGACTTCATTGGTGTTTCTTATTATCCCTTCTACAGTGCGAGTGCGACCTTGGCGGCGCTTAAGTCCAGTCTTACGACTCTGAACTCGAAGTACGGGAAGAAGACACTTGTCGTTGAAACGAACTGGCCTTTCTCATGCCCTAGCCCGGCTTATGCTTTCCCGTCGGATTTGTCGGATATTCCCTTCTCCACTGCTGGACAGCAGACTTTCTTGCAGCGACTGTCGACTGCTGTTGCGGGCGCTGGTGGAGTCGGAATTTACTATTGGGAACCTGCTTGGGTTGATAATGCGGGACTTGGAAGTAGCTGTGATGACAATTTGCTGTTTGCTTGGTCGAATGATCAGGCGAGGAGTAGCTTGAATGCATTGGGGAGTGTTTAGAGTATGTATGATATATATGATGTCGAACTATGGAACTTGGGGTTGTATACGGAGTATGAATATTGAGTATTGAGCATGGAGTATCCGGGGTGCATACGTAGAGGAAACCGTTAGGGCACGCAGGTTCCAAGGCACAGCGGCAGTCTGCCTTGGATATAAGCTTATACCAAAACGGGACTAGCTCTTCAGCTGCGTGGCTGTGCAAAAAAATAGACCCATCTGGCATTCTGCAACCTCCACTTGGAGAGATCGGAAAGCGAGGTGATGGACAACAGAGTCCTAGGCAGCGACCTTTTGAACCTAGGTAGACGAGATCTGTATAAAAATAGTCATGACGAATGTTCGTATACAGTAGGAGAGATGATAGTATCTGTTATCAAGGTGGGCACCGATGCGGGGAGACCCATTTTGGGCTTACTAGCACCAGTAGCATCAGTAGAGCATCTAGTCGAGTAAGGTGGATCGCGGAAACTATTTGATTGCGCTTAGGGCACCCACAAGAGGAATTCTATGGTCTATTTTCTTAGCATCGGAGCATCTACAGCGTATTCACTTCCCTATATCGGCGGAGTATACAGACGTGTTCGCCAGACCGCCTTGCGCACGTGAATCCCAGTCCTCAACTCCTGATTACTTCTTCTCTTGTCACCGGCTTTGGGTCAATTTGAAGGTATACTTATGTTGGTTATGTTGTTATTATGAGGCTGTCTCACTGCTGACACTGGCCCAGAGGCTCATTCGCGTATCGGACCCCTCCACTCCCTGAACGTCTGGACCCTTGCGAATGACATCCCACCACATCATCCGACGCCATTCTTTCTACACCGGGTGTCGAGCTCCCTGACACCGATCCCTCTTGTCTGTTATTTACACCGAACGTTGGCAGCGGAATTCGTTTTCTCCCCCACCTCCTTCGTCGCCTACAAGTTGCAGCCCGAGCTTGGTGTCCGCCCAAGAGCCTCATTCGCGCGCATCCACAATTATGGCCTCGCATGATCCAAACCAGGGCTCCGTCCATTCCCCGGGAGACCTGAAGCATCGCAGTGTGAGCCCGCAACCACCTGGGCAGCAATATCACAACCCGAACGCCGGATTGACGGTCGACCCATCTATGGGCGCTTATCAAACGGCCCCCTCCTTCCCCAACCCCGACGGGGTTATTGGCGCCGAACAATATGGATACCAAAACTATTCCTGTGCTTTGTCTCCGACGCAAACTTTATCTCCGCCAGCGGACCAGGGTTACCCCCTCCGATCAATACCAACAATCTTCCGATAGCACAATCCTTCGAGACGAGCCTGGTCAATCAGCTGGAGCACTCCTCAAACGGACTGAGACCAATGCAGGACGAGAATTTCTCCAACATGCTCAACTCGAATCAGCCGGACATGGACTTTGCCCTCTACCAGAACCACAGTCCGAGCGCATCGGCCTCCGAGTACGATACATCGCAATTGTTGGACCCGCAAATGCACCAGCGCCAGTCAATGAACCAAGCAATCAATCCGGCTGATCTGGTCAGCCCGATCTCGAATTCCGGCTCCTCACATCCATCACAGGATCCGCAGCATTCGTCTCCTGGCCCCATGTCTCCCCGGGATCTACACCGGGTACATATTACACACCCCAGCATTCGCGGCACACCTCACTAGACCCATCTACGGCGTACTACAATCCCCATCCGAATCCAGATTGGCAGTCCGTCATGACCAATGTTTCCTTCCAGGGGCACCGACGTGCGCCGTCCGAGGTATCAGAAGTCTCGTCGGCCAATCACTCCCCTTACCTCTCCCAGCATGAATTTGATGGCATTGAGAATAATGCGTCGCCTTCTCTGGCCCCTCAGAGCGACCCGGCGCTGTACGAAAATGGTCTGGGCATGGAATCATTCACCTTGTCGGAGCAGCAGCAGCAGCAAGGCATCAGCCCGCTGCAGACACCCTACATTTCCCCGCGGTTAATGCCACAGCAGGGAGGCGAGATGATTCCAAATGCATCCTATCTCTCGCCTTTCCCCGCGGCACCGACGGATATGTATGGAATGCCACAGGAGGACATGATGAACATGGGCCAGTTGAACAACGTACCGGGCGACATTGGACAGGCTTCTCAGATGGCGCCCCCATCGATCAATGTCGAGTTCGCCCCGCCACTGCGCAATCAAAACTTCGATCCTTCCAAATCAACAGCAGACTTCGACTCTCTGAGTCCTCCTGCTATGCGTAAGTTTGACTTTGCTCTAATAGGAGGAGTCCGAGCTAACAATCAATTAGGATCTCGAGTACGGAGCAAGTCTGACCCTTACCACCCCGCTTCCCGTCCACGCTCTCCAGCGGCCTCAACAACAAGCTTGGAACCCCATGCACCTACCACCCCGCGGTCTCTGTCGCCAGTTGGATCGGTCGGCTCGCACTCGCGTAGTAACCCCGGCTCTCGCGATGCATCACCTTCCCGGTCCAACCGCCGCCTCTCAACATCCTCAATCGAGAACCGAAACTACATACTCGACTTAGCCGACCCCCAACGCCCAGGCGCAGCACCAGGCGAACCAAAACGCATCCAAAAGCACCCCGCCACCTTCCAATGTACCCTATGCCCGAAACGCTTCACCCGCGCTTACAACCTACGCTCCCACCTGCGCACCCACACCGACGAGCGACCCTTCGTCTGCACAGTCTGCGGCAAAGCATTTGCACGACAACACGACCGCAAAAGACACGAAGGCCTGCATTCCGGAGAGAAGAAGTTCGTCTGCAGAGGCGAGCTCTCTCGCAGCGGTCAATGGGGCTGCGGTCGTCGATTCGCGCGAGCAGATGCCCTCGGCCGTCATTTCCGATCCGAAGCCGGACGCGTCTGCATCAAGCCCTTGCTAGACGAGGAATCGGCTGAGCGTGAACGCGTCGAGCATCAACCGCAACAGTCCGGTCATCTTCAGCCTGTTCCTCAGCCGTTGGTTATGCCCAATATGCCCGGCATGGATGGTCAGTCTTCTGGTAACTTTGTGTTGCCTGCTGCGCTCTTGGCGCAGTATCCTGCACTCCAGACTTTGCAGTGGGATCAGATTCCCGCTGCGGAAGAGGAGATTGGAGGGAGGAGTAGTTTTGATGCTAGTTCTGGTGGTGAGTTTGGGTTTGATGAAGATGATTCGGGTCTTTCCTATAACCAGGGAAATCTATATGCGAATAATTCGCAGATGATGATGGACCCTGGGGATCCAGGGTATTCGAATCAGAAGTGGAGTGGATGATAATGTCTTCATCCTCCTTTTTGGTTTCCTCTTTTTGGTTTTTGATGGTTTTCTTTCCCCTCGGCTTTTCCTTTGGTTCAAAAGGATGCATGATGTCTATCTGCATTCAACTTCTTTTGTATAGAAAGGCTTTCGGCGTTCAGATACAGGATCACGTCTGATGATTTGGATGGCTATCAGGTCACGAATATTTGGATCTTTTCTTTTTGGGTCATTTTCGAGTGAACACCGAGACTTCAGGGTTTTTTTTTCCTGGTTTCTCGTTGGACACTCTGTTTTATTTCGTTTCTTGGAAGATGTTCCGTCACGATTTCTTTTCCTTTTCTTTTTGTTCTTTTCTGATGATATTCCCCCCTTCATACCCTGTTACCTCATTTCAATGAGTTTTGTTTATGTCACGCTCCAAATTTATATACCATCTCAATGATCAATCCCACGATTTTGATATGACTCATTTTTGCATAAATCTAAGCACCCTGGGTCCCGTTTCTCCCATTCCAAGGGAGCAAGTCAGAGCAAAGGGCACGATTGCCATTTGGCCTTCCTCTTTCGTTTTAACTTGAGACGGTATATTGGCACATGGGAAGCCCTTCAGACTGTGTCTTTGTTGTCTTTTTTAAGGTCTTCATTCATATACATCCCGAGGTCCTCAACAAAGATCCATGAATTAAAACAAAAGGGCACAGAATTATACTTGTTCCAGGCCTAAACTGCTGGCTAGGTAGGTGGATGTTGAGCAAGCAACCCCTGCAATAGCTGCTGCTGCTTCGTGCAACAGTACTCGTTTGCGCTGTGGCTGCGCGATTGCGATTGCGATTGCTTCTCGTTTGCGCGCCCGGTTTTGGGACATTTAGTGCCCCAGAGACCCTCCCCAGAGAACCTTTCTACTAGAAATCATCGTTTCTGAAACTGCTTCCTCGTAGCCTGCTTCCTACTTCTTCAGTAGGTGGCTCTTTTTACAGATGTAGTAATTGTAACCCCGGACCTCGGGAGGATTCTCTAACCCCTGCGTCCGTTCGAAAGGATAACTCAACGTCGTTCCATTTCATAAATTCATCCGCGGTATATCCTCGGGATTGGACGATGTCCCCGACCCGTGCGTTCAGGCAGGATTGTAGCAATACCACCAAGTGAACTATCATAAGATTCTTTGAATGAAAAGGCGAAGGAGCAGACGGCTTCTTCAAAAACAGGTTGAAATCTGTAATCAGCATCCGTCGGATGGATCTGAATGTAACTTGTTGGCGCTCGATAAACCTGCCTTTGAGCAATGATCCGTCTTGAATGGCTTGAGAAATAATCTCTGCAGCTTTTGATGACAGATCTGCCGAAATCTGTTTGAATGGATTTCCTAATGAGGATTCCATGGAACCATTCCACGGTTCAGCGTTGGGCTTTGAATCCCCAATGCCTTCTTGGTTCACGGCTTAGCCAAGATTTTCTGTACTCGACCATTCATGATGACTTCACAATTAGGTGGAACTTTGGATGGACAGCCAAAAATATAGTTGAAAAGACAGTTGGAAGGACAGTTGGAATGAGGTCCCGAAGTAGATGATAGCTCTCTTCCATTACCAATCGAAATATGAGATTAAGCCAATATATAACTACTCTTGTTTATAAGCAACTATCATCGTCTTTTTAAATCTATGGATAGATGACTGAGGAGACAGCACTCCAAAAGGGGGTGCGGCTTGGGTCCATGGTTACGGTGCCGCGTTAAGATATGTGATTCAACTAGTTTTGATATCCCTCCTCATTTCTCTTGTCTCGACAATCTCGACAATCTCGACAACTCGACACTCTTCCTTTCCAGAGTTACCCTTTGTCTCTGAGCTACCTGCAATATGGCTTCTACTTCCACAGAGACCCCTCCGATACCTACGAAACCCAAGCTCTCCAAGTCCTTACGCCAATATCTACAGCTCAACTCCCCCGTTTACCATGGTGCCGTAGCCTACTCAAAAGCGGCAAAAGAGTATGCGTATGACTACAAGGTCGGAATGCATGAGTTTGAGTCCGAGACTGTCTTTTCTGAAGTTCGCGCGCTTCACACCAAATTGTCTGCGATACTCCAAGAGCAGCTTACCCCACAACAAGAAAAGTCACTCGAGGACTATATCTTGAACTGCCTTGTTGGCATGGTCTATGGCTCGAACATGATTGAGCATGCTGGTAGTAGCTTCGATGCCACGCACAACCTCTGTTCGGTAGTCTTTTGCGGCAAGCAAAGTTCAGAGAACAAGCCGGTTAAATCGAAGAAGGTGTACCTTGACTTGGAAGAGCACCTGTCGCTTAACAATCTCTCCGAAAGCCCTCTCGATGTCTTACGCAGTTTTCATGAAGTCTTTGGACATGCGAAAGCCGCCTCATACATAATCCACCAACTCTGCATCTGCGGACAAGATCTGACCGAAGAGATCATCCTCAAGACTCATGCTGACATGGTGTAGCGGCGGTGGATCAGACCGGTAAATTTTGTTAGGAAGTCGGCTGGAAGGAGAAGAGGTGCTAAGCAGCGTGCCCAGCCAGCGGCCCCAATGGCGATGATCGCTTATAGCGCTAGCCCGAGACGGTTAGCACGAGCCGAACTTTCGGGACCGCGAAATTTTGTATGCGAGGGCGCAGTACTCCGTAGGTCCGTTAGAGATGGAAATTAACAAGAAAACAACAATAAAGAACAGCTCACTCTATCCAAGTACAGGAACGCAGGTGAACGCCCGATGTCTAAAAGATGGGATAGAAGGCGAACAAGAAATAATAGAATACAGATCACATTGGATATCATCTAGTCGGCAAACAAAAAAATCTAAACAAATCTCATATACAAGGCCAAAGCCATTGCAATCAACATGCAGCCCCGACTCCAAACCACTTTTATAGTGTAACAGTCTTATTGCGCTTGCGCGTTGGCCTTCTTAGCCAGCAAGTTGAGCGCACTACCAGCCAGAATGAAAGCACTCTGGTCCTTGCTCAGGGTGTGCTGAACGGGAACGAGGAAGGACTCGCCAGTCTTCTGCTTGGTAACGCGAAGCTGAATCTCGCCCTGTCCTTCGGCCTGCAAAGTATCGTACAAACCAACGGTGTCAACCTTGTCGCAAGCGTCGATGCGGTCATAGTCCTCGCGGTTGGCGAAGGTGAGAGGGACAACTCCCTGCTTCTTCAGGTTGGTCTCGTGGATACGAGCGAAACTCTTGGAAACAATCACGCGGCCGCCGAGGTAGCGGGGCTGCAGAGCGGCGTGTTCGCGGGCAGAGCCCTCACCGTAGTTGTCCTCGGCAACGACGAGCCATTCGATTCCGCGCTCCTTCCAGTGCTCTGCGAGTTCGGGGATACCGTACTGCTTGCCGGCCTCGTCGTAAGCAACGTTGGTCTCGCCGGTGGCAGCGTTGACGGCACCAATGAGAGTATTGGCGGAAATGTTGGGCAGGTGGCCCTTGTACTTGAGCCAGGGGCCAGCAGCGGAAATGGTATCAGTTGTGCATTGACCCTTGACCTTGTAGAGGACCTGGAGACCGGAGAGATCGCCCTTGGGGAAGGGGGGCGAAGGGCTCGAGAAGAGCAAGACGGTCCGAGGTGGGGGAGACAATAACCTCGGAGCTGGCATCGGGAATGGCGGCGGTGGGAAGGAAGTTAGGGTTTCCCTCTTCGAAGCCAGCGCTGGGAAGATCGAATCCGGTGGGGGCCTCGAACTTGAAGGATGAGCCGTCGGGTGCGGTGATAGAGTCGGTCATCGGGTTGAAGGTGGTGGTACCAGAGTAGGCAAGAGCGGTGACAAGCTCGGGCGAGGCGAGGAAGTTCATTGTCTGGCGGTTGCCGTCGTTACGTCCAGGGAAGTTACGGTTGTAAGAGGTGAAGATAGCGTTGTCTTCGCCCTTGGCGACATCATCTGTTCGCTTCCATTGACCGATGCAGGGACCGCAGGCATTGGCAAGGACAACACCACCGGCCTGGGAGAAAGTGTTCAGGGTCTGATCGCGGTCAAGGGTGGCGCGAATCTGTTCACTACCGGGGGTAATGAAGAAGTCCGCCTTGGGCTTCAAGCCGGCCGCGGTGGCCTGCTTGACCAGGTTCTCGGCGCGGGTCATGTCTTCGTAAGAAGAGTTGGTACAGCTACCAATAAGACCAGCACCGAAGGTCTCGGGCCACTTCTTCTCGCGGACAGTGTCGGCAAACTTGGAGAGCGGAACCGACAGATCGGGGGTGAAGGGTCCGTTAATGTGGGGCTCGAGCTCGGACAGGTTGATGGTGACCACTTGGTCGTACTCGGCCTTGGTATCGGCGCGCAGCAGACTGGATGGACCCGCCGCAGCCACTTCAGCAGCAGCCTCCGCGACGTGGCCGCGGTGGGTGGACTGCAGGTAAGGAATCATGCTAGGCGAGAAGGGGAAGAGCGAGGTAGTAGCACCGACCTCAGCACCCATGTTACAGCAAGTAGCCATACCAGTACAGCTGAGAGTCTCGACACCCGGACCGTGGTATTCAATCACGTAGCCGGTACCACCACGGACAGTCAGCTTTCCTGCCAGGGACATAATAATGTCCTTAGGAGAAGCCCAACCGCTGAGCTGGCCTTCGAGGCGAACACCAAGGATCTTGGGGGCCTTCAACTCCCAAGGGGCATCCACCAGAGCATCGACGGCATCAGCACCGCCCACACCAATGGCAATAGCACCCAGACCACCGCCGTTGGGAGTGTGGCTGTCAGTACCGAGCATCATCAATCCGGGGGCGGCGTAGTTCTCCAAGACACTCTGGTGGATAATTCCGGCACCGGGGGGCCAGAACTCGATACCGTAGCGCTTGGCAGCACTTTCCAAAAAGTCGAAGACCTCGCTGTTACCCTTGATCGAAGCAGGCAAATCGGTATCGGCACCGCGTTCACCGACAATCATGTGGTCGCAGTGGATACTGGCCGGGACAGCAGTCGAGGGAAGACCGCAGGACATGAATTGAAGCAGAGCCATCTGGGCGGAGGCATCCTGCATGGCGACACGGTCAGGCTTGAGCTTCAAGTTGGCCTTGCCTCGAACATCACGGCCATTGTTGGTGCCGGTGAGCAATGACTCCTCGGCGTTGTCCAAATGGGAATAGAGAATCTTCTCGGCAAGAGTGAGAGCGCGGTCGGAGCCCAAAACTCGGCGGACCTGTTCCAGATTGCGGACAAGCTTAGGGTAGGGGGGCATGCGGGAGGAGGAGGCCTCGGTGGCCAGGCCACGGGCGAAGAGCCGTTGCGGGGACAGCCGTGCCAGCTAGAAAGTGTTAGTCACGATGTTTCCAATTGAGGCAATTGTCTTACTTACCCCACGAGAGGCAGAAGCCCGCTTCCAAACCAGCTGGCTGACCATCTTTAAAATATGGGGGAGATGGGAAACTGGGGAAGAAGGAGATGATGTTCCCTTTTTTTTTGACTCACGGTCGATCGGGTTATTTGCCTTCGCCCTGATTGGTCAATGAATGTGCCGATTTCGGCCGCCACCCTCATGTAAATAGTAAATATCACTGGGGATCTATACGGAGTATCGGAATCTCACATTGTTTTAAGAAGCGGTTTTATCCCATTCCACAAAGGCTCTCTGAATTTACTCGGTTGGTTAGCACCCGTTTTGATCTCGGTCATAGGCGTCTCTGAATTGTCTCTTTCGCGGTCACCATCCTTCCACCGCAGCATTGTTGCCTCGTCTGCTTCGATGGAATATTCATTCATCCAGTGGCGTCTCCATTTCAAATTCTGGTTCTAAGATCACCCGTCACCATGTATGAGCAAGTCTCTTCAAGTCGTATATAAGTATTTTTTTACCTCCAGGGCTCATATCAGATCGCTTATCATGCAGCTAGTCTAAAGATGGCTAGGGACTATCACATCCCTGTCTCCATGACTTTATTGGAGAGGTTCAAGGCTGTGCCCAATTGACCAGCTCACCCCGCAGTCTAATCTGAGAAGCAATCGTGCCTCACCGGTCCGAACCTACGAACCTTTCACTCGGGCAGAATCATAAGTTTTCATCATCTCTATCAATCTCATCGGTCACCTCTCATCATTCATGTCGGATCCGTTGGGCTATACTGTAGCTTGGGTTTGTAGCGACACCACCGAATGTGTCGTCGCCCGAGAATTCCTCGATGAGGAACATGATAGTCCTATAAATTCGTCGCCTTCGGACAAAATCATCTATACATTGGGTCGAATTTGGGAGCATAACGTGGTCATAGCGACTTTAGCACGAAGATTCTGGGGCATATACTCGACTACTCGTGTGGTACTGGACCTGCAAAAAACCTTTCCTAACATTCGCATCTGCCTCATGGTTGGCATTGGTGGTGGCCTGCCAAGCCAAAGTCATGATATTCGCCTTGGGGATGTCGTGGTTAGCTTTTCCAGCAACAGTCAGAGCAGTCACGTTCAATATGACCCGTTCGAAACTGCCTCGGGCTCATTAATACAATCCTCATTGTGCACAAGCTCGCCACCCGTCTTCCTAAGTACAGCAGTTACTCAGCTGATGATCGAGTATGAGAAAGCGGGAAATTCACTTAAGAGCAAGGTTCATCGAGTCCTCGAAAAATGGCCGCAACCACCGAAGAAATATCAGCGCCCAGGTCCAGTTTATGATCGGCTATACCAAAGTCACGTTGTTCACGTGAACGATGATGAAACTTGCAACTCATGTGGTGATGACCTGTCTCACCTGGTTGTGCGAAATTCCCGCCTTGAGATTGATGCTCCTGCAATTCATTACGGCCTCATTGGCTCATCGAATCTAATCATCAGGGACGCTTCTTATCGAGATAAAATCTCTGCGGAAACAGGCATCTTATGCTACATACTTGATACACCTGATTGGGTATTTCACTTTCCTTGTCTGCTGGTCCGAGGGATATCCGACTATTGCGACTCACACAAGAACCGGGTATGGTGGGGGTATGCGTCCATTGTTGCGGCTGCCTGTGCCAAAGACCTTTTAAAGCACATCAATCCAAGGCAGCTTGAACAAGAGGCAAAGATAGGGGATATCCTGCTCAATGGAGATGCCAGCGTCCCTCGTGTCGGCAGGCAGAGCTCAGGGCTTGAAGTTGAAGATGGGACTGAAAGTCACGTCGAGGCCGAGAGTGAATATGGGGCCGAGAGCGAAGACGTGGATAAAAGCGAAGACGAGGTTAAGAGTACCATAATTTACGAGACTGATCTTGAAAGTATCCTTTCTGAGGGATCGCATCTGTCGTCCCAATCATCACAAAGCCAACTCGGCTCGATCCTGATATTGGAGTTTGCCAATTTGCTTCTGAGCGATAATGACTTGGGTCGATTGTACCCAAAGGCTATCTCCAAACTTGGGCTTGCAAAATTCCAACGAAACTTTACACGCTTCCTGAAACGTTACGGCAAGGATCTCACAAATGAAGCATCCAATGAACGTCAAAGGCAAGCCGGTCAATTCGTTTGTCAGGTTGCTCGAAGAACGGCGGCTCAAGTGGGCAAGACACTTGGGCAAGGGGGCGATAAACTTCCAGTCGAACAGCTACCACTACTGAGTGGATCTAGTTTGGCCGTGGTCGATGCTTGGCTTAATTCACATGAGCAGCATGACCCAAATCTTGGACGAGAAGCCTTTGTCGATGACAGTGAATCAAGTGAGTCGGAGGACGAAAACCAGACCTCGCTTGAGACTCTGGAAGAGGTGAAAGAGTTCATGGTCTCAACGAAAGCATTCTCAACATTGCGTCAGGACTTCTTGGAATGGCTAGAAACTGGTAAAAGACATGGTGATAAAAACATGACAAAGACTACCGAGCCGGTTCTTGATAACCGAGAGGACCCCGAGATCTCGCACCCAATTTCCACACGAGGTTTGATATTGATTGACCCCATACGCAAAGTTCTTCTTTTCTAAAGTTGTCTACAGATTCTGATCAAAGTCAGGAGACCAATTTGCAGGCGGGTCATATAAAAAGCAATGATTCTCATGCCGTGGTCCCAACAAGCTGCAGGACAACAGACATGACAACATTTTCCTCTGTGTGGCAGTTTTTCATAAACCTCTGTTATCCACCAGAGTCCGACTACAGGAGGGTGTCTTTCACATGTGTGAGAGTTCCTATTTTCAAATTGTGACTAGCACTAACTTCTTCCAGGGCTGTGGGAAACCTTCATATCTTGATGTCAAGGAACTCTCTGATGGCGGAGTGGATAGGTTCCAACACAGATTGTTCAACAGTATTGCTACTATCAAAACGCGGTCTCAATCATCCTCCTCCGACTCGACAATTTTGGTCCCTCCACCTGAAGTCCACTTGAGTCCCGGCCGGAGTTCAACTATGGCTAGCAGTAATGCAGCACAACGCAATGATCAACCCGACAGACCTTCACTATCTTCGCAAGTCAACGACAATCAATCCGTCAGCGCCATCTCTGGGGTCCAGACGTCTCAATTTCTGCTATTGTGTGTCAACACCAGGAGCTTGGCAGCCCTGGTTCATGTTGAAGTCGGTCCTTTCACTACTGACCAGTATCTGTTTCAACAAATTCTTCAAGAATATCAGAAAGTTCGTGGAGGCCATGAATGGAATATCTCCATGGCTTGTCCCTCCTGGGCTCGCAATATATTGAATTCGATATCCAAGTCGCTACCAAGATCACCGTCATTTCTGGCATGCTTCAGCTGGCCCAGATTGCTTCGCTCTGCTTTGAGTGAAATGCGTCTTTACAAGATCCATTCAGGAGATTTCGTTCGAGTACGTTTTGACTATAGACTAGCAGATAACTTTGAAAGCCGTTCCTAACTCCTTCTCCAGTTTCAATTGATTCCTGTCGGACTAGAATCTTGTCCTGGGTGGTTCAAGACGAGAAACATACCCCCAGAAGTTGAGGTCAAGCAAGGGAGGTATACCTACCAACCGTTCCCCATGGAAGATGTCGAGGTCGCAAATATCCCATTGCATCACCTGTTGAAGCCAGGGCCTCATACCGACAAATTTTGGACAACTACATTCCCCAAAAAATTGTTGTCTCCGTTAGTTCGCCTACCAGGGCATGACGGGCAACGTGTTATTGGTTGGGGGTCCGGATCAATGAAAGTCTGAAATGGGCCTTCATTCTACTGTCAATACTCATGATAATGCTTGTGATTGGTGCTGCGGTGATCATTTACGCCACAACCACGTCGGACAATTCGTCTGCGTTTGGCTTGGGTGCGTATCTCGTGGCCATTATCACGTTATATTTCACGTACCAATACTTTGCTTGGAAAGAGGGCATTTGATCTGGGCAACGATGGCTGGCTACAATGGAAGATTAGGCATTGCCCAAGTGAGTTTGCAACTGATGTGTCTCGCAGGTCAGGGATATGAAGTTAAAATTGATTTTGAATATGACAAAGGGTACACCTATAGATGTGCCCATCCTGAAGATGCCAGGAGAAGACCAAAAGCCGCCCCATTTCAAACGCCGGTAAAAACAAAGGAGACAAGACTGATCATACAATCCAGGACCAGTAGATGCCCAGGAATTTCCATAGCTAAGCTTCAGGAAAGAAAAGAGATAGATCACGGTTAGAAGACAAGTCTACTGAGCTCAGTATCTTAAGACTGTTCTTCATCAACCACTGCAGCACGCAGTTCCCAGACGTAGTCGTAGCACTCGGCAAGCAGGTTGTTCACACTACCTTGACCTTCGGGAATATCGGGGCCAACGTAGAACTTTCCGTCTACCCGCATGTTGTCAATCGAGTTGAGCTGGGTTCATTAGCATTTTGTTGATGAGAATTTGTTACGTGCGCTTGTTAACATACCTTCATGCTGTATGGGTAAAGTTCACGGGAGTTTGAGACGCCCCCAGACTCTTTGACTTCGATCAAGCAGCGGCGCAGGGTTTGAAGCTGATTATAGACTGGGAGAAGAGCTTCGGATACGGGCTCAGATGAAATCAACAGCGCGTAGATGTATGCGTAGCTGCGGCGAATAAGGTAAAGCAGTGTCTATCTTGCTATTAGCATCGGGCGTTTGCATGAAGAAGGGATCAGTTCTTACGCGTTGTGCGTGAAGGTCAGCTGGTTGACCCTCTGCGTCAACGAAGTTTCCGTTGGATCGGGCCTCGTCGATTCGGTCAAGCTTTCGCTGGAATCCGAAAAGATCTGTCTCGCGCAGAGACCAGGCCTGGGTTACAGACAAGCGATCCAACTGGTTGCGGATCTCCAGCAACCGCTCATATTGGTCTCTGAAGCGTTCATCGATCTTCCCCTCACTGTGACACAGTCAGCAACTATTCAATCACCAGAAGGAGCCTATCCGAAAACTCACCGTTCGAGCACAATCTCGGTCCATCGCCAGCAGCGGCTAATCAGAGATTTGACCTCATCCTGACCTGCAAGAATGTTGCCCTCGGCGTCCACAAAGTTTCCATCCTTGGTTGTCTTCTCAATCTTCTTCAGTTGTTCCCGAAGACCATTAACTTCCGATGCGGAGAACTGAGAAACGGGGTATTGGTTAGTATTTGCGGAATAAGTCACATCATTGAGAGATATATACCTTTGATCGTGTATTAACAGCGGATGTTGACCGCAGAATGGAAACTAGCGTCTCGTGTGTTTGCGCCAGAGGAGGGGATAGCGCCGCAAGGCCCTTCTGTAACTTCTTCAAGGAGATTTCGCATTGTTCAAGACGACTTTCCAAGAGTGTGAGAAGAGCCGGTGAGTATGTGTCGCGACCGCGCTCAAGTGTTTCGCGGGTAGATTCCAAAGTCTTGGTGATTGAGTTTAGATCCTTGGAGCTGTAGAAACCGGCCTCTTCAAGATGGTCAAGTAAACGCTGCGCAGATGTTAGTTCTCAAATCTTGATGTGTGTTTCTATCACAGAATTCATCGTATGGGAATGTACCTGAATGGTGGCCGCCAAAGAGTAACTAGCATGATGTTAGCCATGATCATGAGATCGCGGGGTCAAGCATGTCGATCTTACACTGCGGGAGCTTCATTATTCCTTCCAACTGTTAAGAAAAGTAAGGAAATTAACTGAAAGCAGTCGTCCAAGACATAGTCCACTACCATAAAGCGTCAGTCACTCTCCTCTTGAGCGCGCGATCTCCGAGGCACTCACGGCGGTTATGGGTCAAGCGACGATCCTGCTCTTTGCGTGCTACATTGAGCTTCTCAACCTCCGCGATCACTTCTTCATAGTGAGGAAGAACGTCACGAGACTTGATGTAGGAAGACTTGTCCTGTTTGATAAGCAAGAGGGCGTCGCGGGTTCGGAGCAGTCGTTCGAGGATGGGCTGTTCCCGCGGATCCAGCGGGACCGGGATTGCGGGGGACTCCATCTTGGGAGCACGGATGCAAGGTTGGTTCAAGAAGTGATGATGATAATGCGAGCGGTCAGAGGGCAAAGGTGACTCTGGATGTTAGCACAAGTCAAACGATGGTCTAGTACCCCACCGGGATGTGATGTCAATTACTGGATCGATAGGGAGATACATTATCAATGTGGCCCGTGCGCAGTTAGGTCATCTTGATTTTCTTCCGTTTGTAGTTTAGCGTACAAGTCACGAGGAGGGGGAAGCGCTAGCCCCGATTAGTCCAAGCCCTAAGCGAGGGCTATTTTTCACACACCGGGCGACGCTGTGCGGGTGTCTATCATTGGCGTTCTCCTCTCTTCTTCTTTCCTATTCCCAACCCTCTTCAAGACACCCAGTCTACCCGTCGACATGTCTACCGCTGAGCTCGCTGTCTCTTACGCCGCCCTCATCCTGGCCGATGACGGTATTGAGGTCTCCGTACGTATCCCAAATTCCGTTGAAATTGGTGGATTCGTGGAGGCTTGAAGATGGAACTTTGAAGCTTTCATGTCTATATCGGAAATGGGCTTTGGGAGGAAATACAACAAGCCGCCGCGAACCCACTGGACTCAACGACCGCTACGCGAAATATGTGACTGACCTCGAATCTTTATTCAGGCCGACAAGATCCAGACCATCCTCGGTGCCGCCAAGGTCCAGGAGGTTGAGCCCATCTGGGCCACCATCTTCGCCAAGGTAAATATCTGAACTTTTTCCAGCTGCACCGACATCGAAACAACACCCGCGCGCGCCAATTGAGACTCGGTCACTTACACCACTTACAGGCCCTCGAGGGTAAGGACATCAAGGAGATCCTGACCAACGTCGGCTCCGCTGGTCCCGCCACCGCCGGTGCCCCCGCCGCTGGTGGTGCCGCCGCTCCCGCTGAGGAGAAGAAGGAGGAGAAGGAAGAGGGTAAGCATTGGCAAATCCCACTGAGACATGAGTCAGCTCTAACCCCATTACAGAGAAGGAGGAGTCCGATGAGGACATGGGCTTCGGTCTCTTCGACTAAGCGTCTTAAAAAACTCCGTATCGAATTTGAACTCGTTTCCTTTTTTCTCTATCCCACACCTTTTTTCACGCTGCCGCAATGCGGCTCCCTCGACGATTCTCTCTTGTACTCGATACTCCACGACCCCCGCTACGACCTAGAACCCGGGGAAGAAAAAAAGAAAATTAGCAAAAGAATTCAAGCGGACTATGACATTCAATGGAGACTGGGTGCTCGGTGTGCCTCGTCACTGTCGAGGTGGACTCGGTCGGATGCCGCTGCGATTCCGAAACTATTGTTGCTTCCAGGATTAGGGGAATTGAAGAATGACGTTTGGCACACTTCTTGAATTGTCCATGACCAAATTCCGACTTGGTTCTGGCGAGTAGATGTATGATGCTCTTGTCGCCCCTTGCATGGATCCAACTGCTGCTTGGTCCTCTTGTTTTGTCTGTCATGCGATCATGAACCAACGAATGCCGTCTTGATTCTCAATCTGGGTCTGAATGTAGATCGTAGCCGTCATGTCTTTGTTGCCAAGCTTTTGGACTTGACTGACTATCTTGTATGTATGTCATTGATGTGCATATCACCAACGGCCGGTCACTCAAGGTCAACCTAGATTGGCTAGCCAAATTTGGTGCATGTTTGACTTGAGCTTTAGTTTGTTTTTTGTAGTCCGACGTCATAGGCGATCTAATTTCAGACCTATTTAGGGTCCGGGCCCGATCTCGCGTGGAGACTAAGTACTTCACGGAGTAAATTCGAAGACGTTTCATTGCTAGTTAAGTAAAAGTACAACGCTATGCTAGTTCCAAATTCGTCGATGCCCAGCACCACTTTTGCTACCTGAAAAAGACCTCGCGGTCCAGGTAGCTGCGCATCAATCGGGCTTTTGGTTTTTGATTCTAAATCAGACAAGGCGACTTGGGGCCAAGTGACCTGAAAAGGGAAGAAAGAGTTAGAGAACTGCTGAAGGGTGAGGCTCCTGGGCAGCGTAGATTCGGAATTGGGCGAAGATGATCACATCTTCGAACATAGTTCCCAGGGAGCCAATTAGCCATGGGAGGTTGGTGAGGAAGTAATCCTTCTCTGTGGAGTGGCAAAGAATCTGTATTGGAAAGGTCAGTATGCTTCTCGGAGAGGACGAAGTGCGGTTACTTACGCCTGCGCCGTAGGTCACATTGCCCAAAAGAGAAAGGATGAAGAACAAAAGCGACAATCCTGAATAACAGTCAATGTTAAAAATTCAAAACACCACAAATAACAACAGACGTACCTTCGCAAGACTTCTCGCTGTAATTTTTGTAGATCTGGGGCAGTCTGGCTCTGCAAAATCGTCAATATCCAGCTCAAAACCAAGTCCCGGAAAGACAGAAAACTTACCCTAGATAGCACAAAGCGCTGAAGTAGCCCAGCACCAAACCCCCGGTAGCCTCATCCGAGGGGTCATTGTTCTCAAGCGGAGCAGGCTCCCACATCCCCGTCTGCCACGCCATGGTCCAACCCATGGTTCCCACAAGAAAGATGCCAGCAATGCTGACAAAGTTCTTCAGCCACGCCTTACGGCCAAAATCGTTTTCCTCGACAATCTTAGCGAGCGGGTCCTCGACCTCGCTGTCGCGTCGAGTCTGGTATGCGCGCTGTGAGGCCGACGACCGGCGGCGCGATCCAGGCAAGGAGTCACTGAAGCGCCGACCCAACAGTGGTGTCGTTGGGTCCGGTGTCTCGGTAGATGAGCGCCGACGGTGGGCGGGCTCACGCGCGCGCGCTTTGTAGTATAGACATTGCGAGATCAACACGCCATCGGCGATGCAAAAGTATATGGCGATCGCGACAATGACGGGGACGAGCCCGGCCATGAGGCTACCTGCCAAGTTCGCGACGTCGCCTACAAACCAGACGAAGACGAAGAGGAGGGAAATGGCTTCGGCGTTTCCATTGCGGTAGTTCTCGATGAGTTGGGGGACCTATTGGCGGTTAGAGGGGAGGGTGGATTTCCATATTGAAGACATACCAGAAGGAAGATCCAGCAAGTCATGGAGACAGATCCTAGAATGCCAGAGGCGGCCTCTCGGGCCGTTAGAGGTATGCTCTCGTGTGCCATGGCTGGTTGTGTGTAGAAGGGAGGAAGAAAATTCGAGGGAGATAAGGCTATGACGGAATGTACTCGGCTCACCCGCTTGAGGGTCCGAGCACAGCAAATTTTCATAGATCGAGTCAATATAGTAGCGCTAGCGGTGATATTTGTAGTAGTGCTGGTTATTGAGGTGATCTTTGAGATTGTACAATTTACTAGATTTGCCTGTCACTTGAGATGTGCATTTGACCAAAAATCAAAGAAATGTCTTGCGGGATGACGCACATGGTTATCATCAGCCAATGATGGGCTCTTTATTATACAGAGCTCGGGAGTAGTTAGTCCAAACTGCAATGCGACGGGATTTAGTTAAGACGCAGATGTCTGTACTTTCGAGTGCCGAAGTACATGAATATCACTTGTCCTGCATCCCTATTGGCGATCATTAATCCCCCTGTATCAATTTTCCGACTCGGTGGTTGGTACTGATATATACTTCCTCATCCTCCAAGGCTTGGAGATGTGATTCCGAGGTTATATAGAGCTCACCATTTACAATATTCGTATCTATTACCTAGGTAATGAATCTTTCAAGGTTTTCGAGGTCATCAAGGTATAGGTATCATATTTTTCATTATGTATCATACCGATATGATCAATTACCTACTAGTACATTACATGAACTTGTACAAGCTGTGCACCCACACCCGAACAGTTCCAAGCCCTAGAGGTTGATTTGCGAAACAGTCAAGTTTCTTGCGATGCGAACCACAGCCTCGGAGGTTTATTCCTCATCTCCCTCAAGTTCGTCCACTAGCACGCTCACAGCGAGATCGCCCAGAGAGTCCTTGATGGTGCCTTCCAACACTCGTTGCCGCTCAGGCGGTGGAAGACTGTCCAAGGCTTCCACATAATTGTTCAAGGGAGCAAAGTTTAACACTGTTTCGCTCCAGTTACCTCGGTCAACACCATATTGGGACAAGAAAATCCGAAGGCTCTGCAGTCCTTCTCGCGAAAGCCACCCTTGAAGGGCTGCTCGATCTCCAATCGGAGCACGCGATGATGGAATTTCATAAGGGTCATCATCAGGCGCGTTTGCACCTTCGTTTTGGTCTTCATTTTGGTCTTCATTTTCATCTCCACCGCGCCAGCGTCCAAAGATTCTCGGGCCATCCTGGATATCGTCTGGGTCGGGATTGGGATTGTTGAGCTGACCCAGAAGATCATCAAGCCAATTTTCTCCACCACCGCCACCAGCGCCGGTAGGAGCCACATACACGGGTGCCGGCTCAGATTGCTGCCGGTGGGCTTCGGAATCATGCGGTGGAAGGGGATCGGAAGATGAGATACGACCAGCCACAAAGTAGTTGGGAAGATGGGTCATCACCTTAGGCAGGTCGGATAGCACCACATGACGGGCAATGTCCAATGTGATCTCTGGTGGCTCAATAGGCTCAGCCTCGCCGGAGATAGAGTCAGCGACTTCCATGATGAGTGCGACTGCCTCGGGAGTGTTCCAGAGGTCTTTAGCGCGGGCAATATAGAGTTCCATAAGTAGTTCGTGGGAGCCTGTAGGAGGCATCTTGCCCCAGATAGCCTGCGGGACATGCTGGAGGTCAAGCTCTTGAGCCAGTCTGCTGAACACCCACGGGTAGCGGGACATGGCGCGCTGAAGTTGCTCCCGGCACTCCTTGGGCTTGTTCAGACGCAGATATGCCATGACCAAAGAGCACTGGATGTTGGGGAGATCCTCCCAGTCTCGACTGAAGCGTGTCTGAGTACACATTTCGACGAATTGAGCGTATTCTCGGCCCCGAAGTGCAAGATGATCGATAAGTAGTTTCATGCAATAAGGATCGCTATCATCAAGACTAAGCAACAACTTAGACCATTCGTACGCAGTTCGCCAAGTTCCCTTCATGCCAAGGTTGGAAATGTATCGCCAGCCGACCAGCCAGAGCTCTCGGTTCTCGGCATGAATGAAGTCCAATCTGGCTTCACCACCCTTGAGACGTTTGGCAAACGAGGAGTGGACCGAGCGGCCAATGTTAAAGAGAGCTCGTTCCATTAGATCGGCAGATACGGCATGATCACCTTGGTGTTTGGCGATCTCTGAAACCTGGAGAAGGGTAGAGATGTGGTAGGGATTGTACTGGAGATGACCGATCATTCTCTGTGGATCCATCGATTCAACACAGAGCTCGAATTGTCTCTGCACATCTTGGTAGGTGGTGTTGTGGACGAGCTTGTACAGAGTTTCGCCCGTGGAGTAGCTTCCTTCGGTTTCCATACCCAGCCCTCCACTAGGTGCACGTGGCCATTCGTCCTTGCCTTGCATCAGAACGTTCTTGCGCTGTGTGACACCGCCTAGGCTCAAACCTCTACTCGCTGGGCTGTATCTTCCCGTCAGAGCTTGCGCAAGGTCGATCATCTGTCGATTGCGATCTCGGCGGCGGCCAGCTCCAGCATCGGCTGGCTGATCAAAGTTTTCGAGGACAACGTTTCCAAATAGGCGGCGCATTTCGTTGTTCGCATTAAGGTATCGGGGCTCAATACCAAGCACTTCGTTTGTCGTCTTCGGGAACGAAGAAGCCTCCTGTGGAAATACGGAATAGGTTGTCTGACCTGCACTAGCACCTCTCTTCCCACCCACCGATAGCTTCTTCAAAGCCTCATCGAAGTCATCCAGTTCTTCATTGGGCTTTGTAGGAGAGCTTCTGGCCGACGCAGAGGTTTTTGAGGCCTTCTTCTTCTTCTTTTTCTTGTTCGAACTTTTGGACTTTGGCGCAGGCTCGGGCTCTGAAGGCTGTACGGCGGGTTCCTGTTGTGAATGCTCGATGCCTCCTTCCACGCCTTCGTCTTCGTCTTCGTCTTCGTTATCGTTATCGTCATCATCGCCCATGTTCAACAAATCGAACGCGTTGAATTTCGGCTTTGCGGGGCGCGGGGCTTCATCTTCGCTTGACTCATGTTGAAGCTCTGACTGTTGTTGCTCTTGCTCACGAAGCTTTTGCAGCTTTCGAATCGCACGTGAAGACATTGCTAACACTGGGGCATATGCCGTGGAATGACGTGAAAAGTGCTAACAACGCGAGAGGTATGAGCGTGAAATAAAAAAAAAGCCCAGAAGCAAACCCGCGGGGAATGACGACAGATCCCAATTGGCACTAGCGCCCTTTACTAGCGCTGTACCTGATAACGTATCCACGTGACGTATCTCCAGGCCAGCTCTTCGACAAACCTCAAAGCTTGAGACTTCTCCATTATCTTTCGGAGTTGTGATTTACCTTGTTTAGGGCAGGGGAACACATTGACTCCTCTATAACCCTGAAGCAATGCGACAAGCGACAGTTCAAGCGGGCCGTACTGCTCGGCTTGCCAATATCGCCGCTAAGCGGCCGTGCCCGTTCTCCTTCAACCAGCTGCGCGGTCTTCGATCATACTCCAGTGGCAAGCGCTCATATAACGCTCCGGTAGCTGCCAATACCTCCATGCATCGCCGAACCCTCTCACTCGCCGTGTTATCCACCGTCGTTGCTTCCGGGGCCTGGTATACTTATCAGGGTGACACCGTGAGATCAGCCGCCTCTCAAATCCGGGGATTCGCATCTAGTGCCCTTAACTCCGCCTACGCCGAAGATCCCACAGAGTCCACGCGCCGTGCATTGCTAGTCAGCGGCGACCAATTCTATACTGCCACGCTCTCCGGGGACCAGCCCCTCGCCAAACATACAGACGACTCAGATCGCCAGGTCCTAGAGATGTTGACACCAGAGCAAGCAACACAGAAGCTACGCAAGAATGAGGAGTCATACTTGGTGAACCGGGGCAAGGGTGTCGTCCGATATGACGTGGTTCAAGTTGCCAGCAATTCCCCCATCGAGGATGACCATGCGGAGAAGATTGTCGAGATCCCGGCATCCGTGGCTGCTGTTAGCAACGGCGAACCAAGCAGTGATTGGATGTTCTGGGCAGTATTTGATGGCCACTCGTAAGTTGAATTAAGGGTTGGTCAATTTCAGTCGGATTGGCTAATGTGAAACAGGGGCTGGACAACCTCTGCCAAACTGCGCAATGTGTTGATCTCATATGTCGCCCGTGAACTGAACACTACCTACAAGAGTGCTTCTGCCGACCCATCACTTGTCGTGCCAACATCCGAGGCCATTGATTCTGCCATCAAGCAGGGCTTCGTTCGTCTCGACCATGACATTGTGCACGAAAGTGTGAAGGAGGTCCTGAAGTCTAAGGAACGCCGCGTTGCCGCCGAGCTTCTCGCCCCTGCTCTCTCCGGATCGTGTGCTCTTCTCAGCTTCTACGATTCCCAGTCCAAGGATCTCAAGGTCGCAGTGACCGGAGACTCTCGTGCGGTTCTCGGTCGTCGTGGCCCTAGTGGAAAATGGACCGCCAAGGCGCTTTCCGAGGACCAGACTGGTGGCACGCCATCAGAGATTCAACGTCTGCGTGAGGAGCACCCTGGCGAGCCCTACGTGACTAAGAACGGTCGAATTCTGGGCCAGCTTGAGCCCAGTCGCGCGTTCGGTGATGCTTTCTACAAGTGGAGCCGAGATGTCCAGGATGTTATCAAAGCCAAGTTCTTTGGACGGACCCCTCACCCCATGTTGAAGACACCGCCTTACGTTACTGCTGAGCCCGTCATCACCACCACCAAGGTCGATCCCTCAAAGGGTGACTTCATTGTCATGGCGACCGACGGTTTGTGGGAGATGCTGAGCAACGAAGAGGTTGTCGGCCTCGTCGGCCAGTGGGTCGAGCAACAGCAGTCTGCGATGGCAAGCGGCAGCACTAGCAAGGCTTGGTTGCAGAGTTGGTTTGGTAGCCAGAAGGAGCTGCCCGTCGAGACCGCGGCTGATGGATCGGCCGGAGGTCAACGGCGCCCTATCCGCCAGCAGCAGTATGATATTGCTGGTGCAGCTAGCCGGTTCGTCGTCGAGGACAAGAACGCGGCTACGCATCTTGTGCGGAACGCTATGGGCGGAAAGGACAAGGACATGGTTTGTGCTCTACTGACATTGCCAAGTCCCTACTCTCGTCGCTACCGGTATGTATTCGCACTATCCCTGATCCCAAAAAGATTGCTGACTCTTGTTTTAGTGACGACGTCACCGTTGAGGTTATCTTCTTCGGCCAGGGTCCTGACTCACGCACTGTTGAGATCAACAAGGAAGCAAGTGCCTCTGAGCAACCCGTCAAGTCTAAACTATAGTCATTTTCGTCCTTTTAACACGTTGCACTTCTGTGAAGCATTTCGAGGGATGGCGGATTTTTGATAAGGCACAATTTGGGCTGTGCCCGGCGTGGTTTCAATGAAATTTCCGCAAGAGCTAGAATCATTGGCTCAATTTTCCTCATTTATATATGCTTCCGAGGTTTTTGTAGTACTGTGTTCTGTAAGACAAAGTGGAAGGGGAGTATTGTACATGTAGGGTTTATGAAGAAACATTGTACATCAACACCGAACCAGTCGATGGATTGGGTACCGACTAGACATCCAAGAACAATCTGCTGCGTGCCGGCAAAGCGAGAGAGAGCAGAGCCCGAGGGGCCTGTCAACCTGGTCCGAGCCAGCGGACCAGGCGTAGCAGGTGTTCGGTAATTGAATCTTAGGAGTCACGCCCAAGATTCTAGTTGGAGTCAGTGGTGTTGGCCGGGGCAGTGGAATTAGGCCTAATCCCGAAGAACAGCAAAAGCCATCAAAGCAGTCAGATGGGGAAAATGGTGCCGAAATTGTCGATTCGAGAACAAAGGAACCTCACAAAGTGTGGTTGTTCCCATGAACCACCTTGACAGATCCGATCAACGCAAATTCTTCAACTGGAAGGGATCTTTCTCGCCGGGCTTCTCGAAGGCTATGAAGCGCTTCTGGAAAGGTTTCAGCTCTTTCTGGGCAAAGACTTTCTTATCCAAGAACCAGGTTTGCAGAGTAGCGAGATTGGTACTAGTGATCCAGTAGAGGAGCAAAGCAGTTGGTAGCTGGTTGACGTAACTCATGATGCCAACCTGGATTGCAAAAAGTTGAATGAACGTTCGCAAGCCACGGAAGAAGATTTCCTTGTACATCTGGAGTTTCGGAAGATCTGAAATCTCCTTCAATGACTTGACTTTCCATCCAGCCACCATGTTACTCAATATCGAAACGGTTAGAAGGGCTGGCAGCACGCCCGACTGGTCACCGGCCAACAGATCAGGAAACCAGAGAGCGCCCTCATCCATGAAACTGGGCTCCAGTCTCGATCTCATAAGCTCAACTGTTGATTCGGGGGTTGAAGAGTTCCCCCACGAGTACAGCCACGAGACAATTCCTTGATTGTTACCGCTCATCCCGCGCAGTCCCTCCATGAAGGCAAGAAAGACTGGTACTTGTAGGAACATGAGTGGGCGCCACAGTTTCGAGATACCCCAAATGCTGTATATCTCTTTTGCTCGGCGCTGAATCATTTTGCTGGCCTGCCTTTTTCTTTCTTCGGGGGAGGCTGCTGTCAACATTGCCTGCTCATTGTAAACCGCCGACCAGGACTGTATGAGTGGTTGGAGTCGTTTTTCTTCCTGTGCACGGATCCGAGAATATAATTGTAGAGGGAAGCCAATAAAAGAGCGAACCAAGACGGCCGTGAGGGGAATTGAGGCAGCCCAGGGCAGGTAGGAGACTGTATGGACGCCGTGGATAATAGCCGTGGACCCGTTGAGGAAGGTGTCGATCGCGGAATGCGTTGGCTTTGTTGGATGGAAGTATCGAGCTTGTAAATGTTGTAATTTTGCAGCTCGCGGCACCGAGCGCAAAGCCGAAGCTGAGCGTAGGGGATACATGATAATAATCAGGATATGTCCAAAAGTGAAGAGTTGCGGCGCGGAGATCGGAATCTGGAGATCATCATGTGACACGTATGTAAATTACGCATTGGCCTGATCGCCTTGTTGACAGCGGCACTTCTGACTGTGGGATCAGCTTTGCTTTAAATTCTACTATGCTTAACTGATGACGGCTCTATCAAACTTGCCTTTTTAACTATGGCCCTTTTATCAAACGCCATTCTGGCCGTGTTGGTCTTGACCGCCACGGCCGTTCTGCTTCCGAAGCTAACAGGCACTCTGCTCGGTCTGATCTTTCGGGGAGTGGGATGCCTGATCTGGAGACGAACCCGGACTCGCCGTGAATACGTGATCGCGCGGGCGCGATCGGAGGAAGAGGAACTACGCGCTCCACGACCAAAGGCTTCAACAGCCTCACTATCCCGCAACGGCGTCGATGATGAGGACTGGGAGAAGGTGGACAGCTCGGGTCCAAGTGGGGTACAAACTGCGACGAGCAGTGAGAGCAGCAGCAGTGCTGGAGACAATCCCAGTAGCTCAGATACTTGGGATGGCATTATTGGGTTCTTTCACCCATTCTGGTATGGGATTCGCACTCCACATGTATTACGTACAGTGCTGACCAGAACCATAGCAATGCTGGCGGTGGTGGTGAACGAGTGCTGTGGGAAGCAGTCCGCGCAACCCAAAGGCGTTGGCCGAAGGCAATCTGCGCTATCTATACCGGCGATCACGAAGTGAATAAGGCCGCTATGCTGCAGCGAGTGGAGCGCCGGTTCAACATTCAACTACACGCCCCGACTGTGGTACTTTTGTACCTGACGACCCGCAAATATGTCGTTAGCAGTTCATACCCTTACATGACGCTTCTGGGACAATCGCTGGGCTCGCTAGTTGTTGCCTACGATGCTCTGACGCTCCTCGTGCCTGATGTGTTTGTTGACACCATGGGCTATGCTTTTACTCTTGCACTATGCAAGTGGCTCTTCCCCACGGTGCCGGTTGGTGCATACGTCCACTACCCAACCATCTCAACCGACATGCTTGCTTCTCTCGACGACAAGACTGGAGTGCAAGGTATCAACTCTGGCGCCGGCAAAGGGTGGAAAGGAACCATCAAGCGCCACTACTGGGAGATCTTCGCTAAGATATACGGCTGGGTTGGCCGACACGTTGATGTTGTTATGTGCAATTCTTCTTGGACAGCAGCGCATATCCGCAAGCTCTGGGGCACTGATAGCAAAACCATTTCTAGCACTGGCGACGGAACCGCCTCATCACCGGCAGTGGTCTTTCCCCCGACAGCAGTCGCGGAATTGGAATCAACCATCGCCGTTGACGCTGAGAGTGAGAAGACCCGTGAGCCCGTACTGCTTTACATTGCCCAGTTCCGACCAGAGAAGAACCACCCACTAGTGTTGCGATCCTTTGCACGATTCCTACAGGAGAGAGCCAGCAATCCAGCCTACGCTGGTCAGCCTCAGCCCCGTCTGGTGCTCATCGGATCCGTCCGGCACGCCAGCCCCGACGAAACACACATCTACAATCTGCGCCTGTTGGCCCACGAGCTCCGCATCCGCGATCAAACTACCTTCGTATGCGATGCCAGCTGGCCCGCCATGCTATCCCACCTCGCTACTGCTTCCGTTGGTGTCAACGGCATGTGGAATGAGCACTTTGGCATCTGCGTCGTCGAGTACCAGGCTGCTGGTCTCATTTGCGTAACCCATGACTCGGGCGGTCCACGTGAAGACATCGTCATCGACCTTGGAGATGGAGCAACTGGCTTCCGAGCTGAGACCGAGGAGCAATTTGCTGCTTCTTTCGAGGCAGCCCTTGCTTTGCCAGAGGAGGAGAAGGTTGCTATGCGATTGCGGGCGCGTCGCTCAGCACTACGCTTCACTGAAGAGGAATTCTCCCGGAAGTGGCTAGATCAAGTGCAGAAGCTTGTAAAAGCGACGAAGTAGCAACCGGTTTTCTTGTGATATCCCTATGGAAATAGACGAATAGCATTTCCTTCTTTTGCTCGTATCTAGAATACTGCCGGATCGTATGTTTGCAAGCTTGGACATTCGTTTCAAGTAATTGGCATCATTACATCTTGCCCTCCTATGGATCCCAACGTCTTGCTGGTACGGAGTAGTCCCGAGGTCGTTCTCGGTGTCTTTTTTTCCATCGTCGTCCAAGGTTGGCAAGGCATCGCCGTACTTTATTATGCCGATAAGAATGAAATATGTCAATCTTACTCTGTATACTATAAATGCTATGCGGCTATCAATTCCATGACCACAGCTGAAGGGCCAAATTCAAATTCGTAACAATCGTAAAACAGAGACAGAAGACAAGGCTGGTCTAAACCCCCGAACCAGGAATAATGATCCACTTCTCGACTCCAAGGTTCTCGCCAAGTACACAGTTGTAGTATAACATATCGACATGACAACAGTCTAATCGCTATCACTGGGCTCACCGCCGTCGGATTCAGCGCCCCCTGTGTTTTGAATCCCCTCAGCCATGATATACTCATTCTGCTGAAGGACCTTCTTAATTTCGTTGTTGTTGTAGACCAGATCAGCCGGCTTCTGGCTATGCTTGTTGCGCACTCGGGGATCGCAACCGGCCTCGCACATCATGCTGATCATGTGTAGACCTAGCTCGGCGTCTTTCTCGTTGGAGTATCGCACGGCAGTGTGTAAGGGTGTATCTTGGTCCATGCGGGTCAGGGGGTCACATTCAAAGAACTGGATGTCGAACAATGCGTCCATAGTCTCATCTATCAATACCGTCAGTGGATGACCTCCAGAAACAGGCACCAATGTTAGGATGTTGATACTTACAGCTGCCATATTGGGCACAGATGTGCAAAGCATGGTTTCCCATGGAATCAGTCACTTCATTGAAGAATTGTGCCACCTCTTCATTCGTCTTGCTTTCCATGTCGCCCAGGACTTGCTCAATTAGGTGGGGTTGGTCCCTTCGGCAGGCTTCCACGATCAGCTCGCGGGGTGACGCGCCCTGTGAGAGTTTAGCGTCGATCAATGCAAGGGTGAAGACGGTGCATACCTCATCAGCCATCTTGATTATCGGTGTTCGGTCCGGAAGGCCGGGTGTCAGGGTACAGCGGTTAGGGATGCTGCGGAGCGGAGCTAGTCTCAGTAGGCAGGTGTTTCTTTCGTGCGGGCGTCACCAACAAAGTAGCTCTGTCGGCGTGATGTAGACGATATGTACAGAGTGGATTGTTTAGGGAAATTCGTAGGGTGTTATCCGAGCTCCTGATCAATACAAACGGTTATCGCTGGTCGACAGGGACATCCCACGCGCGGGCCGTCCGGACTATTGATCTTCCGGTATCAGTTTAGCCGCGCGCCTGGAACACCGGGTTATCGACGGCGATGTTTGCGCCGGATAAGAATCACCTTTCTTGAAGGCTTCACTTTTCCTCACTTGACAGGAGGCTTCCGTGGTCACAACCTGAGCTTTTCCGCTAAGATATCTCAACAGAGGCTGCCACAATGCTGATCTGTAAGTCATGACTTCTCGAAGCCGGCTTTGTTCAGCCTCACCTCCAACCCTCAGCTCTACGCAACTACTGACTGTGCTATCATAGTTTGCCCCAACTGCAGCAATGCACTCACCATCTCCAAGGCGGAGCCCAGCACGAGATATCCCATGGGAGTCAACCGCTTCGAATGTCGAACCTGTCCCTACGAATCACCACTGGATAGAGAATGGTTCGAAAGCACCGCTCTGAAGGAGAAGCAGGTCGATGATATCTTTGGTGGTGCGGAGGAATTTGCCAATGCCGACAGTGTTGCCAGTGAGTCACCCAGAGTGCTAGATCCAGTTTGCGACAGTATGTGGCTGACCGAATCGTGCAGCTCAATGCCCCGCAGAAGCCTGCCATGGGGAACGTGCATACTTCTTCCAGCTGCAGATTCGCAGTGCAGACGAGCCCATGACCACATTCTTGAAGGTACGTTACTCCTTACTTCCCAGTGAGGTACCCGTTTTCTGACAGCTCCAGTGTACTTCGTGCGGTGCTCGCTGGAGAGAGAATTAGAGTTGGAGAGCTGGTTGCAGATTCTTTGAGTTTTACAGTTTTTTTTTGTACAGTTTTACAGCGAGGTGCAAATGGCGCATATTCACGGGCCAAAAATATCGAATTCAGTTCAGATTGCAGATTGCAGATTTCAGATACCCAAATTGATCGACGTCACCGTCCAACGCACAGATTATTATTTTTGAGATCAGCGGGTAATTTGGGGGGATTTTTTTATTCTCTTGATTCTTGGGTCTGTTATTTTTGCCTGAGATATTAAAAATCATGCATTATATTTGGACGATTTCACTTTAAGCTTCATATAGGTCATAATAATATGCGTATTAAAAACCGGTCTAGCACAAATGTAGAGCCCGATAGCTATATGAATCATAGAGGCAAAAAACAAAAGGCACTAAAAAACTAAAGTGAAACCACCAAAAAATGCAGAGATTTTCCATGCATGACATTGTTGGTGGGATGGGTTGGCGGTGAGGGTGTGCCCCTCATCCGCGGGGTTATGGTCAAAAGAAATATACGCATTGGCTTGATATTCACAATCATTTTGATAGCTAAAAAAAACAGGAAAAAAGGAATGTAGAGGGTGTAGGGTAGTATAAACAGTGCAAACTAAACAAGATTCTCACCCAACCTCTGCGTTGCTGCCCAGTTCGAGCGTTTAGAGCCACCAATGTGGGCTGGGAAGGAGCCATGAAAAAAAAAAATTCGTACTGAGTGGAGTACCGTGAACGAGGGAACCAGGGTAACGGAGGAGATATGAGGGCAACAAGGTAGCAGTACAAGCTCTAGTGAGGTAATGAATATGCTGTAGCAAGTACCTATACTTTGTCCCGTCAGCCCACTTTGCAAAATCTGCGTCGACGGCTAGGAGCGAGAGCCAATGGCAAGTGCGACCCAAAGAGGGCTGGGCCCCACCTGCTGACTCGCCTCTCTCGCTTGCCCCTCCATATAAGGATTTCCCCTCCTCCCCTCCCACAGTCTTTTTCTTTCTCTCTCTCGTCTGCTACAGTGAGTCCATCCCGACCCCCATACTGCTCTCCAATCCTTCGACTCTTTTACTGATTGCTCGCTTGCTCAGTACCTCAACGCGTTCTGCCGTTGTTCCTGAGCAAGTCTTCTACACAGATTTTTCTAGTATCTTCCAAAGAACTACAAAAGTTAAACCGTCACCATGGGGTATGTTACGCTCATCTCAGCTTCACTACGAATCACCTGTCTAACCCACCGTGCAGTAAGGAAGAGCGTTCCCACATCAACATCGTCGTTATCGGCCACGTCGATTCCGGCAAGTCTACCACTACCGGTCACTTGATCTACAAGTGCGGTGGTATTGACCAGCGTACCATCGAGAAGTTCGAGAAGGTAAACAAAACTTCATCTCACTTCATCATAACATGCAATGCTAATCCCTATCACAGGAAGCCGCCGAGCTCGGTAAGGGTTCCTTCAAGTACGCTTGGGTTCTTGACAAGCTCAAGGCCGAGCGTGAGCGTGGTATCACCATCGATATCGCCCTCTGGAAGTTCCAGACCGCCAAGTATGAGGTCACCGTCATCGATGCCCCCGGTCACCGTGATTTCATCAAGAACATGATCACTGGTACCTCCCAGGCCGATTGCGCTATTCTCATCATTGCCTCCGGTACTGGTGAGTTCGAGGCTGGTATCTCCAAGGATGGCCAGACCCGTGAGCACGCTCTGCTCGCTTTCACCCTCGGTGTTAAGCAGCTCATCGTTGCCCTCAACAAGATGGACACCTGCAAGTGGTCCGAGGACCGTTACAACGAGATTGTCAAGGAGACCTCCAACTTCATCAAGAAGGTCGGCTTCAACCCCAAGTCCGTTCCCTTCGTCCCCATCTCCGGCTTCAACGGTGACAACATGCTCGAGGTTTCCACCAACTGCCCCTGGTACAAGGGTTGGGAGAAGGAGACCAAGGCCGGCAAGTCCACCGGTAAGACCCTCCTTGAGGCCATCGACGCCATCGAGACTCCCGTCCGTCCCTCCAACAAGCCCCTCCGTCTTCCCCTCCAGGATGTGTACAAGATCTCCGGTATTGGCACAGTTCCCGTCGGCCGTGTCGAGACTGGTATCATCAGCCCCGGCATGGTTGTCACCTTCGCCCCCGCCAACGTCACCACCGAAGTCAAGTCCGTTGAGATGCACCACCAGCAGCTCAAGGCCGGTAACCCCGGTGACAACGTCGGTTTCAACGTCAAGAACGTTTCCGTCAAGGAAGTCCGCCGTGGTAACGTCGCCTCCGACTCCAAGAACGACCCCGCTGCCGGCTGTGACTCCTTCAACGCCCAGGTCATTGTCCTGAACCACCCCGGTCAGGTCGGCGCTGGATACGCTCCCGTTCTGGACTGCCACACTGCCCACATTGCTTGCAAGTTCTCCGAGCTCCTCGAGAAGATCGATCGCCGTACCGGTAAGGCCACTGAGGTCTCCCCCAAGTTCATCAAGTCCGGTGACGCCGCCATCGTCAAGATGGTTCCCTCCAAGCCCATGTGTGTTGAGGCATTCACCGACTACCCCCCTCTCGGTCGTTTCGCCGTCCGTGACATGCGTCAGACCGTCGCCGTCGGTGTCATCAAGTCCGTTGAGAAGAACGCTGGTGGCGCTGGCAAGGTCACCAAGGCCGCTGCCAAGGCTGGTAAGAAATAAATGATTCTCGGATGAAATTATGCCGTGATGATTTTTTTTTGCTTCAAAAACAATTATGGATCGAGCTAGATTTGACGTGTAGTTGCTCTGAATACTACGTGCTTTCAACTCACTTCTTCTAAATGTAAACACTTGTAGACTTCCTTAAGCTAGACCACATGTATGTTCCTTACCACCTAGACACTCAAGTCCACTCATGCTACCATCGTGCTTCAATAATGTTGCCGTAAGTCCCGAGGTCCCAAGCTGTGGTTAACCCAGGCTTGTCCCAAGGCCTCGACACGTTCCAAGGTTATAGTCATATCCATGTCACCGTTCCTAGAACCGTAAAGCCATTGTTAAGCACTCTACATCCAAAGCGCATGCGCATACGAACCTACCAGTCTTGAAGTTGATTCGCTTCATCCAGCCTGTCTTGCCTGAACCTGGAAGTCCCAAGGTCTACTAGTTAGATAATGACAATATCCACTGAATGCTCGTTCTCATTCTGGTAGTCACGCCTTGAACTCAGGACGCTAAGATATGTATCCAAGCCTTGCTTTGTGCCCGAACCATCATTACTCCACCAAGCCGTGTTCATTCCGTGTGTACCAAACAGTTGAGACACGATTGGCCAATGTGTGGTATTGATCACCAATTCCCACGGCGCGAATAAGTAGAGTATACCCCCAGGTTGTTCAGGCGATGTATATACCACAACCTCCAGGGCTATGTTGAGGCGTCTTCTCGCTGGCGGGATACATACGTGCGGGCACGGTGGATGGCTGGTTCATATATATTCGTCGTTAGCTTGTGCTCAGACGTGACTGCTTGATCTGCTCGGCTGTGGACGGGAATGAAGGGTCGAGAAATCGAAGGGAGCATTGCTGAAGTGGCGGGGGTGTTTGAGCTGGTTATTCAATCGGTGGTTTGGTTGTGGACGGTGGAAGGCTCGTGGTGGGCTCGAATTGGTGTCGTGGCCCGTGGGAGATAGAACACTCATTTGTGCCAGTGAAGACAGGAATCTCAGCCTTGGAAGGGGTCTGTTGTTGGCTGTATGCAGCTTCTGGGGGCTCGTTGCATTCGCATTGGAATCGTAGGGAGATGGTTGGAGGCTCAAGGGCTGATGTATTCTTTGGATAACTCACTTGGCTATAAGCACTTGGATTGAAGATTCCTGGTCTATGCAAGGCTAAAAACACTGCCGGTAAATTTGGCTATGAGTCTATAATCTGGGAATTATGCAAGTCTGTGGATTTCACCGGCATCTACCAAATGTCACATTCCTTTGTTCGACTTGATGTTCAATCAAGTGCGTAGTTGAGCCGAGTCCCTCTATCAACTGGCGAACATTCGAGCAGCAGGTATGCAAGTGTTCACAGAACTGCACAACAATATCGTAGGGTATCAAAATTGCATCTATTGCCAAGTATATCAAAAGACTTCACTCGCTGTCATCGTACGCCTCAGATCCATCAGACTCCTCATCCTCTTCTTCTTGTTCTTCCTCCTCATCAGCATGAGTACTAGGACGCCTAGGAGCCCGCCTCCTCGCCGACTGCGGAACCGGAGTCACTCGAGCCGCCGGAGCCTCTTCCTCATTTACATGACCATTAGCCTGACTCGCCGGCTCCTCAATCTCCCTAGGCTTAGTACCCAAACTCCTCGCAAGCCTCCCCTCAAAGTCCGCAAGCTCATCCCTCTCAAAAGCAGACATGTCCGCAGTAGGGCCCGCCTCCTTGCCGTAGACAGTACGCACCATCCCAGCAACAGCACCAGTCCCAACTTCAACCTTACCCCGCGGCCCAAGCATGTACTCTATAATCTCCTCGCCGCCATCCACCTCCCGCGTCTTAACAAGATACCCCTCCTTGCATAACCGCTGCAAAAGCTTATCCGTGCGATCGAGGGGTGTCGAGACATCCGCGTTCGTGCGCGCAAGATACCGATCAAGTTTCTGCTCCGCGAGCGAGCCGTTGTTTAACGTAATCAAAGCAATGATAAACGTATAGATCCCCGTATAGGTACTCTCAACAAACAGCGACGGCGTCTTTGTCGGGACCAGGATCTCAGCGCTGCGGTATTCGTGCGGTAGCGTCGATGTCACGATCCAAGACTTTGTCGTCGAGGCTTTCTCGGTTTTTTGCGCAGCTGCGGGGGTGGAAATTAGAACACATGCAATGCGAGAAATTGGATAAGGGCGAGGTCACTTACCGCGTCTCTGTGCAACGGTTGCCTTTTCTCGCGCTGGTAACTCGGTCATCTCCATGCCGAATTTCGAGCGCAGCTCGCATTGCGCTTGCTCGAAGACTGTCTTGAATGAACCGCTGCCTTGCTCGCCGAGTACTTTGGCGCTGATGTCTGGTCGTCGGATTGGGAGGCGGGAGTATTCGCTTGCGAGTGCTAGTCGGACCATTTTTTTGACCATTGCGTCGGTGCTTGTTGGGGCGCTGGGTCCGTCGCTGTCGGAGCCGTAGGAGTCTTGTCGGCGCCGACGCGCTGGGTTGGACTCGGAGTCTTCATCTGAGTCTGACTAGTTGGTGTTAGAGGGATTTGGAGACTGGTTTGGAGGGGCTTTACTCTTCTTCTTCGAGGCATGGTTGTTGGAGTCTGTGGTGTGAGAGACGCGACGCGATAGAACGATTATACCCCAATCGGCGATGGTCTGTGCGTTCTTATCGATAGACAAAGAACGGCTTTCAGTCGCTGCGTTTTACCTTTCTTTGAGAGAGTCGAGGTCAGAATGGGATAAATTAGAGGCTGGTAGAATAGGAGAGAAGGTTGGGGTATTTTCTTTACCTATTTATAGCAGAGGGAATTCACTACATAAAGAAGCCAAACAAAGTACAAATCAGGAAAAAAAGAATGGTATAATGGCACAAGGCTAGCCGCTAGGTACATCCAACGCAACAAAACACCGAGGTATTATTTTCTCTAGAAAGGAAAAAAAAGACGCTTCAAGCAAAGCACTCTAAAAGCCGGAGAAGAAAAAAAAACAGAACTCAGTGGCTGTTCTTCTCCACAACCTCCTTCACCTCCTCCTTCTTAGTTTGCAAGAAAGTGCTGATCCACGCCAACGACTCCTGCGACAGCACCAAGCTCGTAGTGACAACGGCCTTGCCGGAAGCGAAGACGCCATCACCCCCGCACTTCTTGTACTCGGATCCGTAGATGTCGTACAGGTGAGTCTTGGCATCGCCGGCCAGGCGCGCCGGAAGTGAGGCCCGGTTGTAGATGGAGCCGCGCAGCTTCTGGGTATCTTCCTTGATGATGGGGAAGCGGGTATCGAACTGGGTGAGGCCCTTGTCGCCGATGGAGTCGGCGCGGGCGAGGTAGGGTGCTACATAGCTGTAGGGAGTGGAGAAGTAGGGGAGCACGGGCTTGGCCAGGGTGTTGTAGCCTTGGTCGACCAATTCGATGGACTTGGCTCCGTAGGGGTTGCCTTTGTAGTAGGAGATGGAGTCGGAGACGATGGGGTAGGAAGTCAGATGCTGGAGGATTTTGTGTTAGTAAATAGACTCATGATTCTTGATTCTTGGGTTGGGTGTTGAGTTAGGGTTGCACATACGTCGAGGAAGTGGGAGTGCTTCTCGCCGTTGACGATTGGTTCACCCATTTTGGATTCTGAATGGGGCATGGAGTGAAGATTCAGAGAGATTGAGAGAAGAGAGAGAGATTCTAAGAAGAGAAGAGAGAAGAGAGAGAAGAGAGAGGCAGAGATAGCACTTTGTATAGAAAAATAGGATTTTCACATGTGATTGCGGCGTCATGCAACTGGGCAAGGCCTTAGCGCAGTATTTTTGCGTTTTGGTTTTCGCCTCGCGAGCTACTTGGTATTTTATTTGGGTTTTCTTTTTCTTTGGTCTTTGGCTCTGACCTTCTCTTTCCCGTGTTCTCTTGGAGGGGTTCCGGAATCTATAACCTTCCCGCGAACCATTGACTTTAGAGACTCTGGGATTGATCTTCAATTACTACCAGCGCAGTCCTTTGGAGCCGTTTCTAGTCGTATCATTTCCAATCCAATTGCGAATCGACCGGAAACAGCACAAAATAGCAAACTGGTAGATTCCCATGTGAAAGTGGGTCGCTGTCAGTTGGGTCCCACTTGCTTTCTTATCGCGGATCTACTTGACCTTGTACTTCGACAATACCTGTTATGTTCACTTTGTACTGCTTCTATACTCTCACTGTTAGACAATGAATGCGACCTTACCTATCAGCACCTTCCAAGGCTGATCTCATATATCTGTCATACTCCAAACACCCTTCCATGGTTCTGATTCGCACTGCTTATTACTCCGTGCTTATCTGCAGAACCCCCGGGGCCAGACTGCCCACTTGGGCCAAACTTTGTCGGCTTCCAAGTCTCAGTATCAGCCACTGAGCCCTCTACATGAGTGTGCTCTCCCTGCCTCCCTCTCGGCCTGTGCATACCTCCTCTAAACTTTGGAACTAAGAGTCTGGACCAAAATACGTAAGGTACTTTTGTTCTTGATTCGTCGAACCCTCTTCATCCGAATCTCGGCGCTTGTTTGAAACATCTAGACCGTTGTGTTCGAGAGTGCGACCATGACTATGACGCTTTATGCACCCTTGTGCATCCAAATGTCCAAATGTTTGTGATGCCTCTGGAGTCTTGCCAACCGACAGGGGTCTTCGGTACGCTTAGGGTCAGCCGGAGATTGCGACGTTTCGTAGCACATGAAAGACTAAAAATGCAGACATACGAAAATACCGAGTGCTGTTCAAAATCGTGATTCTTATATGAAATAATATCTTAATATTCCTATCTCCAGCGAACGGGCTCCTGTCGATCGAGTGGCCACTCGATTAAGCTCTTGTGCAGATCCAATGGGTAACGGTAAGCCGGGGCCACTTCCAGGTGCAACCTAATGCATACATCTAACATTATTGGTACTTCGTACTCCGTACAAACCTCGCATTAGCCCCTTCTCCATATTTGTTGGGATTATGTCACCCATCTCAACCCCCGGGGCCACTGCACGCCCGTGACATTACCCTTGAACTCATACAGGCAATCGGTCAATACAGTTATACAGTTCGAGAGATCACGCCATTTAAAACGTTCCTCTGATACGGAGTACGGAGTACACCGTGGCAGATCACCCAAACGTGATCACCCCTTGTAAACCCAAGTGGCGTGCAAGAACCAAACCTACCCTATTCCGTATCCCCCAGCCCTATCAAGTTTCAATGGAGGGTAGTGATCCGTGATTCGCTGTCAATTCACATGCGAAACATGATACATGCTACATGCTACATGATACATACATGATCCCAATTTGTGCTGCCTTGAGTCACATGAAATTGAGAATACTCGTCCAGGCCCAATAACAATCGATGCCGAATTTCTCTTCTCGAAGCGCTTGGTCCACCTTGGCGGGGCTAGGAGAATGGACCTGGTCCCTGAATTGGCCCTGAGACTCCCACGTCGACATCCGTGCCAAGCGGGCTATTTGCGCTGATGCATTGATGGTGTTCATTCTAGACCACGCCACTTGGCGGAATGATGGCTTTGCAGGTTTCTTAGGGGCTATCATGTGATTTTACACGGTTTGGTGTATGTCGGTAAACGCTGTGGCAAACGGTTCTTCTGATTAACTTGCTCATTGTAGACATCCAGTGGGAAGATTGCCTGTTGAAATAGGTCGTGCTGTCCTCTGATGGCGTGAGAATGGGCGATGCGACTTGCTAGAAACGTGCGGAGTACAGCGGGGTACACGGTTTCAAGGGGACATAATGTGGACGTGGGGGTGATGGAGATACGCGGGGGTCTTGGGCGGTTTTCTGTGAATTGTACCTATGAGATGGTCTTGTCAGCTACATCTTCGGCGTTCGATGTTTCGGTACGCGAGCCGGGCGATTGGTGGCTGGGCTAGGAATTGGGGTTTGCGGAGTCCCCATCTCTGCAAAATGGGGGTTCGATGAGGCCGTGACTGCTGCTGACTGCTTTTTTTCGTCGGTCATAATGAGATCTACCCCGTTCCCAGGAAGGATCCAAATGTACCAAGGTGAATATTCGTTTCGCACGGTGTATCTTTTGCCTGTAGCCAGATGTTCCTCCAAATCTATAGCTTGCGGGGCATATGGAAGATCCTGGATTATATGCCAGGTTGTGGCATCCTGGCTCAGCACTGATGAATTGTGGACTTGGAATTATCGTTGGGTTGTTCGAGTAGCAGATTCTGAGGCTGGAGAGCACAATTCTTACAGAGGAGAGGGAGTCAAGCAACGGAAAGAGTAGAGCAGTGGGTAAAGTGGGCAATAAGGAGGTCTCCATTGGAGCGAAGCTCCGTCCAGATGCTTCTGGTTTTACAACTATCTACATATTAGGATATCAACTTCTCCGGGCGTAAAGCCTCGGGATGCATCGTGGTAGTCGTTGTAGCCTTTGTTGTAGCACATATCATGCAAAGCTGTATTCATGATCTTTCAAGGTTCTTATTCCCATGGGTTATTACGATACACAGAGTTCAAGATCAACTTAGTAGAAGGTAGCTTATAAGGCACCGCTAATCATAGTTGGGGAGCATCTTGATCACCACGAAGAAACAATCGGCAACAGAACTGCACTGCGAGATGATCACCTTGGCTTGAACTTACATTTGAGATATCTAGTTTCTACCCGTTTTTGTTCTTTCTTTTATCTCTTATTTAGATTGTTTTGGAATTCATTCTTCGTTTTTGCTCTCATTTTCTCGAATTCGCAGGCAAAGAATTACACCTAGCACCAACATTTTGGTGATCAACTCGAGCACGCATACTTATTCAGTCGATTTGAGAAAATAAAAATCTCACATATGAGCCACTGCTTCTGTCATGCGAAGCTAATTATTATTAATATCCGTATATAACCTCGTACGCAAAGAAATTCCCCAAAAAGAGCCACAACCTTGGAGAGAGCTTGCCCGATGCACCAGTATTCAAGTGGTTAAGTTGCATGCGCGAACATCTCTCGACAAGCCAATAGAGACTGACGTCCTGGGTGAGTAACCAGAATTATCCATGGATGCATCAAGAATTTCTTGTCTACTCCAATGGGATTGTTGGGACCCTAAGAACAACACTAAATCCCCCAACCGAGTCAGACTGCTGGTAAAGAATGAGCAACCAAAGACCCCAGAATGGAGTAGTTATCATTTCTCCACTCGGCGGTGCACAAATTGGGAAATAGAGACCACCATTCGTTGACTGAATAGTAATCTCAGCAGCAAAGAACGGTGGAGGTGGAATCTTTTGCATGAACCTATCTGGAAGATCAGCAACCTTCTCACACTGTGCTTTGATACGCTGCCAGTCGGCATGATGGTGCCGATTGAAGTGAGAAGTCCACGCAAGGTCAGTGTTGCTTTCAGCCAGACTTGCGGATAAATCCCAAATGAGGTATTCCGTGCTGACCCACCTGTTCAGGCTGAGTGGTGTGGGGCATGTGTTTAAAGCGTCGCGTTGCACTTCGCAGTTCATAGTTATGAATGGGTTTGCGCGCATTGCGACTGTGGGGACCCTGTAATGTCTGTGGACTGAATCGTCAGAGAATTCCTCGTCGGGATGTTCCATTATGGGTTTGTCGATTTGGAGCGGTTTGGCTACATTTTTTCCTGATTTGTTTGGGAGCATGAGGTCGGAATAGGTCTCGATTTTCTGATATTCGATCGTGTAAGGCTTGGTTTTAGTGGTGTTCATCTTGAAATAGTTTTGGCTTGGTGTTTTGCTTTCGCGGGATTGGAGCCATTTATATACTCAAAGCCAGGTTCAGAGAAACAATGGGTATTCAAAGGGTCATTGTTAGACCCAAGTTTCAAGTGTTGACAGGTTGCTGATAACGCTCATTGTTGATTTCCAAGGTTGATAGCGTCGATTTAAACAACCTTCCAGGGATCCAAGGATGGAAACTTGATGGATCAATGCGGCTCTTTGTCTGGAGCGACTAGCGCGGCGATTTGATTGTTGATGATCACAAAGCCAAAGATGCCCAGGTGGCAACCATGGAACTACACATGGTCTGCTCTGGTGGGTAACGTCCGGAGTCAATTTGGCTGCACAGCTGGGTAGTTGGTGCCTCAAATGCGGAATGTAGTACCTAGGTAAATCTTGCCCAGGTGGCGGGGGTGGGGTTGATCGGAGATGATCTATATTTGTGTCGAAGACCTCTGACTGGGATCAGGACCTAGACCTTTTCAATCGCCAAAGCATAGGTTTCGTTTTAAGACCAAGGGCCAATCTACTAAGATCTCGTTGAACCACGCCCTCTTCACTCGGTGGCTTCAAGCAAAAGAATGGGAGTATCCGTAGGTAGCCAAAGTTGTGTTGGCGTCTACGAGTATGAAACGCAGAGAAGTGAAACGCAAGGCCAGAAAGTGTCAATATCAACAAATCAAGACTCATATTAGACCAACACCTCGTGACTACGAGGTCATTCATCGGTGATCTGCGTCGAGATCTAGACCAGAATCCAGACTCAAGAGGGAAAATGTTGCGGTTCACAGGTAAAGACAACATTGATTTTTGAAATAAATTGTTCATTTTCCATTTCATTCAGACGGACACCAGGTATGGAAGTGGCGCCCCTCGTTAAAACTGGAGTTCATCGACACAATCCCGAATCTGATTCCAGCTATGGTATATGTTTTCCCATCCCATGCTCGCAGGGGACCGAATGTGCTCGATGGTTTTTCGACCTCGCCTTCACCTAGACCCGTGCGCTCAAAACGACAAAACGCCCAAGTAAACCGTTTAGAAACCTGCAAAAGATTAGCGTTGCGATTCAACAAACAATATATATCCAGGCACATACGCAGGGCAGTGAAGAACCAACGGTTCTTGCCGCTGGTGTAACGGTCCTCAAGAGCCTTCTTGATGTTCTTCTTGGCGTCCTCGCGCTGGGAGACCTCCTTGAAAGTGTCGTTGGAGACGGTTCCCTTAAGACCCTCAAGCTCGAGAGTGTAACGGGTGGGCATCAAGTGGTTGTAGTTGACGACCTTGATGAAAGGCTTGATGCGGCTGCGGCGGTCGACGAGCTTCTTGCCCATACCACGGGTCACCTTGAGGGGGTAACGCTCGATACCGGCGACGATGGCGTAGGAGAAGGGGTGCGACTTGGAGCCAGCATCGTTAGGCTGGACAATGACGACCTGTTTCGAGGGAAAAAATGCCTGGTTAGCATTCTGAAATTTTTGCGCATTTCCGGTCCCTCTTCGCTCTCGAATATATTTTTTTTCTTTCCAATGCGTGCGCTTGTCGAAGTCCGTCGCTTGCATATCGTCCATCTCTTTCCGGTTCATGTTCATTGTCGGGGGAGGAGTTTGTCGTACCTTCTTACCGGCGTAACGGCCACGGGTGATGATGGCCACACGGCCGACTTTCATGACTGTAGCATTTAATTAGCACGTAGTTCGTGGGGCATATCGGACGATCGTAACGTACACTTCATTTTGAAGGTCCCGGGGGCGGCGAGGATTGGTGGTTGTCGAGATACGGAACGGTCAAGCTCGAAGTGATCGTTTTTTCGGAGTGAGAGGCAGAGGGTTTCAGGGCACACTCACCATTGTGTGCCGATCTGTGATTGGTTGACTTACCGACAGATGGTGTCTAAACCACTTTGGGACTAGTTGCCCCAGAGAGATGACATAAGCGACTGAAGTGGGGTTCACCGCCTTTGGGCAGTGCTTGGCATTTGGGCAGTTTGGGCTGACTCAGTTTGTTTACGCGGCGATCGTAGTTGCCCCGGTTGCTATGGGCCTAAGGTGATGTGTACGCCATACTACTTTCTCCAGACACACTAGTCGACCTTGTTTTCTTCTTATCAAGCTGATCTCCCGGTGACTTTCATCTCCAAACTTTGGGATTGTCAGCTTTTGCTTTGTTCTTCCAGCGTTTCCTCCCTTGTGTTGATATGCCCTTTGACGACCTTGCTTCTATTCTGACTTAATCCGCATTCTACATTACTTCACCACATTCCCACCCTCCCATATTGTCAATACTTGTCTGAGACACCTTGACAATCCATTCACGAACATCATGCCAGGTCAGGACAGGGACGTTCCCCGTGACCGCGAATTGGTTCGACACTCGATGTCACACTCCGAGTCTAAAGTTCCCATGTAGGTGACCCACTCATAACATTGCGCTCCATGAGTGAATTCAAACAAAAGCTAAAACGCGGTCTGCGCAGGTGGGACAGTTCCGATCCCGAGCGTGCGCCTCCACCGCTACCAATGAATCCTCGTTCAATGAGTCCGTCAATGAGCCCGACGACGAGATCTCATGTTTCTCCCGGCATTCAAGCCGTTGCTGCGAAGTTCACAGAGAAGTCCAGCGACAATGCGCCGAGCTCATACACCACAAATCCAATGCCACCCAAATCCTCTTCTCCGGAAAGGTCGTTGATCAAAGGTCAACATCATAAGCGCATGCAGTCCTTGCAACCTGAAGATACCCGGCAGGATGCGCGCAGCGAGTTCATGACCTACCTTGAAAACCGATCACCGGAGCGACCTCTTCGTGCGACAATCGTCGAAGGTACGAAGCAGCGCGACCCAAGCAAGTCCACCAGTTCGCCGTCGCTTCGGCAAGACGCAGAAAAGGATGTGACATATTCGCTATCAAGCCGTTACCTTTCCAAACCAATATTGGGCGAGAGTACTCCGCCATCTGCGACCATGTTAGCTTTACAAAACATGCAGCTCCCCATGGAGCCCGACCCTCCTTCGCCCTCCAAGCCTCCTAAAATGATCACTGCGCCATTCGAGCCTCGACCAGCGCCCATCCAAAATACAAGCATGGATTCGCTCGCCAGCCAGATCCACAGTCTTACCGACATCGCCAGCAGTTTGCAACGCGAAATGATGAACCTGAGCCGACGCAGCAAAGATAATGCCACCGATCTGGTCAGCCTCAAGGCGGCCACCAACGCCCGTGACGAGGATATTCGCAAGAGTCTCAAAGAGTTGTCTTCCCACCTCACAACTAAATATCTGGATACCGAAACCTCAAGGTTTGATTTCAGTAATCTTTTCAAGGGTGGTGATGGGCCTAACCCCAAGGATCCGGATAGTCCCGTGTCGAAGAGAAGCTACTCGGTCCCCCGTATGCCCAGCCCTAATCCGTTTGCGTTTGACCGCGACTCTTGCGTTTCGCCCGCACCGATCTCCGACGGTTCCGCCGCTCTTGCTTTGCTCGAAAAGGTATTGCGCGAGATGGCAACAAAGGAAGGTGAGGAGAGGCTCTTGGAGCTGGTGGAAGAACTCAAGTCTCGACCTGCCGCCACTGCGTCCGACAAAGAGGCCGACACCAAAGTCACCGCCATGCTCGAGGAAATCCTCAACTTGGTGAAGGAGGACCCCGCCAGCAAAGCCCTTGTTCGGTCATACGGCATGGCAAACAACCTCAGCGCCCCTGAACCGGACGACGAAACCGAGCCCACACGATCTCGCTCAGTAGACCCAGAGACTGTACGTGCACTTGATCTTTCTAAGTCTGACAAGGGAGACATGATTAGCCCCAATTCTGAAGAAGTCTTGGCTGTCCTCACAAGCGTCAAAAACAGCGTGGTCGAGTCTGGCGGAATGACAAATGGTGTTAAAAGTCTGGTGCGTGAATTGCGAGGTGAGGTGCTGGGGATGGGCCGTGAACTTGGCCGCAGACTCGACGATATCGAGACCACCCGCGCCAACGATGAAACGGACGACAAGCCCCGAGCTGCCGGCCCTGAAGAGATCTCTGCCATCGTGAATCGCAGTCTTGACGACCTTAAAGAGCAGCTGGCTGCCACCATTAATGAAAGTCGCCAACAATCATCCGACCTGGCCGAGTTCCGAGCAAACATGAACAGCGCTGCAGTCTATTCTGTGGTGAAGAAAGCTTTGGATGAACTTGAACTGCCACAGCCACAATCAGAGCCCCGAGGGGCTGAGATGGATCGAGATGACATCCTTGAGACTGTCCGGGAAGCCTGGGAGACATACAAGCCTGAGATCGAGTTCAACAACTTCGGCTTGGAGCGTGATGAGATCCTCACCTGCCTCGAAGAGGGACTCAAGTCTTACCAGCCACAGCACGAGGAAGCAGTGACCTACGATCAGGTCCTTGCGGCTGTTGAGGACGGCATGCAGAAGTTCAACCCACCAACCATCGAGGCGCCACCCGGAATCAGCCGTGATGAGATCATCCTGGTTATTCGCGAATGCTTGGACAAGCAAGCGGATTCTGCTCCAAGGTCCCTCGACGAAGAACATGTCGGCCACCTCAACTCTATGCGAGATGAGATTCTCGAGGCAGTGGCCAAGACCATGGCGACTCACCACGAAGGCGCGAAAGTAATCGATGATGAGCACATCAACCACTTATACGGCGTTCGCGATGAGATTATGGACACACTCAACGAGAAACTGGCTGCCACCAATGGAGACAAGTCGGTCGACGAGGAGCATATCACTCACCTCCACTCTGTCCGCGACGAGATCATTGAAGCTGTGACTTCCGCCATGGCCGCTCATGCCGCGACACCCAAGTCTCCAGAGGACGATCCAACCGCTACCCACCTCACCTCGTTGCGCGATGAAATTCTCCAAGCAGTTGCTGGCGCGATGGCCACCAATGATACAGGGTCCAAAGAGTTGAGCGATGAGCATGTCAATCATCTCTACGCAGTTCGTGATGAGATTATGGAAGCCGTGACTGGGACCATGGCGGCACAGAGTACCTCGAAGTCTGTAGATGAGGATCACCTTGCCCATCTCAACTCTATCCGAGACGAAATCCTCGGGGCAGTGGCTGGTTCAGTAGCTCAAAGTACACTGAGCAACGATTCTGGGCTTGGCCGCGATGAGATCGTTAGCGCTGTGTCTGACAGCCTTGAGGCTCACTTCACTGCAGCCAAGGAGATGGATGAACCAAACATCTCTCGGCATGACGTTATGAACGCAGTGAATGAAGCCTTCGATGCCCAGCAAACAGCCCTCAGTGCCAACAGCGGTAATTCGAGTGTCTCGCGGGACGAGATCTTGAATGCGATCGCAGAGGGAATTGAAACCTCAATGCACGCGCATAATTCGGCACTTGTCACCAACGAGCCACAAACCCTCTCCCGTGAAGAAATTCTCGGCGCCATCGTGGACGGCATTGAGCAGTCACGCTCTTCCCCCAGCACCGACGAAAAGCTTTCACGAGATGATGTTCTGAGTGCTATATTGGAGGGCCTTGAACAGTCGCCGAGCCGAACGGAACCAAGCATCTCTAGGGACGAGATCTTGAGTGCTATCGCCGATGGCATTGAGAACTCGCAGAGCAACTCCCGCTCGCTCGCCGTAACTGAGCATGAACATGAGGATGAAAAGCCTCCCATCTCCCGTGAAGAGATTCTCAGTGCAATCGTGGAGGGTATCGAGCATTCCCGTGCCTCGTTGAGCGAAGCGTCTCAGCCAAGCATTTCAAAGGAGGAGATCATGAGTGCTATTGCTGAAGGCATTGAAACTTCACAAACAAGCCAGCAATCCGCTCTGAGCACCAACGTTCAAGAGCCAACCATCTCGCGTGATGAGATTTTGAGTGCCATTTCCGAAGGTATCCAGAACGGAAATTCCGTCGCCCGAGAGATTGAACTCAACCAGGACGACTTGATGGAGGCAATCACGAACGGTTTGAACGAGGCAATTGGAGCTACGAACTTCCAAATTGGCGGAGACGTAACTGAGCGCCTACAAACCCTTGTCGATGACATGAAGGAAGAATTCAAACAGTACTCTTCAGCCAATGGCCGGGATACTGAGCAAGTTCTTGACGCTGTCAAAGATGGTATTGATGTCGTTCGCAAGGAGATTGAAACATACGTCGCTACCACCGCCGACCTTTCGGGCAAGGATGAAGTCATTGACACTGTCAAAGAAGGCTTCCGTTTACTCCATGCCGACATGGAAAAGACCATCACCGATTCAGCCCTCGCCAATGGCTCGCGGGGAGCACCTGACACCCCCGAGCTTCTGGATGCCATGGAAAAGGAGTTTGAGCATTTGCGTGGAACAATTACAACTCTTCTTCTGCGCGAAAGTGCCCCTGGCGACAAGGACGAGATCTTGGATGCCATACGTGAAGTCTCCGAGAACACCAAAACTCCTTCGGGCAATGAAGGTGTGATTGATTCCATCAAGCAGGAGTTTGAGAGTCTGCGGGAGCGCATGGACATGAGCCTTGTTTCTTCTCAGCCCGGTGCTGAGAAGGACGAAATTATCTCGACACTCCGCGAGCACTTTGACAATCTTCGGGAAGAGACTGCGAAGAGAGAGGAGAACAATTCATCCCCGGCCGAGCTCCTTGATGCGGTTACCGGCGGTGTTGACTCAATTCGTGAGGATCTAAAGAAACTTCTCGAGAAGCCGGCTGAGTTCGACAGCACCGAGATTCTTGAGACAATCAAGGATGGCCTTGCAGATTTGAAGCTTGAGATGGAGAGCCTCCGCCAATCCAACAAGGAGGCTGACGAAGCCGGTTCGACTCGTGGAGGCGAACTGATGCTCGCAAACGAAGCACCATCATCAGAGAGTGAGCCACCTACCATTGTCCCTGACATTGATGGCTTGAAAGCTCTCATCACTCAGCTTCACGATAAGGTTGAATCCACACCTCGATCGGTGGAGCCTGATGAGGATGCTTTGAAGCGCTCTCACCTCGACGAAGTTCTCGCTGCTCTTCACACCGTCCATGAGAAGGTCGAGTCAGCCCCCCCGCTCAGCAGAGCCCGACGAGGATACCTTGAAACGATCTCACCTCGAGGATGTTCTTCTTGCACTTTCAAAGGTCCAAGAAAAGGTTGATATCATTGAGTCTACACCACGCTCCGCTGAGCCTGATGAGGACACATTGAAACGCTCCCATCTTGACGATGTGCTCGCCGCTCTCCAAAGTGTGCACGAAAAGGTTGAAATCATTGAATCCACTCCTCGATCGATCGAGCCTGATGAGGATGCTTTGAAGCGCTCCCACCTTGATGAGGTCCTCCTTGCCATCCACGAGCTCCAGCTCGCCGTGGGTGAGATGAGCGCTAAACCCGCCGAAGACGATACTTCTGTCAAGAAGGAAGACACCGAAGCACTGGAGCAGCTGATTCTTAGCACCAAGGCCCAAATCGAGGAGCTAGTCTTCCCCGCGCCTGACAACGTTGCCACTCCCGAGCATATCGGAACGCTCGAAACCATGATTCGAGAAGCCAAAGAATCCATTGCGGAATTCTCCGGTCGCATGGAAGCCGAAGCCCCTACAAAGGCTGAGATCGGCACGCTGGAAGGTCTGATCAAGGATGTCTGGGTTGTCCTTGAGGAGTTGAAAAGCAGTGCCAAGGAAACCGAGCAAGAGGATCCTGCTGAGAAAATCCTTAAATCTGATCTCCAAACCGTTGAAGCTATGATATTTGAGGTCAAGACTCAAGTTGACGAGCTGAAGCTTCCCGACGTTGACACCCTGCCCACCAAAACCGACATCGAAGACCTCTCTGGATTGGTCAATGACTTCCGTGAAAAGATGGAGGCCAACAACGAATTGACCGCCCAAGGATTCGATGCTCGCAAGGTTGAGCATGGTGGCCTTGCTGAAAAGATCGATGAAGCCAAGTTCGTGGTTGGAGAGCTCGGAGATGAGTTGAAGAGTAAGCTTGACGGTAGTACCGAAGGCTTGGCTGAGCTTAAGCAGCTACTCGAAGGCCTCGCTATCACAGCCGAGAGTTTCTCTACCGTTGACAACATCAAGGAAGTTACCGATCTCATCAACCGGGAGTTCGAACGTTCTCGCGGTGAAGAAGATGCAGGCAAAATCGAGAAGGAGGAGCGAGATGCCGCCGCTATGGTCAAGCACGATGAGACACGGGCCGCTATCATCGTGGAGCTTGGCACCAAGATTGATGAAAAGATTTCTGAAGTTCTCGCCAAGTACGAAGACGCACACACCTCTCTCCATTCCAAGTTCACGGAATCCGAAGAGCGGGATGTCACTCACACCGAATCCTTGGCAAGCACTAAGAGTCTCGCTGAAGACATCAGACTTGTCATTGGATCTATGGGCGACAGTGTCAACGAAACCTGCGAACGCCTCAGTGTGGACACGAAAGCCCTCATTGAGCAAGTTGACCAGTCTCGTCAACAGCTAGAGGAGATGCACAACGATGTCAAATCCCACAAGGAGCAGTCTCAGGCCGAGACCGAGAGAGCTGCCGCTACTGCCGCTGCTACCGATCGAGTGGAGAGCAAGCTCCTCGAGTTCCACCCTCAGATCCTGGAATCCGTGCAGGAGATTCTGAACATTGTGAACCAACACTATGATCACTCCCAGAGATCAGCGGAGGATTTCAAGTCTGAACTTTCCGCGTTGCCGGCGAACATTCCTGCAATGTTACCCGCGGTTCCAGCCCAGGAGCCAGAATCAGAGCGTATGCTCGCTATTGAGGATACCCCTCTTAGCACCAAACTCGATGATATCCTGGAACACGCGCGGAATAGCCAGGTGCATGAAATCTTGAACACTCTCCTCGATCACTCAAAGGACACCAAGGTTCACGACACTTTGACTACCCTTGCTGAGAACTCGAAGAACGACCAGATCCACGAAACCCTGAACACATTGGTGGAGAACTCAAAGAATGATCAGGTTCACGAGATCTTGAGCACCCTCCTTGAACACTCTCAGAACACCCAGGTTCATGACTCGTTGAACGACATGGCTGGAAAACATGACCAGATCCATGAAAGCCTGGCTACTCTGCTCGAGAATTCAAAGAATGATCAACTCCATGAGAAGCTTGATCGAGCTCTCGAACAGGGTTCGGGCTCAAATGACCAGATCTACGAGAAGCTCAACGAACTGCTGGATCATGCAACTAGTGGCACTGGTCCCATCCACGAAAAGCTCGACGCCTTGCTCAGCCGTCCCGAGAACCCGCCTGAGTCCGACAACTCCACATCCCAGATGATGAAGTTGGATGAGATGCACAGGGATATCATGGAGAACTCTCGTAAGATGAACGAGATGTTCGCTGCGCAGTCAGTATTGGTTGCCGAAGATACTGAACGAAAACGCCGTGAAGCTGAGGAAGCTGCGATTGCTTTGGAACGCAGAGTCGCGCAGCGTGAGCAAGTGGAAGCCGAGCTTGTTGGCTTACACGAAGAGAAGGATTCCATGCTGAACATGATCCATCGTCTCAACGCTGAGAAGGAGGAAATGATCCGACAAAACAACAGGCTCACCAAGGACCTTTCTGGTCTAGAGACTGCTCTCGAGATCCGTCATGAGGAGATGCGACAGATGGAAGACCGTGCTGATGGCCTAGAGAAGCGTATTCTCGAGGGTGTCCTCGATCATGCACGCACCGTTCTTCTGAGTCGCTCCAACAGTCTCCAAGCTATGAACCTCAAACGAAACCGCAGCACTCGGAGCACCCGCAGTTCCCGCGCGGGTGCTCGCAGCCCCAGCTCGGCCAGTTCAGCCAGTACCGCCAAAGAGTCCAAGGATAACCGCAGCCTCCTTGGCAGCGGGGTTGGAATGGCTCTGAAACGTAGAATTCCGAACTCGCTCCATGCTGGAACCACTGCTGTGCAGCCGAACATCGGAAAAGAGCGCCGTATTCTCAGCCTGAGCCATGTCACTGGCAATCGTGGGGCAGACCGACAGGTCAGCGGCAAATCTGGCATTGCGAACTTGAAGCGCAGTCACTCTGTGAAGTCCAACACCCTTCGCAAGGCCTCATGGGCGGGTCCCACTTCTGTTGCCGACAAGGAAAATGAGCCTTTCCACGAAGAGGATGAGCTTGCGAGCGACACCGAGAGAGATGCTGGCCCCCGGCGACACACTAGCCATGCTGGATCCGACCGACGAACGAGCTATGCAGGAAGTGTCACTCCTTCCGACCGCAAGACAAGCTATGCAGGATCTGAGGCTGGTACCGAGCGCAAATACGCCGAGAGCAATGCTGACTCCGAACGCCGAACAAGCTACACGGGAAGCAACGCTGGCACCGAACGCAGGACCAGCTATGCCGGTACCTGCGTTGATAGTATTGCCGAGAGTGTGGTGACCGACGATTTCGACCCCCGTCGTGTCAGCGGCGTGAGCTCCAAGAATGACCACCACGTGGCGGAAAGTTCCATTGCCGAAGATGATCACGAGGATCGCGAAGATGACATCTCCATCGACGGGTCCGACTCAGGCGACGATGCCCGCACAGCCCAGGGAGATACGGAGCATGCTGGCGCAGAAGAACATGAGAATGACGAGGATCACGAATTATCTCGTCAGATCAGAGAGGCCAACGAGGCCGCCGAAGCTGAAGTCATGAAGCTGTTATCTCCAACTGCTGATAGTGGACTTGGTACAGATGTCGCTGCTTAATCTGGATTTTTTTGTTTTTGGATGGAGTTTGGTTTCCCTTGATGTTTCCCCCTTTCATATACCACTTTGTGTTTTTTTCCTCTTCGTTTTGGCCTGGATGACTTTGGGTTATGACTTTCGTTTGTGATTATGTTTAATGTTTGCTTCTTTGTCTCATGTGATGTAGTTCAGTATAGTTTCTTGTGACCGAGGTCACATACTACCAATCACGCTATTCTGCTCAACTCTTTGGGACGTTTCTTTGTAGTCATTTCTTGTAGTCACGATGAGTCCATAGAATGACCTTTACGTAGCTGATCATGTGACAGTCCCAACAAATGGCGGTTGCCTGAGGCCAAGCCGAGGCCTTCAGCCCATCTTATCACTACCCCATTCTCCCATGGAGCTAACGTTTCTCTCCTAGTCTGGGCTCGTTGGGTTTTTTTTTTCCTGTTTTCAAATTCCCCTCTCCATGGTAGACCGGAAAGGGTACCCCTTCAGCTCCATATAATTCCGACAGTCCCCTGCATCGGGTGATACAAGTAGCTACCCTGGGTACTTGAGGGGACTCCGACCATGTTGGACCCTTTCCCACCGCCACCGGCTTGGCTACGGAGCTTCGTTGAGCCCTATGCCCTCTACTACAACAGCCCGACGCTTCCCGACCACATCCATGAGGTGATCGGAGCCTTCGTTTTCTACCTCGCGATCCATGCGATTGTCTCGCCTTGGCTTTCGCCGATCCTCTTCCCGCAGTCTTACAAGAGCCTCAAGCCAAGAACACGACTGAACTGGGATATCCATGTTGTCTCCCTCGTTCAGAGTGTTGTGATCAATGTGGCCGCTCTGTGGGTTATGTACGTCGACCGCGAGCGCAGCGCCATGTCGTCAGGCGAGCGGGTCTTCGGGTACACCGGTGCCTGCGGTCTCATTCAGGCCCTCGCTGTCGGGTATTTCGTCTACGACCTGATCGTCAGTGTCATCTATGTGCGCATGTTTGGCATCGGAATGCTTTTCCATGCCGTCAGCGCTTTGTGGGTTTTTAGTCTGGGCTCTGTAAGTTGCATTGCCGATCTATCTGATCTATACCGTTATCAAATGATCGCCACTATCTATATTTTCCCCATCCCCAAACATCTTTCTTACCATTACACAGAGACCATTCCTCAACTACTATGCGCCAACTTTCATTCTCTACGAGCTCTCGAGCCCATTCCTCAATATCCACTGGTTCCTCGACAAGGTCAACATGACCGGAAGTCGCGCCCAGTGGTACAACGGAATGGCCCTGCTGGGTACATTCTTCGCTTGCCGTCTTGTTTGGGGAACTTGGCAATCTCTGGTCGTATACTCCGACATGTGGAACGCCCTCCAGCACACCTGGAACGCTGCCGCGTCTCCGCTCTCTGAGCCCGTTAGCGTCAACGCAGCTGTGTTCTACCCAGCCCGTGACGGTAGCATGTGCATCGACGAGACCTGCGCTCGCGCCAATGCCGAAATTACCAAGTACAAAGACTTCACTTCGGCTGGCGTCCCAACGTGGCTAGTCGTCACTTACGTGGGATCGAACATGATCCTCAACTTCTTGAATTACTTCTGGTTCTCCAAGATGGTTGAGACGGTGCTCAAACGCTTCCGTGGACCTGCACAAGGAGCTGACAAAGAGGGCACGGAGAAGACCCAGCTGAAGGACGACATCGTTCATGATGTTGTTCTTGAGGCGGCTTCCCAGTTGGAGCAGGATGAGAGCGCTGTCATGAAGGGTGATCTTTCTGCTTTGCAGGAACAAGTCTCTTCGGCTGTTGACTCTGGTCTTACGGATGAACTCCGCAAACGCAGGGCGGAGCTTGTTGCGAAGGTTCCCTTGCCCGGTGCTTGAGGTACCCCGCAAGTTGGAATACAGGGGTCTATATTGGGACTGGAGCCGGTGGAAACAGCTCTCCCAGGTCTGAAGCTCTTTTTCTAAAGAGCGCAGTTGAACCAATTGCTTACTTAGAGTTTTTTGCATTGCCTGATTGGTGTTCATTCGCAAATCGGACTCATCGAGCCTTGTTGATATTAGACAACCGCCAGGCCTAGCTACGCAAATGTATCCTGGTGTCTAGCTAGGTAGAAGTTATTGTTACATCGAAAACCATAAAAAAAGTTTACTCGCAGAATCGCATTGCTTCATATCAGATTTGAATTCAAGAATTTCAATCCTGCCAGTCATATCCTACACCTGTCCAAACACCACATAAAGCGCCCGATATTAGAGAAAGCAAACAGAAAAAAACAAAGTCACAGTTTTACCTGCTCGATAAACAAGTCCAAGGAGTGCACGCTATCTACCGAGCAGCTGCAGCCTGAGCCTCGGGCTTAGCCAGCATGTACCGCACAGCCTCCTTAGCAACATCAGAGTCCCAAGGGCCATCGACACCACCGTACCGGAACTCAGGCCCACTGCCATCCTCACCGCCACCACGGGTAGCTTCACCCACAATGGTCTCCAAGTCACGGCGCTGAGAGTTGATCCAGCGGCGAACAAAGTTGGCCGGGTCTTTGCTCAGAGCTGTGTAGAATGAGTGACGGGCCCGAGAGTGTGTGAGAGCCTGAACAATAAGGGCAATCTGGTCATCGAAAGACGAGATTTGGCGCAGACCAGCTGTGTAAGCAGGGTTTTGAGTGAGAGCCATCATCTTGGTGCGCAGTGGGTCCTCAACTGCGACTTGGATATCGTAGACGGTTGGGGTTGGACTGTTGTTGAATTCCTCGTCGACACGGATGGTATAGGGGAGCTTGATTGGCTCCATTGGGCTGGTGTGAGGGCCGACACTTTCGGGGATCTGAGGGAAGAACATTTGTTCACGTCCGAAGATCTGAATATGTTAGTAGATGAAAACGAATTGGCATAAAGAGACATACTGAGCGCAAGCGGTGATCGCAGCGCACTTGGCGCTTTTCTTCATCTTCCTGCAACTCCATTGCGCGAATATAGTCCCAGATTCCAAGCACAATTCCGCTTCGAGTTTCCTCTTCGACGTCCAGAACCTCGGCCAGTTCTTTGCTCAGCTTGTATCGCTCTGGGACTTCGTCTCGGACAAGACTGATAGTGACATTCAAGTTTTCCTGTGAAGCCCGGGAGAACTGTAGACTGTCGAATTCAGAGCTTGGTGGCGTGGGTGTGTTGGGGTGGGGGATATTCTTGGTCCAGTTCACAGGCTTGACCTCATCAGGAATTGCCGTGACAGGCTTGTCAAATTCGATATTGATGGCCTTGAAGAAGTGCGAGAAGCGCTGCGGTTGATTCTTTGAATCGGGCTTCTTGGCCTTGTCCGAATCGCCGTCGTGGTCCATCGCATCGTCGTCCTTCTCCTCCTCGTCGGGGACTGTGGGATCTGTTTCATCGTCTAGTAGCCGACCCTCGATGCGCACCTTGTAGCGACCGGAGCCAGGGTTGTTCCCAGATCCTTGCCAAGGCTGGTTCTCGACTGTGTTGGTGATCCAAATGCGCATTGTCCGGTACTTCTTCACTGTCTTGTTGATAGAGTCTTGAATATCAAGTCTCTTCCGAATGACTGCCGCGTCCAATCGCTTTTCCAAATCGCGGAGGTTTTTATATTGCTGAACGCCCTCGCCGATGATCACGTCTTCAATGTTGTCCGGGAGATTCTTATCGGTGGGCTTGCGGCTGCGACGAAGGGCAGCATCGTTAGGGTGGGGCATAGGACGCGGCATGTACTGCTGAGGAATCATCTGCTGCTGGACCGGGGCGTGCATGCCTATATAGATGTAACGTTAGAGGGATGAATTGGGAGGAATTGGGGAGGTCGACGTAAGAGAACGTACCTGGACGACGGGGCGCGGCTGGGGACCGATGCGCGGTCGGGGGCATGGGCCGGAAACCTGGCTGCATTGGGGCTTGCATTGCGAGGGTTATCGGGTGGAGCTGTGGATGGATGGGAAGATGCGAGATGTTGGAGTTGCGAAGTCGCGATTTTGCCGTCACGCTTAACCCTTTTCGGAATGTCGCGAACAATACAAAATGAATGATGAATGAACATACATTTTTACTACAATAGCACTAATTCAAATTCTATGTATCAATAAGATATCACAATAATGATCGTGTAAGTCTCGATTATTTCCTATCAAGTCATAGTCTAACAATAATGGCAACAGATGTCCTTACTCCAGGAGAGATGCCTGGTTAGTATACAGTCCCTCCACCACATTGCCGAGCTTCTCAATTGTGTCTAGTGCGGCATCGTAGGCCTGGTCCCGTTGTGTCTCTTCAAACACAATCAGACATCCGGAGCCCTGGTCCAACACTCCAATGATGACCTTATCCAAGATCATCTGAGAGAGCTTCCGCTCTACCTGCTGTGTATCTAGACCAACCATCTTGGCGATGTGATCCAGCTCAACTCGGCTGAAAGGCTCAATCACCTTAACCAAGTTCTGTTCCAACATGGCGTCGTAAAGACGGCGGAGGTGGTTCCGAATGAACACATCGCTGCCGAGTTCGTACCGGTAGTCCGAGAGAGCCTTTTCATATTCCTCCAGGGATCGGTTGGCGTGTGCTCGTGCCACGGCCTTCATCGCCTCCAGACGTGGACTAGCATACTTCTGTGCTTGTTTCGAGCCAAGCAATTGTGTGACATCATCCACCAGGTTCAACATGATCTTGCAAAGAAGCATGTACTGCAGTGTTGCTGTGGCCAGGTCACCCTCATCGAGCGAGTTGTATCCTTCCAGAGCTTCGATGAAATAGGAGAATGAAGTGGTAAAGTCCTTGTCTTCGGCATGAAGCATACCGCTCTGCATGTCCAGACCGGCCTGGAGGTTTGGCGGTGTGTAGACAGATGCGGCCGAAGTACGAGCCGCAGTGAGAGCAGCGCGCGCCTTGGCCTGGTTGCCCAGAGCGTGGTACACACGCGACTCGAGCAATTGTACCTCCACCAGCATCAGCTTATCGTCCAGGCGCTTCAGCTCACGGAGAAGAGAGTTGATGAGGGTGAGAGCATCGTAGTAGGATTGCTTTTGCATGTAAATCGCGACAAGTCGGGCTTGGAGGGCCTGGCGAAGGAATGATCTCCGCTCGGTGATGGCCCATTCTATGCATGATTGGATGACGCTGCCTTGGAGCTCGAGTGTGTTGGGGATTTCGCTAATAAGATCCAGAAGTTGACGGACTAGAGCGAAAATGATTAGTCGTGTTTCAACAATGTCGTACGTCGCGCAACTTACCCAACTTGGCTGTCTTCGCTTTGGCAAATGACGAGAAGGTGTCACGGCTGGTCTTGATGAGGTCTGCGATCTCTTGGGGCTTCTTTGCATCCCGGTAGGCCTCGCCCAGACCAATCAAAGCATGTTCATAGTCTCGCGAGGAGGCTTCTGTAGATCCGGGGCCCTCAGAGAGGATCTTCTGATAACTGGGTGCGGCTTTCGAGGGATCCTGCTTCACCAGATCTCGGACTTCTTGGATCCGTGGTGAGACCTTGGAGGACATGGCGGGAAGCGGCAGATGATAGGAAAGTGAGATAGGGACTGTAGGAGGAACGGACAAGAGATGATGGTGGTTTGAAGGATAGGTTGATGACCAAGTCGGACGGGGAGCTCGAAGCTGGCGGCAGCTTGTCGTCCCTCACCGCCCGGTTGGCAAATCAAACAGAAAAAAAGTTCCATCGGCGTTTTCTTTTCTTCTCTCCAAAGTTTTCTCAACAACACCATGGTAAGTGATTTTGCTCGAAATTTTTCTTATTGAATAGCTATGCTAATACATTACAGAAAATCAAAGCACTTTCTCGCTCAACGGCGTCGCAGCAGGCCCCAGGGTCTTCTACCGTTCGCCAGGCGCGCAACCTGGACCCGACCCAGCATCCTTTTGAGCGGGCCCGTGAATACACCCGGGCTCTGAATGCGATTAAGATGGAGCGCATGTTTGCCGCACCTTTCCTCGGACAGATGGGCAACGGCCATGTCGACGGTGTTTATTCCATGGCGAAGGACCCCGGCTCTCTGAACCGCTTCGCAAGTGGCAGTGGCGACGGTGTGGTGAAGGTGTGGGATCTCCCTACGCAGGGTGAGGTCTGGGAGACTCAGGGCCACGAGAACATGGTCAAGGGTTTATGTTGGACACCAGAGCGAAAACTTTTGTCATGTGCGAGTGACAAGACGATTAAGTTGTGGGATCCCTACAACTCGTCGAAGGAAGCCCCACCGATGGCGACCTACCTTGGAAACAGTGCTTTCACCAGCGTCTCACATCACCGAACCCTGCCCTCATTTGCCGCCGCATCTGGTGTCATCTCCATCTATGACCTCTCCCGGCCTTCCTCCACACCGTCGCAGACCCTCCACTGGCCCACCAGCGTTGACACTATCACCTCGGTTGCGTTCAACCAGACCGAGACATCAATTCTTGCCTCGACCGCTATTGATCGCTCGGTGATCATGTACGATCTCAGGACCTCTCAGCCTGTGCACAAGACGATTCTCAAGCTGGCGTCCAATGCTATTTCCTGGAACCCCATGGAAGCTTTCAACTTTGCCGTGGCCAATGAGGATCACAATGCTTATATCTTTGATATGAGAAAGATGGATCGTGCTCTGAACGTTCTGAAGGACCATGTGGCCGCTGTGATGGACGTCGACTTCAGCCCTACTGGTGAGGAGCTTGTTACCGCATCTTACGACCGCACAATTCGCATGTGGAACAGGGCAACTGGACACTCGCGTGATATCTACCACACAAAGCGCATGCAGCGTGTCTTCTCGGCAACCTTCACGCCCGACAACAAGTACATTCTATCCGGGTCGGATGATGGAAACGTTCGTCTTTGGCGCTCCACGGCGTCTGACCGCAGTGGCATCAAGAGTGCCCGCCAACGTTCCAAGCTGGAATACGACCAGGCTTTGATCAAACGCTACTCGCACATGCCCCAGATCAAGCGCATCAAGCGCCAGCGTCATGTTCCCAAGCCTATCAAGAAGGCTGGAGAAATCAAGCGCGAGGAGCTCAATGCTATTAAGAGGCGTGAGGAGAATGTGCGCAAGCATACTAAGAAGAGCGAGCTGAAGCCGAGAACCCACGAGCGTGAGAAGATGATTCTGACAAGCGAGCAATAAATAACACATCTGCTCTTTCAAATCACGACCAGGCTCAGTCGCAGATTTGCACCGAAGATTAGTCGAAAGGAAAATATGTTCAATGGAGTGATAACCCCCGCTTCATAACACACGCTTGGTCGGCTCTTCCACGAGCCCTTTATATGCCACGCCAATATATACCCCCAGAACAACCTCAGTCTAACTTTTGGGATGCTTGCCGACTCTGAGTCACTGCAGCATCGATTCCACTCAGATGCCTCGCAACCCGTTGCACTGCAGCGGGTAACACGGCGTACCAATTCACGAGCTTTGCATATGCAGGCAGTCTGATCACTCCACCTCGACCACTATCAATCGCAGCAACCATTTCTCTGGCAACTTGGACTGGTTCCAAGACTGGCGCAAAGAAATTATTTGGTGCCTGAACCCAGTCAAAAAGCGGCGTGGTCATCTGTCCAACCTCCACCAACAATGTCTTTACTGGCGACCCTCGCAACTCCGCTTCTATCGTTCGATGTAGCGCGCTCAGTCCAGCTTTGCTCGCTGCGTAGTCCGACAGTCCTGCCGCGGTCAAATGGCCCAGCACAGAGCTAACGGTCACGAGGGTTCCTCCGTTCTCGGCAGCAATGGTGCCAGGCAGAAACACTTGGAAGAGATGAAACGCCGCGAGGAGATTAGTGCTGATCGTCTTCTCGAATGCGCCAGCCGACAACTCAAGCAGCGGAAGACCGTTGATCCTCGCAGCGGCACAGTTGATAATGATAGTCGGCATTCCCAGCTGGAGGATATTAGCGAATCAGTGATCAATTGAAACAAGCTATCAAAACCAAAACATAATCCTCCAAAACTCCCCGTACACCTCTCCCAAAAATAGAAGTAAATAAACATACCGTCTCTGAAATCTTCTCCTTCGCGCCCTCCAGCGCCCCCCTGTCCCCAACGTCACACGCGATGTATAATACATCGTCACCGAAAACCTCACTCACATCCTCATCAATCTCCTTAATATCCAACACAGCAACCCTGGTCCCGCGCATCGCATAAATCTGAGCGATCAACAATCCCAACCCACTCGCCCCACCCGTAACAAGCACAACCTCCCGATCATCAACCGTACGAGGCGTCCCATGTGCAACGCGCTCATTGATGCCCCGCGCGATGAAAACCACCGTCAAGACGCAGGCGTAGCTCACCGTCGCGATCCACGCGGGATCTGATTGGGGCGTGACATGTGCGCGCAAGCACAAGACCAAAATCCATGCTAAGAATGGGTTGAAGAGGGACTTGGAGAGCACGGTAAGGATAAAGTCGATTGTGAAGCGGGTTGGCTGGGGGGTTGGTTTGGGTTGTTTGGCTGTTGTTTTGATTATTGGGGCTGCTGGTTCTGGCATCGTTTGGGCCTCCTGGGCGTCCACGGATTATTAGGGGGCTGAGTTGGGAACGGGTGAAGGATATGCTCTGTGATCGCAGTTATGCAGAGCAGGGTTGTCTCACTGCAGTGCAGAATTGAGTCGGAGAATTGAAGGCGACGTTTGGTTTTGCGGGGCCGATAAGATACCTGGGCGATCTATTTTGGTCGAAAAGGCTCGAGCTAACCTTGGAACTATGGATGTCTTCTACAAGCCGAGAAGGAATTCATAGAACGGAATTGGTAGTGTCTGGCATTTTATCAGAAAAGAGTCGCAGTCAAAAAAAAGCCCCCCATTAAACCGAGAATTGACCTTTGTTAATTAAACATTCGATAAATAAAAGCTTGTAAGACATATCGATCATAGCCGCTAGCGTTGAATAGATCCCAGTGTTGGTTCTTGGGCCTTGCCTGATCCCCGAATTGAATGACTGAAGGTAGGATAATAATCATCCTCGGCCATGATATCGAGATCCTCCACCGTCATGGGGACAACGAAGCCTTGGCCAGCTTCAGGGTACGCGCGATAGTCCTCCGAGTCGTAGTCGTTCTCATGCTGGGACGCCGCCCGTGAGATAACAGGAGAGTGCGGTGGTGAGTGAGCGTCAGACTCGCCGTCGGTGAGGAATTCGGAATCAGATGATTCAGCATATGAGATGCGAGCAGGCGTGCGCATCGCCGGAGATGCGAGGTGAGTGAGAGGCCCGGTGGATTGAGTGGCTGGCGCCTGGGCCTGGACAACACCGGCGGAGATGGAAGGCTGGTTGGCAGTGCTGCTTGAAAGTGTTTGGATGTTGGGAGGGAAGATTGGGACGAGGGGCCAGTCGTTTGAGATGTTGAGCAGGAGGTCTACCAGCGCGTCATGCGAAAGGGATGATAGGTAGGCTCGGCGTTCATCTCCCGTGTATTTGTTTCCGCTGACTTTTGGAGGAGACATTGTCTTCTTTGGTGCGGGTTGGGGTTTCTTGGGTGGCATTTTGGCTTTGGGCTGACGTGTTTTGTTGGGGGTGCATTTGTTGCAAAACCAGTCCATGTCCATTATCTGGACGACCTCGTTATCGATATTGGGAGTGTGACATTTCTGGTGCCATGGCCTGTCACACCCATCACAAAGCACAATGAAGTTGTTTGAAGGGCTATTTCCTCGATAGCAACCTGTGCACACTATATTTATCGGTCGAATCAAACGTTTCCGTTTGGTGGGTGCCTTTGTCTTCCTTACTGCTTTTGGCTTGATGGTAATTATAGCAGACTCAACGCCAGGGCCAGCGGGTTGAGTGGTGCGACGAGCAGGTCGAGTTCGACTTGATGTCGGTGTTTCCGCGGATGTCATCAAGTTGGCCTCCAATTGGGCTTGGGCTGAGATTTCCCAGTCTGCTGAGGAATGTTCATCCATTTGGACATCTGGCTGGGGCAATTGGGCTTCGGCAGGGCCCTTGGAGTCGATGATATGACTTTCGGGGATGCTCTGAGGGGCCCCTGCGTTGAGATTTGGGGCAGGAAGGTCCATGAATGTCGCTGGAATCTGCATGTTCGAACCTTCCAAGGTTTTTCCAGGGATCATGAGCTTCAATTGGGTGACTACGCTCGCAAGCTGATTCCAACCGAATCCCAATTAATCGTAATGGTCACAAGAGATAAAAAGATGAGACGAGAGACTGCAGAATGAAGGTGGTGATGTCTCTTTTTGGCAGTGTATACTTCTCAATTGAGCAGCAGAAAGGATGAATGATAATCCCTTCTCAAGAAAAGAGGTCTTCCTATTCCAATTTCTTCAATTGCCTGGACCGACGGGAAGGTCGAGGTGAAGCCGCCCAATGGAAAAGACATTTGTATAGAGATCACGTGCACCCGATGCAACCTTAAAATTCCGACAATTCTTCAGGCGACTGAAAGTATAGAAGAAAATCATGATGATTCTTGAGATAATATTATTGCCAATTAAATCTCTCAATGAGTTAGGTATGCAAACTTCATTAGGGAGGCGAGAGGACTAACGTTGGGAAAAGAGCAAAAGGCTTCAATTTTATAGTTTCAATCTAATTGTGGGTATAGTTATCAGGCTACAGTGCACCAAACACATTATTGGGACATCGAAGGAGAGCATGCAATCTACAAGGCTCCAAGATTGGTAAACGGATCGGCATGAAAAATGTTGGGCGGAAAATAGAAGACCTGGAGTTTGACATGAAAATTATCGAAACTTCTATGTATGAGCCTGCAGGCTCAAATTCCCAATTCTTGGGAAGAAAGCAAGTTGTTCGATCACTCCGAACAGCTTTTGACATATTTGGCGTTTAGGGCTTTGGGCTCTCTGAATGTTCACCCTTTTAATGAAACATTTCGGAAAGCCTCAAGACAAGACTCCTTCGTCTTTCAAACGAGCAATGTCGGCTTCACTATAATCCAAAACGCTGCCTAGGATCTCGTCTGTATGTTGACCCAGAGTCGGAGGAGGCGTTCGGACGCCTGGCTTAGCCTCTGAGTATTTGATGGGCGTGTTCACCAACTTGATCGGTCCACATGCAGGGTGGTCAACCTCGGTCACCATATCTCGCGCCAGAACTGTTCGCGTTAGTACTGATTTTATCTGTAAAGTTTCTTCGACTTACCATGCTTGTGGTTCAATGTTCCTTGGATATCGTTAACGGCCGCATATGGCATACCGCTTCCCTCAAAGATATCCAGCCATTGCTGAGTGGTCTTCTGGACGGTGGTGCTTTCAATCATGCCGTCGATCTCCGCTCGGTGTTGTACTCTGTCGCTGTTGGTAACGAAGCGAGCATCTGTCTTCCACTCAGAGAAGCCCAATCGATCACACAGTACACCGAAGAGCCGGTCATTGCCACCACCAAACAGGATATCGCCATCCTGAGTCTTGTAGCTACGGTAAGGCACAATGGATGCTAGAGATCGTTAGCCTGATCACCGAGACAATGGCATGTAAGATCTTGCTTACGGTGTGCAGTGCCCCATCGACCTGAGTCCTTCTGTCCGCTGATCAGTGCTGAGCTAGCCAGGTTGGATAAAGTCGCAACCTGACAGTCACTCAGACAAGCGTCGATATGTTGACCCTTGCCGGTCCGACCGCGAGCAATCAAAGCAGCCATGATAGCGTTCGACGTATATAGCCCAGTAGTCAAGTCGGTGACAGCAACACCGACCTTGACAGGAGCACCATCACGAGCACCGGTGATATGCATCAGTCCCATCTCGGCCTCAACCATGACGTCGTATCCAGCCCGGTTGCTGTATGGGCCTGTCTGGCCATATCCGGTAATACTGGCATAGATCAACTTGGGGTTAATCTTCTTGAGAGTTTCATAGTCCATGCCGTATTTCTTGAGTCCTCCTGGGAGGTAGTTCTCCACTAACACATCGCATTCTTTTGCGAGTTTGTGGAGGATCTCAACGCCTGATTTGTGCTGGAAGGACAGGCCAAGAGACTTCTTGTTTCGGTTGACCTTCAAATATGTCAACATGATATTCTTCTTCTCGAATGGGATCGACGGACTGCTAGGTAATAGGCACTTTCTCCGGGGCCTTTTTTAGTTGCGTCTTCATACTTCGCATATGGAGGGCCCCAAGCCCGAGTATCGTCACCGCGTACAGGGTGTTCAACTTTGATGACATCCGCGCTAATCAAAACGTCAGTATACCATGTCGCATGTTTACTGAAATGGGGAGTGTGTTGGTAAAGAGACATACCCCAAATCGCCCAATATTTGAGTGCAGTATGGCTAGGACCAGTCAGATTGAATTCAGATAGCATCATATCAACAAGCAGGAACTCACACCAGCCAAAACACGTGTCATATCGAGCACTCTAATACCTTCCAAGGGCAGCGTCCCATCGACTGAAGCCGAACTGGAGTAGCTTCGCAGGGGCATGCGCCGCAAGACATTGCTGCCGCTGGCAATGCTCGACCGACGAGCTAATGCTTGAACCCGAAGCGCGAGAGCCATTTTAATATATACAAAGCACAAGAATATGAGACGAAACCCAAGCCCAATTAAGTATGAAGGGCCATTAAATCTGGGGAAATGCGAATCTCCGCCAAAACGCCGACACCGACACCGCTCGGGGCTGGCTATGCCGAGGTTTGTCATGCGGCTATTTCTCCGCAGATCAACAACCACAACTATGTTTACAGGTCTTGTTGAAACGATCGGAAGTGAGATCTTGGTATTCTCCTGCTATTCTGCCAAGTACTGATGCCTCATCACCAGCTGTCACGGCCCTGGAGCCCCTCGACACCTCCGCAAGCGGGGGCGGGGGAACCTCACTGACGATCTCTGACTGTGAGGAGATTCTCACAGACGCCCACCTAGGCGACAGTATCGCCGTGAATGGTATCTTGATCCCTTGAATATTGCTTTTGCTCAATCGCATTGATACTGAGACAAATCAAGGAACCTGTCTCACGGTGACCGCGTTCGACAAGACGTGGTTCAAGGTCGGCTGTGCGCCGGAGACACTGCGACGCACGAATCTAGGCTCTCTGGAGAAGAACTCATACGTCAATCTTGAACGCGCCGTTTCCGCCGATACCCGGATGGGAGGACACTTCGTACAGGGCCATGTCGATACCGTTGCGGAGATCCTGTCTGTCACACCCGATGGAAACTCGAAGGTGTTCCGCCTGCAGCCGCGGGATCGGTCCATCTTGCGCTATGTGGTCGAGAAGGGATATGTCACCCTTGACGGTGCCAGTTTGACTGTGACTAATGTGGTGGACGGAGAGGATGGTTACTGGGAGGTCATGCTTATTGCGTACACGCAAGAGAAGGTTGTCACGGCCTCGAAGAAGCCCGGGGATCTTGTCAATGTTGAGATCGACATTGTGGGCAAGTACGTTGAGAAGAGCGTACAGGGTTACTTCGCTGGTGCTGGGGGAGGCGACTTTGCTATTCTCGAAAAGATGGTGCACCGCATCGTCGATGAAAAGCTCAAGAAATAAATAGATCAAGGTCATGAATTACGAAACCGAACGCAAAACTTACTTGTTCTATCCTGTGGCTATTATCTTGTGGCTTGTGACTTGCATCTGGTTCATTGAAGAGAATATAGTAAAAAGCTACATTATTTGTAGACAAAACCTAACGCCTTGATGCCTAACGGGTATGTGACAGTGACAGAAATTTTGATCCATATAGAATGGAGAGACATAGTAGAATCCGTCTTTTGGTACAATGTCCACCAGTCAGCTTGACAAATGGGCCATTGATGGCCAAGTGACTGCTTGGGGAAGGGTTTACTCCTCCATGGAGTCGTCCGAGTCGGCTTCAGACTCGGAGTCGTCCTCTGCTTCACCCTGACCCTCGCCCTCCTGGTCAAAGTCATCATCGCTGAGCCAATCAGCCTCGTCATCCATATCAACATCCTCATCATCATCAGCCACTTCCTTGCCATTGGCCTTGGCGCTGGCCTTCTCCTTCTTCTTGCGTTCAATGTTCTCCTTCTGCAGCTTCTTGCGCTGCTCCTTCTCCTTTCTCTTGACATCCCAGTTCTGGTCCATCTTGCGAACCTCTTTATCGGATTTCGTGATGAAGTCGTGCCACATGATCTTGCCATCGCAAACTCCATCCTCAACCTTCATCAAGCGAAGCTTCAAGCGAGGACCCAGCTCAACCAGCTTCACAGCCCGCTTCTCGACACCAGGAGTCTGAGCTGGCTTGTCCTGACCCTTCTCTGCAGCCTTTTGACGCTGCATCTCACGCTTGTTCAGGACTCGGCGGGTGGTGTTCTCGGCAACCTCCACCTCGGCGTCGGTGTCTAGCTCAGTCTCACTTGCTGATGTGTAGCCTGCGGCGGACGGGTCGAGCAGATAATCGGCGGCATCCTCCAGCTTTCCAAGGTTGGGAACAGCGGTCTTCTTCTTGTCTCGGTTGCGAATTTCCTTGGGGTCCAGGCGGCGAATCCGTTTCGACACACCAGTCTTCTTTGTGGCAATTGCATAGTGACGTAGAGTCAAGATATATGAGTCGTCGTCCTTTGTGGTGGGCTCGCGGTTGAGCAACATAACACGGCGAATGGAAGACAGCGGCTGGCTTTGAGGGTTGATGGGAGGGAAGAGAGATTGGAAGATTGTGGTGGTGAGGGTTTCGAGTCGCTTGGGCACTTTTGATTCTTCGGTTGCGTCGGGGGTAGTGAAGTTGTTCATGACCAACAGTGGTGGGGTCTTGTGATCCTGTCCACCACTCTTTGGTCGCTTCATGGCTCTTTCAACATCCTTGCACAGCGAATAGTTCTCGACCTTGAAGTGGAGGGTCGGTCCACGAGGTGTCACAGCAAGTCGCATGTTTGTGTTTCCTGTAGCGGACTTGGAGAAAAGCATCAAGTGCGTGACACCGAGGGGTCCTGTCATGACGGTATAATCTCGCAGTCTGTTGGATTTGCGTTCCTGCAGATAACCGTTAGGATAACTCGAGCGATAGTTTGCGCATATCTTAATTCATACCTTCAATCGCACAGCGGTATCTGGCTCCATCATCTTTCGGACATCCTTCACCAATTGAGAGACACTGGTACCGACTTGGGAAGCGCCTACACGAATGACCATAGACTTGGGAGTCTTGGACATTGAGGCCGCAGTGCCCTTAACAGCAGAGGCATTCTGCGGCTTCTGGTGAGTGCGCTTCTTGACACGTGCCTTGGCCATTTTGTTATATGCGAGAGAAAAATAAAATGGAGTGGTAAAACAATGACTATCACCTCCCGACAGCTCGAGGTTTTTTTTTCTCTATCAGAAGCAACCGGATCAAAGATCTTGCGGACCCACTAAAATTTGATATCGCGCAGTATCAACGTCAGTTTTTTTTTATTTTTGAATTCTTGCTCTTGTCGAACAACACATTCAAATATGCCGATCACTAAGAAGCGCAAGGTCGCGCCGGCTCCTGTCGACGAGGCTGAAACCAACATTCCATCAAGCCCGGAACCAAGCCCCGAGGCACCTTCGGATCAAGAAGAGGCTGCTGAAGATAACGATGCGGAGGTCGGCGAAAATGAGGCTAGCCCCCCAAAGAGCTTCAAAGAGCTCGGTCTCATTGAGTCACTTACTGAAGCCTGGTAATTGTCAATCCGATCATATTTTCGAAGTCATTATCTAAAGTAACCAGTGCCAACATGGGCTACAAGCAACCGACACCCATTCAGAGCGAGACGATTCCGCTAGCACTCCAAGGCCGCGATATCATTGGACTTGCAGAGACCGGTAGTGGAAAGACTGCGGCCTTCACCCTCCCCTCTCCTCCAGTTCCTGATGGAGAAGCCCCAGCCGTTCTTTGGCCTCATCCTTGCCCCGACTCGTGAACTCGCATACCAAATCTCGCTCGCATGCGAGTCTCTCGGATCTACCATTAACGTTCGATCTGTCACCCTCGTCGGTGGTATGGATATGGTCCCACAGTCCATTGCGCTTGGAAAGAAGCCTCACATCATTGTCGCGACACCTGGACGTCTTCTTGATCACCTCGAGAACACGAAGGGTTTCAGTCTGCGCAATTTGAAGTATCTCGTCATGGGTATGTACAACCGCAACATACATGAGCGATCGTGATATAATTATGCATCGTGTTCGGCCAACGTATAATTTACTGACCGAACAACAGACGAAGCCGATAGACTTCTGGACATGGATTTCGGTCCCATCCTTGATAAGATTCTCAAAGTGCTTCCCCGCGAGCGCCGCACCTTCCTTTTCTCCGCAACACTGTCTTCCAAGGTCGAATCCCTCCAGCGCGCATCCCTTTCAAACCCCGCTCGTGTTTCGATCTCGTCTAGCAAGTACCAAACGGTCTCTACATTGAACCAGACATTCTTGCTTCGGCCTTTCAAGCACAAGGATATTTACCTCGTTTACTTGCTGCACAAGTACATGGGCCAGTCTGCAATTATTTTCATGCGCACAGTACACGAAACCCAGCGTATCGCCTTTTTGCTGCGAGGACTTGTATGTTATTCATGGCAAATGCGCGCATCTTCAAAAGACTGACATTATTAGGGATTCGGAGCAATTCCCCTTCACGGACAGATGTCCCAATCTGCACGTCTCGGTGCATTGGGCAAATTCCGATCTAAGAGCAGAGAGATTCTGATCGCCACGGATGTGGCTGCTCGTGGTCTTGATATTCCATCTGTTGATATTGTACTAAACTACGACCTGCCAAGTGACTCAAAGACCTACATTCACCGTGTCGGTCGTACAGCAAGAGCTGGAAAGGCTGGGTAAGCTTCTATCATAATGGTGTATATTGACCTTACTAACGTCTAACAGTACCGCCATCAGCTTTGTCTCCCAATATGACGTTGGTATGTTCATTTCGCCCTGTCAATTTCTTACACACTCTAACATCTATCCAGAGGTTTGGCAGCGCATCGAAACCGCCCTCGGCAAACAACTCCAGGAGCACGACGCTCCCAAGGAGGACGCCATGGTGTTCGAAGCGAGTGTTCACGAGTCTCAGCGCGACGCCATCCAGGCCATGAAAGTTTACGACGAGAAGAAGGGAGCAAAGGGCAAGGGCAAGTTCAGCTTCAAGGGCAAGCGTGGTCGTGATGCTATGGATCAGGAAGAAGGTTAAAATTAGAAATCCCCCAAAATACCCTGCTATCAAAATATCCCTTTGTCTGATCACTACCATGCGGCATGTTACATGGGGCATCGCCATTTGTTAATACCAAAAATCACAATTAGAATATGAGAACCTGTGAAATCGACGTTGAAAAGGCCAGAAACGGCTGCCTTTGCACCTTTAGACCTTCGCGGAGCCCCTTGGCCGCTCGCTGCGAGCCACTATTACAGTGGAGTTTCAAAAGTATTTGACCCCAGATGCTTCGACCTTGTACCTTTCAAAACTGCCATAGACCTTGCTTGTATAGTATGACATATAAAGAAAATGTAAAAAAAGACAGCAAAAAAGACAGCGAAGCTCCAAGGATTCCAACCTTGGAAAGTTATAGCATAACAATGTCAGGCTAAAAAAGGAATTCAAAAGTGCTAGAGGTTTAATACTTATGAAACACCACTGTATGCACCCAGCCGCTCATCTTGAAACCCCCTTCAGAGTACATTCACATCTCACAACCAGAATTCCCCACCATGCAGGCCTTGAGGAAAGTCTTTCGGCCTCATGCTCTTCCTCTTCATAGGAGCCTAGTTTCAAGCATATCCAAAAGACACCTATCTATTACATCTCGAGGTACAACCTGCCTAAAAGGCTCCTGAGTCAACAATGCTGATCGAACCTCAGGAAACTCAATTTCCAAAGAGGAGTTGTTCAAATACACAAATGGCCGATTTCTTTCCGATGAAGACCGCCAGCTTTCCAAGCGTTATGTTCGTTTTGACGTTGACAGGTTATGTGATGTGATCGCAAGCATCCCCGGAGCTGGGGCAACGCAGGTATCCAAGATAGAGAAGATGGAGGGTGGATTCAGCAAGGCCCTTCTTGTGACAACCGCAGGTGGCTCGGAATACATCGTCAAAATTCCGTGTCCGAATGTAGGGAGGCCTATGTACTGCACAGCATCCGAGGTTGCGGTCTTGAGCTTTGGTAATATTGATCTATATGAATCTTGTGGATTTATAAAACTGATGAAAATTCTCGGTTCAGTCAGCACACATACCACTATGCCTGTACCTAAGGTCTTAGCATGGAGTGCTAATTCAAACAACCCGGTAGGCGCTGAGTATATTGTGATGGAGCGGGTCCCTGGTGTCCAGATCTTTAAGAAATGGAGTGAAATGGGGGAGAGCAACCGATTATCAATCATTAAACGTCTTACACAATGGGAGCGTGAACTTGCTGAGATTCGGTTTCCAGCTTTTGGTAGCTTGTACCACAAAAGCTCACTACATGGTTCCTTGGGTGAGCATGAATTGATCTCATTAGATCAATCTGTGGATCCTGAGGGTCTTTTTTGCATTGGTCCCTCGTGTGATTCTGCCTGGTTTATGCAGCATAGTCCCAGTGTTTACTGTGGTCCTTGTAAGTATCGCTTCGTCTCCTGGGCTGACTATAGCTGATGATAACTTGTTAAGGGAAAACAACCCGTGATTTGGGCGAATCTCTCCTCAATCGCTCACTGCTTAGGTCTCAACACGGTCCCAATCCAGACCTGCCAGCCTCTCTGAATAGTCCCTTAGAGGAATATTCAATAATCCTCGATATGGCAAAGAAGGTTATGCCAGCGGTGGCAAACAATCCCGAGCTACTAGCTCAGTCCCAGCCCACACTATGGCATACCGATCTTCATATGGGAAATATTTTTGTCGATGAAGATAACCCAGCCGAGGTTACTGGCTTTATTGATTGGCAGCATACTTCTATCAATCCCTTGTTTTTACAGGTCAGATGGCCTATCTTTCTAACTCCGCCCGAAGATTACCAAGAGGGCCAGGTATTGCCTCAGCTTCCACCCGACTATGAAGATATGGACGCCGACGACAAAGAGATCGCATTATATAATAAAGAGAAGGCTATTTGGGCAAAAGCTTATGAGGTTGCATCATTTTTGAATGATAGACCAGCTTGGAGAGCGATGCAAGTCCCCTCGCCGCTGAAGGAATTCTTCCGTCGTGGTGATACTTGGGCTGAGGGGATTTTCCCACTCCGGGAAACGTTGGTAGAACTTTTTCGCAGTCAACAGGACCTTGGGTTCACTGAAAGTCTGTTGCTCAGCTTCAATGACGAGCAGATCGCAGCACATGAGAAGGAGTTTGAAGTATATCAGGAATGGCACGAAATGCGCAATTTCGTCAAGAAATATCTTGATACCGATGACGAGGGCTGGGTTTCTCCGGAGTACGATTTCACTGAGATCCAATCTCGAAACAAGGTGTTGTTCGACTACTATGTTTCTAAATCAGGTTTGAACAGGACCCCAGATGAAGTCCGGGGCTTATGGCCATTTGTAATCTAGGCAATCTTGACTAGTCAATACACAATTTTAATCTACTATCGCCAAGCCTTTCTTCCAAGATTTGGAATTGATAGAATTTGTCTACGAGGGCAAGAGATATAATGTGAACCATAGTATTCATTACTGCATCAAAAGGTAGTGGAAGTCCGTGTGTCCTGCATCAGCGCTTAAGCGCTGCCAGCCTCACTGACGGCGTTGGCAACGCGGGTAGCGAGATCATCTGCCTCAGAGCGGCTAGCAGCCTCAGCATAAACACGGACAGCATCCTCAGTTCCACTGGCACGGGCAAAGCTACGGCCCTTGTTATAGCGGGACTGGAGGGACTCAATAGTGCCCTGCAGACCAGCAGGAGACTCGAGCTTACGCTCGGCATCATAAGCCTTGAAGATAGAGCGGTCGTTGACTTCGACACGCACAAGACGGGAAGGCAGGTCGGTGTAGGTACCGAGCCACTCCTTGGGAGACCAGCCCTTGTGAGCCAAGATGGCCTCGACAAGGAGCATGTCAGACAGCGCATCACCGACGGCCTGGTTGATCAGGTCGGTCAGAGCCTGGAGGCTCTCGAGGGCGTGCTGCTGTGCGGGAGACTGGGGGCGGTGTTCTTGATGACCTTCAGAGCGTTTTCGGAGAAGGTGACGGTGCCGTGGCCGTTGGCCTCGAAGTAAACACCGACGTCGAAGCGCAGGGCTGCGTGGTGAAGGTGCTTCACACCGGTGTTGGTGCAGATGATGGGGAGCTTGAGGACTTTCTCAATGTAGTCTGTGCTGGAGCCGTTGGCGTAGGCGGTCTGCACCACACCGATCTTCAGCTTGGAGGCGATGCCGGCGTTGCGGGCAAGGTCACCGATGAAAGAGGCTGCGAGGGTGGCGATACGGTCTCCGTCGAGAAGACGGAAAACGTTGCTTTCATCCTGGAAGTAGTACACCAGACGATCGGCATCACCGTCGAGGGAGGCACAGCGATCAAGGGTGCCGGCCTTTGATGAAGGAGGAGCACGCTGCTTGGTCTTAACGTAATCGGCACCACACTGAATTTGTTGTTAGCTGTTGGGGGTCGAGGGCGAGGAGTTTCATGTCAAGAAACATACGTCGAAGTTCAAGGCATCGGGGTTGATCACGTCGTCGTTCACAACCTTGATGTCAATTCCGGTAAGGGTCTTCATGAGCTCCCGCAGCTTGGGGCCACCGACACCGTTGGCGCAATCAACGGTCAAGGAGCCCTGGACCTTGACACCCCGCATCACCTTCTGGAAGGAGTTGACAAGCTTCTCATAGTATCCCTGCTCGGTGGGCTCACCGTACTCATATTGTGTGCCCAGGGTGTTCTTACAGCGGACAACATAGTGCAGCTGAGGGGTGGTCATGAACTTGAAGTCCACAAACTCGACATCGGTGGCGGTCAGAGCGGCGTTGAGCACGCCAGCCAGGCGGGAGCCGGAAGCACGGGTGTCACGGGCGAAGACCACGCGGGCAGGGTTGGTGACCTTCACATCAATCTCCTTGACAAGCTCGTCGTAGACATCTGCAATCTTATCCAATGGGGCATTGGCCAATCTTGTTGCGTATGCCTCCCATTCAGCCTGGCGGTAGTGGTAAGTCTCCGATCGAATTCGTTCCGACGACACAGGGGTATCTTACTTCGAGCATCTCACCCTATGGAAGCAATAGGTCAGACATGTCCAGTATAAAATTAAAAAAGACAACAGCAGGGATTATTGTGTCGAACTTACCATCGGGTCAACCAACTTGACACCATTGTCCTCCGCGGGGTTGTGACTGGCGGTAATCATAATACCGATCCATTGTCCGCTGAGCTTTTTTGAGCGCAAGCTTGCAAGCAAGCCCACAGCAAAAACCACGGTGTTGAGGAGGTCACTGGTTATAGCCCACCAGGTCAGAGAGCTATCAAAGGACGATCGCGGGGGTCCTGAAGGATGTGGAGGCGGGGTGGATCAGAGAAGAAACTTACGCTTTCATGCGAAACTGTAAAACGAAAAAGAAAAGAACATCAGCCTACTCGTCCTCGGTCTCATTTGTTCAGAAGAGCAACCTACCCCTGCGGTGCCATATTCAAAGACCTTGCCCTCGGGCTTTTTGTACTGCAACGCCGCCTCGGTAATGGCTTTCTTGACAGCTTGGGAGGCCATTGTATTAGATATTAACCCGGCGACAATATGATCCAAAGCTTCAAAAGAAAGTGTCAAGAAGGAGAGTACTTGAAACAAAAAAAAGTGGCATGGAGGGGGAATTTGGGGGTGAGACACGGTTTATTGCGACGGCCCTAGCGGCCCTAGCGGTGAGTGAATGGCGGGGAACACTCACCATAGCGCGTCCGAGAACGTGGCAATAACTCATTTGTTATTCGCCGTGGAAATTACAGGTAAACAGAGCAATTCAACACCTCAACAGGTTCGTATTGGCTTTTAAAATGACTACCTCGGATATACTGCGACAACCCTCACTATGTTTCTAAGCTTTAAGCCTATGTCCCGCAATATCATCTTGTGTGTCTCTGATCAAAAATCTGTTGGGTGCATTTCATTAGTCATGCATATCAAGTCGTGCGAATGGGTCAAACTCACGAGTACCACCAAGCAGTGGGTACGACGGTACCCAGATGCCAGAGACTGTGTGCATCAATCAACCCATTCCAGGGTGCGAAATCTAGCAGTTCCAGACTCATGGCGAGGATGATCCACGCAACAATCATACCGGGCCAAGCGGTCCAGGACTTGAGATACTTTTGGTACCGGACGATACTGAATCCCGTCCAGATGAGATTCGAAACGATGCCCACCGCCACGTTTGCCGCCATGTTATATGTGTAATCCCACGACCAGAAGCTGAGGTAGCAGATATGCAACGTGTAGAGCAGAACGCAGACAGCGGTCCAGAAGCGACGCAGGGAGGGACGGTACTGAGAACCGTCCTGATCGAGCCGGAACACGCGGATAACGGAAAGGTATAGGCCGTAGAGCACATTGGCACCGGCCGCGAAATAATCCAGCTTCTCGGTCAGGGCGAAATCACGGGTGTGGAAGATCATGCTGAAACTCCAGCTGGCCAGCCCGATGTATCCGAATAGCATGTAGTAAGGGCGGAGGGAGTGCCAGGCGGGAATTGACTCTTTGATGCGAGACATCCCGTTCCAGTGGGCGGCGAAGTTGAAGAAGGAGAACAGCACGGAGAAGGGCTCCTGCATGCCCAGGATTCTACGGAACGGCCATTTCCCGTGGAATTGAAGGATCGGTCTGATCATAGGGGGATCACGCGCGACTCGACGGTCGGTGACGACATGCTGGCAGGTATAATCGCATTCGGAAGGGCAGGTCCATAATAACAAACGGTGGTGTAGAGCTGGTCAGGTTAGCACAGGGGAAGCGGGGAAGGTTTGACGGGACTGGGCGGGACATACGTAGCACTGAATTGCCATTTTGACAGTTTTCCGTAATACAGACCTACAGATGTCAGCGAGTTCTGAGGGGGTTTGTCAATTTGCCTTACCTTGACACATTCTTTAAAGTCGGGGAGATGGTCACCCATTGACGCGTGTGTTTTGCCAATGAAAGAGGCAAAGAACGCCAACGCGAACAGGGCGTAGAGATTGACCCCCGCGCTGAGATGCATTGTGGTGCAAGAATGACCTTTGGCGTCGAGTGTGTACCTAGGCAAGCTTGGGGAATGACAGGGGCGGAGCTCCCCAGTGGCTTCGGAGAGCCTCCTTTGACGGTCTTGGCATCAGAAGGGTATCTTACCCCACAGCGCCATCGATCTACCTTACTTTGTTCCATGGTCAGTATGAGCTCCTTAGGTTGACTACAATATTCCTGAGAGTCACTGTCAATTTAAATCAATTGAGGGTACATATAAAAACCTTTATAAAGAGGTATACAAGATATAGTAACTTGCTGTTTTGATTGGCACATGACTACTTTCGCGTTTGATTGTGAGGTTCAGATCATAGTCATCCCAAAGTCTTGCCATTGAGAGTTACTCATTTCCAATATTCCACTTAGTTCTTTTTTTTTAAAAAAAAGTACTATAATGTACTTGTATACTTGAAGTCAATAGCCCTATGGCAAGGGTACTCAGAGATCACATGATATCACATGATTTTATCTTCCAGATGCGGCTAGTGCGGGCGGGCGGTGATTGGAGTGAAGCTTGGCGGAGTGGGCAAATAATCAGAAAAAAAGTTAAGAGACTCGATCTCTGCTCTTGTCTTTTACTTTTTCTCCTCTCCGTTATTTTTCCCACCTTCCACTCCATCTATAATTTGGCTGTTGCTTTTTAGACGCCAATATGAACAACGGAAACGATACCCCTCAGGGGATCACTAGCAGTGCTGATCGCATGGTCGGCATGGAGCACTCTGAAGTCCGCTACTTCACTAGGTATGATAATCCCCAATTAAACCCTGCGAGATAGGATGCTAATGAATATATAGCTACGATCACCACGGTAAGCTCTCGGTTTGAACGATGAGCAAATTCTCGGTGACATTTGACTAATTTTGTGATTTTTGCGCCGATGCAGGTATCCACGAGGAGATGCTCGTAAGTCCTTATCAATTGATCTCCTCCATATCTTGTTCTCTAATTAACTGGAATTCTGCTCTAGAAAGACGATGTTCGCACCCGCTCTTACCGCGACTCGATTTACCAGAACCGCCACATCTTCAAGGACAAGGTCGTCCTCGATGTCGGCTGTGGCACCGGTATTCTGAGCATGTATGTACCGCCGCTTCAATTTTTGTAATTTTTTTTTCTGGTTGACAATGCTAATTGTTCCTTCTCACAGGTTCGCTGCTCGTTCCGGCGCCAAGCACGTAATTGGTGTTGACATGTCCTCGATCATCGAGAAGGCCCGTGAGATTGTTCACGTTAACGGCTTGTCCGACAAGATCACTCTTCTTCAGGGCAAGATGGAGGAGGTTAACCTCCCCTTCCCCAAGGTTGATATCATTATCTCCGAGTGGATGGGTTACTTCCTTCTCTACGAGTCCATGCTGGACACCGTCCTCTACGCTCGTGACACCTACCTCAACCCCGGTGGTCTGATCTTCCCCGACAAGGCCACCATGTACGTTGCCGGTATTGAAGATGGCGACTACAAGGATGACAAGATCGGATGTGAGTTACAAAATATCGCTTTTACCGTACCATGCTAATCAAATCTAGTCTGGGACAACGTCTACGGATTTGACTATAGCCCCATGAAGGAGATTGCTCTCAACGAGCCCCTCGTGGACACCGTTGAGATGAAGGCTCTCGTCACCGACCCTTGCCCTATCATCACCTTCGACCTCAACACCGTCACCGCCGCCGACCTCGCCTTCAAGGTTCCCTACGCTCTCAGCGCCAAGCGCCCCGACTTCATCCACGCTCTGATCGCCTGGTTCGACATTGAGTTCAGCGCTTGCCACAAGCCCATCCACTTCTCCACCGGCCCCCACGCCAAGTACACCCACTGGAAGCAGACTGTCTTCTACCTGCGCGATGTTCTGACCGTCGAGGAGGATGAGAAGGTTACCGGCTGGATCGAGAACCGCCCCAACGACAAGAACAAGCGTGACCTGGACATTGGTATCTCTTATAAGTTCGAGACCTCCGACCCCACCCGCTCTGCCGAAGGCGGCTGCTTCTACCGCATGTAAGTTTCCGTCCTTGTCCTCACAGTATGCCCGAACATTGACTAATTCATCCCAGGTGTTAATTTTTTTAATCGACTTTTCTAATTTGATTGTCATTGGGATTTACAAATGACGTGCACGATTCAGGGAAATACATTCGTCACCAATGCAATGCATGACATGGGTTAACTAAACATAACCCCGGCGAGTTTACCAACTGGTATCGCCATTATTTTGATACGGCGTTAAGTTCATGGGAGGCAGGAAAAAGGCATTTTGCGGCGCGAACGGAGAGATATGTGAAGCTCCTCGAATTTCCAGGTAGATAGCTATACCCCGAGTCGATGCTTGGTCTAGCAAAGAAACTCCGACGCTCTTCTGGATAATGTTTTAAAATTGTGCATTCGTAGCAAAAGTAATAATTGTAGAGAATTTGAAACGTGCCGATCTGCAGAGAAGAAATTGTGCCAAGGAGAGATGGCGCGTCGGTAAAGCGACGGCAACAAATCATCCAAAAATTATCAGATCCTCGGCTCCTGTATGCCCCCGCAATTACAGGAGCTACTTTAATCTTCCACTGCTCTTGGATTTCTCTTCCGTATATCCTCCGTACTCATATTCTCACGATGTCTGCCCCTGGAGCTGGTCACGAATTCCCCGCTAAAGCTGTCTCCTGGCAGAAGCGCGATGTCCTGCTATTCGCCAACAGCATTGGAATTAAGGCCGATGAGCTGCATTTCCTTTATGTACGTCGTCTTTTCGGCTCAAAATTGCTAGGTCTAATTGGACATACAGGAACTTCACCCTAATTTCTCAGTCTTCCCAACTTACCCTCTGATCCTGCGTAAGTCAATCGCCGACGGATCCTACACAATCGGCGCTGACCTCCACAGCCTTCAAGCTCACTGACCAGGAGGTGACCAATTTCTATGAGCGCCAGCAGGCTGTCCACATTCCGGGCGTGCCTGACCTTGACCATCGCCACGGTGTCGATGGCCAACGGAAGCTCACAGTGTTGAAGCCGCTTCCTCCTACTAGCGAAGGTCGCAAGTTCGAGCTGCGTAACAAGGTTATTGGTGTCTATGACAAGGGCAAGCCCGGTACTGTCATTGAGACCGAGCAGTCTATCGTAGACGCCGAGTCTGGTGAAGTTTATAACAAGGTAGTGACCAGCGGATTCCTGGTCGGACAGGGTGGCTGGGGTGGTCCCAAGGGTAAGCAATGCCGTTCATACTCAGTGAACCATACTCCGTATATCGATACTGATTGATGTAAACAGGACCAAGCACTGTCAACTTCGCCCCACCCCAGGGCAAGACTCCCGATGCTACTCACGTTATCCAGTCTAACATGGAGACCGCCCACCTGTACCGGTAAGTCCAACATAGCAGCCCGCGCCCCTTGGTCAGCGTAACCCAATGCTTACCCGTGTCAGTTTGAACGGTGACTACAACCCTCTTCACGCCACCCCAGAGCCTGGCCAGAAGATGGGCTTCGGTGGCATCATCATCCACGGCCTGTTCAGCTGGAACTCTGCTGCCCATGGTATCCTGCGTGAGCTCGGTGGCAGCAATCCTTCCAACCTAAAGGAGTTCCAGGCTCGCTTTGCTTCGCCGGTTCGACCTGGCGACAAGCTTACCACTGAAATCTGGCGCATGGGAAATGTCGAGGATGGATTTGAGGAGATTCGTTTCGTGACCAAGAACGACAAGGGCAAGGTTGTCTTGAGCAACGGCCGATGCTTGTTGAAGGTGGTCGGCGCGAAGAGCAAGTTGTGATTTATAACCCGAATCATGTTCAATAGCATATAGCCTTCTCTTCAAAGCCAAAACTCGGAGCTCTTTTGTCTAAATTTATACGGATACTGCGAAGTATCTACTTCTGATTTTAACCTTGGAAATGTGCATAGATCGCACGTGACCGAATAGCCTCGGTCGTCCGGCGCCCGAGCTTGAAGCGTTTACCTAATTGCTACCCCAGATCGCAGCATTGTCCGACGTGCTTATTTGGATTTCAGCACCCCTCAATACACAAGAATTGTGTTAATCATGAGTTTTGCCTTGCGTACAGCTTTTAGGTCGAGTAGGGCGTTGAACCGGGCCGGGTATGCGCTTATGTCTATCTGTATGCAACATGCAACAAAGTTCTATCGATGCTAAACTTCTCATAGAACCAGGGCATTTAATCTCATTCTCAATCCCATTGGATCCTCGGTATGGGCTTCTCGGAGAAAAAGACTCATCAAGTGAAACAGACGATACTGACATTGGTCCCTGGCGTTGTCCTAGACAACCAACAAACACAGTCACCCTCCTCATCCGCAGCTCAGCACGCAGGAGCCAAATGGATATTTGCAGGCAGCCTGGAAGAGATCGGATATTCTGACAATTCCAAAAGTGCAAAAAGGCGACAGTCGCAAGGAAGTCACGCTGGAATAGTATGTCCACCCCATAACTTCCAATTGACAGCTGCTAATGGGCCGGCAGCGGTCAATTCTTTCTCAGGTTAGTAAGAAAGCGCATTGGGCTAAGCCCCTATTGACGTCGGAACTATCACCAGAGAAAACTGCCAGTGTTCCAAATGCACTCATCCGGATACGAAGCAAAGAGTGTCTGACATATTCGAGGTAGGATATGCCCGATCATTTCCACCTTGCACTCACTCATGATGTATAGATACCGTTGAATGTAAGGGCCAACTCGGTCACGCAAAAGGAAAATGGCATCGAGATTTCCTGTGAGATGAAATGATCCCATCGCCTGTCTACCCTATCTCTGACTCGCCATAGGGTCTGATGATCATACTGGGCTTTATCCATATGATTGGCTGCATGCACACTCGCAAAACAGGTATGGGGAATCCCTGGAGAAAAACCGATTAGGACCTGCCAAGCGTACTGCACCAGCTCCACGGTAAGTTCCCTCTGACTAACGATGCAGTGTGACGCTGATGCCCTAGAAGATTTTTCGATACAGGTCTGAGCTCAGACCAAAGCCCTAGGGTCTCCTACGAGGGGGTCATGTCAGACGACACAAAGCTCGGCACTTGGTTGCAGCTAATCGTGAGCTTACTCTCAAGTCCAGACTTTGTGTTGATATGCTAATGTTCCAAAGCACTCCCGGGGTTTTTGTCTCGTAGACGGCGTTCCTCCAACCCCAGAGGCGACAAAGGGTCTCCTTGAGCGAATTGCGTTCATCAGACATACGCATTATGGTATGGGATATTAACTCACTACTTAACGGCCTCAATTGACTTGACTTCAGGTGGATTCTGGGACTTCACCGCAGACTTGACCTTCAAGGACACGGCATACACCAACGAGCCCCTGGGCGCTCACACCGACAACACTTATTTCACAGATCCTGCAAGACTTCAGCTGTTCCATCTTCTGTCTCACACCGACGGATCTGGCGGAGAGAACCTTCTTGTAGATGGATTTGCAGCTGTCGCCCAGCTTCGTCGAGAGGATTCTACCCATTATGAGGTGTTGACAAGGTACAGGCACCCATGGCATGCAAGTGGCAATGAGGACGTCTGCATCCAACCCTCGGCCCAAGCACCAGTATTCTCGATTCATCCGGACATGGGAAAGATGTACCAGATCCGCTGGAACAACTATGATCGCGCGCCTAAGATGGACTGGTCTGTGGATGAACAGAATGCGTGGTACCGTGCTGCGCGCCACTACGAGAAGATCCTGCGGTCCAAGGAAATTTGGCAGAAGCTTGAGCCGGGATCCGCCTTGAGTAAGTGACTCGGCTCCCAATTTGAGTGTTGTTTTGACTAACATGTGCCAGTCTTTGATAACTGGAGAATGTTGCATGGCCGCTCCTCATTCACCGGAAAGAGGAGGATGTGTGGTGGCTACAGTAAGTGATAATCGCCAACCTCTTGAACTCAGCTGACCACTGTGATAGTCAATAACGACGATTACATTTCACGTCTTCGCCTGCTCAAGTTCGGCCGGGAGCATTTGCTGAACAACCTTGGCAACGTCCGAAACCACTTGGACAATCCATATTCCTTTATCTAGATGGAATATTAGGAACACATGCACATTCTGGAAACGTATGAACTGAAACCGTTAGAGCACCAAAAAAAAGTAGATAATGTCCCAAGGAATGAGTATAAACAGTCTTGGAATCCGATGGTGTTGATTATAAAGACTATATTCATCACGTGACCTCATGGCTGACGTTGAAGCTCGCTCGGCCACAGCTCTTCCACCCAGCAACCTTCGTTCTCTCACATTTCCCCTATCTCCCTCCAAAACGGAACGTTATCTTTGCATTTCCGAGCTTTATATTCTTTGATCCATTAATTCACATTTTCCTGATTCCAACATGTCCACCCTTGAGGACCTCGACGACCTTGAGCAGGAGCAGAGAGAGAAGAAGCAAGACCAGAACGATGGCAATGGCAAGAAGCCCGAAGGCGACGGCGATGCCGATATGGAAGATGCCGACAAGAAGGACGAGGAAGAAGAGATGCTCGACGAGGATATCTTGAACTCAAGCACGGCAGACATCGTTACGCGGAGGCGCATGCTGGAGAACGAGATGCGAATCATGAAGAGTGAATTCCAACGTTTGACACACGAGCAAAGCACAATGCGAGAGAAGGTGAAGGATAATCAAGAGAAGATCGAGAACAACAGGTGCGATCACATCTAATAGATCCCGCGGAGCTCGCGGTGAAGCGGTCTGCTAACATCATCACTGTTTAGACAACTACCATACCTCGTTGGAAACGTCGTCGAACTACTGGATCTCGATGTAGAGGCTGAGGCCGCGGAAGAAGGGGCCAATATTGACCTGGATGCCACTCGCGTAGGCAAATCCGCCGTCATCAAGACCTCCACTCGCCAGACTATCTTCCTTCCCCTCATCGGCCTTGTCGACCACGAGAAGCTGAAGCCCGGTGACCTGATCGGTGTCAACAAGGATTCATATCTCATTTTGGACACTTTACCAGCCGAATATGACAACCGCGTCAAGGCCATGGAGGTCGACGAGAAGCCCACTGAGAAGTACACGGATATCGGTGGTCTGGATAAGCAGATCGAAGAGATCGTGGAGGCCATCGTATGGCCGATGAAGGAGGCAGAGCGCTTTAAGAAGATTGGCATCAAGGCCCCCAAGGGTTCGTCTCCATTTTAACCATACCCGTTCACAGCTAATCATGTTCCATCTCAGGTGCTCTGATGTACGGTCCCCCTGGTACCGGAAAGACCCTCCTGGCTCGAGCCTGTGCCGCCGAAACGAACGCCACATTCCTCAAGCTTGCCGGACCCCAATTGGTACAAATGTTCATCGGAGACGGTGCCAAGCTCGTGCGCGACTGCTTCGCTCTCGCCAAGGAGAAGGCACCCTCTATCATCTTCATTGATGAACTGGACGCCGTGGGTACAAAGCGTTTCGACTCGGAGAAGTCCGGAGATCGTGAAGTGCAGCGAACCATGCTGGAACTCCTGAACCAGCTCGATGGTTTCGCCTCAGACGACCGCATCAAGGTCCTCGCTGCTACCAACCGAGTCGATGTGCTTGACCCTGCGCTCCTTCGTTCCGGTCGTCTGGACCGCAAGATCGAGTTCCCTCTTCCTAATGAGGAGGCCCGTGCCAACATCTTGCAGATCCACTCGCGCAAGATGTCTGTCGAGGACAGCGTCAACTGGGCTGAGTTGGCTCGCAGTACGGACGAGTTCGGTGGTGCTCAGCTTAAGGCTGTTTGTGTTGAGGCTGGTATGATTGCTCTGCGGAAGGGCTTGAGCAAGATCGGTCATGAGAACTACGTCGATGCCATTGCTGAGGTCCAGGCCAAGAAGAAGGATACCAACATGGGCATCTATGTTTAGATTAGACCTTACGTTTTCTTATCTGATTTCTTCCCATGTCTCTGGTCTTGTATGTATGCCTCGGCTTTGAATGGAAGTCGGTAATTTGCTATGCATGAACGGCGTGAGCCTCTTTTGACTTCCACATATGGTTTCTACTGGGCCTTTCTATCACCCAAGTATACGATGACGTGTACGAATGAGTAGGCCTTTATGGGCTCAAGGGCCAGTTTTCCTTATGATCGATCACTGTGCATTCCACGTAGTTGTATAATAACTAGTCAGGTATTCACTGCGAAGTAAACACTTGCTCAGGAGATCCCAGAACAGAAAAAGGAAACGCAAAGATGCAAGTCATAAATCCATCAACAGTCGCTCATCACCACACTCCCCTCATCTTTTGAACATGCTATTTAAATAAGCTCACTCAGTTCTTACCCTTCTCCTCCTTAAGCGTAACAATACGATTGAGCACAAGCTTCTCATCAGTCGACTCGCGATCAACGGCAAAGTACGCAACACGCATACCCTGGAAACGGATAGAGTGCTTGTTAGCCTCCTTGCCGCCCTCCTCAACAGCACCCTCCTCCTTAGGCCAAGGCCCAGAAGCAGCGATATCCCGGAATCCAGTCTCGACCATAGCATCCTTGTAAATCTCCTCGGAGTCAGGGTTGATGTCAGCAAGGAATCCAGCCGGGTGAGCGGAGGGGTCCTCAGATTTGAAGAGCGAGTTGAAAGCACGAATCTCAGCACGCACGGGACTCTTGTGCTCGGCAGACTCGCCAACCCAGTGGATGAAAGACTTGGGCTTCTTGGCGGCCTCGCCTTCGACGGGCTTCTCGTACTTGGCGTGGACGCAGGTCACCTCGCCGGAAGCGTCGGTCTCGAAGGATGTAGCGGTGATGGGGTAGGGGGCCTTGAGGAGACCGACTGTCTTACCCGGGGCAAGTCGGAAGTAGTCGGGCGAGTCGACGGCGCGGAAATCAGAACGCTCGATGTAGACGGTCTTTGTGAAGGGGATGTTGTGGGTGCCGAAGGCAGGGTCCTTGGAGAAGGGACAGTCGAGGAGCTCGAGGTGGTCGTCAGGAAGGTCGTCGATGATGACCTTCAGAGGCTCGAGAACGACCATGAGACGGGGCACAGTGGTTTCGAGGTACTGGCGGACGATAGACTCGAACTTGCCGACCTGGACGTTTGAAACGCTCTTTGTGACACCGAGGTCGTTGACGAAGGCCAAGATGGCGCCGGGGGAACACCACGACGGCGGAGGGCGATGAGAGTGTACAGGCGAGGGTCGTCCCAGTCACGGACGTGGCCTTCCTTGACCAGCTGGATGATCTTGCGCTTGGATAGGACGGTTCCGGTGATGTTGAGACGGCCGTACTCGCGCTGGTTGGGACGGTAGACCTCAAGCTTGTTGCAAAGCCAGTCGTAGGAGACACGGGACAGCTCGAACTCAGTCGTGCACAGGGAGTGGGAGATCTCCTCGATACTATCGCACAGACAGTGCGCGAAGTCGTAGGTAGGGTAGATCTTCCACTTGCCACCGGTGCGGTGGTGCTGCTTGTCCTCGCTGTCCATGATGCGCCAGGCGAACAGATCCCACATCTGGGGGTTGGGATCTGTGATATCCTGCTTCATGCGGAGAGCCGCCTCGCCGGCCTTGTATTTGCCGTCGCGCATAGCTCGGAATTCAGCCAGGGACTCCTCGGTGGGCCGAGTGCGGTGGGCGCATGCGAAACGTTCTCCGCCGCGCTGGCCACCTTCCATCTCACCACGCTGGGCCTTGATTTCGGCCTTGGTGCAGTGGCAGATGTATGCGCCATCGCGCTGGATGAGATCCTCTGCGAGTTCGTAGAGACGGTCGAAGTTGTCACTGGCGCAGGTCTCACGCACGGGGGTGAAACCGAGCCATGTCACAATCTCGCGGATGGCGTTGTAGAATCGCTCCTCCTCACCCTCTGGGTTGGTGTCGTCGAAGCGCAGGATACACTCACCACCGTGGTGCTTGGCGAATCCAAAGTTGATGGCAATGGCCTTGCTGTGTCCAATGTGGAGGAATCCGTTGGGCTCGGGAGGGAATCGCGTGCGGATCTTGGGGACGGTCTCGGAGAGGGGCTTTTCCTGGTACACGTCGGACAAGAAACCGACCTTGAACATGGCGTTGGGGTCCCGGGGAGCAGGAGCTTCCTTGGCCTGGGGCGCTGTCTTTTCGGCCTTCTTCTTGGGCGGCTCATTCTGTTTGGCGAGCTTGAGGGCCGCCTTTCTGGCAGCGGCAGCTTCTTTCTTTTCCTGGCTCTTGGACTTCTTGTTGGGGTCGGCGGGCGCAGCGGGCGCGGCAGCCTCCTTGGGCCTCTCGGGCAGATCGACGGGCTTTGCGGGATCCATTGTGTTTGAACGAAGGTGGGGGATATTTTTTCAACGAGGGGCTCTTTGTATATGCTTATCAGTCTCCATTCGCTTATCGGACCGATTTAGCCCGGGATGACTCATCGCCTTGGAGGCTGGGGAACTATACGATTTGATCCCTTGCTTGATATGGCTTGATATGGCTTGTTATTGCGGTCAAGATCCAATGCTCGTGCGGAATATCCGTTGAATTGTCAAGAATATATATACTATACAATATGATACAGAGTACGCGGACTCGATGACAAACAAGAAAACACAAGTGCCGCCCATTAACCATCCGTCAACACAAACTATGATACAATGCAAAGTCATTTCACCAGGAACCGAAGCATAGTGTACACACGAAAACATCATGCAATGTCAACCAAATACGAGACAGCAATGTGTGCACCATGAAATGTGACCAAGTAATAGGTACGGCCGAATGGAGAATAGAAGGAAAAGGGGGTAAAGAAAGAGATATGAAAAATTTCGGGGTATATGGCGTAAGGTATTGAGACAAGAAGATAGAGAGAGAAAGAGAGGATCAAGTCTGTCGTTTAGAAAAGAAGCTTGATATCAATGAGCTCTGAATTGCCCGGACGATCACGCTCCATATGGAACCACCAGTCCCGGCCCGTCTTGTGGTTCCAGGATCCAGTGCATGTGTCTTTGTCCCAAGGTAAAGCAGCCCCACTGAAGCTGCTCATGGGTGTAATTGGTGTTGTGGGAGTAGTCGGCGATGTGCCCATCATAGAACGACCACTCAGACTGCCCCAGCCAAACCTTGACGTGGCGGATGCAGGAGAAGTGGGTTCCTCTGGTGGAGGGGGAGGGGGAACATCGCTGCCAAAGCAGTTGACACCAACGCCCGCAGCATATGATAGTGACTGGTTCGAGGCAAGCAGCTGTTTCCAGCCAATCAAGCCACCGTCTGACTCCTGGCCCGTGATATCAGGGCGGAGTATAAAGTGAGGGATGGAAGCGCCTGTTGTGGGATCCCGCAGTCCACTTCGGCCCATGAATGTGGGCATGTTGAACTGGTAGACTGTTTTGGGACCACTGTGGTCATTCTCTTGGTGTTTGTATCGCTCGGCGGCGGCCCAGATCCCGTAATCGTCCATCTCCTGATCTGGATCATCTTCGAATTGGGAGGCTTGGGCGTTGTCCGGTACATAACTATCCGACCAATCCTGAATCAGAACTGGCATTCCTGCTTCGGTGTCCTTGGCTGCCATGTCAATGAATGTTTGGGCGCGGATTCGGGCTGAGGTCAGGTTGTTTCCTGCGGGTAGGGCGAGTGGTCGAGTGTTCACTGATCCGTGGGAGCTCCGGGGCAGGCTGTATCGATCTGGTCGGAGTAGGGCTTGGCCTTTGGTGATGGGACGGCAGGCGGCTTGGAGTGCACCGGGGGGCTCCACGTCGGAGGGTGCGCGGAGGGCTTCCAGTTCGGGGAAGCCGGCGGAGATAATGCTTTGGGCGAGATGGAAGTTGGGGGTGTTGGAGGGTTTGGAGGATTTCTGGAAAGGGAGGGTATCAAGTCGGGTGAGTGCTGTATGAGGATCTGGGCAAGCGACATCCCAGTGGAGGTATTTGAGAGTGGATGAAGCAAGAATGGGCTGGAAGATCATGTCCTCGTCTGGTAAAGTCGGACATTTTTCTGTCTGAACGATCTTGAATCGTTCCAGCTGTCGGAGTGAGGAAAGAATCTTGGAGATAGCCAACAACGATTCGATGTTTTGTTCGACCAGGATGAACGTCTTGAGGGAAGCAGATTCGGGGCGAGAGGTAAACTGCGTGAGACCAGCATCTGTGATTCCAGGCAAGTTTTCAAGCCTTAATGATTCCAAAGGTGGCAAACACAGCAAGGTGTTATCATCAAACGAGTCTTCGTCGAAGGAGGTAATGCACAGGTTTCGCAACGAAGGAAGAAGGTTGAACATGCGAAGGGACACGCTGGGCTCCAAAGCGCCATTCCCATTCAAGCCATAAAGCATCAAAGTCTCCAAATTTGACCAAGATGTATGGTATTCCAAAAACTCGAACATTTGAGAAGGACCCAGACTTCCAGGACAGGAGTCATCGCGGGTGGACATCTCAGATACCTCCGCAGCCTCACCCAAAACCCAAGTATGTTCTTTCAGCTTCTTGCGCGTTGACAGAGCATGGGTCAATCGGTCAAACTCGTGGTGATATGGAATTGACAGACCCAAGAGGCGCTCCAGATTTGGACACACCATGACCACGGATGCCACCAAGTCGCGATACTCCTGCCATTGCGTACTTTGCTTCGCAGTGGTGAAGAGCAAATCCAATTGAGGAACGCGCAGCTCGTAAACGAGGTTGGCCAGCAACTTTCGTTCGCGCAGGGTCCGTCTCAACAGCTTTAGGCGACTGCCTCGCTTGAGGCGGTATTTCTTTAATTGAGCGGGGCAGTCGTTCCCGACAATTTGTGCACTGTTATATCTGTATGGCACGTTCAGTCAGCAAGGCTATTGCATTATTCAGGCCCTGATTTCACACAGGGTAACAGAGTAAAGGCGAAGTGTTGAATGTGAACTTACAAAGGTCCTCGAACGGCTCTTTCCCATGGCCGACACGTCAAAGACAAAGCATGCAGATCTCGTTGAAAACACGTCGTACATCCTGTCTGATGCTGTCCTTTGTGCAGCTCTTCTAAATGGTGAATGATAACTTCATAAACCTCCTGGGGCACTCGACGTTGAACTGGTTCCGTGGATTTGGCTATAGAGCTCACAGAGTCGAATTGGCGGTAAGATGACGCGGGTGACGATGGGGAGTATGCGGTAGGCGCGGTAGAGGCGCTATAGTTCGTTCTGTAGGAGGATATTGAGGAAGTTCGCGAGGTAATTGGCTGAATGGAATCGTCGACATGGTTCTCAGGGATAGAAGTATAACAAGTCGCGATCTCTGGCCTAGCAACGACGCTCATTGTGAACTACTCTCGCATTGAAGCAAGATGCGTAGGAAATTTCCAACAAAAAAAAGCAAAGTCAATTCCCAATAAGGAGGAGTTCAGGAATGTAGGGGACTGCGGGCAGGCGTAAGGTGGACAGAAGATCGGCGGGTTCCAGGAATGTCCAACGTCACAGGACTCAAGGAACAAACAACGTAGTATCAAGAGAGAAGGAGAAGAGCAAAGTGAAGTGAAGACGTGAGATTTGAAAAAACCCCGTCAAATCGCAATAATAGTCGAGGGATATAATTTGCAGATCGCGTGAAAACGAGCGGAGTACGAGGCCCGTTTGATGCTAACGCTTGGCTTTCTCCAAATCAGCGCCACGTTTTTTTCTCCCACCTTCTTGCTCTTTTTTGTCGTTTTTGTCTTTTTTTGGCCGTGGAAAAACCGAAAAAAGGAAAGGTAGTGAGCAGCGGTCGATCCCTCCCCGCATCAGGAATGAGTCGAAAAGGACTTGAGCCGTGCAGCGCGCGTGTTGGAGAGCAGAGCGGAGTCGTTCGGGTGACAGGGGGCGGTTCAGGGGTTGAACTAGTTGTTCATACAATTCCTTGCCCTATGGGAGACAGGGATCCGCTGTTCTTCAGATCAATTGTGTTCAAACGGTGGAGACTCATTTATTACACACAGCTAACAGCGGGCATACGTACGTCTACTGTCATGAACCATGTTAATATCTACATACTCCATAGTGTACTCCGTACTATATAGTAAATGAAGTATCTCTAGATATTCTCTCCTTACATTACCCCCTATTCCCTTCTCATTGTGACTCTCTACACTCCATACTACACAAGACATGAAGTCTATCCAAGAATCCACATCACATTAGGTCCGAGTGCTGGCATAGACTATCGCTTATTTGGGGTTAATTCGGTGGGTCATACTTAGGGCCAACTTTTACCCCTTTTCCCTCTTTGCTTTTTAAGATTAATGTTACTATTATTACTTCTCTCACGCTTGGTTCTGTATCTTTTCATTGCTTTTGATTGAATGTACAAGAATGTCTCAGATTCTAGTATCCATTCATGTTTGACTACGGAGTACTTCTCACACCTCTCTTGTCTCTTCTTTTTGGGACGTTTTTCCAAGGTTTACTTCTGTATAAAAGGCCCAAGCGCTGATGCATATGGATAAAAAAGGTAATTGGGCGGATGCAGGCGCAGGAACACCCTTTTTTCCCTCTCGTTTACTCCAGGATGGTCTGCGCGTCACTGCATGGCATGGGTGGATCGACATATCAACCAACTTTTACCACTTCACTATTGATAAAATATGGGTGGTCTGAATATGTACTCCGCAGAATCGTATGGCTCTCATTTACTCCAATACTGCATTCTTCCAATATTCCATGACTAGTACGGAATACTCTGTTCTCCGCAGTACTCCGTACTCCTATTTCAGATCATTCCCCTAGCAACACAATATACTTGTAGCCATGGTGGCTTCTCAAGCTGATCACAATCCATGGATCCATTTGTTTCGCTCTCGCGACACCCAACTCGAAACAAACATGAAAATGGCTAGAAAGATTTACTCAAGCCGCTCGGGTCGATCTTGTCATTTCCCATGAGGATCCACGACAATATTTTGTTATCAGCACGAATTTGGAATCCGGAGGCTCTCCGTATTATAGGGCAGAGATACAAGTGGACTGTCAATTTCAAATCTCTCACGAGAATGCCACTCCATCTTTCACTGCCACATCGAGATCGAATGGCGCAATTGGTCCCGAAACCGAGATGGACCCCTAGGGTGTCCCCACCAGATCGGGATTTTCAGCTGGAATTCGTCCACACGATCCCGTGTTCCCACGTTCTCAAGTCGATCTCTGGGCTTGAAGATCTGGCTGCCGAGCTGGTTCGCTATGTCCGATTGGATATGCATTTACGGAGTAGCCTTGTCGCACAGCATATGTACAAAGTCTAGTGGCACCAGTGCTACGGCGTACAGACAACATGCTAGTGGAGGTGTGAGTGGGCCAAATTTCTGGCACCGAGGACCGCCGAGGATTGACTGGGGACCTGCAGATCTCGTTCCCGGGAGATTGTTGCCATGGTTAATGCTCTGAATCATGTCTTTTAAGGTTTCATCGTGACGGCAATTCCACTCAAGCCCTGGAGGTGACGTCGGTACGCTGTAGGTGATCAGTTTCAAATCCGAACATCGTGTGATTCTGCTCAGGTGTTTCCGGTTATTTTCTAATTTGTGCTATGCAAGAAATCTCGCGTCTTGAAGGCTCGACGGCTTTCAACCTGGGCCTTATGTTTCATTGACATTTTCAGAGTATCTAGGCTACTGCATTCCAGAATAGTACTGAAACTAGTTCGTCTGAGGTCTCAGTAGAGGACATGAATTCCATGACATGTTCACAGTCCACGGGTGCATGAAGAAGACCAAGTTGAAATGCAAGTTCACCGGAGATGGTTTCCGCTGGTAGAACCTTCCAATGTTGAAATTACATTGGGCCGTTCCAAGGTTCCAAAGCTAGTGATCTGCTCGATTGTAGCATATATTCGTACCATTCATGGATGATTTGTTCAGGCACGACTGTCGCAGAAAAGTATTTCGGTCTAGTATATATTTCAACATGCCATTATGTATCCACCCACTGCCTTGAGCGATATTCTATATCGAGGTCTAACATATTCATGGACCGTATCCCACAATCAACAGGACCGGAGAAGTTGAGTGAACTAGATTGGTAGGTACACTAAAAACATGAAAGCAAAAGAAAAAAGTCAAAATATATAAAAAGTGACAGACGTGGGAAACGAGCCGTGGAGCTCGGGTACCGCTAGGAATGGCCAAGCTCAACGGCTCTAACTGGCAGCAATTATATCGATCCATGAGGTCTATCTGATGCATCTTGCTTACCATCAGAGTCAACAAACACCGTCTGAAGTTGATACAATAGCCTCACAACATATGCTTTATATGGACTTCCAAGGTTAGCAAGAACAATACCTTGCTCTTAACTTCAGCCTCGGGAGGATTTGCTTGAAATATCAAGCCTGTATGCGCATTAGAAGACCACTACTCTGTACTCTGCCCAGATGTACAATTGAGGCAAGTTCCAAGTTTTCCAAGCGGTGATCTAATCTCACCCTCACGAGCTAGCTATTCAACATAATCGTGTGTTTTTTTTCTCATTATCTACTCTGACTTTAACCTTCTGCCTCTTGCATAACATCACATATATCAAAGCTTCGTCTCCCTGACCTGATCCTTCGAGAACCGGTATACAACATCCCCAAACGATCCGGTTGGAAAAACATAAAACCACTTCAAATTTGATGGCCCCGTATTGACAATTCCATGCTCAGCATCTGATGGAATAAATACCGTACTGCCAGCAGACACTTTGCTTGCCACACCGTCAATAGCAACTTCGCCCTCGCCCTCAAGGATATGATAGATCTCAGCCTGTGTGTGTCTGTGTGCGCAGAGGTGACCCGTCGCCGGTGGACAGACTGCTATTCCAGCAGAGAGGTCTGTAGAATTGGTTTGCGACGACGAGATCAATGTGTGCCAAGTGACGTCGCCATAGACATTGGTAGGGAACGACTCTGGGGTGGTTCTTGTGGTATATCCAGGTTGGATAATCGTTGGGCTTGCTTTTGGCATTCTGGCGGATCAGTCAAGGGTGATTCAGTGAAGGTCACTTTCAAGGCTGTTGTCAGGTAGGAGGGGCTTTTTATATATGCATCTCAAGCTGTTATCAACTGCTGGCGTTGTTAGATCCTGTGCCATATTGTGTTGCTGTACTTAGTATAGGACCTTGACGAGGACTCGATTTCCCAAAGCGGAAATTAGATCCCTTCCAATATGACTGCATCAACGGCATCCAGAAGAATGGCGGAATCAGAGAGTGGATCTCGTAATCAATCAGTCTGGCCTAGTCGAGTCTATATCAGCAAAGCACGCAAATAGAAAGTTCCCTACATTCTGACACGTTGGTTGGGTTCAACATGAGGATCAAAATCACGATCACAGCTGGGCATTACTGGAGTGCCTGACCAGAATTTCAAGGTCGGTAATCATCCGTACTCGGGCACCCACATTTCACTATAGCCCGAGCACACGTAGAGGCTCCCAAGAAAGTCTTTACTGCTGATGATTGGACCCAAATTGGGACATATACATCTGAGCGCTGATTTACCACCATAAGACGCTACCTATATTCAGAACGAGAAGAGAAAACGACAAAGCTCAGAGAGCAGGTATCATGTTTCAAGATGAGATCTCAGCAAACAGAGGTATAGATAGAGAGTAAAGTTGCCAAGAAAAGATGACATAGACTAATTGACCCAAAGGAACATGACATGAGAACAGACATGAAGACATTGAAGCCATAAAATTACCCAAAAGCCAAACTCCACCGAACACGCAGATACCCCTCGAGAACACTTGAAGTCGCTCAATCCTCCGAGGGGTGGGGGTATGTGTCTGAAGACCGACTGCAACAAGCAAGAGTTTGCAACCAGCAAGCGTAGGCATGACATAACATCGCCAAGTTGACAGACAGATGACAGACTGAAGGGATGAAAGAAAGGACGGGGGGCAAATTCGTAACAGCTCGCGGTACCTAATCGGGGTGAGAGTCAAGTATGGAAACCCATATTTGCGGAAAGCAACGCAATCCAAAGGCATGTACAAGAGATAAAGAAGAATTTATGCCAGATCAATGACTCCATGATCATGCAGAAGAAAGGAAAACGTAATCACATGTCAAAGGTATCGTCAACGTTGAAAATCCCGGACTCGGTGCCGTCGTGTGCCTTGTGGGAAACAGGGACGTGGTGATCGACAGAGTTGCCGGAGCGGTGGCCTCGTTGCCACTCGTGGTCATGCAAGCCATCTTCTTCCATATGGTCACTGTCGTCCATAAGGTGGTGGTCGATGGAGCTCTCGTTCACAAAGGTGAACCCCTTGAAGTTGGCTTGCATGCCGGGCGACAAGGGGGTGGAGGCCGGCATGAGGCCATTGGCCAATGCTGCAGCGCGGAGGTTGAGGGAGTTGTTCATCTCCAGTGCGTTTGTGAATTCGGGATCGAAGTTCGAAGTGTCGGTGTCGGATTGCAACTGGGGCTTGAATGGCGGGATGACTTGCTTACGGCAGAGTGTGTCCCAGTTGATGTCGGAGAAGAAAGGATGCTCCATTAGCTCCTTGGCATCGCCATTAGCTCCGAGTCGGTGCTTGGGATTGCGGTTCAGCAGTCCCTTAACAAAGTTGCGACCCTCCGTGCTGAGAGCATCACGGGGGAATCTGACTTTGCCGAACGCAATGTTCTTGTACATTTGCTGGGTATCCTCGGCGTAGAACGGACTCCAGCCGCAGCACATCTCAAAGACTAGAACACCCAGGGACCAGAAGTCGACCATCTTGGTGTAACCCTGTTCATCGAGTAAAACCTCTGGAGCCAGATACTCGGTGGTACCGCAGAATGTATTGGTAGTGTCGTCTGAGGCAAGGTTGGCCTTTGACAGACCGAAATCACACAGTGCAATGTGACCGTTTGCGTCCAAAAGGATGTTCTCGGGCTTCAAGTCACGGTAGACAATATCGTGGTCGTGAAGGTGCTGGAGAGCGAGAATTAACTCGGCAATATAGAACTTGGCCCTTGCCTCCTGGAATCGACCTTCGCGCTGCAAATGCCAGAACAGTTCGCCACCGGACATGTAATCTGTGACGAGATATAGATCTGTAGGGGTCTGGAAAGAGAACTTGAGGCCGACAATGAATGGGGATGCCGTCATGGCGGTGCGGACTAAGATATTGCGCTCGCCGAGTGTGTGTACCACCTCCTTCTTTTGGATGATGACCTTCTTAGAGAGGACCTTCATCGCATAAATACGCTGAGTATCCTTCTTCTTAACTTGGTAGACCTGACCGAAGGTTCCCTTGCCGATAAGTTTGAGGATGAGGAAGTCGTTCGGTCCCACCTGTTTCCGATCTGTCTTTTCGAAGTTCATATCGAGATGAATCTCACCCGACACTTGGTTGTCTCCGTCACCACGGGCAACCAAGGGGAACCAGCCTTCAAGTCGACTGTGATCTTCCTTGAGGTTGATACAAAGGCGAACGTGGCCCAGGAAAGCTTCTTGGTTATTTCGGTCATACACTGTGACATCAAGTTCTGACTGATCACCCATCACATCACTGGAGAAAGATGGTTAGCACATGGTGCATGTCATGGGGTTCGGCTGGAGCAAACATACAAGGTTGCCTCGTGATCCCAATGAGGATCTGTTACGGGAGTCCGACCCTTATGATCACCTTCAGCGATAGTGTTTTGGCTGCTGGATCTTGATTTCAAGGGAATGGCCATTGGCCGACCAGCAGCCTCCTCTGCATCTGACTCCTGCTGGCGCCGTTTCGTTTCTTCTTCACCGTCGCGGGCACCCTTCGAGATGTACTCATTCCACTCAAAAACACAAACCACATACGGGTCGAAACTCGGCCTTAACCCTCGGCCATCTGTGATCTTCACAAACAATTTACCATTGATCGGGCCCGTGGGTGCGCCGTTGGCTGGGGACGATGAAGACTGGGAAGGGAATGCTTCATCGAGCTTCATGGTGATCTCGTCCGTGGAGGTTTCCATGTTCTCCGGCTTCGACTCGGGAGAGGGCTCTGGCGGGGTCTCTTGGCAGGTCTCTTGCGGGGCCGACGTAACGGACTTTTGTGAGGCGGCTTCGTTTGACATGGCCCGGGGAGTAAGAGGTGGAGTGTTCTTAAGGCGCGACCCATCGGGTGCGTTTCCAGTTAGCTTGGCAAGATTCTCGGAAGATACTGAAACATGCGGCTTCTCATGGTCCAGGAGGGGAGCGTCGGTCAGGGAAACATCATCCGAGGAGGGAGGGAGGGAAGGATTGGAAAAATGTGGGGCAAGAACAGAGTCATCAGAGACACTGGAGACTGGGTGCGAGGTTTGACGACGGGAAGGACTCTCATCGGGAGGGGTGATTGTGGGTGGAACAAGATATTTCTTCAGGGTGGTAAAGATAGACGACACTCCAGGACTCGTCCCAAGCTCCATATCATCTGAATCATGTTGTAACAGGGAATGGGGAGGGGTTGGCAAGCTGGACTGTTCGTCCTCCATTTTCTCGGATGCGTCATCCTGCTCCATCATCACAAAGGACTCAGAGGAACTGGACGAGTGGTGGGTATGCGCATTGGGTGATTCCTCGGATGGCTTCGATAGGCACGACCAGAGCCGCGGGCTCGCTTTTGCACCGGAGAAAGAACCAACCTGGAAGTAGTTGTGCATGAGGGAAGGCACACGCTTGTCCGCGGGGTCCGGCTCGGGAGTAGCGATTCCTGTCGGTGTGGGTGTTGACCCGTTCGACCCGATGTGGTCTTGAGTATCGTCCTCGGCGCTGGGATGGAAATGTTAGTCATGCAGCGAAAAAAGCGAGTGGGATCAAGATCTTCGACGCAGGCGGAGGGCCGAGAAAGTTCGAAAGGCAAAGAGCAGACATTCTCCTCACGCGCATTTCATGCAGGCCCCGAAGAGAACCAATGCAGCATGCGGTGTGAGGGGAGGGGGGGGATCGTGGACCCTCTTTTTTCCCTTTCCAACCCCGCCTTAGGAAGAAATGGGGGAACTCACGGGGTTGACTTCATGTCGCCGTGTAGCACGGATTCGTGGGCGGCCATAGTGCTTCCATTCAACGCTCTTCAAAAGGAAGAACTGGGGCTGGTAAAAATTGAGGAAGTTGGGAAAGAAACTTCGATGGTTCGAAATTGATGAGCTAAGGCGGGATCGGCTCCCGACGCCCAACGATAAGATAATTCCGTCGGTTTTCCTCGTTTTCCTCGTTTCGCTTGTTTCCTCGTTCTCGCTTTTGGAATATTCGATATTCTTCGATGCCCTCGGAGAAATCGGATGCTCCCCTCAGGTGTCAGGTCAGAGGGGAAAATAAGGCAAATATGGTGCAAATGGACAAATAGTCCACGGGGCCGTGCCTCATAAGAATCCTTATGTAGCCTAAAGCAGATACTCCCAGCTGAGCAGTGCTGACAGGATGACCTTCTGAAAAGGACCGATACTAAAAAAAGAGAGCAGGAGGTGCATTCTTGTATCTGAACAGGCTCCTAGGCCCTCTCATTGCCCCCCAACGCAGTGACCGTGGCCAAATGAAGAAGACTTTACCAAAAAAGAACAAGAGCAGGACAAACGGCTATGAGTGGACAATCTCGATTATTCAATTCAATATGACTTTATTTTTAATTTTTAATTTCCTTTATTCTTTGATTTTGATTGATTTTGAATCTGGGATTATCTCGAGAATTACTCGGAGCGAATAGTCCTAATGCGGCACTCATCTTAATCTAGAATTACTACTTCCTTCGGTACTTATTTCCCTTGGCCCTGAGATTTGAGTCTTCTGAGAGTGCCCTTCATACTCCGTACTGTACTAGTAAGCATTTGATTAAATCTACAGTGCCAGAATGACGCTGTGTTACCGTGCCTTTTTTCACATATGCGCGGTTTCCTCTTGGGAGCCCTGATATTGTCATAAATGATCATATTCGTTCATATCTCTTTCGATGCTAATCTCGCAATATCCCAAATATCCCATTTCGCGCTCTAATCGCTCTCCACTTCGAGGCGGGGTAGTATATTTCATCATCTCTGACAACATTGAACAGAATTAGACCGCTTCTCTCGGAGCAATGCCTTCCGATTCTTTCCAGAACTCTGGTCTTGCACTCAGATAATTCATGAACTTGATAACGTATCCTTACATGCGTCATCGGGCGCCGTGAGGGCCCTAACCTCCGGGCGCTAACATGTGGTTCGGCGGATCTAACAGCCGAACAATGTACGTGCCACAGATCCCAAGGCTACGGAATACTGTGTGCTGGATGCAGAGAAGGAAAACCGACGCTAGACAGAGCCATGTCGATCTCAAAGCAATCCCCTCAGCGTGTGGTATCCGCACGAATACGTGGGGGGGAAGGGCTGAGGGGAATATCAAGGGATCGACGGGTACCTCCCGCAGCTGGATTTATACTTACGAATAATCTCATGGGGAAATACACATCCATTTAATTTATCCAAGGATCGTGTTCAATTGTACAACATCCCTGGACTGAAATAATAGGCTGCTTTTATATGATTTCAATGCGGTCGGGTCTCTCTTCAGGCTCAAAGCCACCAAATATGCGTGGTTTCAAGCTGGTTTCAAGGCGCATTCTCTGTAATGCACACCACCGAGCCCGAGTCTGGAATTGATTTGTAGGTCATCTGCATTATGAGAACAAGTCATGATCTGCACTCTCCCTCAGTAATTGCCTTTCCATTTGGCATGATCCGTTGGTCCCAAGCTCTCTGCAGATACCCTAAGTTGATCGACTATGATTCATGGGGATTTGTTTTCCTGAGCGTTCGGGTTACCCTGTTGGTTTAGCCAGAAACCGTTACATGTCGAGATTGAATAAATTTCGCTAGCCGCGTCAATGCAATGTCCTATATCTTCCACAGGCCCAAGTGCCACTTCGCTACCACACTTGAGAAACCGAATTCCCTGTTTATCAACAACCTTTGACCTGGGGTTGGATATGCTCAAACCTCCTTTCAAGCTCGAGGGTCTATCCCTCACATGTGATATTGAGCATTTGAAACAGTCCTGGTGATATATTTTACCTAACGCAGACTCAACAAAGATGTGGTCAATGGTAACACAAGCAGTATACTAACTTGCTTTGGTATTCATGCATCTTTCTCAATGGGATCCTCAGATTCCGTCACCCAATACCAAAATAAAGCCAGCGTGCATGGCAGGGTGATTCGGGGAATAACGGTGCGCTAACTGACCGGTGATCATTTGCGGGATTTCGCTGACACGACGATCCACCATGCGTTGAATATTGAATATTGAATTTCTGCACTGTGGCAGTGACGATTCAGGTAGGAGATATCCCCAAGTCGTAGATGCTTATCCTGTCTAGGCAGCTAGTAGTATCTATAATGATATGAGAATCCACCCCTAACAACGGCGACGAGTAACTAGGGTCCCAGTTGTCAGCCTATATTTTGTACTAAACGACTACTCTCACAAGTTCATCTAGGCACCCCGAGTACCGCCAAGACTATACGACAAAGGCGACTGCTATTAGCCCCTTTGTTCATGGGTGAGATTAAAAGAGAGCCTCGAACAGTGAAACAACATTTGAGTCTCTCAGCCGATATAGCATGCTGATGTTTCAAGTGACATCTGACCAGCGTTGTTATCACGATTCGTGAGGGAAGACCTCAAAACCCAAGGGTTCGTCAACATCATTCTTGGAAGATTTGAGACGGCTATGGCGGGTGAAGGCCTAGAAGCACAAGAGAACAAACCTCGACCGCAGTCAAAAGCAGCAAGTTTGCCGATCAATGGTCTAGGAAGCCGGGATGCTCCGTTGGTTGAAGAAGCGCAAATGATGTCATGGAAGAAGCCTTGGCGTTGCCTCATGTTTGCACAATTTGCACATACACCTAATCATTGGTGTATCACATGACCCTACATGAATTAAAGGCGGTGAATCACGTGTTTGATTGCTTTTCACGTGACTCTATCAGGAAAGGAAATAGCTTCCTTTGCGCCTCTACGCAACGACCACGGCCCAACGCGATAATGCCTCGAAAGTCAAGGGCCGCTGCCCAGGCCGCTGCGGAATTAATTAGTGAGTCTATCCATCTCACTTTCTATCACATATCGCATAGTGTCCAATGCCCTGCGCCAACAATTTCACTCCCCTTAGACGCGCTCGCGATTAACCCATCATAGAAAATGTTCCTGTCCTGCCTGAGGGTTCCGATGAAGAAATGCTCGATGCACCTCCATCTCATGAATCTTCGCCCGTAGCTGAATCCCACCATTCATCCGAACACGACCCAGACTCCGAATCCATGGCTCAACCAGAAGCTGCAGATGAATCTCAGCCTCAATCTGAGTCTGAGACCAAAGTGGAGGCTGAAGCTGGAATGGAAGGCGAGGCGACAACGAACCCCGCAACGGATGCGGGAGAAAAAGAGGATGGAGAAGGAACACCAGCTACCCCCAAGGTGGAGGATGACACCAGCGTCGCAACTCCCGCGGAGGACTCCATTCTCACTGAAGCAGCTCCTACCCCCACACATGGTCCTGGTCGCCCCGGTATTTACCCTCGTGGAAAGCGCCGAATCGGTCGTCCTCCAAAGAACCCTCGCCCCATTGAATACGAGGCAGACGGTGAAACACCAATTCGAGTGACCACACCTGCCAAACGTCGCCGTGGTCGTCCTGCCGCCAGTGGAGGACGCTGGGCTCGCAACCGCGGTCCTTCTCATCTCACTCAAGTACCCATTGATAAAGAAGGAAACATGATGGATGTCATCAACGACGAGGTCTCAATCCCACCGGACCCAATTGGCGCCACAAAGGTCGATGAGAATGGCCACCTCCAAGGAGGACGTGAATACCGTGTTCGCACTTTTAAGATCCTTGGCCGTGGAGATCGCCTCTACATGTTGTCCACAGAGCCGGCCCGTTGCATTGGTTTCCGTGACTCCTACCTCTTCTTCCAGAAGCACAAGATGCTGTACAAGATCATCATTGATGACGATGCCAAGCGTGATCTAATTGAACGTGACCTCATCCCACATTCCTATAAGGGTAGAGCCATCGGTGTGGTCACTGCGCGCTCTGTCTTCCGCGAGTTCGGCTCGAAGATCATCGTTGGCGGCAAGAAAATTACTGATGACTATGACGAAGCCGCTGCGCGTGAGCGAGGTGATGTTGAAGGCGATCTTTCTGTCCCCGAAGACAGAATCCCTGGTCCTGGAGAAGTCTATAATCGCAACCAGTATGTCGCATGGCATGGTGCCAGCAGTGTGTACCACAACAACGCGCCTTCAGTCCCACTTGCTGGCGGAAAGCCTGTCGATGGCAAGAAGCGTCGCGCACCCGTTACCGATGATAACTGGATGCTCGAGCATGCCCGTGCTGCCAGGTGAGTCTAGCTGTGCCAGCCAACAGTCCATAGCACCACAAGCTAACATATTCTTAGCAACTTTAACCACAAGATTGCTGACATGCGCCGCGCCAACCTAAACGGTGTTTACGACGTGCACACCAACATCATGCAATTCCCCAAGATCATGCAGCCAACCCACGCCCGCTGGGAGCGCGTACCCCCCAACCCAGAGGCTGCGATCGCCAGTGGCCTCACGACCGACATGAACTCACTGAACATCGACAACAAGGGGTCTCCTTCGGATGAAGCCAATACCAAGGCTACCCCTGAGCCCACAGAATCCAAGGAAGCTACCAACGGTGAAATTGCCACTGTTGAAACCACCGAACCCCCGACCACCATCTTCCCTCCTGTTTCCGCCCAAATCTACAACCGATACGTTGTCCAAGATATCGTTTACGAATCCCCGCAGTACTCGAACATGGGCGTTCCGGGACCTGACGGCGATGTGCACGACATCGGTCCCAATGGCATGGTCAGCGTTGCCGACCCTGCACACCCTGAATTCATGACCCCCGAGATCCTCGAGCTGCTCCCACCTGAGTGTAAGGATGCGCTCGCCGAATCTTGCGCTCGCGAAGTCGAGTGGAAGTCCAAATGGCGCACTGAGACACAGGATGGCGAGCGTGTCCAGCCCACCAAGAGCTACGCTTGGTACCCTTGATTGGAGCCTAGATCTCTGTGGCTTCGGTGGTTCTTTCTTGTCTTTTCTTGAGATTCTTGCGCAAGGCGAAATATGGGTTAGCATGGGCTGGGTGGCTGGACATGGCGGGCAAAAATGCCACTGGCGTTTTTCTTTTTTTGTTTCTTACCTGCTGGATACTCGGCATGCGCTATGAATCTTTCTACATCTTTGTGGTGTATTTAACTAAGCTTTTCTTGCTTGGGTTCTCGACGGCAGATCTTCTTATAGGATCTCTCACTCGATGTATCTGATAGCGGTTCTTCATTTGTTGTTTGTTTGACGGGACTGGCCGTATGGAAATTCCCGGTGAGTGACCAACTACGAGATAATAATGAACCATCTTCTTAAAAAAACCAATAGATGCTTGAGTAAATGTTCGTATGCTAGGTCGAAAACTTACATTGAGATGTGAAGATGTGCGCCGTAAGCCAGCAAAATGTACTTGGGAATTTAGCTTACATTAAGAGTAACATGGACTAGATAGAACGAGCCGAATAATCTAAAACTCCATTTCAAATCAAGACAAAACAGTGGCCGAGAAATTGACAGGTCTGAAAAACGGTGTTGAGAGGAACAGCCAGATAGAAGCAGTGAAATGCGACAAGACAGGACAACTGAGCCGTGACCCAAGAATGCCTGCGGACTGTATTGCGGGAGGGAGGAATAAGAAGAAGGGAAACATCAGTAAGCCGGGTGTCAGCACTGGGAAAAGACAACAGGATGTGAAGGCAAAAAAGGCTTGAAGAACGGCCGGGTCATGCATGCGAAAGTTGGACGAGAGGAACAAAAGCTTGAAGAAATACTGCATTGATCGCGTGGCTGGGAAGGCTGTCACATGGCCATTTCTGCCCGCAGTTTCTCCAATTCGGCCTCCTCGTCGTCTTCTGCCTTGGCAGGTTGCTTGACTGTAGAGCATCAGTTAGATAAGGTCTGGGCGGCACCAAATATGAGAAGGGCAATTCAAACTCACGATCTGTATTCCCCGCGGCTGGTAACCGGTCCAGCTGGGTACCAACCGGGACGAACCCAGTGTTGACCATCTTTGCATCCATAGCCTCCTGTTCCAATCCTTCCAACTCGGCATCGAGATCTTCCTCGTCCGGCTGTTCTCCAATCGGGACACTGGTAATGGCGTTGCCTATTTCTGTGCTGAGCGCGTGCTGGTCTTGAAGTTCTTCCCTGCGGGGTATTAGCACACTGTATATACACATCGTCACAAGGTAAGCTAGATGGCGGACAACGTACATTGTCTTGTCGACATCCTCCAGCTTCATTCCGCCGTGGATGTTCTTCATTGCTGCGCCGGCCTGCTTCATTGCGGCTAGTGTCTCGTGGTTGATGTTCGCGGCTTCAATGGAGTATATCTGTTGCTCGAGCTGCATGATCTGTGCCGTTGTTTGCTCGAGGTTTTTCTCATGAATCTTCTTCCGTCGCAAGGCATTCTTGGCAGCTAATGATAAGAGTGACACCGGTCAGCCATGAGTTTCACTCGAATGTAGATATCCGGGGCCTGTAGACGGCTCTCGTACCATTCTTGTCTGTGTTGATATTCTTCCGAGCCGAAGCGTCCTGGTCTGAAATTTGGCTTTCAAGATGTCTCTCGCGCTTTTGAAGCATGTCCAGCTGCTCCCTCAGCTTGAGAATGGCGTTCTTGGGCGCATCCTTGCGCTTCTGGGCGGCAGCACCTCCGAACCAAGACCACATGTCGACTGTTTTGATCTTGTCGTTACTTGATATTCAAGGAAACCGATAGGGAATCGGCTCAGATGGTATGCTCGAGTAGAGCAGAAAGCCTCCGAAAGACCGATGCGGAATGACCGTTTTCTTTGGCGCTAGCTGCAGGTCAGGTGGTGCGATAGGCTCCAGGCAAACTCAGGAGACACAGTACGATAAGGGCCGTGTGGACAGAATGCGAATGATCGACCTCAGGTCAGTAGATATTGCTCTCGATGCTGATAATTCGGGATAGTCAAAGTGGAGGGGAGACCCGTGGACTTTCCCCTCGCTGAGCCTATGACATACGCGGTAAGGCCCGCAGATCACGTGCGCATTTATATTCTGATCTTCGATTTCTACTTCGATCGCGATCACTTTGAATGTAACACTCGATAATGCTTAGCACCTTGAGGATCTAGCCTCGGAAATGAATGGGCCGCGCCCGTCGACTCGCGTGTTCCTGTCCGATCTCTCATCTCTACAAACGGATACGAAGATCCGCTTTCTTGGCTGGTGCGTCGGGGATCGCTAGTATGAGCCCGATCTCCTTTGACTAATCCCTGTTCGCTCTTTCATACAGTGTGACAAAGTATACTGTCGCCACTGGACGCTTGATCCTGGAACACAATTACCCACGCAGCAAGACAACCCCGAGTAGTGTTTCCGTCGACATCACTGGGATCCTTGAAGATGTCACTGCCGAAGCGCTGCGCATAGGAACATGGCTGAACGTCCTGGGCTACATCAGGGAGATTGAACCGATACAGCCAACATCGTCGTTCTCATCGAATTCTGGAGATGCCAATCAAACATCTACCGTCCCCCCTCGACCTGTTTACGTCGAAGCCATCATGGTCTTCGCAGCGGGAGCCATCGCAATCGGCGACTATGAGCTTATTTTGCGGAACTCTCAAGATGTGGAACGAATGATGAATTTCAAGGATTAGGGTAATATCAATGCCTCGCCGACAACAACACATAATGAACCCGCGTTAGGACGCGCCTGCGCATTTTTATCTCAAATTAACTTTTAGAACACCTCAGATGCATGGCCCGGGGTATCAAACAATAGGCCTTAAGAACGAAACTTTCAAACCTCTGCCTTTTCTTCCTCCATCCGATTAGCATTCGCCAGCTGAAGCGCTCTCTTGGCTCTCTTCCCCTCCAACTTCATCTTCTCCTCCTGCATCCGCATAATCAGGGGACTCTTCATCCGGATCTTGTGTCCATACTTGTAGAACACGAATGGAATGGGGACAATCAGAACCTCCAACAAACCCAACAGTGTACCCGCCCAGTTCGGACCCAGACTATCATACATAGCCGTGCCAGCAAGCGGCAACACACCACCGAGAATACTTCTGATAACAGAGTTACCAGCCAGCGCAGAAGCAGCATACATACCGTAGCTGTGAGTCAGGTAATTGGAAGCGTAAATGAAGACGCCGGTGTTTCCAGCGCCGAATGGAATGCCCGCCAGCAGGGGTGCGATCCAATGGATCGAAGCTGGGGAACAAGTCCAGGCGAACCAGAGCTCGCCGATTGGGATGATCATGGCGCATATGCAGACGAATGAAACTGCGGCTTCTGGTGGTGGCTTGCCGGTCTCTGGGTCTGGGGCGTGCATGTTGATCAAGCGGCGAATGAGGGGCTCGCAGGCAATGGTGAGAACCACGCCAATACCGATTCCAAGGAAGGCAAGGCCTGATAGACCGAGGTCCCAGCCGCGGATTTCTTGGAAGACGATTGGATAGGCCACGAAGCAAAGGTAGAGGATGCCGTAGATAATGGCGATATAGATATCCCAGAAGATACTGGTATATGTTAGTCCTCGTTCACAGGTCACTGTTTTGTTAGAATAGCACTAAATGAGGCTTACCAGATGGGTTCAGTAACAGCCATGACGAATGGACGACTGAGGTTCAGCTTTAGGACCTCATACAGGCTAGCCGTCTGGTCGTAGCGACACCACCAGCGAGACTCGCCACTCTCCTCGCGGCGCTTGGCTGCTTTTTTCTGAAGCAAAGTGGGCGCATACGTTTCCTTGAGAAGAATTGCAAACACCAAGGCAACAGCAGAGAGAATGAGAGCAATCCAGCACATCCAGCGCCAGCCAAGATATTGAGTAACAAACCCACCAATAACAGGCCCAAGCACTGAATACCATTAGCAAGAACGCCCAGTGAGCTTGAGCATTGTACATACCTGGTCCATTCAACGGTCCAATACTCCAGATTGAGATTGCCAATGCGCGGTGTTCATCATCCACCAGGTCAGCCACCATACCAGGGGCCGTGGAGATCATGACACTGCCGAAGAAAGCACCAATAAATCGAACGACAATGAGGGTAGTCACAGATTTCGCAAGCGCACAAGGGATGATCAGAACCGTGAAAACAGCCAAGCAGATTACGCACACCGGCTTGCGCCCATATACTTCACTCAGCGGTGCCATGAACATAGATCCAATAGCCAGGCCGATAAGATAGAACGTTAAGCCAAGGGTGACGATTGTTTCATTCTCACCGAATTCCTCGGCGATGAGCGCCGTTCCTGAAGTGTATGAAGTTGAATATAGCACACTGGGGTTATTAGTGGAGAAAGAAATCGAAGAGTATAGAACTCACACGACGAGAGTGTTCCATGACAGGAACAGAATTCCCATGGCTTTGTATTTGAGACTCCAGTTCTTTGGGTTCTCTGGGTCATTATCATCATCCCAGTCCACTTCGTAGTCTGGATCGGCTGTGGCATTGGTTGCAATCGTTGTGACTCGCTCTGACAATGACATGTGCGAGGTGCGCGAGGCGCGAGCCGTCAAGGTCTTGCCCAGCGCATCGTGGTCGGTCTGCGTGTCTACCGATGAAACAGATTCGCAGATGGAGTCTGTGTCGTGAGACCTTCTCGCCGTGTTTTGGGGGCCTTTCTCCTGATTGTCTGAATTGGGAGGCTGTGACATATTGGAAGCTTGCGCAGGACGCACTACCAACAGAGTATAGGGCGGTTTGCTAAGCGAACAAGGATAAATTTGTTGACACGGTTCAACTCAATGAAGCAGGCCCAAAAAATCAAGCCTTTCTCTTGTTCTGCTGCAACCTTGGAATACGATCACGGAAAACCCGAGAACTTGTCTCTTTCAACTTTGTACTGGAATTCAGATCGACCAACAGTCACAAGCTTGAACCTCAAGCCCCGAGCCCACGCAGCCGAACCCTGAAATTCAATCTAGATATGAAAGAAAGATAGGAAACAAATCTTCGATTGCATTTGAAACTGGAAAATTTCCCACTGGTGGGGCCGACTTGAATGATAAGCATATTCGACCACCAGCACTAGCACCGTTTGGAGAACCACATGGATATGCCAAGTCAAGTATGGCAAAGACACACAGGGATTATCCCGTGAACCACGGTGGAGCTCCTCAGGCGTTGGCGCATCTGGGCAGCAGGACATCTCTCTCAGATCCCAACGTCGTTGGACATGTATGGGGATTTCCCCGTGGGTAACAGCACTCCATTTGCGACCCCCATGCCGTGATGGCTGGAGTGCGTGTTTCGACCCAACTGTCTCCACACGGCCCCCCTACCAGGCCCGAGACGAGTGGATTCCTTCTAGTGTGCCGGTTTGCCGAATACCGATACAGTATGCTTGGCTTCAAAGAGGTGTTGGATGAAGGGAGTTAGTTTGGAAAAGTGGCGTGATGCTCTAAGCAGATCTCAAAGTCTGATACAAACATGACACAAGCAAACAAGTCAACTTGGAGGAATCCCGAGGTCGAGCACGGTCGAGATTGCGAAGTGGATTGCCGAGACCAGCACGGGTGGAAAAGGTCCAAGTGTATATTCCCGACGCGGAAAAAGCGGAACGTTCCGCTACCTTGAACTATAAAAACTATATCCTTGACGTCCTTCCCTCAATGTACGTCCAGTCTTTTTAGACTCCAGTTGAATTCTTGTGATACGCAAGTAACTTGACCACTATGATCTGCATATCGCCCAATGCTGGGTCTGAAGATCTCTCCCCAACGGCCTCAGAGAATCCGGTTTGCGGGCCAAATCGAGTGCAAATTTGAATTTTCGTCCCAAACAAGAAGTTCTCGGGAGGGTCTCAGGTCGCTCGTTTAAAATAACCGAAGCGCCAAAATCTAAGCGACCTACCATTTTGGATTTCAGATTGAATAGAGAATAGATGAGTGAAAAAAATGAAACAGTCGAGATGGTTGATTCTTTCTACACAAACGTTCCCTGCCTCTCCCGAGACACCGGCGTTTGTCCCTTGGGGACTTTGTAACCTTTCTATCAACCCTCCCTGAGCCTCAACTTCCAAGCTTCTCCTACATCGTAACAGCATGTGGATATTCACACCTATCTTGCTACTGGGTACTCTCTATCTCTGGCACATCAACCGTGTCATGAAGAGAGTTCCCGAGGAAGCAGCAAAACTATCGCCTCATCGCTGGACCGTGGAAGAAATCAAAGCGGCCTACAAGAAGAGCCAGGAAAATCCCATCAATGTCTCCAAGAGCCTGCCACCGAAGCAAAGTCGACGATATGTCATCGTCGGCGGAACCGGTTCGTCTATTTCAGCCATGGCGTTGAGCAATTGTACTAATGCGGAACTATAGGCCTCGTTGGTACCTGGATCATCAACCATCTCTTGACTCGAGGCGAAGACCCAAAGGCCATTCGCATCTTGGACCTTGCCTCTCCAGACGAAATTCTCAAACAAGGCGTCGGCTGGGTCAAGACCAACATCACCGACAAGCTCGCCGTGACCATTGCCTTTGAAGAACCATGGCCCGTCCACGTTTCCAAGCTCCCCTTGACCGTCTACCACACGGCAGCCTTGATTCGGCCCCAAGACCGACTCCAATGTTTCCTACCACTCAGCAGCAAGGTCAACATCGACGGAACCCGCAATGTGCTAGAAGCGGCCAAGACCGCCGGAGCAAGTATCTTCATCTGGACATCCTCCGGCTCAACAAGACTCCGCAGCCCAACATTCTGGATCCCGCCCTGGACCCGCCATCCCAAGCGCTCAGTCCAAGTGATCAGCGACAGCACGACCGCCCCACAAACCCACCGCGATTTCTTCGGCAACTACGCCGCCTCAAAGCATCAAGCCGAGCAAATCGTGTGCGCAGCAGATGACCCAGCAACCGGATTCCGCACTGGCTGTATCCGCCCTACGAATGGTGTCTATGGCACAGGCGGCGTGTCCAGGACCGCAGTCACGGAAATCTACTTGTACAACGGCGGAGCTCCCACTTGGGCTTCCCCTGTTATTCAAAGCTTCGTACACGCCGAGAACGTCTCGCTCGCCCACCTGCTCTATGAACAGCGACTGATCCAGCAGAGCGAGCCCGGATGCACACTGCCCAACACTGGTGGCCAATCTTTCATCATCAGCGACCCGAACCCGGCTATTGCGTTTGGAGACTTGTACAACGTTCTCATGACCCTTTCTACAACACCTGTGGAGTTCCCGAAATTACAGCCCGCGCCATTCCTGCTGCTCTCGTACTTCGTAGAGATGTATGCTATCCTGCGATTCAAGTTCGGGATTCTGCCGCAGCTTCCGCCGGACTTGGAACAGTTGCAGCCGGCGCTGTTTGGGATTTTGAATGTCAACATGTTTGCTGATGATTCGCGCGCAAAGTTGGCTCCGGAAAAGGGTGGGCTAGGGTATAATCCGCCGCTCACTACGCTTGAGGGATTGTGTCGTCGTCTGGTCGATTGGAATACCAAGGCGCGGACTGAAGGTGTCCACGTCAAGGGGAAGAAGATCATAATCGGTCCCGTGAAGGTTTCTGAGGATGGGGTTGGTGTTGACATCGTTACACCAGTGAAGCTTTAGGGCTAATCCCCCCCTTGGCTCTCGGTTCATTTAATGATTAGCAGTTTAGCGATGAGACTCAAAAGAGATCGGACCATGAATTTTAATGGAAATGAATTTGACAAAAATATCAAACCTAATGCTATCCAGAGCAGCTGTGATTTGATTGTATCTGCTATAGCCTGAGCCGACCCGCGGGTGACCATAGTGACTGATATGACCTGAACGCCGATAGGGCGTAAGTGCCTTTGCAAAAGGCATGTATGGAGCTGATAAAGTACCAGTGATAGGCGTGGCTGGAACCCGGGGGTGGATAGACATTTGTCTGTTGAGACACCAAGGATTTTGTACTCGTGTGTCGTGAGAGGAAGTCCTCGGCGCAAAAAAGCGACTGGACTGTATGGCACAGGACGCAGGAACCAGAAGAAGCAACCCATTTTCCAAGTCGTACAAATCATTGGCGTTATGCAAGCTTTTCACCAAGCACCGTGCAACCGCCATGACAAGTGCCACGAAGGGGCCAGCCCACAAAAGAAAAGTTTCTAGTAAACGAAAAATCCCACTAGCGTGCCTGCTGCTGAGCCATCTGTCTCCGATGCTCAAGAATCTGCATCCGCAGACCCTCACAAGCAACCTCAACATCGAGAATAGCCCCGACACCCCTCTTCCACGTTTCCTCCAAGCTGACCAATTCACCATGGCTAGCCTCTTGCGCGATCTTCCTCTGCTTGTTGACCTCCGCAGAAGCCTCCTTGGTCTCAGCGAGCTCCTTCTCCAGCTCACTCAAGATCTCCTCCAACTGCGAGTTTCCAATCAACCAGGCATTCTTGCCGTGCTCTTCCAGCAAAGTCAGGTTCTCATGGCGCTTCGCGAGATGCGAGCTAGATGCGTACGCCTTCTGCAGTGTCTTGCGCCACTCGTCTAGATCCGGTGCGCCATTTGATGGGGCTGGCGCTTCTGGTGCTTCGTAACGGGCGAGGTCGATGCCGCCGGTCAGAGGTGCACCGGCTGCTTTGCGCTCGAGTTCTTGTTGGATGAATGGTGAGAATTTGGTTTCTGGGATTTCAGGAATCCAGGGATGGAGTGTAGTGGCGTGGTCTTGGGAGAGCTCGGCGTTGATGAGCTGCTGGGCGCGCGCGTGAGCGGACGCTGTGGGCGCCGCGTCGATGTCTGCGGTGATTAGTCAATTGAGCTGTGTGTGTAGGAGGGTGATGTGTGAGTGTTTACAGGGTAGCGAGTCGTGAACGTCGTTGATGAGAGGCATTTTTGAGGTTTGTATGAAAGTCTATAAAAGTTGCGATCAGAAAGGCCGGTTGCTTCGATGGGCGGTGAGCTGGCAGAATAAGTGGATACTGTCATGTGATCGTGAAGTATACGCGCATTTTATACGTCAACTTGGACAAAATCCGCCAGAAATGTCTTAGAACAATATCCTTGGCCTGAAATTTCTCAGTGCTCATCAGGGACCACACCATCTATGTTATACAGAACAGCAGGGCTTCGACGAAGGGCCATGTGGATATAAGGAGTTGCCGTATCGGATGCGGAGCGACTGCCTAGTTGCGATCTTCCTACGCAGATATCCCCATACAGCCATACATGGGGACCAGATGTGTAGTCTCATCTAACTAAGCAGCTAGTTTCTAACCCAATTGGAAATCTTTCAAGTCGGGTGCATCTCTTCTCCCGTGCGGGGGAGCTCAGCCAAAGTCTATTCCTGTTTGGGCTGCGGAATGCAAACGATGATCCTGCTGCCCATCACATCGCTTAGATCCATGGATGTTCCAAGGTTACATCTTGATTCTTTTGAAAGATCCTTGTATAATCCAGTCCTTCATGTCCAAGTTTGGATAATGATCTTCCGGGGTGTTCATCTATGATCTCGGTGCATTTGACTAGTACGCCGTATAAGCTCGTGTCTCCCGTCAAGGGACTGACTCCCTTGGCATTCTTTTTCCAAAGCTATACCGGTGCCTTTTTCTCTTCTTCCCTTGCAATACAAAGCTATCTGTCAGGTATATAAAGACTTTCTGAGTCATGGCTGACCTTCGACTGGGAGGTGTCTTTGCTGTGTTTATCCTCGCAGCGTTGGTGGTTTTACAACTACTTGCGGTACTCACTTATGACGACCAGAGTCCCACCGCAAGCTTCAGCAAAAGCTTTAACCAGTGGAAAAGCAGAGCAAATGAGGGCTCAGCTGATGACATTTTTCTGGTCGGAGCGGGCAAGGCAGATGTAACAGGGTAAGTCCATGCTGCCATTACGAACTTTCATCTCACTGCTAATACGTCAACTAGACCGGTCGTCGAGGTCGATTTCAATGGCTACGCTACTCTCGATCAGCTAGGCACAGGCCTGAAACAGCGAATATATTCTCGCGCATTTATCTTTGCAGATCCAAACAAGCCTGATGACACCTTCGTGTACTTGGTCCTCGATACACTTGCGGGTGATACGGCTGTGCGACACGGTGTTCTGCAGGGTCTGGTTGCGCTCGGCGGTGCCTATGCACGCTACGATGAACACAATGTTGCACTGACAGGAACACATTCTCATTCTGGACCGGGAGCATGGATGAACTATCTGCTCCCTCAGATCCCGACGAGAGGATTTGACAAGCAAAGTTATCAAGCTATCGTTGATGGCGCAATCCTGTCTATTATACGCGCCCATGAGAATCTCGCACCGGGTCGACTTTCTTTTGGGACTATTGACGTGGAGGATGCGAATGTAAATCGCAGTCCTTATGCATATGATAATAACCCGAAGGAAGAGAAAGCACGATACTCCGCCAATGTGGATAAAACACTGTCTCTTCTTCGATTTGATCGGCAGTCCGATAACAAGACGGCTGCAGTCTTGACCTGGTTCCCAGTTCACGGGACGTCGATGTACAACAATAACACCCTGGTCACTGGCGACAACAAGGGAGTCGCGGCTTATCTCTTCGAGCGAAGTATATCCGGCGACGAAAGATTTACCGATGACGCAGTCATAGGGTTCTCCCAAGCTAATGTCGGAGACACGAGTCCCAATATCTTGGGAGCTTGGTGCGAAGACGGCCCCGGAAAGGAGTGTCGCTATTCAGATAGTACCTGCGGTGGCACAAACGAGGCATGTCACGGCCGCGGGCCTTTCTTTCGTGAAAAAGACAACGGCGCAAAGAGTTGCTTCGAGATTGGACGTCGACAGTACTCGAAAGCCAAAGAACTCTATGAGCACATGGATACCAGCCCCATCAAACTCAACGATGGCTCAGCGGTCAAGTCTTTTCATGTGTATCAGGATATGAATGGCTATAAATTCCCTTCGCCGTTCAACTTAACTATCTTGGAGACATGTCCAGCGGCCCTGGGATATTCTTTCGCAGCCGGCACCACAGACGGACCGGGGGCTTTTGATTTTACTCAGAACTCTTCCAGTCCATCCGAAGGCAATCCATTGTGGCAAGTCGCACGTGCCTTTGTTCATCAGCCAACACCAAAGCAGCAGGAGTGTCAAGGTGCCAAGGACGTACTTTTGGACGTGGGCACTCTGACCGAGCCATATGCATGGGCTGCAGACATAGTGGATGTTCAAGTCCTACGCGTGGGCCAATTATTCATCATTATTTCTACAAGCGAGGCTACAACCATGTCCGGGCGACGCTGGAAAGAGGCCATTGCAGCGAATGCAAAAAGCCAGCTCTCCATATCCGATCCTCAAGTGGTACTAGGAGCCCCTTCAAACAGCTACGCGCACTATGTGACGACGGAGGAGGAGTATTTCATCCAGCGGTACGAGGGCGCTTCTACGCTATTCGGACCGAACACACTAGCAGCTTACATCAACTTGACACTCACATACCTCCCGTATTTAGGGAGTGCATCAGATGTTGCCCAGCTGCCGACCATACAGCCTGGCCCTAGCCCACCAATCAACACGAATCGCTCATTGAGCTTCGTTCCAGGGGTTGTGTACGATGGAGCACCCATTGGCAAGTCCTTCGGGGACGTGCTTTTGCAACCGGGGAGTGGGTCTTATGGCCCCGGTGATATTGTCAATACAACGTTCGTGGGCGCTAATCCCCGCAACAACCTGCACCTGGAATCAACTTACGCTGCAGTGGAGAGAAAAGGCAACTCTGATTGGGAAGTTGTACGCAACGACCGGGATTGGAATTTGGAATTATTGTGGAAACGAACAAATACTTTCCTCGGACATAGTGAGGTGACCATTCGATGGCAGATTGAAGATGAGTACTATAGTGTCGACAACCCAACACCCCTGCAGGCTGGAACCTATCGGATGCGGTATTATGGAGACTCAAAGAATATCCTTGGTCAGATTTCGTCCTTCGAGGGAATTGGCGGGACGTTCACAGTCAAGGCTTCATAGTTTCGAAACCAGTGAGAAGAAAGACGGAGTAGCTTAGGTCATGAACGTGGAGGAGCTCTGAAATAGTGAACCTCAATTTATTTCTTCTCATTTGGGGAAATGCAAAGCAAGTGAGATGGGGTGTCGTTGATTCTTCAGTAAAATTCGAGGTGGTGCTGCGGCTACAGCGGACCAATCACCACGCAGTCACCGCAGTCCTTCGCTCCCCGGGCGCCTACTGGGACACACCTGCAGCTCTTTGTCGATCTATTTCTGATGAAACCTCCGTCCCACAAAGCCCCTTGCAATGGCGGTTTGCCTGGGAGTAAAAGTGGACCAATGACAGTCGGCCCTGGGGGGCAAACAATGGGCAGCAAAGAGCCCTAGTCCTGTCCAGATCCTCAGATATACCAGCCACCACCCTCAATGGCGCTCTCAATGAGACCAATCTTCCTTCCTGTTGCATCTCAGATTGCTTCACTTGTCGCATTCTTTTGTTTCTATTCAGTACCGTGGTCCCCTGGTGATCCGGACATTCATTCATTTGCAAGCCATCAAGCCATCAAAACGTCTCTATTCATCTCCATTAATCTATAATATTGTCCCTGGCCATGCTCTTCTGGCGCCATTCTTTCTCTTTGACTCAATCATTCTTTTATATCTCTGTCTGATATCCCTGACACCTGTCTATCAGACTCGCTCTCGAACTATCCCGACGATCGCTTTCTTCACTCGTTTGCACTTCTGAGATGTTTCGCGCGCAGCTATTTTTTTTATTGTTTTATTCGTGGACTGTTTCGGCTGGACCCATCTCTCGCTGGTCCTCGCCTTCATCAGATGAGTTGTTCTCGTCAGCTATCTCCGCCATGGAGATTGGGCGTCGAGATGCCATAACGGTTATTCCTATGGCAAAACCTACTCAGCTACCATTCACCTTCGAGGACTCTGGTGAAGATTCTCCATCAACCACCCAGGAGCCTATTACTACTCGAGAACCCACCACTACTGCAGAGCCCACTACTTCGGAGGAACCAAGCACATCGGCTGAACCAAGCACATCGGCTGAACCAAGCACATCGGCTGAACCAACGACTTCTTCAAGCTCGCCTAGCTCCTCTCAGTCTTCTGCTTCTCAATCCGAGACAGAGCCTTCGTCCACGGTCACTCTAGACACATTGTCTTCAATTCAGACTAGTGCCCTGGAATCATCTGCTACACTCCAAACACTCCAAACTGAGACACCATCCTCTCAACCAATTGTATCAACGACACCTCCTTCTGAAGCTGGTACAGAGACGACCTCTGACATCTTGGCGTTTACACCAATTGGATCACCTGTGGAAACCGCATCTTCTTCCCTGTCAAACTCGCCGACGTCATCTTTCATTGGAACTAGTTCTGTGACAGCACCGTCTTCACAGTCTCTCTCCTCTTCCGTCCCAACCGAGACAACATCTTCTCGGCCAATTATATCCAGCTCCTCATCAATTGGAACTAGTTCTGGAATCTCCTCATCTTCGCCATTTGCCACATCTTCATCGACCGCCAGGGAAACGGCGTACTCTTCGCAATCAACAATATCATCTGAGTCTTCAGCTCAAGATGTTTCATCGGCATCGACATTATTGCCGTCTGACACTCCTTCAACCCCAGGAAACGTAACGGAATCTCCATCCTCTTCTCTATCAGTCACGTCCACCTCTGTGTCCAAGGTATCTCCTACCAAGTCTGGATGGCCAGTGTATTTGACATACCCGAGTGATACCCCTAGCTCCATTTCCACGTCCTCGGAGACTTCTGGTAGTGTCAACATCACTTCAAAACGCCCAACTGAAAGCTCAAGCGGCCTGAGCAATCTATCTTCCCAGCAGCTTCCTGCATCCACAAGTTCGCTACCCGTGTTCAAGGATCCCATTTACAACTCAAGCTCAACTGGTGTTCTTGGGTCATCAAGTGCTTATGCAAATTCAGGACAATCCAGTGGCGTGGCGTCCCAAACACCGACCCCAACAAGCTCAACGCCATATTCACGACTTGCATCCCAGACAGTAACATCATCATCACTGGGATCTACGTCATCCACCTCTGTTACCCCACAGTCAACCTCACCGTCGTCCGCAGCATCTGGCAGTACTGATGCGTCAGTTGGGGCTGTGGTGCCCCTGGGTGGATTGGGTAGCAGTAAACCTCTAATTCCCACATCGACGGGAGCGCAACTCTCTGGCATTGACCAATCAACATTCTCTCCCCAGGCACAGTCTGCAGCAATATCGACTTCTGCAACCGAGTCAGAGCCCTTTGAGATTGTGACGGACCCCGTGATTGTCTATGTGACGAGGCCTTCGCCAACCCCGTCCACAACAAGCACTGCGAACTCAAGCATCAGTAGTGTGACTGTGCAGTCTTCTTCGGCGCCAGTGGCGGTGGTGTCATCATCTGCCACGCCAGAACAGATCAGCACGTCCATGGTGAGCATCACACTGCACTCCACAGCAACGAGCATCGTTCGTGTAACAGTTTATCCGACAACCCCTTCGCCAGTGGCACCTAGTGAGATCGTCATAAGCGAGGCCGCCCAAAGCTCAGATGTGGTACCTGCGGAGACAGTGCACGTCACCTCAACAAGGGTTGTCCCAGAGACTGTATACCAGACCTCCTCATCGGTGCCCAGCAGCGTTGACCCAGTCGAAGCATCTTCAAGTGACACCGCAACACCCGCACCTGTCGAGACGGTACACGTCACTTCGAAGACCGTCGTTCCCGAGACTGTCTACTTGACTTCTTCGCCAGCAATCAGCGAATCAAACCCAGTCGAGACCGCTCAGAGTGAAGATACGTTACCCGACGAAACAGTGCACGTCACTTCACAAACCGTTGTCTCAGAGACGGTCTATTTGACTTCATCGACGGTAAATAGCGAGTCAAGTCCAATCGAGACTGCTCAAAGTGAAAACACGATACCCGACGAAACAGTGCACGTTACATCAAGAACCGTCATACCCGAAACTGTCTACCTGACTACTTCGTCGGCACCGATAAACCCAGAACCAACAGAAGCAGCTTCGAGCGAAGATCCCGCGCTGGCTCCAGTAGAGACAGTGCACGTCACGGCGACGACAATAGTACGGGTGACTGTCTATCCGAAAGTGTCTTCAACGTCCCCAGCGCCTTCAACCGTGAACGCAGTACCCACAGATGCTGTACAGGCTCTCCCGACTGAGGATCCTGCGCCACCGCAGACGACACAGGCCGTTAAATCTACGGCAGAGCCCACGGTCGTAGCGACGACTTCTGCGGCCGGCCAAGGCTTGATCTCCGTGATTCCAGTCACGCCGGCTGGGTTTATCACGATTACCGAGACCACGACTCAGACTGAGACTGAGACCAAAACGGTGACAGACCGGGTTACGGAGACTGTCACTGCTACTGTGACTAGGGATTAGGGATGAAAATTGGGTGGTTTGTTTAGATTTATGTTTTTCTTCTTTTTCGTTTTCCATGCCCAAGACGGTTTTCTTTTAATTTGATTAATTACGCATAGTGTGATGTCCCCTCATGCCTCTTCTTTTCATCTCTCAATTTCTCCATTCCAAAGTCCCCTTCCTAGTCGGTCATTCTAAAATCCAAGATTGGATAAGATGACACCAGATATACCCGTTTGTACCGAGAATTTGCAAAGTTGATTATCGTCATGCCTCTATTCGTATTCGAAGTCAGATTTCCCCCCTCCAATGCCTAGGCAATCTATAAATACAAGCGCTACAACTGGTACAAAAGACCACCAGCCTCTGCAAACTTCTGCTGATACTCCTTCAAACTCGCCCACTGACTCATTTCCTCCTGGTCACGCTCATAATCACTGAGATAACTCATGGAGCGACCATTCGGCTGTGGACTCACGCTTTCGGCACTAGAATCAGCCGTAGAAGAATGACACTCCAGTCTCACAAGTGTCTCGATGAATGCGTGTAGATAAGATTCCGCTTCTGTAGATGTGAGAATATGCAGACCTGGCGTGGATGATGATGCAGGAGCTTGAGTGTGTTTGGGACGAGAGAGGCTGAGGAGCGTCGATGCTACTTGGCGGATTTTTCCAGTCTGGGTGCTGTCAGTTTTGTGCTTGTATTATGTGTTAGGGGAGGGGACGTACGATGCTTGCGCCGTTTGGCTCCATGTTTACTTCGTTGACTGTTCGTAGAAGTATGAAGAGATCTTTGATTACGAGCTTGCGCTCTTCGGCCATGATGCAGCCAATAGAATCTTGTTCGGCATGGATCTGGGCCTGTGAAGATTGATTGGATGGACTGCTCGCTGTTGGAGTGAGGGTCGGGGTTGGATCCAATCTGCCTTCCTGTTTGATTTGAGGTGTGATGCTGCCGAGCGCGGAGAATGCGGACGATTTGCCGTACTTCGAGAAAGTCTCGAAAAGGCTCCAGTATTTTTCAACAAGATAGGATCGAGTACACAGCTGGCTAGCGTATATATTGGCTTTCTGGATCTCGTACTGGATAGCACGCCTTTCTTGGTGGATGTGGTCATCAGAGTAGCCGAAAATCGAGCCATCTTCCCCGAGACCCGCAGGAGAGGTGTTTTTGGGGTGATGGAGAGAGAGTTCAATGGGAACATTGACCAGGGTGGATTTTGCGGTTTTGAGGCACCCTAGAAGACAGTTACGCTGGTGCTCCCAGTCAAATATCTGGCCACTGCCAAAAGCGATTTCCCAAGATAGAAGCGCGGTATATGAGCTATACACGCGAACGTTTGCGTTGAATCCGACTAATTGTGAGACACGGTCGGATGGCTGTAGCTCGACATGTGTCGAAAACAGAAACTCGTCATCAATCTCTAATGGTAGTGGCGGGTAACGGTGTGTTGGGGTCTCTGGTGGAACATGAACTTTGAGATCAGAGTTGCCCATCTGATGCAAAGTTTGGTATCCAACCAAGGTAACATAGAAAAGCCGTCGGCCGAGTTCTTGTGTAATGAGGTCAACGGTCTGGGTTTCCATGAAGTTTGGTGCTGGGTAACTCTGGAGTGTTGCTGTGGTGGGCGAGGTCGGACTGGTCGCACCCATTGTCGAAGATGGGACTGGTGATCTACATAGGTCATAGACTTGGAGCATCGCTCGACATTCTGACAGATAGACCCGGCATCGACTCATGTTGTTGATGTAGCCAGTACATACTGCGACAAAGTAACTGATCGCTGCGTCATAAACCGTGGCATCGCGATCGAGGTATCCAGTGCCGCGGGCCTGGATAGCAACATCGAGACACCGCTTCACCAATGCAATTGAGTTGGGAAATGCAGTGCGCTCTGCTTCTGTATTCAGTCGGAGTTTGGGCCTCCGAGGGAAAGAAGCCACCAGCAGCCCGATCATCGAGGCCAAAAGAGCCAAGAATGTGTGGCTGGTGATATCCTCCCGGCGCTCAAAGGCCGCTCGGAAAGAAGGCTCATGAGGAATTGGAACCAAAGGGTGAATATAAGTAAAGAAGTCGTCCAAAAGTAATTGCACTGTGCGCAGGGAACATATCGACTCCGCCGATAGAGGCGACGCGGTCTGGTTGACCAATGGCACTACCGGTGTCACCGGCGTCACAGTCACGGGCTGAGGTGTGGCCGCCGGGGGACAATCTGCTGGACTCAGCGATGTCTCTTCTGGCTCACGCTTTTGTTTCTTGAAAGCCTCTGCATGGCGGTTGGGAGGCCCGCGGCGTCTACTTGGTCTTTCATAGGTGCATGGAATCTCCAGGCTAGCGCATGACCGACAAGGCGGCCCACCAGTATCACACTTGCATGGTGGATCAGTTTTTAGTGTCAGGATCATACGAAAGGGACCGTACCTTCACTTTTCGAATACTGCAGGCATCACAGGCCTTGCGAAGCCTTGTTCTCTGGTCCATTTGAATGCGCGTGCCTCGGTCAGCTCATATTTGATCGCGACGGGGATTCAGGGTCCAATGCCAAGGCCAGGACCGAAGAAATGCCGAGAGCCGAAAGTCAGTGCGAATTGATTTGAACACTCTCAAGGCTCTCAAAGCTCCCCTCCAAAAGCGCCAGGCTTGTGCTGTTTACAGAGGGAGACCGGAAATGCAAGGTGGATTCGCCGGATTTACTAAGCGGGCGGGACTGCCCAGGTGGGAGATCTGGGAAACCCGAGGTTCATGGCTGTGAACACTTTCCCTTTTCTTTGGCTCTTGGATTCTGTCGCAAAGATCGGCGGAAATCATTCACATGAAACGGGCTAATCATAATACAGAACTCATTATTGAGCAATGTATGACGACGTATACAATATGATGAGTTGCGATCGACTCAGCACAGACCAAAGGGTCTAGAAGTGAAACATTAGGGGCGCCTCTAAAGCGCCAATACTACTATTTAATGATAACTATCATTTAAAAATTAGGGCATGATGTCATCACGGTATTGCTCTCCCAGTCGGTTTGACTGTTGGGTGGCAGCTCGTCGCTTGCGTTCAAGATCGGTCACCCAGAGTGCCGACCCAGCAGCCGTGGTCATCAAGAACAACATTGAAAAAGGTGGGATCAGTTGGAGGATGAGGGCGACCGTTCCAAATCTAAAGCCAAAAAGTTAGACTCCACACTGAGCCGGATGAGCAGGGAAATATGACTTACGTGGTATACTGCAGCTGGCGTCGACTGATACTTTCCTTCCTTTGTTGCTTGGACATGTCCAGCAGGTGGAAATAACGCCAGTGGTGGAACGGACCAGCACGATATCCAGTCAGCACAAGGAACATAGGAGTACCAGCAACCGGAATAAAAATAAGCGGGAGTAGAATGATAAACTCGGCGATCTGTCGGAGCGAAAAAGGGGAATAGATGGCACTGGTAGTCGGCGTGCCGAGGCGCTTGGCCGGGTCACCAGGTTCGGGGTAAATCACTCGGGATGTGGTGACAAGCTCTTCTTGTCCCTCATTGACCAGTACAGCATCAAAGATGTCGACCAGGGTCTCATCCACGAAGAAGGCCTCAAAGAGAGCGGCCACGATGGCAGCTCCTTCTCCGAGTACCAGGAATGCACCGCTCACCCATGCTGAGGAGCCCTGGAAGACAGCAAGGAAGGCAACCTGAGGCAGGTATGTGAAGAAGAACAGAATGAAGTATATGAACGTCGATAGAAGGACGATAGGCAGAAGGCGGGCCTTGAAGAGGGGCCACAGGAACCGGTTTGATGCGAAATAGAAGATGCCCTGGCTCACAGTCAGTTTCAAGCTCAACATAGGGATGTAGAGCTACTCACCCAAAGCGGGTACAGCCATGCAGCCCGACTAGGATCCCAGACTCCAGACATGTTGGTATGAGTTCACCAAAGAATCCTGTCACCTGGAGAAATGCATGCGGACGGATTGGAAATGCTTATCGATAAGACACACGTGACCTAAACCAAGTGGACCCAATGTCACGTGCCCATTGCTATTTTGTTCGAGAAATTTTCGCCGAGCGCCCTTTTCCTTTTCTTCTTCACATAAACTGAACTCCTCCCTATTCACTCTGAACTTTTCTTTCAATGGAAGTTCTGGAGGGGAAATGGGAGGAAAGACGAACTCTGCTGGCTTACCCCAAACTCTTCTACTCAAGCGTGGAGCGTTTGGAAATATATTCAGCTGTACATTCCCATTTCTCAATCAAAACATACAATGAAAATCTCGAAATTACACTCGACGCTCAATCTCCTTCACAACATGCTCCAGGCTGTTTACAATAGCCGTTGGTCGTAGATCTGGAATCGCACCGTCTTTCCATCCGCCGCCCATGCGATCAATCCATATAGCCTGCATGCCCACACTGCGTGCACCAACAATATCGAAGGGATTGCCGCTCACTAACCAGATGTTCTTCATTTTGGATGGGCCTTTGCCCGTCTTGATTGATAGATGCTCATAGCATGCTCGAGCCGGTTTGTACTGTCGGACTTCGTCGACAGTGACCACGTCTTGGAACACACTCGCGTGTGGTGACAGATCTTCGGACCGTAGAACCGAGTTCGACACCATGGCTTTAGAACCATTGGAAAATATCACAGCTTGCAAGCTTGTATCAGAGGCTATTCGTGTCAACGTTGGTTTCACGTCGGCGAATGTAGAGAGGTTGTCATAGGCGTGCATCAACTCGTCAATGCCATGCTCGTCTAAGCTCGTCTCGTTGTCCGCTAAGGCATGTAATAGCGAGTTGCGTGTGACAGTCGAAAAATCTTCATAGCGACCTGCGCATCATGAGAAGTGCGCATGGTCAAGGGCAGCTCTACTCACCCATACTATTCAACCTCCATGTGTACTCCAGTTGGTACCGCCTCCACAGCGCGGAGATTGATTTCGCCTTGGCATTCTCGAAATGTTTCTCGAGCTGTTTGACAATTGAGTCAGTAGACAACAAAGTCCCATAGAGATCGAAAGCGACTATATTCTCGGCCATTGTGTCTGAAGTTAAGAACCTTGGGGAAGTATACCGGAGAGGATTACGGGAAGTTGAAGGATGATGTCAGGGTTCCGTGGGGCAAACCTGCGAATTTCCCCCCAATTCGACACTCCCACCACTCAATGACCGAGAATTACGATATATTCCGGGAATGTCTGTCCAATGCCATCGTGGCACGATCAGAAACACCCAAAGTCAAACGCAAAAAAGGCAAACGAAATGAGCCCACCGCTCAAGCTCCAATTCCAGCTCCAGAGCGAGTAGACCCGGAAGAGCTCGCCGAATTTGTCGATGTACATCTTTCCCACCCAGACAACCTCCAGCCACCCCCAAACTAACCCACACAAAGCTAACAAGACCAGTTCCTTGCCTCAGAAGCATTCACCACTTTCCCCGAAGCTCTCCAAACCCTCACCTACGCAGCCCTACAACACGACCCATCTCTCTCCATCTACGTCGCACAAGACAACGACACACCCCTCCCCCGCCAAACCCTTGAAACAATCTGCTCCCCCATCCCCGTCAGCGTCTCTGACTCACTGACAGTCTACGGCATAATTCCCGACGCAGCAGACCTTTTGGACTTCCTATCCCCCGTGCTCACGGAATACACGAGCAGTGTAACAACCGGACCGCCCGTGTGGGCGAGCACACGCGCAGATGCCTGTGAGATCTGCGAGCGGGACTGGATACCGCTTTCTTATCACCATTTGATTCCGAGGGGCGTTCATGCGAAGGTTCTAAAGAGGGGTTGGCATGATGAGTGGACGCTGAATAGCGTTGCTTGGCTTTGTCGGGCGTGTCATAGTTTCGTGCATCGCATGGCGAGCAATGAGGAGCTTGCGAGGCAGTGGTATACGGTTGAGAAGATCTGTGAGAGAGATGATGTTATGGATTGGGCGAAGTGGGTTGGGAGAGTGAGGTGGAAGGCGAAATAGATCTAGATGGGGGGACCTTGTGGGGCGTCATTTTGTATCAAATGCGGTTTGACAAGGTACCCTTGGGCTGGCTCTAGTCCTTGCCCTTTGTATATAGCATAGTTTCTTCAGTTTCGCCCAACTCAGCTATTTGATGGTTATTTGTAGAAAGATAAAAATTGGTGACAGTTGGTCATGATATTTGAGAATGTACATGCGCTGCATTTGCAGCATTCGTTCCTCCATTACACAGAATGTATGTCTCCTATTCCAGATGATAGAGATGCAACAACGCCCATGCCCCAGATGCAAGTCGATCATGTCGAGAGACAGATAAAATATGATACAAGTTTGGAAGAAAGTTAGGGGTTGAGGGTGAGGTTCCCCGGGCAAATAATACAAGCGATCATTTTGGAAATGACCGCGGAAATGGCGAAAACACCGAACCGACCTCGGACATCTTATAGATATCGTTTCTCGAAGATCTCGTCGTAGCACTGGATGCGGTCGCCAACAGCAAAGTCGGTCCAGCCCTCGAATCCGATACCACACTCGGTATCTTTACGCATTTCGGTGACGTCCTTCTTGACGTTTTTCAGAGAGGTAATAGCGCCTGTCATTGTAGTTAGATACGTTTCAACCGGTGTTTGGATGTGCGTTCTGTGCTTACCATCGTAGACCACCTCCTCACCGCGGAGCACCTTGACCTTACGGGCTTTGTTGATCATGCCGTTGCGTACACGAGATCCAGCAATGAGCATCTTCTCGCGTCCCTTGATAGTAATCGAAAAGACTTCGCGGATTTCAGCCTCTCCAGTCACGCGAATGGTAACTGATGGAGGCAGGAGGTCGCTCAGAATGCTCTTCACCTCGTCAGTTAGTTTGTAGATGATGTTGTGGTCCATGATTTCGACCCGCTCAGCCTCGGCCATCCGCATCATGTTAGGATCGATGGGTTGATTGAATGAGATGATACGGCCACCGGCGGTGGCAGCGTGTTCAATGTCGAATTCACTGACGGGGCCGACGCCTGAGCGAATGATATTGGCAAACACCTCATTATTTCCGATCGCGCTGACTGAGTTCATCACGGCCTCAGCAGAGCCGTCCACGTCAGCCTTCAGAATGAAATTGACAGGCTTGGGCCCAGTGGACTCCGACTCCAAGCGCCGACGAGTTTCATCTTCATCTTCCTTCTCGCGTCGGCGGGTTTCGGTAATTTCACGTCGGGCTTCATTGATGGCAACCATATCGATACCCATCTTCTCAGTATCCGTCCTCTCTAAGCGGTACTCCACGACTTCCTTGGCTTTCTGTTCGTCTGGTGCCTGGAGGATCTCGGTGCCAGCACCTGGCTGTTCTCTCCAACCATCAATCTCGACGGGCATGCCGGGTGTAGCTTCGTGGATGGTTACGCCGGCTTCGTTACGGAGCGTGCGAACACGAGCCCATGCAGTACCGGCGACAATGATATCACCTGGTCGGAGGGTTCCACGTCGAATAAGAGCGGATGCCACGCGACCGTAGCTCTTTGTGGAAGCTTCAATGACCCAGCCCTCAACATTACAGGCAGTGTCTGCGCGGTGGTCGAGCATTTCAGAGAGCGCCATGATGGCTTCTTCCAGCTCTACCATTCCTTCTCCAGTCTTACCGCTGACTCCGATGGCTTGCACGTCGCCGCCGTAGTCTTCAACATGAACACCTTGGGCGGACAAATCGGCCTTCACTTTGTCAGGGTTTTTGCCTTCTTTGTCGATCTTACTGATGGCGACAATAACAGGGACCTTGGCTGAGTTGGCGTGCTTGATAGCTTCGATAGTTTGCGGCTTGACACTGTCGTCTGCGGCAACAACCAAAACCACGATGTCAGTGACGTCGGCACCTCGTCGGCGCATTTCCAGGAATGCGGAGTGACCGGGTGTGTCCAGGAAAGTGATAGCCTTGCCAGCAGGCATATTCACAGAGAATGCACCGATATGCTGAGTGATACCACCGTGCTCAGTTGCCGCCACTGAAGACTTGCGCAACCAATCCAGAATGGTGGTTTTACCGTGATCAACATGACCCATGATAGTCACCACAGGGGGTCGAGACGGTAGACTAGACGGATCCTCTGGTTCGGGGGCAGCCTTGAGGTCGTTTTCGCCGATATCAAAGATAGCTTCGAAATTGTACTCAGCTGCCACCAGCCCGGCGGTCTCTGCATCGAGGATGTCTTTGTAGGTGATCTCCTCAAAGCCCATCTCTTCCATGCGGGCCACGAATTGTGCTGGCTTGACGCCAATCACATCGGCCAAGTTGCCGACACTGATAAATTCGGGTAGGTAGAGGGGAGCGGGTTCGGCCTTCTTCGCTGCCTTTCGCGCGGCCTTTTCTTTCTGTTGCGCCTTGCGGTGTTGGCGGGAGCGTTCTCGCGCGGCCTCATCAAATCCATCATCTTCAAAGTTTGACTCCCGTCCCTTGCGGTCCACCCGGTTTTTCGTTTGCTTCACGGGCTCCACGGGCTCCGGGTCCGCCATCTCAAAACTTTCCAAGTTGTCCAATACAGACAAGTCCCAGGATGACGGATCTTTCTTTGGTTCCTTCCTTGCATCCCCAGAGGCAGATTCAGTTTCCTTGGTGTGGTGTTGATCGCGATCTGTATCAGCTTCCCAATCTTGGTCCATCTCAGACAAGACCGACCTGCCCAAATTCCGAAGCTTGCTGTCATTTGTAGGTTCCTCGGGGCGAACTTCCTCTGGCCGCTCCGTTTTGCAGTGTGGACACTGTTCTTTGTATGAAAGAACCTCCGCCGCGCATGTAGGACAATTCCAATCTCCAGCGGCGTTGATCTGGTAGCTCACGGGTTTTTTTTGCTCTGGCTGGATTTTTGAAGGAGGACCCGGCGTCAAAAATGGATTTTCTTCTCGGCGCGATGGATGCTTTTCGTAAACGCGGCGTGGCTCAATGTGGCTGAATTTCTCAAAGTTCTGACGTGTGTGTTGGGAACCGAGCTTCTGCCAATTAGGGCGCTGTTGGGCAGGTCCATGGGAATCGAAAGGATTCTTTTCCTCAGAGGAATTCTGCCCTTGGAAAGAGTATCGGCTTGGCCTATCTCGTTGATATCCGAAGCGCCCGCGAGGCGATCTTGTGTTCTGGTCATTCTGGCTCGGTTTTCCCCTTTGCTGCTTCGAGGGGGTGGAGGTGGAGGCCGACTGTTGGCGACGATTTTATCGCGCATTGCTTGTTCCGCGGCGCTTAGACCGGTCGGGGTTGAGCCTGTTACTTTGGGGGCCCATCGACTGCCAAACTTGGGTTTGGTCGGCGCTCCATTGCTGTTTCCTGTTGGCGAATCGGAAGAGTTCAGACGTATCGCAGATAATCGTAAGGTCCGTCGTATTGTGAGAGTTGTTGGAGAGGGTACTAGACAGGCTGAACTAGACCACTCGGTCCGTCGCGAAACCTGACCGAGGTATTAGAAAAACTTCAGCACTTCGGTAATTCTTGCCACTCACCCTACACACTGGCCGACGAAGCATAATTCACTGGTTGCTCCTCATTTGCGTATGTCAACACCTTGGTTTTTCCCAGCAGTCCGATGCGCTATCTGCTTATGTCATGGTATATGCTGAGATCAGCAGAGAGTCTTGGCGTTTGCTGTCCACTCATTACTTCCGCTTTACCACTTCAATCTTCCGCTGTCCTTGTTACCATCCTTTCAGCTATCTTCTTGTATTCTTTTCTAAAAGGGTTATCTAGAAGTGGTGCCAGAGACCCAAAGAATAGAATCATCATAACACTCACGTATATACATGGTTGATCTACACAGATCACGCGGTGAGGTTTGAGATCTATACCTTGACCCTCCAATGCCATCCAGTTTTGGCAACCCGAGAAGCTGCACCTGCAATTGCACCCAATATTATACAGCTCCCTGCAAAGGCCTGCGCTCCTGTGTAGCTTCCATTCATATTTTGCACCAACGCACCGTCGATTGCGGGACCAGTCAGGGTGGCGAACCCCACAAAGCTCAAGATCATTCCAAGCCGTGTACCTGTTTTTCTAACATCTGGGGTCATGGTTGTTGCGGCAGCTGGAAACAGAGACTGCGCTGCCCCACCTACCAGGCCGTACACCACGGTGAATGCGTACAATCCTCCCTCGTCTTTTACCGCGATCCAGGCGTAGATGACGATAGCCACTGCAAAGCTGAAAGGAATGAGGATGTTAAGCTTGCCCGTGATTTGGTCTCCCACAAGGCTTGGAATGATCCGACCAACGACACCGACGCCATTGAGTATGAGGACATAGTCTTGCGTGCTTTGGACCTGGATTTGGTCTCGGGCAAAGTTCCCAAGATAGAAGAAGGCAAAGTACAGACCCCAGAAATTGAAGAACATACTCAAGGCGAAGAAAACAAATGACTTCTCCTTAAAAGCAGTCCAATCAACAAGTGGCCCTGTCGAGTGGGCTTTAAATCGAGGCTTGAACAAGAAAAGACCTGGGACCTGGGTCACCAGCATCACAAGTCCAGCTGCACGCACTGTCCACCCGAACCCAACATGTTGCTCATAAATCATTTGGTTGATAATGACAGGGTAAACCATTCCGCCAGTCGCCGCTCCAGCTGCAGCTATTCCCACAGCGACAGCGCGATGCCTTGCGAAATAAGAAGACATGACCGAAAGACCTGGGCTGAACGTAAGGCCATTTCCCAGTCCCATGCAAACAGCCTGAGCGAGGAATATCTGCCAATATTTGTCACACAGAGAGAGCATAAAGAACCCAAACACCTGCAGTAGGACCCCGGTCGAGTATACGATTCGAAAGTATCCTGCATCTGTGGCCCTTCCTGCGATGACTCCCATAAAAAACAGCAAGGAAACTTGCACACTACCGATCCAAGAGATCGTAGAGGCATCTTGTGAAAGAGTCTCGGTGTAGAGTTGCTCGAATACGGAGAAGCCGTTGCTCACTCCCCAGGAATTGAAGAAAACAAAGTGCATGCAGAGTACCTGCAGCCATGCTGTGAGACCACCGTCCGGCGGTGCTGCGGGTGAGGCAATTGTGCCATCGGCTTGATTAGGTTCGACTTGAGGGATTCGCTTTGATTGAGCCATGTTAAGATCAAATGTTATTTGGTTTGAGGAAAGGCCACAGGAGGGAACAGCAGTCCAAGGCTCCAGAGGTGTAGACCTGGAGGGCTACTTTGATTACAAATTTGAGCAATTTACGCAACAATCCACCGACGCGCACTCCTTCCAAAGTTACAACCATGTCTGCAGCGTACCGGCGTACCGGCGGGCAAGGGCGGTAATGTAAACCTAACTAGGATGTACCGACTGATCAACTGGATTCCGCATATCCCCGATCCTTCATTCTCTGTTCATGGCTTAGCCAAGACTTCCTTTGCAGGGCCAATCATGATGACTCGACGATTTGTTGGACCTTGGAAGGACAGCTAGAAAGACAGCTAGAAAGACAGCTAGAAAGACAGCTAGAAAGACAGTTAAAAAGACAGTTAAAAAGAGGCCCCGAATTTGATGATAGCTCTCTTCCGTTACCAATCGAAATATGAGATTGAGCCAATACATAACTACTCCTGTTTATAAGCAACTATCATCGTCTTTTTGGCCTCGCGTGAGCGCGGCACTGAGGCTTGTAGAACTCATTACTCATGAGGGTCTCTCACCATCAAGTTTCAAAGCACTATTGATTGATGAAGACCTGTAAAAGTATTTAGTATAGCAATAAAACGAGGACAACATACTGTTTCTAGGCCTCTGGTTGTTGGAAATGCATCGGTTCAGAAATCTCCAAGTGATGACAAATTTAAGCCAGCCCCCCGGAGAACCCCAAACCTTGGAAGTTGGTAAGCCCGCGCGGTACCGGCTCACTCACCCTTGATCATGCAGAACGGTATCTTTGTATTGTATTACTTTTAGGTATGATCTGCTCAAAGCTAGCCGTATTATGTAGTACCCAGTCCTTTGAGACCGGGATGCCAGGTTTAGGTCGGGAGACCAGTGTGATTACAAATTTAAGCCAATTGACCCACCAATGCACACCTGACCCTGGTCATCACTGACGCCTTCGTGTATGTAGTATAGCACGTTTTCGAAAAAGCCATTTAACAATCATTCTGGATTGCAATTGAATTCCACTTCAAAGCTATTCGTACCCAATTCGTGGGAGGCAGATCCCCTGCTAATCCTAGAATGAGTTGTTGTACAATGCAGTATGGCATGGACGCCACGTAACAACGACCCAAGGATCCCCGCATGCAACTTACCGTAATTTTGGAATCCAAAGCCCCGGCCTCGGCTATGGGATTTATTGATTTATCATCTGCAGGCGTCACACGGACAGCGCGGGCGAGCAGAGTCTTAAATTTGTAATCAGTGACGTTTCTACTCAGCGAGAAAGCACTATTTAAGGAGAAACGCAAGCTTCCTATATTCCCTTTCAACAGTATCAAGTTACCTCAGCTACTACATCAAGTTTATTAATATGCCTAACCTGTCAACAACAGCAGTCGTGTTGATCGACCCTTTGAATGACTTCCTCCATTCAGACGGTAAGCTCACATCGCTTCTCAAGGATCTTGACGAGCGAAATGCCATTCAAAACTTAAAAAATTTGGTCAAAGCAGCTCGCCTGCATGGTTTGCCTATCTACTACGGGCTACACCAGGAATATTCGGCCAACAATTTCAATGGATGGCGACACATGACCCCGAACCAGGTCAAGCAACAGCATATCAAATACTTTGAGAAAGGGACATTTGGATCTCAGATTTATGAAGGATTGGAGCCGGACCTGGAAACTGGTGACGTTGTTGTCAGCCGGCACTGGAATAGCGAGTAAGTAACAAATTGTTGGATATTCGAGTTGGTATCATCATCTCTAACCTCTCGGATAAAGCTCGTTTGAGAACACCGATCTGAATTTCCAGCTCCGGCAACGCGATATCACCAATCTGGTCTTTGCTGGGCTGACGGCAAATACATGCCTGGAGTCAACTGCCCGACATGCTTATGAACTGTAAGTTCAATTCACCCAATGACTTGACCTTTCCAAGGTTCACGTTGCTAATACAGTCTATCTCATCAGTGGCTATGATGTTACCTTACTGTGAGTTTGTCACCAAGCATGTGGCTCTCTCTCGCTTATAATCTAACCTCTTATTTCCTACAATTTAGCAAGGATGCCACAGCCGGGTGGTCGAAAGAACTCACCAACGCAGCGGAATTGGTTTGGCCGTTGTTTTCCCGTGTTCTCACTGCGAAGGAGTGGGAAGACACTTTGGACGCGAAGAAATTGTAGGCTAGAATTGGGCAGCCATCATTGAAATCTGGTAGTCTGCAATGGAAATCAATTTGAAAATCACGCGCGGCCTTGACCAGTTATCATCACAAGCATCAGTGCCGCTCACTCGCGGCCAAAAGACAATTATAGTTGGTTATATCCATGGATATAGGAGTAGTGATGTATTGGCTTGATCTAAGAGGTTCCTAAAGCCATCACTTCTATTAATACCAGAGTTGATCAATATTTACTAGATACAATAACTTGTGTTTATTAAAGATGATATTGTGTAAATCATGGATATCTAGACATCCAATTTAACTATCTTTTGAGCTGTCTTTTGAGCTGTCTTTTGAGCTGTCTTTTTAAGCTGTCTTTTGAGCTGTCTTTTTAAGCTGTCACTCTAACTATTCACTATCCAGTCGATGGGTATTATGGACCTTAAGATGAATTAGTAACAGAAAGTCTTGGCTAAGCCGTGAACCCAGAATTAATGATGCCTATGCAGCCTATTAGTTCAAGCCAACCAGTGGACTACAAAGTCAGTATGGTATCCATGGGATTTTGATCCTTGCCTAGAGGCACCTTCGGAAGGAACCTCAATTTTTAAGGCGTCTTATGTTTCCCGGTCCCGGCTCCCCTCACTTCACTTCACTTCTTCACCCAAACTCGCCTGCCTACTCGTTAGATTTGTCATCAAGCTCAATGACTAAGCTTACCGTTGAGCACTGAGGATAATCAACGTCAACGCAACCATCACAAGGTGTTAAGCCTTCTTATATTCTCTACTTATATCCAAGCTCATGCTGTAAAATCCGAGAGCGTCAGTGGAGTTTGGGAGTCTCAAATCGAATCGTGTACACTGCCTCACAACATGGCGCGTACAAAGCTCACAGCACCCGGGACTCCACCAAACCACAGTCGATTAGGCCGACGCAAAAGAGCACGAGTGGACTCGGACGAAAGTGATGTCCACAAATTTAATCAGCCACATCATGCTGAACCACAAACAATTGCGACCAGCGCAGCTCAGGCTGTCCTTTCATGGGCTGCTACTGTCTCTCGAATAGAAGCGGAGGAGATGAGCTCTCAGATAGAGCGATACAAACATTGGAAAAGTGAGTAGTGACTGCAATGACATGGAGTTACGAGGTTACTCTAGCTTGCCGAGCTAACTTGGATGCATAGGAGCCGGGTCACACCATGAAACAAGCTGCCGTGTCTGTCTACAGGATGGCGCTCTTTATCCATGTGCTACCTGCAGTTTGGCATTCCACACGAAATGTGTGCCGCCAGGCTCTTTAGATGAACCAGAGACTTTATATTGTTCTATTTGCGTTCGACGTGGATGGAACCATTCCCCTCCAGAACTGACGCCACCCGCTTCCCCGGTCCCTAGCCCTATCAAGCAGGCCTCGGTGTCGACGACTTTGAAACCAGCGGCGTCATCTTCCACAGCGTTGTCGGTTCCTCGTACCGCTACTCATCAAGGCGAAGAGTCCACGCAAACATTACCGACGCAGACTCCACCAGAAGGCTCTAATGATGTCCTGCGTGCTTCGAACGACCCCAACAATACCCAAAGCACACCTACTACAAATGCAGCTTCATCGGTCGGCGCTGCTCGTGACATCGACGACTCTGCATCAACAGACTCTCGGCCACGTCGCAAAAGAAATTCTCGATTCGCCACCTTACCAAGCGATGTTGATCATTCCCTCGCAATCATTTACAGCGAGCTTGAATCAGTCGCAACCCTCAAAGCGGAGATACAAGCACTGAAAGGCCAGAATACTCAAAGCAACCAGACGATCAGGATGCGTGACAACACTATCGCCATACTCCGCAGAGATCTTGATAAACAACGGTCTGAGAATGCAGAGTTAGTCCAGCTGAGAGCCAACATCGCAGAACAGGGCTCTGCCAAAGAGGAGCTTGAAGAACTCCGGGTCAGAAATGTTGCCTTGGAGTCCGAACTACGGGATTCAAAGACCCAGACCGCTGCAGCGCAGGAACTGGTGGATGATTGGAAAGGAAAACTTGCGCAGTTGCTCAAATCATAGCATGCGATGGCTCGTATTTAGCGATGTAACCTTCGAAATGTTCACGGGTGTCATTCGACCTGATATGCGCTTGCGATTCATCTATAGTTCAGAGTTGAGGAATTGGTCGTCAAATACATGAGAAGAAATCTTATAGGATTATACGAGTCATGGTCAATTATGTTCTAGATCGATACACGCGATGTCTATACTCAGAGACTTGGATATCCTCATATCCTCTAATATGTATATAGAACGACGTAATGGGGAAAATTCGATGAGGCCCTATTGTGGGTAAAAAAGGGCACGGATGTGGGTTATGACGCAAAGGGTGAGAAGGCACATGTCCACGACAGAAAGATTTTTAAATAAACCGAAAGAAACACTTCATGATATTCGCTATACTCTGATACTCAAATACCCTATTTATTGTTTTCTTGAATTATTGCCTTCAATTGCATAACGTCGTGGTCGTCGAAACGAACTGGACCCGCACCGTCATTGGCTAAAATTTTATTGCCGTCACACACCCCTCGTTTTCGACGTTTCTCTCTGCAACGACCCTGGCATCTTTGCCCCCGTCTTGATTCCTTTTCTTTCAGATTGCATTAGCGTTTTCTGATCAGCGATCGCGCACTGGACAGGCGCATTTCTTTCTTTTTTCTGATCCCCGCGACGTCACGTCCCACCCGCCATCATGCCTCCCAAGAAACAAGCCAACGAGCCTAAGAAGAAGAAGGCCACCGTTGAGGATAAGACTGTGAGTATCGCAATACTTCGACCATCTCGGAGCGACGCATTTTCCCCTCTCGGATCGCTCTCGTCGTCATCAGAGAAATTTGGTACTGTTGGAAGTGCACGGCTGACATGCTTCGCTCTCTAGTTCGGTCTGAAAAATAAGAAGGGAGGTGCCGCCAAAAAACAGATTCAGCAGATGAACGCACAGGCAGCAAGCAACAAGAACGATAGCGAAAAGAAAAAGGAAGCCGAGAAGAAGCAGCGAGAGGCCGAGAAGAAGGCCCAAGAGCAGGCCAAGAAGGATCAGTTGGAGCTGTTCAAGCCCGTCCAGGTCCAGAAGGTCGCTTTCGGTGTCGACCCGAAGACGGTACTATGTATTTTCTTCAAGCAGGGCCACTGTGACAAGGGCCGCAAGTGCAAGTTCTCCCACGACCCCAATGTCGAGCGCAAGGCAGCCAAGAAGGATCTGTACACCGATTCGCGTGACGAGAAGGCCGAGGAGGAAGAGAAGAAGCAAAAGGATACCATGGACGACTGGGATGAAGAGAAGCTTCGTAGCGTCGTTCTCAGCAAACACGGAAACCCCCGCACAACCACCGACAAGGTCTGCAAATTCTTCATTGAGGCTGTCGAGAATCAGAAATATGGATGGTTCTGGACCTGTCCGAACGGTGGAGCCAAGTGCATGTACAAGCACAGTTTGCCACCAGGGTACGTTTCGTCCGCTCTCGCCGACAAGGTACTCAAGCTAACATATTGAGCAGATTCATTCTGAAGACCAAGGAACAGAGAGCTGCCGAGAAGGCTCTCAAGGACAAATCGCCACTCAACACCCTCACTCTGGAAGACTGGCTCGACTCAGAGCGTCACAAACTGACCGGTACCCTGACACCGGTCAACCCGGAGACATTCGCCGCATGGAAGAAGGGTCGTCTGGACAAGAAGGCCGCCGAGCAGCAAGCACAGCAGGCCAAGGATGCTACCGGTCGTACATTGTTCGAGAGCGGTAACTGGGCCGAGGAGGACAGCGAGCCCGAGGAGGGCGAGGACGAAGACGGAACATGGAACTTGTCAGTTATGCGCAGGGAAACCGAGAAGCTGCGCGAGCAGAAGGAAGAAGAACGTCTTATCAAGCTTAACGGAGGGGAACTACCCGCCCCGATACCCGAAGCTGTGGGCTGAGTACCCGCGCACCTTCACGATATCAGATTCGTGGGCCCTTGAGATTCATCCCCGGAAACGTGGAACTCTGATGGTTTCTTCCACGTTACCGAGGGATCGGATCGCGATGTCGAGTGATCGCTACGACAGCCTGCTCAACCTGCTCGCTTTGTATGCAACCTCGCCTATCACCGAGGGCTCGGCTGGTCGTCTTGTTCTTTCCACCTCTATACGTTTGTACTCCAAATGTCATGCGCAGAGGGGAAGGGCAAGACTGGCTGGCCACGGGGGCGCAAAGGCGTTCGTCTTGTGTCCCATGTGACGGAAGAATCAACGGCCAAGATACCTTTTGATAGCACCTTTTTTCGTTGGTAGCAAAAAGTTCGTTCAATGAACCCGATGCGTTTATTTCTACTCTTCCAAACATCTTCTTCCTTTATAGACATTGGTTGCGAGTTTATATTACACTAACATACAGGAGCTCATACCCGGTCTCACTATACCCACATTCTCCATCTCCCTCCGCTTCCAAGGTTCCCATGCTCATGTCGTGTCGCAGCCGAGCCGGCATTGCAAAGTAGCACAGCGAGAGTCATCCATTTTGAAAGCACATCACCCCTCAGACTGCCGAGACCCGAGTAACACAACTTCCAACGCCCCCAAATGCATGCAGGGATCGAGTTTCGTAACAATTACAGTGAGGCCTTGGCTCGCAAAAGATTATTTTCAAGCATCAGGGCTGTGATGTCTTCCGCGACACCACGAGAAAGCTCAAACCCACGACCCCCAGCCCCATACCCATGAACGATATACCGATCGCCAGCGAGCTTCTCAACCTCGATCCGCATGCCGCCTTCGCGCGCAGGTCGCCGACCCACGATGTCACGAATCACATCAAACTTACCCCCACTCTCTGCCGAGAACGGGAACCATTTACTCGCATTAGCGAGCAGCCGTTTCCTGGTCTCTAGAGACGGGTTGGGATCCCAATTATGAGGCTCCTTTGTGCCCCCGATGATAGTCCCACCATCAAGCGGTCGCGGAATACAGAACGACCATGACCCATCTATATTCTGCCGCGTGATGGTTTGCGACACGGGGTTTCGCACAAGACAAGTTTGACCTGGATGATATCAGCAACCGCTCAACATACAGAAAAACAGATAGCAACATACCTCTGATGATAAAGGCCTTGGGATCCCCAATCCCAATCCCAGAGCAATTCACCACCGTCTTTACATTCCCGAAGCTAAACGCCTCATTCAAATCCGCAAGCGTATACCTCCTCGTCTCGCCGCCTTTCAGCACGAACTTGCGCAACAAATGCGCACAGTAAACAGGCGAGTTCACCACATAGGTTCCATACTGCACTCCCCACTTCACGCCCTCGGGAACCTCTTCTCCGCTCAGCACCCGGAATCCATCTAGATGCGAGTATAGATCATGCACGCTCTGGGGATCTAGACACTCGGCGGGCGGAACTTCGAGGTGCTCAATTCCCTGAATGAATTCAATGCCGGCGCCCGGCTCAGCGGTTCGCTTTAGATACTCGTATGTGCGCTGTGCTTGGTTCGATTCTCTCAATGCTTGCGGCGAAGAGCCGGGCACGGGTCTGTAGTGAGCACCGGCCCAGGGCGAGGCATAATTGATCGAGGTGTCTGATGGAAAATCGCGGGCTACCAGAAGGATGGACTGTGCGGGGTTCTGGTGTTGGATGTGGAGTGCGGTGGTGAGGCCGATAACACCCGCGCTGGTCTGGTCAGCTGGGAGGTTTTGGTTGTGAATTGATGAACTGACCCGATTACCACGATTGTTTCCTTAGACATGGTCACCGGGCTATAAGAGAGGGCATATAGCCAGAGGTGCGTATGTTGGAGGTGTTAGTGTTGGACTGGTGAGTCAAGAAGGGTCCGGGGTAACGATAAGCCCCGCGATCAGATGATATGCCATCGCTGCGGGTTCTTTTCTTTTGCTTCTTTTCGCATTCGATTGGACTTCTCTTCGATTACTCCGACTTATACACTCTGGACGCATTTGGCAACAGACATCGGAATATCTTCCGATCTTCTATCCGAGTCACCTACGAAGCACGGAGTTGTATACATTGAGACATGCACTTCGTATTATCCCCGTAAGTTCAGGGCTAGGATTCCTTTATGCCGACTGCCTGTATCTCGGAACTGGTCACCCAGTGCGACATGCGACATGCGACATGCAAAAAGAAAGACACCCCCGACTTTTCTCTTTGCCCAAGCTCGATTGGAAACCTGTGCCTGTCAGAGGACTATCACAGAGGCCCAAGCTCCGGAACGTTCGACGGCGTGCAGGTATGACTGCAGACTGCTGTCACATCACATCCACTGATTTCATACTCCGTACTTCGTACAATCTGGAATTCTCAAGACGAGGACATCTGGTGAGATTCTCGAAAATAGAAAGAAGAATGGAGCATAGAAGGGTCTAGTGTATGCAGTCAGAAAGCATAGAGCATTTAGTATATTTAGTATGCAAGTTGGAAAAACGCTCGAATCGGGCTGCTATAGGTCCAAATAGCTGCACATTGCACCTATTACCTTTCAACTGCAGAATGCAGCGTGTTGAGGGGTGTAGGCGCCGAGCGATCAGCAGTGATTGGTGATTGGTGGGCCGAAGGTGATGAAGCTGCAGACTGCACGGATCCCAATCACACTGTCAGCTCACATTTTGACATTTCTTCTTTCAAAGTGAACCGTTCCTTGCAGTTGAACTCTTAGAGTTATCTGGACATACAGAGTCCGGACAGCATAGTCATTGATATACCGAGTGCTTGAGACTTGGTATACAATCAAATTACTCCGAGTGATCGACATGCATGACACTAAATGATAGCGGCTATACTACAATTACAGGGGGACTCTGCCAAAACCGTTGACCCCACCCATGACGATACTGATGGCTGTGATTCGGGAGCCGCCTGCATTGATCTAAACTGGTGAACTTTCGCTGTCTCGGTTCTGCATGCTCGTTGGTGCAGTCCCGCGGGATAACCCAGCCACCCAGAAGGCTCGATCTCACCGTCTCCGCTAATGAAACGTGGAATTGAACATACTCATATCTGAGTCTTCGCCGAACGCTCTGTAACTTGAAAGCGGGTCAACTGTATGGCCCGTCAGGAAATGAAGCGCCCTAGTAGTATGTCCCGAGCGCCAACCACCGTCCATTACTGATTTACTCCCTACTTTTTTGGGCGGTCCTTTGGGATTTGAATTTTCCTGTCCTACCGGAGCATGCGCCTTTCATCCTGGATCCACGGGCAGGGGCGCCTCCTTATATGTATATCGCTTACTCCGTATAGATAGACCTGCAACTTGACCCCGGTCTGATTTCTCTTCGTCACAAACTTAAGTCCTTTTGGTCACGCTACTATATTGAATGTGATGAACGTGCAAGCGAGTGATCGCATTCTCTAAGAGGCTGGTTTGAAGTGTTACCCTAGGATTTTTTTAATCTTTGGGTTTCCTTTTTCCAACTCCAACGGCTACGCCCTTTTTGGTTCTCGTGCATATTCCTGGGCCTTTTTTTTCGTTTCCATTTTCAGTCTCACGCTATTCATTAAAAAGGCCCAGATTGTCGACATAGCTAGCCTACTTTACTCTCTGGCTACCTTTCTGGTCAGGTGCTAATTTTACTCCATCACTTCGGTTTCAGATGTGCCTTTACCCACCCTAAAGGACCTTCTTTCTTCATCTTGACCAGATTCAGGCGGTTGGTCGAAGGTCTGAATGGTCTTAATTGAGTAAGTGGCCCATTGAGTTCTAATAGTCCTTATTGTTGCTGGCTTGTCAGTCACTGTTAGCATAATTGTGGAGCTTTGGCATCCTGAGCAGTGCCCAACGACAGCACCAATCCGTTTCTGCCAATGAACTATGGAGATTGATTGTCTCTGCAAGGGTTTGACTGACGTGGCATTATATTCTAGGCTCAATTGCGACCCTCGAGTATCGTCAAAATGGCGCCGCCGCCAGTAGCGCAACCGCGCTTCGAGCCCTGCGCCTCAACGGCATCGCTATTTCTTTACGCTCAAGGATCGGCTATTTTATGCCTGCACCATGACACATTGGCGGTTGAACGGAGGTTTGAGAGTCATCAAAGAAACGTGGAGTTCATCTCGGTGGATAACGTGAGCGAGCGAGGTGCGGGGAGATTGGTTGTGAGCTATGATGCATCGCAGACCGCAATTGTGTGGGATATTTTCACGGGGATCGAAATTGCTCGTTTAGCCTGCCACGAATATTTGCGGGTAGCTTCGTGGATGCACAACGGAAATGTCGCTTTTGGTAAGGTTATAAATGACAATTCTGCTGTCAACCGCTAATTGATCCACAGGCAGTGGTAACGGCGAGATCGTTTTGTTCGAACCGTCGACATCAAAGCATGTATCTGCGCGCACTATTTTCGATCCTATTACAGCTCTGGCTCCTGCGGCAGATTGTCGTACCTATGCAATTGGGTATGTTGAGTAAAGACATTCAGAGGCACTGACAAGCTAATTTGGCATCGTAGGTATCAGAATGGATCTATCTTGATCGCGAATCTACTTCCTCAATTCACTATTCTTCACACTTTGACTACCTCCCGTGGTCCGTCACCGATAGTTTCCCTTGCCTGGCATGCATCTTCGTCAAAGCAAAAATCAGATATGTTGGCAACACAGTCTTCAAATGGAGATTTACGAGTTTGGAGTGTGGCAAAGCCACCAAGCAAAGAAGCACCCCGGGTAATTAGGGTATTAAAGCGATCGGATTCGAGCTCTTCTGACCCCAAATGGATGGGATGGTCAAAGAATGGAAGGCTTGTGCAATATTTGGAAGGGTATGATCTATCAGTTATGGAGCAAGGAAAAAGGAACAAACACTGACAAAAGCCTTGGAAATAGGGAGACTTGGTCTTGGGATGTCCGAACAAAGCACGTTACGTATGATCCAATTCCGACAATAGACGGAGTGAGGGGAATTGCAAACTATGGCCCAACCGCGACTTTATTCACCCTCGGTCCTCAGAGCACAGTGCAGCAGTATGACGTGGAGAATCCAGCGCTCGTCGCAAATGTGCAGCATCTTCCAGTCGTTGCCCGACCGAGTACTGCAGAGGGCAGCCGATCACAGAATATGTCTTTAAGGCGACTGCAAGACCCACCTGATATTCGAGAGACCTCCAGTAACAGCAGGCACCAACCATATGGCTCAAACGCCATCGAGAATGTCCGACAGCGAGCAGATCTGACCAGCCCTGCATCGTCACGAAGCCGAACTGAATCTGTCAGCTCCAAGGCCTCGTCCGGGAAATACAACACTCGGCCTCTCGCGCCGCCGAGCCATTCCGGTCAAAGTGCGACGACTTTCTCCCTGACTTCGGGTGGAAATGACACGCCTTTGGCTTCTGCATCTTTCGCATACCCTGCCTCTGTTTCAATGTCATCAGTCAAGAGTTCAAAAGCAGGATCAAGGTTACGGAACGAGGTTCAGCTAAGTCCGGCGGACAAGGGTGGTTTGGATCTTTTTCCATTCACTCGGGCTCGCTTGAACGATGTGCCTTATAGACAACAGCCCCCTCTTGATGAAGACCATCTTACCGCGGACAATCTACGACAGCGGATGCTGAGTCTAGTATTCGGCTGGGATGGATCTATCCAGGATCTAGTCACCGATGAATGTAGGTCCTGCTTACCTCTACTGACAGACATAGTTATATTGACCTTTCTTAGTGAGCCGCCACGAGCCTAGTAGCCAGAGTGCGATCTTACTAAATCGGTGGTGTGGAGAAACTGACACAAACGAAATGGCTTCTATGATCAACCCAGGACAGGTAACGACTTCTGACTGGATGCTTCTCGCTTTGAGCCAGATGAGTGGCCAGGCACAAGCAAACAAAGTTGGTCAGGCTTTTGTGCAAAAGCTACTGGAAATTGGAGATATACATACCTCTGCCGTGATTCTGCTCGGCCTCGGGGACAGGAACGATGCAGTTGAGGTTTATGTCTCTCGCCATCACTATATGGAAGCAATTATCATGACGTGCCTGTTGTTCCCATCCGACTGGCAGCGCCAATCACATCTTGTTAGAAAATGGGGGAGCACGTTGTTACTCATTCCCATCAGCAACAACTTGCCATTCGTTGTTTTATGTGCACGGGAGCGGAGTCATCCGAGCAGTGGTCATCACCATCAGCACAGCAACTTGCAACCTTCGGAGATAATGGAGAAAGCTATTTCCCGATGTCCCCTGAGTATCAAAGCAACGACTCAGACCTGATGCCCGCGCCAATTCGATCAAGATCCACGTCGAATCCGAAGATTGCAGCTAAGACACCATCTTTGAAGCTGATCACTTCTTTTGGTGCCCCATCGAACAATAATGCCCAGTCAACCGGACGTTCCCGCTTGTTTGCATTGCAAACCGATGATCGCACGCCGACAAATGCACCAGGAGTCACACCTATTGCTGAGTCTGCTGTCCCAGATACGGCAATGTCTCCCGGTGGCTTTGGGTCATACAAATTGAACAATATTCAAAGCCTCAATCAGGCTATGTCGCGGACTAACACGCCTTCTTTCAACCGCCGCCGACTACCCTCTATTGGAGAAACCCCCATAGATTCGCAACCTTTCACCTTCGCACGGTCAGATTCATACAGCCAGAATGAATACAGCTCAACATCAGAGAATGAAATGAGCGGACAAGACCAAAGTCAGGACGAAAAGGAGGGTAACAGTGGTCTCCTCACCTTGCCGTCTGCGAAATATACACCCGGCATGGAATCATACAAGCCCAGCCCCCAAACCGCTTTGCAAGGAAACCACAAGTTTGCTTCTATCAAAGGTCTCCCATCACCAGCCGCAGGAGTGTTTGAAGCACTTACAATAGACGATTACCGGAACGGATCTCGCGATCGAAAGCCAGACGGGCTTCAGATCGAACTATTGGAAAGTGAACAGAATCACCAAGCTCGCTCTGATCTGCTTCAGAGTGCCAAAAGCACAGCATCAACAGCCAACAGCTACGCTTCTGCCAAAAGTCCGAGCGTCAGTGGGCGCAGCATTGATCAATACATTAGTAGCTTGGATGAAGCAAATTATCATGCTCGGAAGATCCGTTCCCAGACGCCCAGCCATGGAAGACGAGACCCAGACGACGCAGTCGGCCAAAGCTCACACATTCATCGGCATCGAGATGCATCCAGGGATACTCGGGGTAGAAATGATCGCCGCTACATTCAACCCTCAAAGCGCTCACCCTCCTCGCCCGTTCCCATGTCCCCTGAGGAATTGGCTAGGTATGGCACAACGGAAACCATGGCGCCGATTGAGCCGCGCAAGGGCAAGTCTCGTGCTCGAAGTGCGAGTAAATTGAGAGGAACGGAGCCAAGAAGTCGTCAACGATCTTCTAGTCGCCATACGGCAAGCAGAGTTGCCCTTGATAAACACGATGTCTCGACCCGAGGTCGCAGCGACAATCGACTTGCATCTAGCACCCGGTCACCATCGTCGCCTCTCCCAATGTCATTGCCCACGGAAGAGCCGTCACAGGATCTGAATAATCCTCTGAGACTAGTTGAAGGCAACCAGAAGAGGTTGCGTTCACGTCACCGTAGTGCTAGTCGACGCCGTCCGGAGAAGGAAGCAAGTGCAAAGAGAGATCCATCTACAGAATCCAGGCACAAAACTTCGCAGAGTCTTTCTGTGATTCAACCTGGCCCTTCAGTTGATCCCTGGACACAGCAATCTGAGCAAGAGCAGCTAACAAGCAAGGTTTTTGGCCAGCAAGATAACTTCGATGCATACCCCAACGATCAGCCTAGCTCAAGGGCCAATGAATTCCAAGACATTGCATCTCCCACGACACCGTTCATCAGTCTAGCAGAGAAGCGACGCAGAGATATTGCCGCTGCTGAACTGGAGGCGAGGAGGATGTCTCTCGCACGCAACCCATCGGCACCCAACATTCCTTTCCCAGGCGAAGCGCAGAGTATGAAAAGCCCAATTGAGAGCCCACCACCCTTTTCCAGTGGAAGCGCCTTCTTCCCACGAGTTCCATCGCGAAATCAAGTCTCTCCCAGCAAACCATCGCCCGATTATTCAAGCGGCTCTGATTCAACCTCCCCGCGCTCCGGTATGCCCGTCGGGCTGCCCGCAACTCCTCGAGCCATGCGCCATCCCAAGTACGGAGGCACTGGACAGGACGAACAGCAACCTTCCATTCCAACCATCCCAACCATCCCGGCAGACACCAATCTCTTTCTCAGCAGCGCGCGGTATCAAACCGATACTGAACCAATCGGACGTTCCATGTCTGTCCCCGTCCCAGAAGCACCGCACCACTCACCCGCGTTGACCAACGACGTCCCCATGCATCCACGATTCAACCCATCTCTTCCACGCAGTCGATCCAGCAGTCGAAGCGGCAATACAAGCCACCGACGCGCCAGCTCAGGCGGCTACATCTCCGGCGCCTCTCCGAGTCTCGAAGTAAGCATCGAAGAGACAATCGAGAACGCAATGGAGAGACCCGCAGGCGAGTACGAGTCAATGCCACCCCCTCCTCCGCCTCCCCCATTGCTCGCCGAGCTACAACATCTCAACACTCCTCCTCCCCCGCCGCCCTTATTCCCATTCTCCGGTACCCCACTCTCGCCTCGTGAGTCTTCTGCAACGATCGATGTCGCCATTGACAACGAAGATCTTGGCCATATCCTCCCTCGCGCTATGACAGCTGCTCCGGCTCTGAATGTCAGCAATCACAGCCCCGAATCTCGTTCGTCGGGAAGTCGACGCATGTCATTTGACCACCGGCGCAATCGTAGCTCGAATGAGAGCTTCACGAACAAGCTGCGCAGTTTGACTCGTATGCGCAATAACAGTCGCAGTGTCGAGCCTGATACTCAGATGACAGAGGTGGCTCCGTATGAGAGCTTGCAGCCGCATGTCTATGGGTCTAATTCCAACTATGTCCTACCGAGTCAGAGCTACGTCTCGCCGGGTCAGAACTTTGTTTGAATCCTTGCGAAGAGAAAGAGCTGCTCATGCTTCTAGCTTATATGTTCGACTTTCTATCATCGTTCTATTTGCCGTTCCTCTTTTTTATTCTGATCTTTTTGCTTTATGAAATTGCGATGTCTGGATTCAAATGCATCACGCATCATGTTTATTGCTTTTCTCAATTACTTCCCCTTTTTTGGGGCTCATACCCTTTCGCTCTGCACTCATGTCTTGTTGTTTTATGCCCCATCTCATACTCCAAATACCGTATATCCCATCATGCCCCCTGCTATGCTTTTGCTTTTATTGGCCCCGATCACACGATTTCTTAGTTTCTGGTTCTGATTAATATTCTTTCCATCTTTCTGCTCGCAATCGCAGAAGATGGTATCATTTATTCTCAACTTTGGTCATGACTCTCTTTCTTCTTCTTAATTGGCGCCACTTTCAAGGTTATATCTAAACATATATGCCTGCAAAGGCTAATAATACTGTCAGATGTTTCGAATTCAAAAGATCTCAATGTGGGAAACTGCTCAAGTGCCAAGAGACCATGGAACTATGTTACACATCGATTCAAATGTATGGCTTGAAGAAAGGGTAGAGGTAAAATAAAAAATAGTCGGAGGATCATCCATGGATGCTCAAGATCCCCAACCGCGGTTCCGAGGAGACCTGTCACTGCCAGCGTTTCGCTCGGCATCAATCATTTTATCGAATTCAGCCTGTGCTTTGTCCTTCTCGCTCTTTGATTCGGCTCTATAGCGGTCTTGTTCCGCGTAATTGCTTTCGTAGGAATAAGGATTGGGCGACGACTGAGGCGCGGCAGACTCTTGAGATTGTGAGCTTGCTGCAGCGTTCTGGCGTCTAAGGCGATCCCAAGCACTGCCCCTTGACGATCCATCAATGTTTGTGTTCCGGTATTCAGCAGCTGTGGGGCTCGCATCGTCGTCGTCGAAGAAACTAGCTCCAGATGATTGTTCGCTCACTTGCTGATTGCCCCTACCGCGAGCCCAAACCGGACCAGATGAAGTAGGCGTAGTTGACTGGCTGGAAGGAGGGTTGGAGCTGGATTGGGTGGAGTTGGAGGTTTCGTATTCCGAGTATGAGTTTGGTGGGGTGGAGTATCCGTTGGCGTCCTGGTCGTAGCCACCGGCATGTCCGTCAGGCGAGGTAATCGCCTGCTTGAGTTGAACGCCGATGGTTGGTTCGCCAGTGCGCATGGAGCGGACTCGCTCAGATGCCGCCTGGAGCTTGCGCTTACGCACATCCTCAGGCTTCTGGTTACGCATCTCCTCTACGAACCACTTGAGTCGTGGGTCCGTCAACATGTTTTTGGCATCATTCCAGACAGCATAGATATTACTTATTGTGCCAAAGAAACATGTGAAAAAGAGCAGTCTGAAGCCTGTCGATGCGGCGAATGATTTCAAGGTGAGCCCGGAACTTGACATACGCATCGCTTCGAGGATGGCGTGTGGTGTAGGGTTTGCGCGCGGGAAGTGTGGCGACGTTCGTAGTCGGTAGTAAGCCCATGAGCCTCCGATAATAGCTCCGACAGGCAAACCGATCCTGTTGTGGTATAGCGATCGTGTTCCATGCTCGACAATGGCGTCCAGCTCGGACTGGGTGGGTGATCGTGCCGTCAATACGTAGTGGTTCTCCACTCGATCCGTAATTGCGAAGGAAACTTTGCGTCTCCAATTTGCTGTTCCGAGGAACCCGAAATACATTGTGAAAAGGTCTGGCCTTACGACTGTCTCCTGTCGGAGTTGCAGCGTGTTGTATCGCGCGAGCGCGGGGTTGTGGCCAGGAAGGCTCCGAGGTTCGTTTGTGGAATTCTCATAATTGCTGTATTGGCCTGCCTGTGGCGAGGCGTCGTCGGAGCTCATGGTGAAGCTCTTCTGTGGATTGAGGAGGTAGCTTGCAATTTGCGGTCCGTTCAGAGCTCATCAGTCCACCGAGTCCGCTGACGTCGTTGCTGACTCATCTAATTTTGCCTTTTGAATCGACCTTCAACTATCTGACTAATTATAACCATGATGTAGTACTAAGCTACAAAAAGCACCTTTATGACTCACTTGGCTATGAAAAACACCTCCAAGGATCAAACATAATGATTTGCACTCACTCCTGTTATCAAAGCCTGTCGCACATCTCTATTTAACCAAGGAGAACCTCATACGCAGTACCGCAGATCATAAATGGGTCAACCCAAAATAGATAGATGAATAGATCCATGAACAGGTATTTGATATGTCCATTCCCTATGGTATTGGGCAACTCTCAATGCCGCGAAAAAGACGACAAAGGTTGCTCATAAAAAGTAGTCATATATTGGCTTAATCTTATATTTTGATTGATAATAGTGGAGAGCTACCATCAACTTTGGGGCCTCCTTTTAACTACCTTTTGGACTACCTTTCTGACTGTCTTTCTGAATGTTTTTCTAGGTCTCTTTCTAGCTAATTATCAAGGAAGAAAGTTCTGGCTAAGCCGTGAACATAGAATGAGGGATCCGGCATGAGTATACCCATGAACAGGTAATTGGTATTTCTATTTCCTATTGCATTGCCTTAGATACACTGAGGCTTTACCACTTCTCGATATATGGTCTCAGATCAAGCTCAAATGCAAAGGTAGTACGCGGCTGAGTATGCAAATGCCAATACGAATCCGCAATCTGTACCACATCAGCACCTGTATCTCATGGCTCTGGAAAGATAACTTACTGCGTCCGGGTTTAATTTTGCATCCTCATGTTCAAACACCCAGGCCTTGGTCCTGGGAATATCAATCACACCGTCGATGATAGTGTGTGAAACATGAAGCCCCTGCGGCCCGAATTCACGAGCCAGTGATTGCGCCAGTGCACGCAACGCAAACTTGCCCGAGGCAAATGCTGCGAAGTTAGCCGAGCCCTTGAGACTAGCGGTGGCTCCAGTGAAGATGAGAGTCGGTGGGTATTCCGACGCCTCACGGGCTGCCAGAAGTAGCGGAATAGATCGCTGGGCAAAATTAAAAGCACCTTGTCTATTGATAGGTAGTTCGTGTCAACGATGGGTACCTAAGCACTTGAAGCAGAAGTAAATAATATTACGCACCCTTGAGAGGCAAGTGCGGTTGCATAGTCCGCTTCCGTCAGCTCGAGGAATGGCTTGCGAACAAAACCGCCACCGGGGTTGAAGACAGCAGCAGCTACCTTTTGAGATGGGTACTGCTCTGCAATCTTGTCAAATGCGGCGTGCACACTCTTGGAGTCGGAGACATCGGTGGGGATGCCGAAGGCTTGACCCCCGCTTGAATTAATTTCTTGGACCACTGGGTCATAATTGTCTGGGTTTCGAGCGAGAACCACCACAGAATAAGATTTGGCGAACTTCCTTGCGATTGATGCGCCCTATACTTGAGTCAGATTCCTGTTGTGTATAATGTACATTGTATCCATGGATAGAGCAATGTTCAGGAAAGATCATACCGTGCCGGGGCCAACGCCTGCAATAATAGCGAGTGATTTGGATGCCATGGTAAATGTGTAAACGAGTTGGGCTTTTGCTCAGAGAATGAGAATGGGGGATCTATAAATACTGCAGCCGGGGGTGAAATATCCCCGAAGCTTAGAAATGCGGCGGGGATTGATCATCAAACTGGCGGATGATATCATCTCAAAAGAATTGGACTGGCTCTTCCCCGCAAAGAAGAAAAGATCACATTTCAAAGGAAATGAGACAATTGCGATGAATAATCAGTTTATTATTGTACTCAGTACTCCGTACCGAAGGTCGATCTTCGGTGTTTGAAGTGCCAAAAGTGTGACTGCGGAGTACTTACTGGGCCCCGCCTCCTCCGAGTCCTCCCTTCTAATTTACCCACACTATAACACAACTCGCTCAATTTTAAAATTTTGGCATTCATTACGAGATCCAATCTGATCAGGGTAACCGTGAGTTGAGAAGATGCATAACAAGGTTGCAAGTGTGATGGACGTGCTTTTTTCATAGATGCTAACAATTGATTAATCTAACAAGCCTCAGTCGCAGCCAAAACGACGATGATAGTTGCTTATAAACAGGAGTAGTTATGTATTTGCTGAACCTGCAAGGCTCTTATTGACATTCTTAGACGCCTTTTAGTTACTTCGAAATTGACAAGTATCTATGGATGCAATATTTCGATTGGCAACGGAAGAGAGTGGCTATTATAGGCTTAGGGAGCATTTATAATTTGGCTGTCTTTTGAGCTGTCTTTTGAGCTCAGGTTCTTACTGTCCAATTGTTGACTACCTATAAGTCTTTTTTCCTCAATCAACCATAATTACTCGATAATTGGTTGGAAGGACAGTTGAAAAGACAAAGTGTGAGTGACCTCGGAAGTACATCTAGTAAACATTGATCAATGCTGATGTTAATAGAAGAGATGGCGATAAATGCCGCGCAAATTGAGTCAATACGTAACTACTCCAGATGACAAGCAACCATTGACGTCTTTCCGGCGCATTCAGGCTTGTAATGTGTACTCCAATGCATAGCTAAGAGCTATAGTTGGCTGCTCCACATCTCCCTCAACGACCCAGATGCTCACGCTAAACCTCTTTTGGTCAACTTCCCGAATTTCCGTTATCTGCCTAAGGCCCTTATCGATAAGACAATAATTTTCCCTTCGCAACTTGAGCTCACTTCAACTTAGACTCAACTCAAATAATTATGGCCGAGGAAACCCTGTTGACTGATTTGTGCTCGATATGGTATGTCAGCCCCACAACTTCCAAGTTCACCTCATCTAACGTCCCCTGTCTGCAGCCATGTCAATCCTCCCAAATACCGATGCCCGCGTTGCTCAACACGCACATGCTCTCTGCCATGCACTCGGCGCCATAAGCTCTGGTCGCAGTGCTCGGGCGTTCGCGATCCCGCAGCATACCTGAAGCGCAACGAGTTAGCCACTGAATCCGCATTTGACCGCGATTTCAACTTTATCACCGGCATCGAGCGCAGCCTCGAGCGAGCGGACAGAGACGCCGACAACCGCGGTATCGACCTGACACAGAGTGTCCAGGCCGACGAGCCTGAAGCTGGTGACTCCAAGGGACCAGCGACGGGTTGCAAGAGGAAGCATCCGGGCCAGGGTCTTGCTAAAGGTGAAGCTGGATTCTTGCGTGGTGCCGAGGCCGGTGGTGTGAGAGTTATTCGGGCTCCAAAGGGAATGTCAAGGAATAAGCAGAATGGATCGCGCTTGCATCCCAAGTATGTTGTGAATATGTTGATGACACTCTTCATTTGACTAACTATTACAGACATAAATGTCTTTCTTGGACAGTGGAGTGGATCACTGCTGATGGCGTCAAGACCATCCGGAATCCTGTCGTGGATACATGCTCTGTGGCTGAGGCCTATGACCGATGCTGTCCTCGCCCGAAGGCGCCGGTGTCAGCTCCTGCGCCCGCTCTGAAGGATGAAGACAGCAAAGATTTTTCGGAGATCCCCGTCAAGACAGAGGATGGTGACCACGACGCATCCCAGGAATTAATAGCTGAGGATCCCGCGGAGACTCAAATGGAAATCAAAGTCGAGCAGCCCTCTATCCCAGAAGCGCCGGCAGAAACTTCGACAGAAATACCCAGTCAAGGAGTTGACCCAACGCCAGACCAGAGCATCGCCCCACACCGTGGTCTCTTCTTCTACATCCATCGTCCACGAACAACAACCAAAAAGCCCGTGTTGGCCCCCCTCTTGCAGTCCGCCACTTTGAACACAATACTTCGCAATCGGACTGTGCTCGAGTTCCCCACCATCTACGCACTCCCGGACGGGCCAGAGACATTACTTGCAGATCAAAAATCCTCGCCGTTCATTCTTGAAGAAGAGTATATTCGGACAGCTGAACCTGAAGAAGTGCGCAAGTCCACAGCAAGTGACGAGGACGACGCGGCTGAGGATGAACCTCTACCAGAATCTGCCGTGAATCCCCAAGGCGTGGATGAGAGGAAAGTTTTGGAGGTATTGAACCAGGACTTGTTTGAGCCAGTGCCGGACACTGATTCTGTAATTTAATAATGTATGAATGAGGAAACAGATTCTTGTCGCATCAATCCGTCATCGAACGTTTGTAGGCACCGCTTTGGGGGAAAGAGCAAAGCTGTTCAGCGCGACTTCCTCGTCTATGGCCCGTCAAGTACGGCCCGCCTCAGTGGAGTGTCTTTGTTTTGGATTCTAGTTGGATTCTAAGAACTTGGACAGACACAATCATCATGAGAACCAGCGTCTTTACCACCGCGATCGTCGGAATCTGTCTCAGTGCAGCCTCTTCTGCGTTGGACCTTAAGGCATCACACACCCCATACAAGAAGCCACCACAAGGCTGCGACTGCTACACTGTCTCAGGTCCTGACCCGGGTTATTTTCAGCACTACAAGCTCTGGGACTTTCGGTCAGTGGATTTGAAGAAGCACGCTCACCTGAATCTATCTGAGCCCATCGTAGACGGTGATGGCGAATGGGACGAATGGGACGATTTCGAAGAAAGCATCGATGAATCCGAGATCAACCTTCCGCCTGAGACCAGCGACATAAACCAGCCCGATCCCACCTCCTTGGTCTTCTTCAAAACAGCATTTGAACGAGATTGGAGCAGCCAAGCATGGAAGCGCAAAGGCACACCCAACGCCCCGGTTCTCATGATCAACTCCAAAAACAACATTTTTCTCACCAGAGACTACGAGCGCGATGACCCCCATGCCACATACCTTGTTCTGCGCACCACCCGCCACGATGGGTACACATCTACAGCAGAGATCGAGACCCGTCTCCGCAACATCTACCGCTGCTCATTACGAGTCCGACTGCGCTTTTTGCCTGCCGACTTCGTCATGGCGCAACCGCCTCAGCCGCGAGAGTGGCCGCCTCTAGCCCCTGAACGCCACGCCAATACCCGTTTGAATAACCCAACTGTTGGCGGCGATTACAGAATACCAATTCATGAGGATTTGCCGCCGTCCGGTGCCTGTGCTGGAATTTTCACTTACCATGACCGCATAACGGAATCAGATATTGAGATTCTGACTCGAGATCCATCTCATATCGTCCACTATGCCAATCAGCCTGACTATGATTTCGAAACTGATCGAGAAATCCCCGGCGCCAGTACCATTGCTGAGATTCCTGTGCCGTGGACTACGTGGGCTACTCATCGGTTGGATTGGTTTCCTGATATCTCGCGATGGCTCGTCAATGATCAAATCATAGACGCTAGGACTTACAGGGTGCCCAACTTGCAGAGCATGATTGTCCTCAATCTTTGGAGTGACGGGGGATTCTGGACGGGTGATATGAGGCTTGGGGATAGTATTTATATGGGCATTGAGTACATTGAGCTGATCTACAATCGATCCTCGGATGTCGCCGACGTTCTCCGCGCGCCTCCACAGAATCCACTTCAAAACGACATCAACATTGACCCTGGCCAATTATCTGCATCTGACCCGGGACATTTCATATGCAAACCGGGCAAAGAGGGTCGTGAATGTCGGAAACACAAGTTCCTGACTAGGCCTCGGGCGGAATCTTGCCACAAGTCCTGCAACATTGATGAGTTTTGAGGGGAAGTGGCCTTTGTATTGTTATCCATCATTCTTTCGGTTTGTAGTGAATTGCAGAAGTGTTTTCTTCCAGCTATATTCCGTGAACGATCGAGGATATGACTATGTTGTATGTACAAAGATGGAAATCAAGAGTGAAGAAAAGACCCGATGTGATCAACGTGGGGCTCGCGTCTTGGCTTCCTCAAAAGGCTTAGTCCACTTGGATGTATGAGCACGGCAGTTTTCACTTTTCCAATCTCACACCTCAAGGGTCTACGATGTCAGAGGGCGATAAAGCTTCGGTCTCATGCTGGACATGCCGCCGACGCCGCGTGAAATGCGATCGGCTCCTCCCCGCATGCCAAAAATGCTACAAAGCAGCACAACCCTGCCAAGGCTACACCGAGAAGCCCCTACGATGGGTCAATAGTGTAGCCAGCCGGGGTAAACTGATGGGGAAAACCATTCCAAATATCCCGCAGAGTCAATCAATTGCCCGGGTTCTCATTGACCCTGTCTTCCAAGACCTCTCCCCCGCCAAGCGGGGCTATATAAGCTACTGTGAGCACGACGTGCTAAGCCGACATCTGAGTCAAAAGTACTGAACTGCCTAGTTGATCAACACTGCTCTGCAGAGAGTACATTGTTTCAGAGCATGCCCACAAATCCATTCAAGGAGTTTATGCGTTTGATCCCGACAAGTGCCGGGCTTCTCTATACCATAATTTCAGTGGCGGCTTTGCATAAAGCACAACGACATGGATCGCTAGACCTCGAGGCTCCTGTTCGGTCCACCGAGCTGACATTAACGACATCGCTGCCTTCGCCGGAGTTCTATGATGCGTTGGTCAATAAACAGCAAGCATTATATCATCTCCGAAAGGAATTCCAAGACCCCAACGTCTCCAACCATGACGGACCAATCGCTTCAATTCTTATGTTTGTCTGGCTTGAACTCATGGATTCCGGAAGAGACTCATGGAAATATCATCTCACTGCCCTGAGGCGCATTGTCCAAGCAACTCTTGTTCCAACAATGGATCAGACGGGTGGCTTCACTTCAACCTTCTGGAGTAGCTGTCAGTACTTTGAAATGATCTTCGCCACGTACGTCCTCTCCTCCTCATTGGGGGATACCAAACTAACACACCCAGCTATGAAATCCTGGGTTCAACATTCGTTAAACCCTCCCAGCCTTACCAGCCATTATTCACAACAATGTCAATAATGCATATTCTCAAGCTCTGCGAACACCAAACCTGGGTCGGATGTCCAGCAGAACTTCTCTATCTAATATCACTAGTCAACACGGTCCCCGAAAGCGACGAGCAAAGCCTTTCATTAAAATCACATATCGCAGGACAACTTCAATCGTTCTCGCCTCACAGATGGTCGATCGCAGATACGAAAGTCCCTCGTATGATTGAAAGGTATCATTTTGCCTGTGTTTACAAAGAAGCCATTGCGATCTACGTCTCGCAAGTGACGGCGCGATGGACCGAAGAGCCCTTTTCGAATCTTTATACCCGGGACTCTCTTGATTCGACTATTCAACATATGAGCTCGATAAGTACCGATGACCCGTTCTTCAAGGCACTGGTCTGGCCGGCTTTTGTTATTGGTGCTGAGGCTAGAAATGAGAGTCAGAGGAAGGCTGTGTTGGAAGTTACTGGGCATTTGTGGACGGCGTGGCGGGCTGGAAATATTCGCAATGCTGTGCATGTCTTGAAGCAGATCTGGGCACGTGGGGATAAAGAGGGGTGGTCAATGCCGTGGATTGAATATCTCTATGAATGGGGTGAGGATTGGATGTTTGTTTAGCTGGACTTTGGAGACTTGTGTATATAATGCTTTATGAATGTATGATGAACGAGTCTAATAGAAAGGTTGTTTGTTTGTTTTTTACCGGACTATGTTCCTCGGGAGGTGGATAAATGTACCTATTGCCCAGACTGATACATATTAACTATGAAGCCCTAGAGCTGAAACCTGGGCATTAGGTAGACCTTATAGGTCGAGCTAATTCTGTCCAGGTAACCGGCGTAGTTACCGTTACCACGGAGTAACGGTAACTACACTGGTTTTTTTATAGCTCCGTAGAAGGTCTACGGATCGTTTCCCACCTTTGTCACCCTCAGATACATTTATTATTTTCTCAGGCATCAGCATCAGGCAGAGGGGAGTACAATTTGCGAAAGGGGGGTCCAAACATCGACAAGAGGAGGAGAGGAGGAGGGTGGAGTAGTAGTCCTCTTTATTTTATTTTTATTTTGACCTACGGCGCCGGAGAAACGAAATACAAGTATCGGACGAATGGATCATATGAGCTGAATGGGAAAAGGAAAGGCTGAAGTACAAGTACATTGCTCTCATATAGACGTAAGGCACGCCCATTGCATGATTAGAAAAGAACGCCTGAGTAATGCTAAACGCCAAAGAAAATGGAAGAAGCTGATGTCGGCGGGCATTTCCTTCTGTCAACTGTATTGTTGTCGTGGTAGGAACAGTGGGGTATCATTCGAATTCATTTGAGGGGGAAACATCATGTAGAAACGGTGCACAGAGAGAACATTGACCGTGCTTTTATTGTGTTTGGTAGGCGCCTCAAGATAGCATTGTTTCGTCTGAGAACGAAGAGCGGACTCATCATGATAGGTTATGAATGTGGTGAATTGCATGAGTGAGAGAGGAATGAGAAGGCATGCACACGGTGCTGCCAATGTGCTATTGGCGGAGAGAGGGAGAAGGATGGGGTCGATGAGTGGCCGCTCTTCGCCGGCCCAGAGACATGCTGTGCGGACAAGGGCTGCTTGCCATATGGACAAATCTGCCCAAAAAAGGTTGTTGGGACCAGGTCGTCAATGCACTTCTGGATGCGCGTTCCGGAAATCGACCAATGGCGATGAGTATGCCAAGCGGATATTGACAGGATGAGCAGGGCGATGATGAAAGATAAAAAAAAATAATTTGACCACGCTCGTTTACAGCAAGAGGAGACCTGCCGGATCTTGTGGAATAAACTCCCCATGAAGGCCGCCATTCATAAGCTCAGCGACGATCTTCCTGCGAAGAAGAGAGGTATGACTTGGCCCAAAGGCCGTAGGCTCAATACCGAGGGCGATTGCTTTCGCGTTCATCAACAGGAAGACGCCGCAGTCGCTCATGTTATCTTGTTGTGAAGAGAGGGATGCAAGAACAGTCCACTCTTCTTCTTTATATTGGTCCCCAAGCTCCCCATGGAGCCACTTTTTGATGCGAGTCACTTGAGCAGAACCGGCAGAGCCAAGTGAGTCAAAATACTCGATTGTACGATCTGCCGGCCTCACAACCATGAGGGTCCAGTGATTGACCTCATGTACAGGTATGAAGACCATATCGACATTAAGCAGATCGGCACCACCGATCTTGGCTCGTCTCGCCCATCTTGCCACGCCCGCATATCCCTTGTCACGCAAGGTAGAGTAGAAAAAGGTGTTGAAGGAGTGAAAACGTGGTTTATCTTTGGGACCTAAGTTTCCGTTCAATTCGCGCAGGTAGTGAACGAGTAAACCGAGATAGGAATTGATAATTTCATCGTTAAGCCATGCCAGCGGGCGAACGCAGGTTACAATATCCTTTTGACATATCTCATCTCCGGTCAATGACCTGGCGATGACTTGGGATTGCGCGCATTGCACGGCATTTTGTACTTTCGTAAGCCACGTTGGTGAGAGTGACCGTACGGGCTGACCACGCGGTACAACTCTAGACGGCCTGTGGCGATCAAGCTCTCGAGCAAGTCTTTCTTTTTCTCGTTTCTCAAATTCCGGCGCGTACCAAGATGCGATGCGATTGGGTGGAATCGGCTTCGGTTTGGGGTTGAACAGTTGTACAGCAGACACGGGTCCATGTGGGGTCCTTGAAAACTCGCGAGCGCGTTGCTGCCATGGGTCGTCGATCTCCATGCGATCATCCCGAACTCGCTTGACTTTCGGCGGACTGGGCGGTGGGGTCCGCTTGGGTGTTGGCGGGCGAGACCGATACGCGGGCCATCGTGGATGAAGGTGAATCCCAAGGTCTGTGACGAGTGCAGGTTTTGTGTGACCATCAAGGTCCATAGGTTCCCATTCTTGAGACGAAGCTTCCGCTTCCTCGGTTGTTTCGCCATAGGGATCGATTGGCTTGAGACCAGGGGACTCGGGTGGCGTCGATGGGAATGCTCCCGGGAGAGATATATCTGGTGAATTCGTTCCTGGATAACAGATCAGTATGCGCGACCGATGTTTGGAGACTGTCGGAGGCCATTACCCTCTTCGTCGCTAACAGGAAGTTTTGGGGCAACAAGGGGATTTTGTTTTGCCTCGGACGACTTTGGGGATTTCGAAGCGGAGCCACGTCGGTGGCAGAAGTACCAGCTAAAGAGCCCCATGGTGATGCGAGAGGGTCAGAGTCTCGAGAGTGCAAGGTAGAAGAGCTACTCGTCCGATGACGCGCTTCAAGCAGAGAGGGCGGCGGGCAGATGGAAGTTGAGTTGGTGCAGGAGAAGTGAGCGAGTCAATGGGGAGGATACCTCATCCATAACTCATGGCAGGAAAGTCTCCAGGAGGCTAAGATCGAACGACTGGATCCATGTCAAAGAAGGTATTCCTTAGAAGCAACCCGTCGGACCGTGGACGCGATTCTACGTATTACGTCAGCGGGAAGCCGGGGCCACACTTTGTCAGGGCGATCTATATCTTTGGCGTCTCTGCTGTACATTCTACAACTTGATTGTGCTTGATTGTATTGAAGATGAATAATGAGCCCTGGATTGTCGGCGCGTTAGGCTTTGTGTCTAGTCGGGAGATTAAACAGATTGGTAAAGCGACAAGACGCATGTTCATTCATTGAAACGTTCCTTTGATGGGCCTCGTGCTTTATTTTGGGTTGCCTTTCAATAATTGGCTGTTGGTCATTGTGGTCATACCGTTTCGATTCTATAGAACCACAGATATAGATGAATTTCACGTCCAATGCTTATGTACGTGGGTAAAATAAATGATACCCTATGGGCCTGCTTCAGACAGCCCGCTGAGTAGGAAGCAAGCCGAATGCGTTAGGGTGATAAAAGAGGCAGGTGTGGTTTGGTCGGTGGACTTCAAACTCCAGGAACTCCGAGGCCAATGAGATGGAACAATAGGGGGGCGACTTCGACAACGACCCATGGAATGCCCGCATAGACAATCAGCTTAGTGACAACTTCCACATCGTAACGTACGCGAGGTTTCTTGATCTGCGAGAAGACCTCTTTTTCATCCCGCTTGCCAGCTTCAAAGTCAAGTGAAGGGAACGGGGTCAAATGCTCTTTGGGGCTCACATCAACCGCAGAGGAACTAGGGCTACCTCTTCCCATCATTCCTTCGTAATCATCGAGGGTCGTGTTCTTTCGGGATAGGACAGGCGTCCCGTTGGGCTTGTTCTCGCCCTCTGCAACCGGGGAAGCGCGATTACCCCCGGATTGACTCTCGCGGCGGCGCTTTTCACGGTAAGCCAGCGTCTCATACGCATCGGCTTCGGACTGTGGGCCGACGGAAATGGCTCGGCGGCGAGGGTGGCGCATTGTGGCCATGAGATTGGGGATGTCGGAGATGTTGGGAAGGACATCGTGGTCCTTCAGATTAGTTGGAACGGTAGTGTATTCCCTACACCTGTTAGAACAATCATAGTGCTAGGCCGGGATATTAGGACTCACGAAGCCGTAGTGAAAAATCGACGGGGCAAGAGAAGGCCTAGCTTCTCCAATGTTCGGAAGATGGGTGGGAGGATGCGCAGCAGAGCGGGTTTTGTCACCGTTCTCCAGGCGAAGATACACAAAACACCCAGCACAAGGCGTATGGCAGTTTTGATCCAGCCGATGGACTCCAGATCATAGGGAATGGAGCCAGGTGGGTAGCCATCCCAGATTTCAGCGAAATGCCAAGACGAGACGTCAACGCCCAGCATGACTCCGGCAAATGCAACGCTATCGTCAAAGCAGGGGCAGTCATCGGCCGGCTCTGGGTGAACGCGGACAAGGGATATGATTAATATCGCAAGCAAAGAGATGTCTTTCACTGACGCAGAGACTATAAAGTCTTCAAACGCAGGTCCATAATGGAATTGCACGAGACCAATTGCGGCACCCATCGCACATCCCACGGTACAATCCAACATTCCATGCATTCCACAATACAGTCGACCCAGAACGATGGAAACCACGTATATATAGGTGACGGCCTGTAGAAGGAGCGTAACCTGTGCACTGAGAGTCGATTCCGGGGAGCTGAGCAGACCGAGTGCATATACCGCGACGGAGACCGCATTCGTGGAGTGCGTCGAGGGGAACCCGTATTCGAGCGCCGCAGACCCGGACATGGTGATGCGCTGAAGCGGCGGAGAAAGCGGCCGTGGGAGACACAGCAGATCCTTCAAGAAACCACTCCAAAAGACGCCCGATGCCAAAATGTGAACCAATCTGCCCATCTCTGTCAGCTACAAGCTGCTAGTCGCAGTTTCGCTCCCAACACATACCCGCGCCCCATGCTGGGCGAACCACACCAGAACAGGAACGGCAAGAAGACCATGAAGAACGTGTGGGTGCCGAGGTTGGCCGTGAAGGCGAAATATGAGTCAAGCGTTGGCGTGCGCACTTTCTCCTGCACCCAAGCTAAGTATGGGGTTTCATATCGAATCAACGGGATAAGCTGTTGCCGGGGCCAATACCGCCAAAGAGGCAAACGGTTCGAATCTGAGTCGCAAACGCGCAGTGGTTAGCGAATATTGTACGGAGGGTTTGCTATGGACACGAGAGGAAGTCCGATCGCATACAATGGTTCAGGCTCTTCAGCCCAGCATCGGGCTCGGGCTGATCTGCTTTGCTCTTGCCCATGTTATCGATCTAGACTGCGCAATCGGATGAATTCCATGGACAAGCCGCTGGCGATTCAAAGCGAAGCTTATAGGGATCAGAACATAAGGAGCGAATGGAAGTTGGATCAGAGGAAAATAATATCGGACTCGGCGACAGTTGAGATCATCCGCGGTTCAACTTTGGCGGGCCCCTGATGCCTGGGGCCCCATGTGCTGCTTAGTCACAATCGCTCAGAGCCTCTGTACAGCGTGCATAGAGTACGAGTACGGAGAACGGGGTGCTCCGAACAAAGTAATTCGTAGTCAGAAAATGGATCCATGCTGGGATTGCTGACAGTTTATTCCAAGGTTCTGGACATGGTGACAGGTGAGCTCAGCTGAGGGTGCAATGGCAGTAGTGTTTTTGTACATAATTGCTATCGATTTACTCCGTACGAAGTGGGATTGATATTTACAAGATAGGCTCAGGTAATTAATCATTCAGTTACCAATCTACCTTCACATTGTTCCAGGACGCTGATCTTCTAGCCCAGAATGGCCTGGGGGGGTTACTCCCAACCACTCATGAAGCACGGAACAGACAACCCTTGGAGGCCAAGGGTCATATAGATTAGGTTTTCCCACGAGACATCGGTTTTCTCCGGCCAACCTTGGAAGTTTTGCAGGATTTTGGGGCTTTTCGAGGCGAGAACCTTGGAAAAGATGGGGAATCCCGGGACTCCATAGCTGGGGCATGACATGCAGAATTAGGGCAAAGCTACCGTTTTGGATATACTATTTTGGTGACCGCTGAATTCCCAACATCGCCAAGGCAGTCCAATTTACAAACTTGCTCAGGGATATTCGCCTCAAAAAGATTCAACTCTTCAAGAGTAACAATAAAAGCCTCAGGATCGACAATCACATGGGCGTAAACATAAAGTCGATCCGGTTCGAGCTGAACAGTGGAGTCGAAAAGGAATTAATTAAGCGGAGCCACTACCAAGAAAAGAAACAGGATCGGGATAGCCGCAATCAGGGCAAGAAAGTGACAGGATAGCAAGGCTTTGATCGTGGAAAGCGGAGCCCTGGCGTCATATAAACGCGGCCGTTGCTATGACAGCGGAAAGTAAACACAGCTCGTCCAGACCCTCCACCTTCACACTACGGTCGATCCTCTAGATCTTTTAGATCTATCTTCCTTTTTCCTCTCAACTCGTTCTCAATTGTCAATTGTCAACTGTCAACTGTCAACTGTTTTGCACTCAGCTGTGAACCGTTAACCGTTTTCTCCCGTTTGCCACCTGTCACTCATCACATTATCAAGGGGTCAACATTCCGCACTCCACCATGAGCTCTATGTACGACGAACAATACTATGCAGCTTCACGCCGCCGCTCTCTCGCAACCCCTCCTCCATCTCTAACTCCTCGTCACAACCGAGCACGCAGTGACAGTGTCCGTATCAGCCACGGCACCGCCAGCACCAACACCAGTGTTTCCAGTGGACGGATGTCCGAGGCTACAAATATCACCCAGCCGCCCTCCTTTTCAAAAAAGTTTGTCGTGGTGGGCGACGGCGGTTGTGGTAAGACGTGTTTGTTGATCAGCTATTCCCAAGGATACTTCCCAGAGGTAAGTCGCATCAAGAGCTTATGGGAGGCCTCTGGCGCTAATCAATCATATAGAAATATGTCCCCACAGTGTTTGAAAACTACATTACCCAAACAACACATCGAGCCACAGGCAAGACTGTCGAATTAGCACTCTGGGATACTGCTGGACAAGAAGAATATGATCGTCTGCGACCACTGTCCTACCCCGAGACCGATCTTCTATTTGTCTGCTTTGCTATCGATTGCCCCGCTTCCTTGGAAAATGTTGTCGACAAGGTGAGCCATACATTCCATTTCAATTGAATAAATCTAACATTCCACAGTGGTACCCCGAAGTACTACACTTCTGCCCCACCACCCCAATCGTCCTCGTCGGTCTCAAGTCTGACCTCCGCACAAAGCGGACCTGTATCGAACTCCTGAAGACACAAGGCCTGACGCCCATTACACCAGAACAGGGCGAGAACGTTGCCCAGCGCATGGGCGCCAGCTACACCGAATGCAGCAGTAAAGAGATGCGCGGCGTCGACGAAGTCTTCTCAAAAGCCGTGGACCAGGTCATCTCCATCGAAGAACAAGGTTACTCGACTCAACAGACATCTGGCCGCGGCGGTAAAAGCAGCCGCACTAATAAAGCCAGTGCTGCTCCCTCCGGTGGTGGCCCACGCCCCGGGAAGAAGATCAAGAAGCGCACTTGCAAGATCCTTTAGATTGATTCTACGCGCTCTTCTTGCACTCACGACCCCCTTATTTTCTTGCTTGGCCGGACCACAAGCCTGGTTGCTTCGTCGGCTTCCTTGCCGCGCGCCCGTGTATGTGACATGTCGCTGTAAGATGAACAAAGCTGGACATGACTCGGAAAAAAAAAAAAACGACAACAACAACAACTCTTCATGTATCGATACGCTGCGCGACGGTTACTATGATTTGCGATTCCCTTTTTTTCTTTTGCTGGAGGCTGTTTCCTTTATTTCACGTTTGTTTGTTTTTTTTTTTTTTTTTGGCTTGATGACCCTCGTCCCCGTAACATTTATCGGGTCGCTGTGTTTTTCCATTGGTTTGCATGGATCTGGTGTTTTGTTTACGTCTATGTCTGATATGTTCCGTTGGCGAAAGCGTATGTGTTACTTGAACAATTCTTTTACCTCTCTTCCGCTCCTTGTAATCGTGTAAACGTGTAAATGTAGGATTTCTAAAAGTATCCTTGGTATCTAAAAAAGACTAAAACAGACGCCGAGACCCGTCCTGCAGACCGAAATTCAAACCATCACTGCATGCCTGCCGAGTTACTCTCATGCTCGTCCTTGATCGCTTCACTCCCACTGACCTTCCGTTTCCCTTGCTCCTCAACCTCTTCCTCCGGTCGACCCATGAAGTTCTCAAATTGAGACCACAGAGCCTCCACAGAACTAAACTCATTGCCCACCTAGTCCTATCAGCCAGCAATCCTTCACAGGAAATGATTGATGCTTACCGCAATTACGCTTTCCAGATTCCGATTCAGCCGGTTCATATTCTGAAGTACCTGTTCCATGCCCTGCTCGTGTTAGCTTTCTCCCCAAAGCCAAGACTAAGACCAAGCACACTCACCACTGCAATTTCCCTGACGAGCTCCTCGCGCTGCTGCTCAAAGACTGTTGGGGATGCGGTGCGATCACCAGATGCGTGTGACTGGTTCCAGGCCATGTAGAGTTTGTAGTCACCGTGGTGGGTGACTTCGCAGGAACTTTTGAGGACTGTTGCAGTCTGAAAGACGTAGTGGTGCAAGCAGAGTTTCGCTGAAGCTTCTTGTAAATGAAGCTGACACTTGGAATCGGGTTTGTGCAGAGTACACCTTGGGCAGACGCGGTGCGGTGTTCGATTTGTTGACGCGGGTGGGAGGTGGGGTTGGAGGGATTCGCCAGTTGCCGGTTCCGTTGGTTTGATCCAGCTGGGTAACTCTTTGTTTTCTAACTTCTACTTCGATTGGAGGTTTATTTTGCGCTTTATAATATTTTGACATCGGAATGGGCTCACTAATGTCATCTTTCAAGGTTCTATATAAACACACCAAACTTTCTCGAGTATATAGCGAACTGATACGAATCCTGGCTTTGATGTATACAAATTGTGAATTTGATGCCAACCGCCCGAGAGTACGCAAACGCCCACAAATTGAGCATGCGATAAAATTGGAGCTGAGCAGAAATATTACAAGGATATAATAATTATAGACAAGCACCTGGGCATGGAAGGCACTCATTCCAGCTGCTGACGCTCGGCCATGAGGGGTTGATCCAAGCCGGCACTGGCAATAGTCGCATTCCCTTTCATAGATGTCTTCCAAGCCCTTTCACCGCGCAAAAACAGATCATCAATCTGCTCGAGGGTCAGCCGAGCCGTTTCTGGCACGAACAAATACGAGAGTATCAAAACAGCAACGGTGACTCCAAAGTAAAAGTACCCGACGTTGGCACCCATGTTGCCATATTTCGGGTGGAGCATATACGGAGTCCAAAAGGCAGCTCCGAAGCTCCCAATCTCATACAGGCAGGTCGTGTTTGCCTGACCGTAAGTGCGAAGCCGGACACTGTGCATCTCTGCCGAGGACAGCCATGCGCTTGATCCGATGAAACCCCCAAAGAAAAAAGCCCAAAGACAAAGAAAGACAACGACGACTTTCTTCGCTACCGGGTGGCTAGGTCCAAGACCCGTGCTGACGGATGACAATATTAGCATACAAACTGCCATCATGATATAGCCGAAGATCAGCGAGAACCGTCTTCCGCCGTACTCGAGGGCGTGTGGGCCGATCAAGGAACCAGCGAAGATACACAGGCCAACGATGGTGTTGATGAGATATGGATTGTTGACACCGACTCCGCTGAGGAAGAGAGCTGCATACTGCGAGACGAATTGGATACCAGTGATGGAGAGTCCGAACAGTGTCATTCCCGAGATAGCCGTTCGGCGAAGATCAAGACCTCGATAAATCTCCACCCAAGATGTTGTATGACTCAAGCTCTGCTCCAGATCAAGATGCCTCTGCACATCATTCAGTTGAGCCGTCACCTCAGCTGAGCTCGGCTCCAAGGATTTGAAAGCAGCGAAGGACCGACGAGCCTGCTCAGTTTTCTTCCTCACCAGCAGCCACCGCGGCGACTCGGGGAACATCATCGTCCCAAACCCGAGGATCAGCGCGAGAGGGATCTGACAAGCAATAGGCGTCTTCCATTGCCAGTCGTTATCTGCCTTCAAGGTCGCTGATCCAGTACACACCGCGGCGGCACTCACGCTGCCTAGTGCAAGCCCGATATTGAAGACTCCGAGCAAGAGGCCGCGCTTGCTTGCAGCAACACATTCAGAGCCATACACCATACTTGAAGCGAGCAGTTGTCCTATCCCAACACCGCTGATACATTTGCACACCATATAGTGGAGGAAGTTGCCAGCAGTCCCAAGCATACCAGCAGCTCCGACCGCGCACAGCACACAGGCAACTTGTATGGTAGTCTTGCGGCCGAACTTATAGCCCAGCAATCCAGTGGTAGCACTTCCAAGCGCTTGGAAAAGAATTGTGATGCTGACCATTGACTGTTTCAATGTTGTGAGAGTACACTCGGGGCTTGAAGAATCGGGGGTCATTTCACAATGTCCAAATGCGGTTTTGAAAGAGGGCATGATCAACACAGTGCCGGCATAGCTTTGGTCGAAAGATGCTATCAATACTGCTATGGATACCCATATTGCGAGCATGATCATTCGCCATGTTGCCTTCTCGGTATCTTGGTTGGAGATCATATTGAGCGGCCGCGGCCGATGGTTGCTCAAAGAAAGGGCGAATTGGTGGGTTCTGGGTCCATCGATCGGATGTACAAGCTTCGCTCGGCAATGGGGAAGAGATCAAGACAGATCGTAGGGAAGTGCCGAGATTTCGAAGAAAGGGGTCTCTGCAAGGGTGGAACCCTTGCTTGCTTTTTCTCCATAGACGTTGGCGGGAATGCAGACCAGAGTCCCGATAGTAGGTATGCATTGTGATCTCCTTCTTGTTGAGAGCTACATGTAGCTGTAATGAGGGTAGGCCGTTGCTCTGTCGTTGACGTGGAGAAATGGGTCCAAGGTGAGATCTATGAATCATGAGGAATCTTTCAGAGCCGTGCCATGTGTGATTCAGAATCTCCAATAATCGGAATAATTTGCCCAGGTAGGACCAAATAGATATGTTCCTATTTTTGTCTCGAGCTTCTGTCTCCTATGCACAATCATACATTCATTGTGGGGGAGCTCTTGGGGCATTTTTTGTGAAGACTCGAGTTTGAGGACTCCTAGAGCAATGTAGCATGCAGGAACCGCATCTAGCTCCTCTCCCTACCGATCCACCGCTTCTCCGCTCATTTACCCCTCCATTCACAGACACAAGTACAGAAGTACCTGTACCTAGTTACTCTGTACTCCGTACGGAGCACATCGATCCAATATGAATCATGGAGCTATAGTTGTGATGTGGTCGTCGCCTGTGGGCCCATGCAGTGTACCTGGTCAATATTAGGCAAAGTATTATCGCAACACAACATGTGATATGAAAGAAAGTCCATTGGACCAATGCGCACCAGGGCACCCCAGGAATACCCAATCGGGCCGAATCAACCTGACCCAGGATGATATACAGAGTAGTGTACCTGGAGTCTGGACCGGGTAAGAGCTCTGCAACGGAGACGTCCTCCCGACGACGGTCCAGCCATTCAAAGAATTATCTTGAGACAGTCCCTTTCAGAACCCGAAAGATAGCCAGATCCGACCTTTTTGCGCTGCCCTACAAGGACCAGTCAAGGGCCGAAGGTCGGAATGGTCCGGCGCAGGGACAAAGACCGATACCAAGAACAGCAACGAATAAGACCTGGCCCTGTGTTACGGTCATAGCTCGAGAACGAAGATAGTACTCCGTATCACTGCGATGCGTTTTTCCAATTTCCGAAAATGAAAATGAAAATGCACCAATGCCCTAGGCGTCGCACAAACGTTCCACCTCCGATGTACCCCTCTCCCAGGGTTCAGGGTCCACTGGTATAACGGGAGACGGTGAAGATACTTCGGTCTAAGACATTGGATTTGGTACTCGACAGGTGCTAATTTCTGACCTGAGTGGTTGATTCGGTGGACAGGTAGGATTGCGATTCCTTTGACGGTGGCTTGGGTACAGAGTAGGGTTTAGATTTAGAAACCATGAGCTGCAGGCGAACAGCCCTGGAGGCGAACAGGCGAACAGTGGATCGACAAAGGGACTCTACCAAGGGTCTATGCAACGGGTACCAAGAAATAGGTCTCCCATAATGCATGCAGTAAATCCAAAAAGCAGGATAGTTTAGGTCTTGATAGTTCCATTTTTGGGTTCAGGTTTATATACATGTGCCAGTGAGTCACTGAGCATCGACACTCATAATCGTATTCCAAGTCAATTCCCAATGTCCACTCCTAAACCCCAGGCCAAATAATAAAAAAAAAAGAGAAAAGAAAATAACTCATTCATCAGGTCATCAAAGCGGGGCATATCCTTGTCAAGGGGGCCAACAAACGGCCCCGGGCCGAACCAGATCATAGCCGTAACATTGCCCACTCGTTTCAATTCGTTAAGTCGTTTTGCATCCACACAGCGGTGAATGTATTCATAAAATTGCCAGTCCATAATGCGATCGCAGTGCTAAGAGTTGCGACGAGGTTGTACAAGGATATTGCTCAGACGTTTCCAGCGCGGTGTCGGGGACGTTGAATTCGCGCGCGACATGTCCTTGTCCATTGGTTTTGTAGAGGAGATTGTGGAAGAGCGAGGACGACTGCTGATAGCTTCGTGGTCGGCGAGGACGTCCTCGAGCCGAACGTCTGAGTCGGATAGATGCGAGTCCTTTGGATCGAGGATCTCGATGAACTTGGATGGAGTATCGCGCATTTTGAACGAAGGATGCGCTAAAGCGAGAGGAGAATATAGAGAGCAGACCGATATAGGTTTGTTTGGCGGGGGGTCACGAGGGTGTTGTATAGTAGGTGCAAGCGCCAAATGAGACAAAGAGCGTCGCAGATCTAGAGCTTGCAGAAGGGAGCTTGGGTGTTTCAGGATTTGAGCGAGAGGAAGAAATTTGGCAGAAGAGGGTCGAGGGCAGAGGGGCTTTTCTTTAAAAGAAGAAAAAAAAAAATAGAAAAACAGCCAGTACGGATGGAAATGAGATCCGATCCAGCGTATGCAAAAAGGAAGCCAGTCTGGAGCCCTGCAGTGGAGCCCGAGTGAAGATCAGGGGAGTAGAGGAGAAGTGATTCGATAGTCCGACTATAAGATTCGTCCACGGGCTAATTAGACTAAATATTGAATATCGGACTTCTGAGGGAGACTCGTACGAGTCCACGTAGGTACTAGGCAGTAGGTGCTAATTAAATCCCGCCAAAGAATAAATAAAAAAAGCACAAAGGAACAGAGACAACGAGCAGGGAGTACAAAGACTACAAAGGGAAATTAATCCCAAAACACACACAGAGAAGTAGGCCACCCCTAAGAGTCCCCTCAGTTAGGAACCCCACAATATTCAGACGTACAGACTCCGTAAGAGTCCAGAGTCCCCTTTCGGCAAAGATATGACTGGCCTCTGACCTACGGGGTTCTTCGCAGTGGATGCTAACCCCCCACAAGCGGTGATGATCAGCAATTTGGTGGCGTCCGCTGACCATTGACCGTTAGCAGTGAAGAACCGGGAGTTCGTACCAGATCTCCTAGATGGAGCACTTGCGTGGCCCATGCGATGGTCAACTGAGCAACTTCTGGGGTTTGGACCGCCTTAGAGCAACTATCATATGCTGATATATGCTCATTGCTCTGAGGACGTTCTGCTCTCAGCTACCTACTCCGCCCGTATGCTCTCCCCTCTTTCCCTTTCGCTCAGACGCTTACTCTGAAACTGGCTACGATAGTCCGCTACTACAACTAGCTTGCGATTGTGGATGCTTCCCTCCATCCTTTAAGCACCATGACGTCGAAGGCAGAGTTTTCTGCTCACAGGCGCTTTTACCCTATTTTATTATCCAAATTCACGGGTCTTGCGTAGGTGTTCAGGGTTCCTACAATGTAAGCAACGATCGGCTCCAGGACTGGGAGGCGAGAGTCTTGTTTCTATAAAAAGAACGAATCCGCCACAGCTCACATTGTATACTGTATGGACGCAATAGTTCCTTCACCCTTTCAACGTGCTACATTATTTACTCCGGTAAATCGGCACTGGGAACATCCAATAAGACATATTCGTAACAACAGTCCTGACCAGTCACTCAGAGATCCTTGGAACGCGAGGGATAGGCAGTTATCGAAGAGGGTGTACGTAGTCGGATTCGCCCCAATGAGCCTCTCCGCACCGCCCTCCAGGGCTGAACCTCAATGGATGTGCGATATGACCACCTCTCCACATGAATTCTGTTGCCCACCCCAGTGGAGATCCAACCGGGGGTCTCATTTGTGATAACAGAACACTTACGTTGCGCCGATATGGAATTGACGATTGACTCGTGCGATCTCTTTGCCACAATCGGGTCCCTACTTTGCACAGCACACACGTCAATTCGAATTGCAGCTCAATTCTTACCTGACCAGAAACCCCGCCACTGCTATCTCTCCCATCGATTACGGAGTAGAATGAAACAAATGGCGTTGGACGGATCATCACTGCGCCTCCGATCGAGTCATTCCGATACACTCGTCGCACTGCGATGGCGCAGCGGATGTCAGCCTTGGCCGACCAAAATGCCTCACTACAAGTATTCAGTACATACTCCGTATTTTTCAGGGACAAAAGAAAGCAAGGCATGTTCCAATCTCCCAAGCTTCCAAGCCCCAGACAAGGCAGCAAGGATATCTCATCGAGCAAAACAGTAATTTGATTCGATTTTCGGCCCAAGAGGCCATGCACAAAAAACCACGTTGAAAAGCCATAAAACAAGAAAACGCCTCGTGATAATTGAATTGTGAACCCAACATCGGACTCCGCCTCGGTCCTCGGTATCATCTGTGCACGTTCTCGCCAATCGTATCGACGCCGTACCTGGGCGCTGGGGAACTCCGTCCTAGCACCACCTCCACGACCCGTAGGAATATGACCGGGAGAAACTGTACTCGTACCGCTCTGTCGCTCTACCTCGTAGAACGACGGCAGTCTCACAACCTCATGCATCGCATCTCCGAACTGTCTATTATTTTAATTCCATGTCCGTCATTTCCACTGCGTCGGCCGATCCCATCCAGAGGATGTTGTTGCATCTGTCCCCGGTTAGCTATTTGATTTTGATTTTGAAGGTGATGAAGCTTCACATACCGGATCAGAACGAGACCCAGTGCTCCGGTGGGCTTGCCGTCGATGAACTCCTCTGTGTCGCGCAGCAAAACGTTCATGTATGAGTCGATGCTCTCGAGTGTACCCTTGTATTCGGTCTGGCCCCACTTGAGGCGGATGAGGACTTCGGTGCCGACGCTGTAGAATTGTTAGGTTAGCAGACTGCATGGCATGGCATGTGAGGATCTGCCAGGCGGGTGTTGGGCTGAGGATTGCTTCACGGGGCCGATTGGATTGGGCTGGGGTGGGGGAGCATACCGAGCCTGGAGGAATGGGCGGGGGTTGAGTGGTTGGAACTGTGAGATTCAAGTTAGCAATTGGGTTCATTTGCAACCAGGCGTGACTCTTGGATATATGATGGATGCCTTTGAGCTCGACGCCGGGCTGTGGATGAGGGGAGACGTACACTCATTGTGAATGTGGTTGCACTCGAAAGAGTGGTGTGTAGAGAAGGGGTATATGGAGGAGGGTCGAAACAGAAAGAACAAGGATCCTGGTGCAAGACTGCTAATCGCAAGTTGGCGAGGATATCGGAGTTGGCGACATCGCGAAAATGTGAGCTGGACGGGCGGTGATATCTGGCCAATGAGCGATCGTTTTATCTGACCGCCTTTGGCAGCTCCCATGGCCATGTTTGGCTTTCACGTCGTGAGATGCTTTACGGAGTTGTGCTAATGGTTCACATTGGCCTTGATTCTTTGGGTAATAAATATTTTCATTGCATTGCTCATTCCATCGTCACCGTGTCCCTCTCACCACCATACTCCGCATCGTAGTCACAACCAGCTAATATCATAGTAATACATCGAAAAGCACGCCCTCCAGAGATGCAATAGCTGTTTGCTGAACAAATCTGTGACTTCTGTCCCACTTTAGCCTCTCTGAGCAATAGGCAGCCCCATCACGCTCATCTGCCGATTTCCTCCAGAACTCCTCCATCGACACACATGAGGGGTTTCAAGCCCAGACCCTTGGTCTTGATAGAGTATGCCAACTCAAGAATGGGCCACCATCATCCGATCACCTCGCGGGAATTTAACGGCTGAGAGCCCAGACGATCTCAATGATGCTGACTTCTTCTCCCTTCTTCTCATCATAGTCGAACCACTCGCCTTCCATGAGATCGATGCCAGTGAAAGTGGTGGTGGATTCAACACCCTTGGCTTCCCATTCACCCTGATGAATCAGTCAGTAAACTCCTCGCTACCTTAGCAGAGATCTTCTCACATCAGGCTTGAACTCAGTGAACTCGAGGCCGCGGCAGTCCATCTCGATCACCTTCTGGCTGGTCTTCTTCTCCTGGGTCTCATAGGCTTTCGGTCCACTGGTGATTGACGCAGTGTGGGTTTTCTTCATGATCATTAGTTTAAGCTCAAGAAACATGTAGAGTTCATCAATTTTGATAACGCCATAGATTGTTTTGATTAAAAAACAAAGCCAACCATCGGCAGGAACAGGATGAAAGCAAGAACTTACCGTGCAAAGACGACATTTCCAAACGAAGTTGGCTTCACCGCGGCTGCCGGGGATTTCATGAACCTCCTAGTAATCACCGTTAGACAAATAGGGTAGGGAGACAATGAGAACAAGTCAGACATACAAAGCGGTTGAAGCTGACCCAGTTGGGATGAGTCTCACGACAAGAAGTGCATTGCACCTTGAAGGTGTAGAAGTAAGGGTTCTCTTCAGTATCAGTGGGCTGGAGAGCAGTGACGCTGGATTTTGATATTAGCTGATGATTCGTATGACACTCGCTGGAATTGGAGTGGGGCGGGGAGGCCTGAAATTTCCACGGCCAGACAGGTATCAACTTACCCCTCGAGCTGGGCTTGGACAGTAAGAGCAGGCATCTTGAAGTATGTATGGAGGCTGTCGAGGACGAAGTAAAGTTGACCTCGGGATGCGGGGTGGAGATGCAAAATGTTTACAGCTACACTCGTCGATATGCAATCGCATTATGCCTGGTACTCGAGATATTTCCCATCTCAGTTTAGTGCTCCGAGAAAAGGTGACGCGGGTTCGATTTCCGGTCATGGCGCTTTTTTTTGGGTCCCACTTTGGTACTACCGAGGCACGGTGAGACTATCAATAATTATGCCAAGCATGGAAGACATGATAGTATGCATTTCAAAAGGATACAACAGCTGCAATCAAATGTTGTTCCATATCGGAATCGCTCAGAAACACCGAGTACAAGTAGCACTCGGCCACAAAAAGCCCGTAGAAAGGATTTAGAAACGTGGATCAAGCAGCAATACTTGAAGATCTGGATGCTGTGAGAGGTATACTTCCAGCAATTTTACTGACTGGAGAGAGCTCAGAATGTGAGTGAGAGTGGTGCCTTCCTGTTTTGGAACTCTCACTCTCCCTCACTCTTCCTTTTCTTCTCCCTCCTTTCTTTTTCTCTTCCTCTTCCTCTTCTCCACCTCCATCTCCCACCTTCACTCACCACAATCCTTCTGTCCTTACCAAGCTTCACTCTATCCTTACCGACCTTCATTCTGTCATTAGCGACCTTCATTCTGTCACTACCGACCTTCATTCTGTCACTGCCAACCTTCAAACAACAAAATAGCCTCTTGTAGCTGCCTCACACTCGCTGTTGCAGAACCTCCCAGGATGTGCTAGGGCCGGAGCTGCCTAATAACTAAACCACTGAACCTTGCCATTCAACCCTTTCCAACAACAAACTAGTCTCTTGTGGCTGCCGCACACTTCGCTGTTGCAGAACCTCCCAGGATGTACTAGGGCCGGAGCTGCCTAATAACTGAACCACTGAACCTTGCCATTCAACCCTTTCCAACATCAAACGAGCCTCTTGTGGCTGCCTCACACTCGCTGTTGCAGAACCTCCCAGGATGTGCTAGGGCCGGAGTTGCCTAATAACCAAACTGTTGAACCTCACCTTTGAATGCCCTTTCAATAGCCCGCGTTTTTCTTTTTCGCTGACCATTTTCACTTGACACTTGGTTTTGCGATTTACCATTTCGGTCGTACCTTGTGTTGATGTTTCGCCCTACGTCTGCCACCCCCCTATCTTCTTCACCTCTTTCTTTTCTGCTCCACCTTTCTTTTCTCCTCTCTCCACCTTTCTCTTCCTTTTCTCTTGTTATTTTCTTCTCCTATTTTCTCAAATCTTTCACATAAGCACCTTGACTGCATTTTCTATCCCTTTGCCTTCCTTCAGGCATCGTTGTTCCTAGATTTGTACAGGACTTCGTCATGTCTGAAGGAAACCAAGCATCCAGCCCGATGTGGGTAGATGATGAGCCCGTCAAACTCAATGTCTTTCGATGTGTTCTTCTGGATACCTCATCAAGCCAGCTGGGGGTCTGGAACTAAGCTGCTGAAAGTGTCAGACTCAAAGTTGACTTTTCAACTGAGTATGTGGAGCCTCGCATTGACATTGGGCTCAGCATCAAGTGGCGTGACGGGACGGTCTCCTGTGAGAAGCAGCCGGCGCACATATTCTTCCGGATGATCTATGACCAAATCAAGTCATTGGAAGCCTTACGGATCGTTGATCGCAGCGTAAGCTTTTTATTCCACGGCCATGCAAACCTGGCTCGCAGTGACTGACATGAGTTAGAATACGTCTCTCGATACAAAGGTTGAAGGATCGAACGGAAAAATGCCCACCAGTCATGTAAGTTGAGATATTCCATCTCACCCCCGAAGGCTTCTGCTGATTACGGTTTCACACAGAACTACACAGATGATCTACCTCTGCCATTCTACGAAGTTTACTCACAGAGTACCCACCGTGAACAAATCGAGGTGTTCAGTGAGCTGTACACAATGGGTCTCGAAAAAAGACGAGTGGATAAACTGGTCTCCGAGAAACAACTTTGGGTCATTGCCATTGTCCTAGAGCCTGGCGCCTCCCGATTTGGACCTGGTCTCTTCAACAAAAGTAGGATATATGGGGATCAGACCACAACAGTCCACAAAATACGCGATAAACTCTATCAAGAGCAATGTCTTCACTTTGTGGTGAGGGCAAGTGATCTTCAGAGCGTCGTTGAAGATTTCCAGAAAGAGTGCAAGAAATCATCCAAGAGCCCCCTGGCCCAGTTCTTCCCCAGACATCCCCGGCAGCCTTTTCTTCAGGAACGAGACTACGCCTCTGCCGGAAAACGCCCCTATGTCAAACCTGAAGTGAACTACGGATTCCGCAACTGGTTCTACTACAACACATTTGTCGGGTACGGAACAATCATTGAACACGAGAACGAGTTGAAGCGTGTGGAGAACGGCCAACTCTTTGAAGCCAAAATCCAAGTCTTTGCTGTTTCGCGAGAGGACTCTAGTACCTACATGGCCTGTATGATGATACCGGACTGGATTGAAGGCCTTCGAGTGGGCAGCACTGTTCATATTCGCTGGCAACCATCTGACCTGACGGCTTCGGTCGCGGAAACTGATGCGCAGAACGACGAAGATTTCATGACACTTGAGCAACTTGAGACCATGAACCGATGGACAGGAGAAGTCATTGAACCGCTTCCAGCTGCGCGTAAGGACACAATCTCCTTGATCATCCACCGTCCATCAAAGGAGACTCCCGGTGCCCGACAGCCCAAGCTTGCCAGCAATTTGAGAAATGCTCCATTCGAAAAGGTCATGGTCAAGATTTCAGTGAGCTGTCAACCTTTCAACCGATTCCTGGCATGCAATCGCGACTTGCAACATTGGTCGAACACAGAAGTATGCCGTGAATTTCTTGGTGGTGACTTAATGGCTCTTCCTCAAGTTGATTTGCTGGGGGACATAGACAAGGATCTCATCGAAGAAAAGTTTGCACAAGGTCGAGTCAATCCTGACATCCGAAAAATAATGGACGAACTGCCCAACGCGCGGGGCCGATTCTTCAACATCACAGGTCCAGCAGGAAGTGGCAAGTCCTATGTGATGGTCATCTTGTCTCTGTTGATGCTCAAAGGTTCCAAGATGTTCTATCCTGTACACCCTGATGGTGCAACTGGAGATTGGATGGAAACCTTCCACGAATCCGAAAAAGGCACCAGGGTTGTGAGAAAAGAACCGGAGAGGATATTGCACAAACCGCAGGTTGTATTGTCTTGTCCAACGAACTTCTTGGCGAGCGAGAATTGTGTCAAGATACAACGCGCCGCCGATGATCTGTTTACTGGCGAGCCTATCATGATAATACGCGTTCATCCCCGGGAGTTAGAGTTGCTCATTGCAAAGCAGAGTTACACTCGCCGCGAGCAGTATCCCCGAGTCGCAAAACCCGAACATGATCAAGAGGTCGAAGAAGACATGAGCGCAGAAGGCTTAATCAAAATTCTCAAGGAAGTCCTGGAGCATTACCGAAGATGTCTCCCTTCAATTACTTCTGTGACACCAGGTATCAATGACAACAGGCTTCAGTTAATGGGCCACTCCCTGGGTCACAGAATGCTCCAAGTCTGTGGTATTATTCCGGGATGTCCATGGGCCGTGTCAGGAGGATATCCCAAGTTCGTGGATTATCACCTGGCTATGTTGGAAGGAGAACGGAAGCTCAATGACAAAGACGAGCTCGCTTTCGAGACGGACATGAAGCGGCTGGCAAGAGACACCATGGCCAAAGCGGACATTGTTGTCGGGACTCCATTTGTTCTCGGCACACCGCTTATGTGCCATGGTCTTCATCCTACTGTGGTCTTCATAGACGATGCAGGGATGAGCAAGGAAGCTGACCTTTTGCCTTTGATTACGTATTACTTTCCGAAGGCATTTGGACTTTTCGGCGACCCAAAGCAGCTGCAGCCAACAATACTGTCAACCACGGCGGAAAACCCATTTCGTGAGCAGATTTCGGTGTCATTGTTGTCGAGGATGATCAGTAACGGCTGTGGAACATTCACTTTGGACCATCAGCATCGGCTCACTGGTCAAATTCACCACTTTACCAATCGCCTCTTCTACCGCAACGAAGTATCCTCGCAGAACGCAAAGCATCTGGACCCACTCGAATGGGCGTCGAAGATCAAGGAACACAATTTCCGCAAGTACAACGTCAACTCGAACGTTGTCTTTTTGAACCTACCGAGAAGCCAAGAGACCAGCGTCAAAAATTCCTGGGCGAACCGAGCACATGTGGTTGTGGGTCTTGATATTGTCTATGACCTTGTCTCCGATCATACGATCCCAATCGCTGACATTGTCATTCTCGTTGGATACGATGCCCAGAAAAGAGAGTACCTGGCTGAGATCTCCCGCCGCGTTGACAGCCGACGTGAATTCGAGTGGTTGGATATTCGCATCTGCGTAATTGAGACATTTCAAGGCAACCAAGCTCCCTTTGTGATCTTCGATCTTGTGCGTTCCGATACCTTGGGTCATATGAGATCGGCACATCGTTTGAACGTTGGGATGACTCGTGGAAGCTTCGGTCTCTGGTGTTTGTACAACGAAAATGCTATGAAGAACAGACACGTTGACCGCAGCGCCTTGGTTGTTCGGGGAGATGTTAGCCCTGGTTAAGGATTGTCGACTTGGTGCCACAATCGCAGGGCCTCGAGCTAGGTAGTTTGCTAAAGCTGGTTCGGGAGATTCAAGTGTGTTGGCGAACGGGGACGTGAAGTCGGAGGACGCAAGAGCCGGAGACTGAGCGAGACCTCTGCCAACAGTGAACTTGACAGATAGAAAATTGAAGAAATATTTCCAAAAATATTCCCCAAAAAATATCCCATCTGCAGGGAATGTAGACAGCCATATTGTAATCATTCCAAGGTTATCATTGTTACTTTAGGGGAAGCTAGTTGATGCAAACGTGTTCATTCGTTCTGCTGTAATGACTGTGGTCTCCTTCTTTTTCACATCCTCCTGTTTTCTACTTTTTTTGGGCGACGGTACCAAAATTCAACTAGCTTTCTTCCAGCTTTGGCTTCTTCATGGGTGGCTCTGAGTCCTCCTCATCGTTGTATCTTAGACGACCGGTCCGCCGTGGCGTCGGGATTGGGAAACTAGCCCAGCGGAAGGGTCGCGTTGACGAGGCCCTGTTCGGTAGATGGCTCAGCCACCACATGCGGCGAGCTACTGGGGATCTGATACTTGTTGTCCGCTACTTGGTAGATGAGGGGTGGTGCGAGTTCCACTTTCCGAGTGGAGCGATACTAGCTGTTACGAGTGAAAGGACAACCAGCGTAAGCTAGTACAATACTGATGAAACAAGGGGTTTTTGGACCAAGGGTTGTTAATTGGATAATGAGGTGAACTAGCTAAGAATAGGGAAATGAGGGGCAGTCGAGGTACCCGCTAGTCACGTGGTAATATTAGATAATCCCCTTGATCTCACTCTCCGCCGCCACAGTGGCCCTGAGAGGGGCGAGCTTCACCCCCGACGGCACAAACAAAACGCAGAAATGACAGGAGTGGAGCGATTCGTGCAAGAAACAAAAATATGTTTGGTCCCGAAGTGACCGGCAGAAATCACGATGAAAGTAGAGATAAAAGGGATCAATGCGAGTGTCCCGTCATAGAATCGAGACAGCTCTACTTGAGTGCTGCTTGTTCCAGAGGTACTGAGAACCCTCATGTATCGCTTTTCGGGCTTCTCTCGACAATTCGTGCACCGCCTTTTGTTCAGGTCACCGGTCGTGGAATTGTACGCAGTCAAAAAGGCTGCGTTTCCTGCTGACAAGTCCTCATAGGTACCTCATCCCTGCAGAAAATGCTGCGAGATCGGGCGCTTCCATTTTTGGGAGACCCCCGAGGATTCGTGACTAGGAATAGGTCATAGGAAAATTCCGTTGGGAAGCGAAGTGGGCTATCCGTAACAGGATCGTCGGTTTGAGTGAGCTTTCCGATCTAACATCCATAATTTGTTAGACATACTGTATTGGTGATGTTGATCATGATGGACTGGAAATACCTCTCACCGGTCTCTAAGTTCTGAAAACAGACAGCCAGGCATGTCTTGTCTCATGTCTGACCAAGACAAAGTACTGCCCCGGAAGGGGTTCCCACCCAGTTCACATTGTGTTCTACCATAGAAAATGATGTTGGTGAATGGGTGAAGATGAGGCGAATGTAAGAGAATAGGATTGAGACAATGGGTACGAGAGATGGAGAAGAGAAGAGAGAAGAAGAAGATTTGGGGGTTTATATAGGGAAAGGATGGCTCCCCGGGGGTGTGATGATGTGAAAAGACGTTTCGAAAGACGGGTGGAAAGGCAGTTGGAAAGAGAACCGTTTATGTGTACACTCAAGAGAATAGGTCTGTTCACGCGGAAGCAAGAGGTGCCAAAAATGGATACAAAAAGGGAGAGAAATTGGGAAGCTTCAAAGGGAAAGAAAGATTTGATTGTCTGAACTATGGGATTTGCCTACTAAATAGCAAGCAAAACAACTGACATGATGACAGTATCAAAAAGAAAGCACTTGGGCAGCAATAATGGGGAGAGCATACACCCACTACCACTACAGTAGGTACTTTTAAAACACCCCTTGGCTAAACTTGAAGCTAGGGAGATATACTCCGTAGTGATCATCAAATTACTACCCGAGCAAACACGGTAGGTGGGTTGAAGTCTTTATGAAAGTCCGGAATAAATGGAATAAAATCTATTCTTATAAATCAAAACAAACGCCAATCATGCCCAAGCTATCGCTCATCAAGCACGAATCAAACAAGCTATGTACATCAACGTAAATTACAACTCATGAACATTTCGACATTCTCAAAGGCGGCTCTGCTGAGAGTCCTGACCCAGAGGCTTTGTGGAGAAGGAGTTGAAGAACTCATTCAGAGCGTCAACAGTACCGGTGCCCTCAACCAGCTGCACAGTGCAGGCAACGTGACTATCGGGGCGAGTAACAACAACACCACCCTTCTCAACGTCGAAACCAAGCTTCTCGTGGGCAGCGAACTGAGCCTGGGGGACACGGACGTCGGGGATGTCGTCGGCGTAGAGGTGGTGGTGGTAGTCGCGCAGAACCTGGGGGATGGAGTCGACGTCGATGGTGTTCTTGGAGCCGGCGTAGATGACGGAGAGAGTGAAGAGCTTGGAGTGGGGGTTGTGACGCTCGAAGAAGGAGACGTCGGCAATATCGGGTCGGCGGTAGGCGGACAGGAAAGAGCGCTCCTTCTCAAGGTTGGCGGCAAGGTCGGTGATGGCCTTCTTGGTCTTAGTCTGGTTACCGGCGAAGACGAAGATACGGAAGGATCCGTTGGTGGGAACCTCCTGCTCGAGCTCGACAAAGTTCGAGTCTGCGAGACGGGTGACGGTAGTCGGTGTGAAGGCACGACCGGGGGTCAGGTGGACACCGGGGATCTGGAAGAGAGGAGACTTGGCGGCGTGGTTGGGGGACCAAGTGAAGACGTTAGGCTTGTAAGCCACTCCGTATCCACTGGTGAACTCGCAAGAGGACTTGAAGGTCTTGACAAACTCGTCTTCCTCGCCGGCGTTGCCAACGGCGGTGTGGCTGGCAGAGCCAACCTCGCCAGCGTTCGGGCGGCGCTTGGAGAAGAGGGCGGCGTATCTGGCGTCAAAGTCAAGCAGAGTCTCGGCAATGTCCTTGCGCTCGCTCTCGTAGGTGCTGAGGGTAGAGCGGTCGGCGAATCCACTCTCGACGGCGTGGATCTTCCAGGCCATGTTGAGAGCATCGTGGAAAGCAGTGTTCATACCCTGACCAGCCTTGGGCTTTGGGATTGTTAGTATGCAGAATTTGGAGAATGTGGGGAAACTGACGCTGTGAGTGTGGCAAGCATCACCACCCATGAAGACACGCTCATCAAGAGTGTACTTCTCAGCGATACCCTGTCCAATAGGGTAGACAGAGTACCACTCAACGCGGTCCCACTCAATCCAGTATGGCTTCAAGATGTTCTTCGCGGTCTGCTGGACCTCCTCAGCAGTGGCGGTCTTGCGGGGGTTCCAGTCGGCATCGGTGGAGGAAGCGATCTGAACGTAGAGGCGAACCATGTTATCCTCGCGGGGGATAACCATGATGGAGCCAGCGTCGGAGTGGATAGTACACTTGGTCTGTGCGTCAAATTGTTAGATTGCATGTTCAGAATTCGATTTGCCTGGAGAAACTTACCTCGATGTCGGGGAAGTTGGTGCGCACAACACCGTCCATAACACCCCAAACGTAGGCGATGGGGTCCTTGTGGTGAATCTTGATACCGAGCTGCTCGCGAACGAAGCTGCGGGCACCCTCGCCAGAGAAGAGGTACTTGGAGCGCACATTCTCAATGACATTGGTGTCCAGGCACTTCAGGTTGACCTCGACGGGGTATTCAGCGTTGGCACCGTCGTTGTTGAAGCCAACGATGGTCCATGGGCGCTCGACGGTGGTACCCGCCTTCTCAATCTCATCCAAAAAGACGCGCTCGATCTTGCCCTGGTGCACAAGGGTAGTGAAGGGGTAACGGGTATCAATGAAGCGGGGGCAGCTAGGCCAGCTGCCAGTTCGGGCAATGCCAGCTTCGCCCTTGGGGTCCCAGAAAGCGACATCGTACACCTTAGCGGGCTCGTAGGCCATGATGGAGCGCTTGAGACCGAGGTTGCGCAGGATCTCGGTGGATCGCGGCTGAATTCCGTCGGCGCGACCAGTGGCGGTCGGTACGGGACGGTTGTCGATGTGCTTCACCTTGTAGCCCCATCGTGACATGCACAGGGACAGGAGCAGACCGACGGGGCCGGCGCCCACAATGACAATGTCATAGTTCTCTTGAACCATGTTGGCGGCCGAATTCGGATGGTCGGTGGGTATAGTAAGGTAATATGAGGAGGATGAGGATATGTGCGGAGTATTTACTATAATGAAAGGTGGAGGGTATCACAGTATCATCCTATACGGAGAGAAGAAGAGAAAAAAACGAGGGCCATGACTCGCCCTATATACTATTGGCAAACTGGGGTAAGCGGGCAGATTGGGTGTTGGACTGAAGCAACGGAGAACATCCACGGCATTCAGAGTCGGGTAAATCGTGGGGGAGCACCGGTTCGAGGGACTGGGGGTAGCCAATCAGGGCGGGTAGAAAGAGAATTGTGCATGATTTGTCAGGTTCACAAACACAAGCGTCGTGTGGGGACAGTGCTAGGGTGTGGAATGTCATAATGCCGTCGTTGATCCCCGTGTTGGAGGCATGAGGACAAATGGAAACGGTAGTGGCCCACGGTGGTAGTTGGTTGTGAGTGGTGAGAAGCACCTGCGCTACTCCACCCGGAAGTGTTTTCGGTAGGTGGAGTGGAGTCCACGTGATCTCCACCTCGGCAGCCCTGCCCGGGATTTCTCTTCCACTTCCTCCGTTCACACTGCACACGATCATTCTGGATCCGAGAACCCTTTCCCGTCCACATCATTGGTCCTGAGATCTGTTTTGCCGCGCTGCCCGGGTAGTTTAACCTGGTACTTGCAGTGCCGGAAAACCCGATTTCGTGTGCCATGTTCGTGCCTGAGCATCCTTTTGATCTGCCTTGGAATTTGACACTAGTTCCTCGGTCAAGGTAATGGCAATTCAGTCGGCTGAGGTTTTACTTGGGGGTGCTATTCCTACCCAAGTATTGCCCCCTTGTTGACCCGATGAGCTATTGATTTGCTCAATTTCAAATCTAACCTATCTGGACAAGAATCTCACATTCCATGCCCCTGCTTTGATTTCCTGTGTAGCCCAGTTTCGTCTGTAGACGCTCGGACATCAATTGAAATGGACATCGAGGACTTGTGGTTAGGTAGTGGAGAGAAACGAGATGGGTCGCTTAGGGCAACGCAGGCCTCGGGACATGGTTGAACTGCCTCAGAGAGAGCCTTCAAGTGGTTTCCCAGGCTTCAACTCACAGCCGCAGCTCACTACTTTGTACCGGGGTAATAAGGCCAACGACACCAGCGTCAGTAAACTGCTTCCAAGGTTCCCGTGATGGGTAGATCTCCCGAGGTGTCAGCCAACTAGACTACGAGGCAACCCCAAGGAGGATAATCAATCGTCCTCAGGCCGAGATCCCCGTGACCGAGAGCAGAACGCAGCATGAAGCCCCCATCTCAGTCAGAAAGCTGGATCGATAAATAGTTGCAGATATGGGTTTCTCGTCATGGAGTAGTCCCCACATACTACCTACGGTGGCATATTATCCATCCACTAGAGAGCGACCGATAGAAGCTTGCATGATAAGGCTGCCGCTGACTGATATACGTTCTAGACAAGAGGCTCCATTGCCCTTGAGGCTGATGGAATGTTTCAGGCTGCAGTGTATTAAGCTTTCGTGATATATGTATACTAGGGTAGCAGAAGATGGAGAGTTGAAAATCAGTATTCATAGAGATTAAGATGAGAACTCTGAACTCGGAGTAATTTTCTGACATAAAACATAATTAATTCAAGGGATAGAAAGATTGAAAGATAGAAAGATGGCGAGATGGCGAGGTTGGCCAAAAAAGTTGAAGTCAGAACGGCGCTTGCAAATTGCACGTGGGGCGACGTCATGAGGATCACGGGTGTTGGTCACCGCTCTCCTTTTCCAAGGCGTTGATATTCTCAGTGACTGAGACATCTCAGATATTCCAAACACTCCAAACATCTCAGACAATCCCTCTGTTATCTATTTTGGTTTTGGGGGGTTTTACAAAATGCATCGAGCGCCACTCACCAAGATCTAAGTGGAGATCGTTCGAAATCTCATCGCAATGACGGGTCCGATCCACACCTACGGTCCAAGCTGCTTGCTGGTAGATGAGCATGATCGGGCCGATTTTCAAGATTCTTCACCACCAGAGATCCGATCGCAGTTTTTTTACATCTCAGCGTTGCCGATCGATGATCCACTAGCTCCTCTGCCGCCCCCTGCAAACCAGGCAACCGGCGTGGAGAGACTTCCGCCCAAGCCATTCTCAGCCAGGGACAATATTGCCTTGGAAGAAGCTTGGAGCGATCTGAGAGAAAGAAGCAAGACTCGGAACGCAGAGAGCAGCAAACCTACTCCAACTGCATCGAGTCAACCTCACGGGATCGCTGTGCCGGGTCATGACTCGGAATTGAATGTTCGACCGCGTCGCAAGACACCCAGTCGACAAGACCACTCCCTGGTGGAAAGCAGAGGTAGCACTTTGAGTAATCCCTCTTCAGTCCTGGACGAGCTGCCTTCTCGCAGCCACAAGAGCGGCGTCACTTTTACCCCCAGTACTGCTGCCCCAACGCGGGCACAGGAAACCGGCAACGATGAACCTGAAGGCTTCTCATCAGACGATGGGGCAAGGCATGACGACTCTACGGGTATTAGTGTAGACCGAAAAAGAGCCCGTTCTTCATCCATCAACGAGTCCAGCGCAGCCAAGCGAAGGAGCAGCTCATTGTTGGAGGCAGAGCATATCGATGAAGGCGGCGAGATGGGAAGTTTGCAAGAACATCAGTCTCGTGGTGCAAGTATGAGTGGATCTCCATTCATACGAGCTCCGGTATCCCAGTCCCATACGCCTCTTGGTCGATCGTTCGAGTCAACCTCTTCGAGGGAAGGGGGCCAAGAATGGCAGGCTGATGTGCGAGCCAGTGCCCCGAGGAGTGCACCAAAGCCCTCGAACCTGAGAAAAACTCTCAGCCTGGATCAACTAACCCAGGACTCACAACCAGATCGAACAGAAGAGCCAAACACACAGTCAAAAATCCCGGTCGGCGTTTCCCGGCTGCATCTGGTTGAATTGCCAAATCTAAAGGTAAGCGTCAATTCGCTCCCACCCAGTGATGTGTTTTAGTAACCTCGGCCCTCAGATGAAACCAATTTACTGGAGTCCTCTGCAAGACATATCTAACGTTGTCCGAGCTACTTGGTTTTACAAAAATACGATGTTCCCCGTCGAAACGGAGATGGCGAACAGATTGGAAGAGGGATATCTCGAGTTGAAGCCTTGGACCGATACCTGGCAAGATGAATTGAACAGCTGTGTGGATAACGGTGCCGATGCCGAGATGAAGATTGTCCACCCACTGTGGGCCAAACCACCTGCCGCTACCGGTCGACCTACAACCGCGCAAGATGATCCGAGTGGTGATACCGCATTAGGTGACACAGAAGAATCCATCAAGTTTGATAAAAGCCAGGCTGCCGGTGGCACTGCCTTTCAAACCGAGAGTATTAAGCCATATCTGACTTCCAGCGCCATCTACATCAACGCAACTGATGCCCAGGTGCTACGACCCAGCTTACTGCCCTCGGCCTCACGAGGGCGACGACCTCTGGGTGCGATAAGAAAGGGTCGACAGATAGGAACCCCCGTGGTCCGAGGCTTCAGTAGGAAGCTATGGGAGCAAATTCACCCATCCAAGGCCAACCCCATCGATGTTCGCCACTATATCCGCAAGACACAATCAAGAGATTCTGCAGTTCCCGGAGGACAGGTTTGTTATGCCTGCAAGATGGAAGAGTCGCGTCCACCCCCAACAGACCTTGTTCTGGTCATCCATGGGATCGGGCAAAAGCTTTCAGAAAGAATGGAAAGTTTCCATTTCACCCACGCCATCAATGCCTTCAGGCGAGAGGTCAACATGGAGCTGAATAACGAACCTGTGTGGCCACATGTACGCGAGGATCATGGAGGAATCATGGTTCTTCCTGTCAACTGGCGCACCAAGCTATCTCTAGATGACCCAGATGTCGAGTCCGGCATTGAAGATCCAGCCAACAACCACTTCTCTCTTGACGATATCACGCCTCAGACTCTACCAGCTATTCGATCATTGATCAGCGATGTCATGCTTGATATCCCCTACTATCTATCACACCACAAGCCGAAGATGGTCAAGGCCGTCATACGGGAAGCAAATCGTGTGTATCGTCTTTGGTGCAAGAACAACCCAGGATTCCAAGAAAACGGCCGGGTACATCTCATTGCGCATTCACTGGGCAGCGTCATGGCGGTAGATATCCTCAGCCAACAACCAACACACGTTCCTCACTTCAATTTCTCCGACATTCCTTTGCATAGCGACATATTTGAATTCGACACTAGACACCTGTTCCTATGTGGAAGTCCGGCCGGGTTCTTCCTGCTTCTGAACAAGGGTACGACCGCAACCCATCTGGCCATGATCTGAGACTAACAATCTTATAGCTAGCCTGCTCCCTCGGAAAGGCAGAAGCAAGCCAGGAAGCGACGGTGATGATCTCCTCCGGGGTGTCGCCGGGGAAGCCGGACAATACGGCTGTCTTGCCGTGGACAATCTGTACAATATAATGCACACAACCGACCGTATGCGCACCCCCACTAGCAATGCATCCCCTCACTAACCTAAAATGCAATAGCTATCGCCTACCGCGTCAACGCAGCAGTCGACTCCGAACTCTCCAACACCCTCAAGATGGGCACAATCCCCAGTTCAACCTCGACATTCTGGCAATCATTCGGTAGCGTCTTCCGATGGAGCTCCACGCCCTCAACATTCATGGCTTCTGCCCCCACCCGCCCCGCAGCCATCTCCAAGCTGCCATCCAACGTCGAGCTCGAAACTCATGACTTTACCCGTGAGGAAATAGCTGAGAAACGCATGCTTCTCCTGAACGATAATGGGCAAATCGATTACTACCTTTCTGGTGGTGGTGGCCCGCTGAATATCCAATATCTCAACATGTTGAGTGCACACAGCAGTTACTGGACGCTGGGTGATTTCGTGCGCTTTCTTGTTGTTGAGATTGCGAGGAAGCAGGGAAGGGAAGGGACATTGATTGCCTTCAGGGCGGAGAAGAAGAAAGGATGGAAATACTCGAAGGGGTGAGGTTGCATTTTGTCATGATTGGCGTTTTATCTCGGTGCAATTGCTTGTCTAGACTAGAGTACCACATTTGGTTGTAATATTCGACTTCGATAATTTCAGATCTATCAAGACTTATAAAACAGTTGCCCAGGTGATCAATTCGGTGACTACCCAGGTGATGCGAAGTAGGCGATAGACTAGGTAATGGGGCCAGGCTATGAGGCCTCTATGCAATAATCCAGAAGCCCCAGGGCCACAGGTACTTCAAACAGCCAGTATATAATAACCCAGGGGAGCAAAGCTATTAGTCCAAGCCTGCCTGGTCGAGTTGGCCCTGCGCTATGCGTAGAATGCCTGAGTGGACATCGCTAGTCTGCCTGCTAGGAAGCCCCTGGTTCGATTCCGGCAACAGGTCCCCTGGGGAGGCTTGGGTTCTTTTTTCTTCTTTCTTTTTGCTCTACACTTTGAGCCGGAAGGTAACTACGTAGAAGCTAGAAGGAAACTTAACAATCCTCGCAGAGACAAGCCAATAGCGATGAGAAAGTGTAGACGATGCACAGAAGTGAATTCTTTCCAGATATCAACAACACGTTGGCAGATTTGCTAGAAGAAGCACAAGCGAGCCCCCATTTTAAGGCTCGCAACCCTCGAGTTCTGTTCCTAGATATTATATCCTTGCAGGTCCAATGATCGGGGAAAGCAGCAATGGTATATCTTCGGGTGCAAGCTCCTTTTCGGTTATAGGAACAGCCAGCGTCGGAGGTTTTCGATTCAGCGATTTGAACCCGCACCCCTGTCTCATCCGAATAGGTAGATTTGATTTGGGCTGATCTTTCTGTGTCTTCGACTGCGTCAAGCCTTCAGGGTCTCGAGTGTCTGATCCTGTGTTTATCGGCTCAGACGAGCTGGCCGATCCTTTCTCTCTCCCCTGGCAACATTCGTCAGAGTCGAGTTATAGTATTTTACCAGCTCGCTAGCAGTGATAATTCGCTTTCGGCTTTTGATGCGATCTACCACTCTCACCCAGCCGGCTTTCAAATTTCCGTCGAGGCCATACGGCTGAGCTTCGTTGATGAAGTATACCCAGTCCCTCAAAACCTGCTCGGCTTTGTTCTTGTCGATTTCAAACCACTCTTGATGCCTTGTGCTGCATTCCGGATTCATGCACCTTCGCTCGTCCCGCCATTCTTTAATCAGTTCGTGGTGGATCAGGGTTTCGACTCTCTGGGCGTAGCTAGCTTCACTGCTAAACACGAGGTTCGGTTGGTAGCCACAATCCGACCAGTGCTCCAAACGATTTGAAACGGGCCTGGTGGTACAGCCGATTTTCACAAATCCTGGTGAAGAGCTGCGGTCGAAGATATAAACCGACCCAGGAGAGAAGTCCCATTTCTGAAGCGGGTTGATGAGTTTCTGGTAGACGGATTGTTTGGCAGAGGGGGTTTCAACGTGACGGCGAAACTCAGAGCGGGGAGCCTGATATGTTGTTTGCCCAGAACTGTTCATTTGGGGATTGCGCAGCTCTGAATCCAATGGATTTCCAATGCTATTGGGGGCAAGTTCTCCGATACCTTTGGAGCTTGATACGGGTGTGTGTGCGCCATCAGTTATGGAATATGCCTCCGTTGCAGCAGACGATGTTGCAGAGTAAGAAACGTTGCAGCTGATAGTAGACCGGTCATCGCTCAGGTCAGGGTTGGGGGTTGCTGGACTACCACAAGCACGTTCGCGGACTTTTTCCCGTTGTGAACTTCCGGCAGGCTTTTCAGTGCTCAAGCGAAGAAATGTTTGTTCCTGAATTTCAACTAGCCACCGCTCGGCGAGTGGATTCAAGAGCTCCAAATCTTTGATGGAAAAATGGTGTTTGTACGTAGTGCAGCAAATATACTGGATGTATTCTTCCAGAAAATTGATGCACACGGTTCTCGAGGACGATTCCATGATTTTGCGGTGCAACTTGTGTGCATGTTCACTGCATTCCCGGCGACAATACCTTGTACACCTTGTACCTTGTTTTGTGATGTAGATGCAGCGTGTTGGCCCCGAGGTTTGGAGATCATTGAACGATATAAAGGCAGAGACTTTAGGCACAAGAGACATTCTGCCGTGTTGGAGACACAGAAGGCAGCGGAGATGCTCCAAGAAATGTATTCTTCAAAGTATAGAAGTAAGAATGAACTAACTTGCAGTTTCAGAGCGTATTCAGGGCCTTGCGTGAGTCAGAGAGGGGTTTAGAGGTCATCATTACCCTCATCCATGGACGTTAATTGTGTGTATTATACTGCTGGGCTGTGCCATCGTGTCAACCTATGGCTGTGCTCATGGTCATTCCGTCATCCACTCATTCTGGTTGGCAAATGATACACAATATTATCTACAAATCAATGAAGTTCCAACCCAACAGCAACTCTCATCGGGATCTAAAAAGAGTCTAGTCCGAACCATGTACATTGCCCATCATCAGAGCCTCAACAATTTCCCCACGACTAGCCACTCCACTCCCAGGCCGCAGCACCAACAGTGCATTAGCCTTGGCAAGGCTCCCCACCTTAGACGACCTCTGCCCAGCACCCTCAACCCCCGTACTAGTCGCATACAACCGGCCATCCGAGCGCGAACCCGTAATTACAGCACGATGGTATTCCGTACGCTTAGAATCAAGCGGGAAATCATGAGTCAAGACAACAGCCACAAGCGGCAACCCAAGCTGTGGCGCAAGCCACGGTTTCGAAGCCAGCGCTTGCGAACTGTGTCCCAGGCCGGTAAGTTTGTGTAGAGAAGGCAGAACAAACAAGTTCAAGGTTACCAAGGCCGAAGCTGGATTTCCAGGGAGGGAGAAGATGAGTTTTGATTGGCGTTCTTGCTGGGTGTTATCGCCAGTTGGTTTGAAGGGGATTGTTGCGAATGTTGTTGGTTTGCCTGGTTTCATGGAGACGCGTCCGAAGTGGATTGTTCCGCCGAGGGATCGCTCGATTGTCGGTTTCAAGAGGTCCAGTTCACCCATTGATACCCCGCCCGTGGTTATTATTACGTCGACGCTGGTTGAGGCCCGGCCAACTCCACGGAGGGAGTCGCGGAGGGCATGTTCGAGTTCGCTGGCGGGTGTGTCGCGTGCGATGCCCAGATCAATGGTTTCAAAGCCCCAGGACTTCAGGCAGGAGATGAGGGATGGGCGGTTGGAGTCGCGGATCTGGCCGCCCGTTAGGGCTCGGGGGTCGTTGTGCTCTACGAGTTCGTCACCAGTGCTCAGAACGCCTACCCGTGGCTTGCGGAAGACCTTGACGGTCTTGGTGCCAGTTGAAGCTAGAAGTCCGATCTCTCCGCCGACGGGTGTGATCAGGTCACCGCGAGCAAGGATCTTGGAGCCCAGGGAGACATCGCTGCCTGGCTCGCGAACGTTCTCGCCGGGCTCGATGTCATCGGTGAGGATCTCGATTGTCGCCTCCTCTTTCCCGTCAGGCGTGCAGGAGGCCAGGGTCGTGTCTTCAACCATGACCACGGCATTTGCGTTTGGGGGAAGAGGGGCCCCAGTGGTGATTCTGGCGATGGTGCCGGGCTGCAATGGCTCCAGATTGCCGCCGACGTTGGCGTGAGTAATGGATGCCACGGGGAAGATACCCTTAGTGGACTGTCCGGTTGATTTTGTGTCCGGTGCGATAACTGCGTAGCCATCCACGATACTAGCCCGATATGCGGGCACAGATTCAGCCGCGTAGATGTCTTCGGCAACGACCGAGCCTATCAAGGAGGTGGTTACTGGAACTTCAACCACTTCTGGGTCGGGGGTTTGCTCGTTTATTCGCTGAAGAGCTTCCTCAACAGAGAGCATCGGATAGGGTGAAGAGCGATAGCGCCGATTAGGACCTGCGCTCGGGTCGTTGGACTGCGGTCTGTCCGATGGCGCTGTATGTGCTTTGGGAATCTTGTGACCATGTCCATGTCCATGATCATGGTGATGGTGGTGGTGATGATGATTGTGTTGGTGTTGGTTCTGTTTTTTTTCACCAACACCAGCCTCCGATTCTAGCTTCTTCACACCTCCAGCATGGAGACTCCGTGAATTAGCACCAGCAGTCTGTACACAGGCATGAGGCAGAAGCTTCACGACTGCATCAAGATTTTCAGTTGCTCCTTTAGGTGATCCGGGCAATGTGATAATCAAAGACTTATCACGAACACCAGCAACGGGCCTAGCCATCATGGCAACTATAGGAATTAGCAAAGTAAATAGTCTCAACGCAACACCTGGTGAGGCGATTCTGATGCCACTTACAGGGTGTCACCTTCAGGGAAGCAGAAATCATTCCATGTCTTGAATAATCGGTTAGCTCGCCCATATCGATATAGCAAAAAAAAGGAAATCAACCTACATCAAACCCGGCGCATGGCGATGGATCAGGGGAGACACTGCCTAGTGATGTCATCAGCATTGGACAATTAGCCAGAGACAGAATCACAAACCTCAGGAGTATTGTCCTTGACCGCGAAGCCTGTTCCACCGCTGAGTAGAATGAGATTATACCAGTTAGGGCCATCAGCCCAATCGCAGACGGCTTGTTGGATCTTCAATACATTGTCGGGGACGATCTTGAATGCGGGGGGTTCCCACTTCCCCTCCGCGGCCAGAATGGGCCTCAATGCATCTACAACCTTGTCGGATGCAGGGTCTTCTGAGGCTGTATCTGAAACAATCAGAATGGCGGCTTTTAGTTTGGAGTCCATGATGTGCAGTCTTGGGAAGTGTTGGTGGGGAAGCACGGTCTTTTTAAGTGGACAAGCATCGGACTATCGCCAATCTCCGACTATCTACTCCCTACACATAACGGGTGAGCCGCGGAGATTGGAGGGTCTTGGTTTTTATGTGTCAATTGCTAATAAAAATAGTCCTTTCTATCAATTTTACAATATCCGATCATACCCACACGTGGAGTCAGATCGTTAGTTTCAGGTTCTGATTTCAAGTACCCGCATGCTGCCATGAACCCTCCATTGCCCTCGGCAACTACTCAAACACGACTGAAAGAAGGTCAACAGGCTGAGATGGAACAGGCTGAGATGGGATCATATACAATCTCGTTTGAACTATCGGAGCGAGATTGTTCGAGTCGGCTAGGGCACCCACACAAGTGCTTGGCAGATACAAAACTCATAGATTTCTACATTTGATTCACAACATTCCTAATATAACAGGCAAAAGCTCAAGAGTGCGGCCTATAATTCAATACATATGATCATCAAGATCATGAATGCAATTTAGCAAAACCAAGCGGTTCTACATGGTCGAATCCGGACGCCCCAATGCGGTGTATAACAAAACATGAACATGAACTGGGAGAGAGGAAACAAAGAGGCGAATCGACTCTGCGCGGGACATATGTGAAGAGCCCCGGGAGCTGTTTGCCGCGCGGATATGGAGCTCTTCTCTGAGTTGGATCGGCTCAACTTCAGGCTGCCTCCAGAGTCGCTGCCTTCTGGGCGACGAGAAGACCAACAATCAGACCGAACAGACCGAGAACGGAGCTGAAAATCTCAACGACGAGAATCTTGACGAACCTGCAAAACAGTGTTAGCCCAAGGGTTGCACGATGCATGTCGGGGATAACCTACAAGCTAGGATCGGCAGCATCAGCCAAGGCGGCTCCACTTCCGTTCACACCCACGGAGATACCGCAGATGAGATTGCAGACTCCGACCGTGATACCTCCCCAGAAGACCGCGTATCCGGTGTAGTAGTTGCTAGAAGTGTGGATTGCGCCTTCGGGCACTTGGCTGAGCTTGGAGGAGAAGACGATGGCCATGATGACACCGTAGATAGCCACGACTTCACAGAAGATAATAGAGATCAAGTTCTTGGTTCGGATTCGGGGAGCGCGAACACCACCTCCGACGATCGATGATCCGGTAAGGAAGATACCCCTAAACAAGATGCGATCAGTATCGCGAGATGCATTCGTGTGGTTCATGTCCAACTTACCATGCTGCGCCAACAACCGAGCAGCCGATACAGACAGCAATTCCAATATTCGCCCAGGCGTAAGGAGAAACTTCCTCCAGGAAACGGCCGAACTAGCACATCGCGGGTTAGCAACTTGTGGTGTGGGGTGGTACAATGTGACAGGTTGCATACATTGAAAGCTTCACCCTCGCCGTGGAAGAGCATATCTAGAAACCAGACCCTCTCGTTAGCTGCCAGATCGCACCTGGATCCTGCGGGAACGTACACAATCCCACCACGATGAGAGCGGCGGTGGAGACACCGGCCGGGTAGAGGTAAGCCATGGCGACCTCAGATAACCTGATGACGAAAGAATGAAATGGCCAGGATCGTGAAAAACGCAGCCGATAAGATGAAGCTCAGGATGGAAGTGATGGGGGGACTCGGTGGTCGGACCGGATTAACTGCTCCGCTTGGGCGGTGACAACGCGATGTGCTTCCCCGGACGCATTGCTCCATCGTTCTCCCTGCTGGATAGTTTTTTTGAAAGGAGAGACACTTGTCAAGGTTCTTATATTGGTTTTGCAGCAGTTCAATCTCGTCACGCCATATACGACCTCCGATAACCCGCGACCGTCTACTACCCCTGACTTTCACCGAACCACTATCTCCGTCACAATGGCCGCCTCCGGGGTTGGGTCATACTCGAACCCCTTGAAGAAATTCAAGTGAGTGCTCAACGTGCGCAGATTAGCTGTGGTATTGCATTGCTAATCTAGCTGTCTAGGCTGGTGTTTCTTGGCGAGCAGAGTGGTCAGTAATCCCAAGTCCAAACTTCAGCCACATGCGCTTTGGGCCATGAGATGCATTGAAATGCCAGAATCTAATATGAATTCCAGTCGGTAAAACATCATTGATCACCCGCTTCATGTACGACTCCTTCGACAACACATATCAAGCCACTATCGGTATCGACTTTTTGTCCAAGGTGCGCCACATCGTACCCCGCATAGGGAGCTCGGTCAATTTGACTGTGTTTCCTGGTATACTCTCTGCTCTAAGAATGACAGCTAATTATTGTTGTTAGACTATGTACCTTGAGGATCGAACAGTCCGTCTTCAACTTTGGGATACCGCCGGCCAGGAGCGCTTCCGTTCACTGATTCCTTCCTACATCCGAGACTCGAGCGTCGCGGTCGTGGTTTACGATATTTCGAATGCCAAATCCTTCCAAAACACCCGAAAATGGATTGATGACGTGCGCGGGGAGCGTGGAAGCGATGTCATCATTGTACTTGTCGGCAACAAGACCGATTTGAACGACAAGCGCGAAGTCACCACAGCGCAGGGTGAAGAAGAGGCGAAGAAGAACGGATTGATGTTTATTGAGACCAGTGCAAAGGTCGGGCATAATGTGAAGCAGCTCTTCCGGAGAATTGCTCAGGCTTTACCAGGCATGGAAGGCGAAGCCAAGCAGGGAGAGAGCACGAGTACGTTTACAATGACTTTCTGCGTCACTCCGCATACTAATCATCTCTTTAGTGATTGACGTCAATATCAACCCCAAGGAGACTACCAACAACGACGGCTGCGCCTGTTGATTGCACCCATCCCTCGTCCTTATGTGCCCAAACTTGATCACGAAAATCGAACCTGTCCATGATATTCTACCATTTTCGAATATGTACATGTCTTCTTTCCTTTGCTTGCTCTTGAGTCGATAGCGCGTGTGTCTAGATTTTTCAGTACCGACTGCGGTCGTGTCCAATCTCTTTGCTGAGTTCCTGGCGGGAGACAAGGTGTTTTGAGTTTCTCTTACCCAGCATCATATCTCTTTCTTGTTGCAGTTGGCTTTTATTCGCTTGATTTCCTTTGGGAGGTCGTCTGTTCGCCGACAGGGCACCATGCTAACATATTTGATACGCTTACACAATGAAGCTGTATAGCACAGCACATCTGTCCTTAAATACGCGCACATAAAATACCACTGAATAATACTCACCCAACTCCAAGGTTATCACTTTCAAACAGAATCATAGACAGTTGGTTGGTTTGTTGCTCCCAAGATTTGACTGGAAGGGAGCGTCGGTTTCAGCCTTCCAAGGTTGGAGGTACACCGATATGTACTCCGGATACTGTTGAGAATAGCATGCTTCAAATGCAATGGCCAAGCAGGTAGTTCAACCAATCAAATCGATAGCCGGGGTCACTGCGCTTCACTTCTGCTTTCTTCAACGTGGACTCCGTGCAGATAAGTTGCTCCTATCCCCCGCACGGGGCCTGTCTTCTCTATTACCCCTTCTCCATCCCACGTCAACTTTCAACCATGGATGTCAAACGCCAATTTCCTGGTGTCCATTGGATCTGGGGAGGAGGCATCTCTTTTGTTTACGAAGTCCATCCTCGCATTGTGGTCAAAGTTCCCAAGTCCGGGGAATTCGAGAGAGAACAATTCCAAAAAGAGATTGAGATATATCGAATTTTCTCGCAAAATCCGCCTTGCCCCTCTATCGTGCAGTGTTTTCTCTTTTCCAGCAGTGGCATCTTCCTAGAGTATATGAGAGGTATGACCTCTATTGGTATTAACTTTGGAAGAGGCTATATCCTAGAGTTGAGAGGTTGTCTACTGATTTTGAACTTTCTACCCCTAGATATGTCGTTTTGTCCTAGGATACAAGATAATCATATCCGGGACGAGCATACTATGGTAGTTACTTCAGTAGCCAAGTTGGAACCTTTGTCTCTACGGAAAGAATGGATGAACGATCTCGCTCAAGCCGTTGCTTTCTTGGAATCCGTCGATCTTGCCCACGGTGATCTACGACCCGAGAATGTTCTACTTGATCGCAACCGACTCAAGCTATCGGACTTTGATTGTACGGCGAAAGTTGGCACGAATTACGAAGCTTGCATGGCTCCGTATGGCCGAATACTCAATAAGAATGAGCCAGATCAAGGGGAATGTGGTACTTTTGGCTTTCTTGGCCCTCGAACAGAACAATTTTCTCTCGGTTCCTTGTTCTATTTTATGAACTACGGCTTTGAAGTTTATGGGGATCGCTGTCTCACCGAGGATCCTTACGACCATGGTCCAAAGGTCGTGGACCTACTGCAGAACTTGGAGTTTCCAGAATTGAATGGCAATCCCGTGATTGATAATATCATCAACAAATGCTGGCACAACAAATATGTCACAGTCTCAGAATTAGCCGCGTGCACGAAAACACTTTTGAACGAAAGAACCGACGCGGTGGAAAGTAACGAAAACGGGAAGCAGGAAGTTCATGGCACAGATCAGAATTGCGTGGAAGAAGCATCTTTCTCGGAGAGGGAATTTTGTCAAGACCTGGAACGACGTGGTCTTCTTCAAACGCTTTCTTCAGGCGAACCTGACAAAATTGGTTTCACATTTGATTGGTACAGGCACAGTCTAAGGCTGAGCTATCATATAAGCTTCACTACTCTGATATTCATGCATATCTTGGACTGCGTTCAAACAAATCTATCTACAATCTGTACTTTCTCAAACACGGTTTATTCGACCAATGACAACATATTTTATTGCACGAATCAGGTTCCATAGACATCTCATCGCTCTTTCCACTATCCCCAATCCCTAATTCTCTGTTCACGGCTTAGCCAAGACTTCCTTTTCTCGATCATTTATGATGACTTGACAATTAGTCGGAACCTTGGATGGACAGCCAGAAAGACAGTTAGAAAGACGGTTAGAAAGAGATCCCGAAGTTGATGATAGCTCTCTTCCTTTACTAATCGAAATATGAGATTAAGCTAATACATAACTACACCTGTTTATAACCCTATCATCGTCTTTTTGGCCGCACTGAGACCTGTATTATGATACTTTCTGGACTTGCATCCATGGATGTATCTAGAAGCAGTGAACTGGCTTCGGAACCTTAAAGACAAAATTGCATCAGAAGACAAATCCTCGAACATCTGTTTCATGTTCCAGATTCCATACTCTTGCTATCAGCGAGCCAATCTTGTTTACATCGGTGATACCGCCATACTTGGCCAACGCATGGGTCTTAGCTTCGATCTCGGATCTAGGAATTGAAGGATTAGCACCGCAGAGAACACTGGCGTAAGGGTAAAACCATACCGAGTCAAGGGAAGTTCAGGGTCCCCTTTTGCAAATTCCACCGATTCCGTGAAAGTCTTTCCAGACTTGCATGTAACAATAACAGTCCCTTGCCACTTCTCCGGGAATTGAGCATCGATTTCCGCATTATATTCCATTGTCACACGTTTTTGGAAATCGCGCAATGACTGATCACTCAGATCCTCTTCCATGAAGTCCGTGATCATAGCCTGGCCCTTCTTCGCTGCGATAGCAAGGACGAATCCCATTGAGAATTTACTCTGGTGTACAGTCTCCCCCTCACCACTCAAACTAAGCACGTTGATAGCAGCCTGATAAGTAGGCACCAGCACTGAGTCAATGTCATCAAAAGCGACGTCGTGTTTCGCCATAAGGCTGAGAAGTGCGTCCACGCTCGGGTGGGTGTGTCGACATGAAGCATGCCACTTGAAGCTCGATCGAACAACTGCATAATCTGAGCCGAGATTCTGGTCAATTGCCGTCGGGTTTGTTTCTCCCGGGACAAGGACTGCGCCCATTGCACGCGGTCCTTCTAGGATATCGCGCGGTCCCAGAAGACCGTCACGGGCACTGTAGGCGGCAAATATGCCATCAAAACAGGCCTTTGCGGTGTGTACTTGTTTGGAATGGGTTGCGTCCATGAGGAATTGCCAGAGACCTGCGGCTTGAGTTCCAGCTGTCCCTACTGCTGACAGTGTTTGGCTTGCGTTTAGTTTGAGGAGATGAGACACCGCAGCTGCAACGCCGATGACTCCTCCTGTAGCAGTGCTGTGGAATTTCTGTAGTATATGTTAGCCGCCAGGACACGAGGGAGGCGATTAGGGTGACATGAAAGCATACACACCTCATAGTGACTCTTTCCCAGATACTCGCCAACGCGGCAACCGACTTCATAGCCGACCACACAGGCTGCAATGAACTCTTCTCCGCTGGCATCCAGGTCTTGAGCTACTGCAAGTGCAGCGGGGAAGATCACAGTAGCCTGGATACTATCAGCGGCAAGGTCTTGAATAAAACACAAAGAGCCTTGGAGTGAAATGAGGGGTGCATTTGTGGAACTTACCGGATGCATGATACTTCGATTATGAAGATCATCTTGTTCGACCACATGGGATGCCGCAGCATTAATCAAGCTAGCAAATGCTGGACTAGTCGTGAGATTTTGAGAACTATCAATCAGCTCACTCTTTCCGCTTGACGGTCCCATTTGTGCTGCGAACCGCACCATGGCAGAGACAGCGGGGTGATCTCGACCTGCTATGGCACACCCAAGGGTATCCAGGAAGAAGTCTTTGGTGCGCTGAACCACATTATCTGGGATGTCGCTGTACTTCAGATCCACGGCCCATTTTACGAGGCGTTCGGTTCTTGTTTCTTCGATTGCTGGTGTTGCCATTGTTAGGTTTGTGATCAACTGAATATATTGTGACAGGTTCGATAAATATTTGAACGATCTCGATACCCACGTTCTTTATATGCGGGGAAATTGCGGCTAAGGTATATCGGTTGTTTAGCTGTGCCGAGTTCAAACCGCTCAAGATTGCCGAATTCATAATTCCAAGCAACAGAGGGGGCATGTCATGGCATCGAATATGAGAGTAAACCTCTGTGAAAGAAAACAATTCGTTAAATATTATGTTTTGATGTGCAGGAGTAGTGGTGATGATTGTGAATAATCATTGCTGCAACACTCTGTGATATAGATCTATGCCACGGACTGTAGAGAGCATATAGCCGATTTGTGCAGTTAGTTCCTTCCCAAAGTTGGACTGGATAATCTTGGAAGGTGCATAAATCCTTACGTCATGGCATTCATAAATGCCTTGGATCTCAGGCAGCAATAGGGGTTCTTTGAGGCTTCCATATTTTGATGTAAGGGGTTGCCACTTGAGATCTGTACTTTTCCAATCTTCACCGATTGTGTCAGGTTATTCGACCAGATTCTCTTTGATTTCCTACTCCCTTCATCTCAAGAGTAGAGCATACGAGTACGAGTAACTTGTAGAAGCAAAAGATTAATGCAGCCGAGAGCGGAATCGGAAATTGATCTGCGGGCGGATCACCCGGAAAATGGCGCCCCTGGAGCATCTGCGGTCCCATACACCCAGCCTTTTCACTCTTCCCAGGCCTTCGTATATATTCAAAGTTCCATCTATTTTCATCTCAGCACATTCTTGAGAGTCCTCACGATGGGGTTGTCGTCTCGATTTCTCCGCATTCCGCGGCCAGAGGTGAGTTTGCGTCGCTTCCGTCGCCCGGACGAGACTAACCAATAAGTCTTTTCTCTATGTGATGAGCTTAGAGACCGGTGCCTCCCTGATCACCCTGTCGCTCCTCTTGAACAAAATCAGTGGCTTCTATGGCCTACTCGCACTCTTCACCGGATATCACCTATCGCCCGTCCAACTGTCTATGTATCTGTGGTCCCTGATCGCCCTGGGACTCGCCGTCGCACTATTCCCTCACATCCGCAAGCAAACACCGCTACAATGCCTTGCGCTCGCCTACCTCTACGTCTTTGATAGTCTGATCAACGCCGCATACACGGCCGCCTTTGGAGTGACTTGGTTCTTAGTGGTGTCGCAGCATTACGACAGTGGCAAGGCAGTCGGTCCAGGAGGCGACACCATCGCGCAGACCGCTGGTTTCACCAACCCCAAGTACGACGCCGCATACGTCGAAATCCAGAACACCAAGGATGGCAACAACTTCATCGCTCATCCCCCGCGCTCCGACGATCTCAGCAACGTCGTTCTCCAACCCGAGAGCCTCCAGAGCATCATCTTCATCTGCCTTCTGTGGGCGATCCGTGTATACTTTGTGCTCATCATGCTGGCTTTCGCGCGCCAGGCCTTGCGCCTTTGGGTCGCAATTCCCCGCCACACTCAGCTCCCCACGCACAGCCGCAACGTCTCGGTCGCCAGTGTTGCCGACATCGACCGAGAGCCTTTCTCCCCTTACAGCCCCGATGGACAAGGCTGGGAAGGCAAGATCGGTCGGATCATGATTGGCATTGGTCACAGTTACTGGTTGGGTGAAGAGGAGGACGGCAACTGGCTCAGCGGTATCAACCACAAGTTCCGAAACCGTTCAAACAACACGGAGCTGCCCGGTGCGCTGGAGCGCGAGAGAAGACGTCGCTCTGGCACAGGTCCTCCCCAACCTTCGCCTTCAATCGTTCGCCCAAGTGTTCTTCACCAGCCAATTCCGGAGCACGGTACGAACGTCAAGATGCAAGATTGGACCGCGCCTCGATAAATGATCATCTCGACCATTTGGCCGGCAACCATTTACTGTCGGTCGTATTCCTGTATAACACTCCCCTTTTGGACTTGATCTCTCAATGCCTCCAATCCCCCAATACCCCCCTGGCTGCGCGCACCGTCTGCGACCCACGACGCCCTTCGCTCAGCCAGGTGACACAATCCTGACGGCTCTTGTGTCTGTCCTATCGTTTCATGAGACCCTTGAATCGAACGTGATCTCCTGGTTTCAATCGAGACCCAACCAGTATGAAGTTCGAGCCCACCGCTCGGCTATGACAATAAACCAGCATATATGAATTTGGTACGGGTCCAGGAATTTGTCGGTTGCATATTGGTGTTTCGGCATTCGGTCCGCCCGTTTGGGTCTGGAGGACGCTCTTCAATTCTTCACGGAGTTGGAACCTTTTAATGCTTGGAAGGGGCGTTTTTGACTGACTGTTGACGGCTCTGATCTCCATCTACCATCTTTGTTTTGGCGTCTGGACATTGGTTATGTACATTGCTTATTTGCTGTGGGGGTTTTGCTTCCTCCCCCGGGGTTTTTATGTCTTGTTTCTGTACACAATTTCTTTTGGATACACTTACATATCATGTTCCAAGTTCTTGAATCATAATTACTGGATTTTTTGTTTCCTTGAAAGATAACCGAGGCGTTTGCAAATGCAGCCCTGGAGATTTCCAAGGTTGTGCACAAGTTCATTATATTGGAGAAGTTTAATAGTAGAATAATACCGTGAGGGGAAGATTGAACTCTCGGCCGAATTGCTCAGACCCCAAATACACTGCAGATACATTGCGCTGATTGGGTTTGAGATATCTGGACTGTTCAGATATTTAGGGCATGGGTGTTTCCACATATCTCGGCATTTGACCGGTAATCTTATTTGAGAAGGGGACAGTCTCCTAAGTCGGAGGGGTAAACTTGCCTTGAGTAGGAAAAAAAAAAGCAAATTGGGACATCGGTAATTGCCGTAGTGCTATTGGTAGCACACTAAGGGAGATTAAAGCGAAGTATAAAAAAAGAAGAAATGCATGTCACCAAGCAGCCAACCGCCAACATGGAGTTTGAATATGGCGTTATAGCAGAAAAGCAAATCCCTAACGGGATTCGAACGGGATTCCAGCTCTATCTCCCCCAAAACAGGCCTGAGAGAGTGAGGATGGTCACGGAACGGTCGCCGATGAGCCATGCAGGTACAGACAAACAGGTGCAAACAGTAGCAAATCCCGACGCTGACGTGCTCGAGGAGATCACGGGATTCCCCGCACTGGACCCAAAGCGGTAAGTTTGCACTCGTTGCAGCGGCTGTTTGCACTGATGTCGTGATCGAACACCAATCAGCGGACTGCTGATCTAACCCCGACGACGGAGAATTGAGTCGATGCTCAGAAAAAAACCACGGGCCGATTCCTCTCTTCTTGTTGATAGTCATAAAAAGATTGAGAGAGCTTAGATCCTCCTCATTCTTCCACCTGTTCTTCGTTTCGGTGGTTCTGTGCTGCGACTGGGAGATCGCTGCATACTGATAAGCCATATCGCGGTTTTAATCATCCCACTTGTGCTGTGACTCGAACAGCCCACCATTGCAATGGCTTCTATCTCGACCGCGGCCGAGGCGGGTAAGTCATGGTCTCTCCTTCGGATCCTTCTGGGGGTTGAACGAGAAAAATCAAAGGAGGAAACCATTGCTAATCACTATATCATTCTATAGTGGCGAGAGTCGCCTACCTCACCAGTGATGTCGTTGTTTCCGTCCAGCCCTCGCTGCAGAATGATTCTCTGTTCTCCAAGTCACTCAAGGCTTTGAAGGCCAACAAGACAAGCAACTTGTCATCAAAAAGCACTGAAGTGAGTTGGGACGAAAGAGCCGCGAAATCGGAGCTCAACTAACAGTATCCACCAGGTTCAAACTGTGCGCTACAACGAGGACCCCCTCCTGTCTGCTTTCACTCCTATCCAAAATGGCGAGACTATCTCCGTGGTGACAAGCTCCTCCGTCTTGATCACTGCCGTCCCTCACCTTTACCGTCTCGCCAACAGCCCTGTGGTCGTCCACGTCGCCCTGGAGGCTTCTCCATTCCCCGATTACTCAGTGATTAGCTCCATCAGGCAATCTGGCTTCACCTTCCTGCACTCCGAGACTGTCCAGGAAGCCCAGGATATCGCCATCACAGCCCACGCACTTGCCCGCAAGTCCGGCAAGGGTGTTATTCACTTCTTCGACCCTGCCAACTCCGCCAAGGACCCCTCCATTGATGTCGAGGACGTCGAGGTCGTGAAGAAGGTCTTCCAGATTGGCGGAAATGTTGCTACCTCCGCCGGTGTCCAGAACCTGTACGCTGGTTCCGGTCTCACCTCCACCATTACCGAAGAGACCGAAGGCTCCGCACCTTCCGGCCAAACAAACGACTTGAACGTGCCTTCTCAACCCCAGACCCCCCTTTAATGCCAGCCTGGAGAACTCTTCCGTTGGCTCCTCCCGCCGGGACAGCAGTGCTGGCAGCGATACCCCTAGCTCCAACGCCACCACTGTGGAAGGCTCCAGCGTTCGCCCCGTTAACGCCGCTGATATCTTCGAGTGGACTGCTCAGATCTGGAACACTTTGTTCCAGGAGGTGGGCCGCAGATACAACGCCATTGAGTACACTGGTGCTACCGATGCCAAGTCTGCCATTTTCGTCTTTGGCTCCACCGGAGTCTTTGTCGACGCTCTCGCCAACGGTGCTAACGCAGAGCTTGGAAACATCGGTCTGATCACTGCCCGTCTCTACCGCCCTTGGGTTGGTGGCCAGATCTCCAACTCCATCCCTAGCTCCGTGGAAAAGATCGCCGTTCTCGAGCAGGTTCGCAAGACCACCAAGTGGGGTCCTTCATTCATGGATCTGCTGTCCAGCTTGACCCCCACTGGTCCCCAGGGCAAGGGTCCTCAGATTGTTGGATACCGTCTCGGATTTGTCGAGCCTTCCACTGCTGTCCAGGCTCTGCGCGGAGTTCTGCAGAACTTGACCTCCGCCTCTCCCATCCAGAACCTTGAGATCGGAAGCTCCCAGGTTCCCACCGTTCAGAACGCTCTTGAGCAGCCCCGCATTGAGAACGCCTACTTGAAGATCCTTAACCAGCTCTTCGGTGAGCGTCTGCACATTGCCAACCAGCTCGGTGCCCAGAATGCCGGCATTTCCAGCACTATCGCTGCCAGCCCCGAGTATGGATTCGGTTCTTTGTTGGCTCGCCAGGAGCACCGTGTGCGCTTCATTCGCGAGGTCGAGGAGGCCGCCAAGTCCACCACCTTTGCCACTGACGTTCCCAAGACCTGGTTGTCTCGTTGGGCCCTCAATGTCAAGGAGGCCGCCAAGGCTAACAAGATTGCTCCTGAAGTTATCTCTCGCCTTTCCAACGATGGGTCTGCTCTCTCTCGCCAGCTCCTCCAGTCCAAGAAGCTCTTCTACGAAGAGTCTGAGTGGCTTGTCGGCTCCGATGCTTGGGCTTACGATCTGGGCAACTCTGGTGTTCACCACGTTCTCGCCTCTGGTGCTAACGTGAACATGCTGATCATCGACTCTCAACCTTTCTCCGAGCGTGCTGCCGCTGACGCCACCCGCCGCAAGAAGGATATCGGTCTTTACGCCATGAACCGCGGCAACGCCTATGTCGCTTCCGTCGCTGTCTACAGCTCGTACACTCAGGTCCTCCAGGCCATGTCTGAGGCCCAGCAGTTCAAGGGTCCTTCCGTTGTTGTTGCCTACCTGCCCTACAACCAGGAGAACGACTCTGCTCTCACTGTTCTCCAGGAAACCAAGAAGGCTATCGATCTCGGCTACTGGCCCTTGTACCGCTGGAACCCAGAGAACGAGGCCAAGGGTGAACCCAAGTTCATTCTCGACTCCGAGCGTGTCAAGCGCGATCTCGAGGAGTTCCTTCGCCGCGATAACCAACTCACCCAGCTGATGAACCGCCACCCCAAGTACGCTCCTGTGCTTTCTGAGTCTTACGGTACCGAGGTTCGCGCTGTCCAGAAGCGCACCGCCAAGGACTCTTACGAGAAGCTCCTGGATGGTCTGTTTGGTGCTCCCCTGACTATTCTCTTCGCCTCCGATGGTGGTAACGCCCAGAACCTTGCTAAGCGTCTTGGCAACCGTGGTCGTGCCCGAGGCTTGAAGACCATGGTCTTCGCCATGGACGAGTTCCCTCTTGAGGATATCCCCACTGAGGAGAACGTTCTCTTCATCACCAGTACTGCTGGTCAGGGTGAGTTCCCTGTCAACGGACGTGGTCTTTGGGAGCACGTCAAGAACTCTGGCGATCTTGATCTGTCAACTATCAACTACTCCGTCTTCGGTCTTGGTGATGCCCACTACTGGCCCCGCAAGGAAGACAAGATCTACTACAACAAGCCCGCCAAGGACCTCGATGACCGTGTTGCCTTCCTGGGTGGTCGCAAGTTGACCGATATTGGTCTCGGTGATGACCAGGACCCCGATGCCTACCAGACCGGTTACTCCGAGTGGGAGCCCCGCCTGTGGAAGGCTCTGGGTGTTGACAAGGTTGAGGGTCTGCCCGAAGAGCCTGCCCCAATCACCAACGAGGACATTAAGACCGGCTCCAACTTCCTTCGCGGAACCATTGCTGAGGCTCTCCTCGATGAGAGCACTGGCGCTATCCCCGCCAGTGACCAACAGCTCACCAAGTTCCACGGTACCTACATGCAGGATGACCGTGATCTCCGTGATGAGCGCAAGGCCCAGGGTCTTGAGCCTGCTTACAGCTTCATGATCCGTTGCCGTCTTGCTGGTGGTATCGCCACCCCCAAGCAGTGGCTGCAGATGGACGCTATCAGTAGCTCTCACGGTAACGAGACCATGAAGCTCACCACCCGTCAGACCTTCCAGTTCCACGGTGTGATCAAGCGCAACCTCAAGGGTGCCATGCGCGCCATCAACGCCTCCATGATGGATACCCTCGCCGCCTGTGGTGATGTGAACCGTAACGTCATGTGTAGCTCTCTCCCCGAGCTCTCCGCTTTCCACCGTGAGACTTGGGCTCTCTCTGCCAAGATCTCCACCCACCTTCTGCCTCAAACTAATGCCTACCACGAGATCTGGCTGAAGGATGATGACGACAAGAAGGTCCAGGTTGCTGGTGACGCCATCGTTGACCACGAGCCTATGTACGGTCCCACCTACCTTCCCCGCAAGTTCAAGATCACCATTGCCATTCCTCCTCACAACGACACCGATGTCTACGCCCACGATATTGGTCTTATTGCCATCAAGGGCGAAGACGGCCACCTTGCCGGATTCAACGTCTTGGCCGGTGGTGGTATGGGTTCCACTCACAACAACACCAAGACCTACCCCCAGACTGGTCGCATGTTCGGATACATTCCCGCCGACAAGATCCACCTTGCCTGTGAGAAGATCATGCTTGTGCAGCGTGACAACGGTGACCGCAAGAACCGCAAGCACGCCCGTATGAAGTACACCATCGACGACATGGGTGTCGAGGTCTTCCGTGCTGAGGTCGAGAAGCTCCTGCCCGACGGCCTGAAGTTCGGCGAGCCTCGTCCCTTCGAGTTCAAGGCCAACGTCGACACCTTCGGCTGGATCAAGGATGAAGAGGGTCTCAACCACTTCACCATGTTCATCGAGAACGGTCGTATCGAGGATACCGCCGACTTCAAGATGCGCACTGGTCTCCGCGAGCTTGCCGAATTCGGCAAGGGTGAGTTCCGTCTCACCGGTAACCAGCACTTGATCATCTCCCGTATCCACGATGACGACCTTCCCTTCATCAAGGACCACTTGGCCAAGTACAACCTTGACAACACTGCCTTCTCTGGTCTGCGTCTGTCTTCTTCTGCCTGTGTTGCCTTCCCTACTTGCGGTCTCGCCATGGCTGAGTCTGAGCGTTACCTCCCCGTCCTTATCTCCAAGCTCGAGACTACTCTTGAGGAGTGCGGTCTTGCTCGTGACAGCATTGTCATGCGTATGACTGGTTGCCCCAACGGTTGTGCCCGTCCTTGGCTTGCTGAGGTCGCCTTCGTTGGAAAGGCCTTCGGCGCTTACAACATGTACCTGGGTGGTGGTTACCACGGCCAGCGTCTGAACAAGCGCTACCGCTCTTCCATCAAGGAGGATGAGATCCTCGAGATCATGAACGATCTCCTCAAGCGCTACTCTCGTGAGCGTGACACTGACGGCGAAACCCCCGAGCGTTTCGGTGACTGGTGTATCCGCGCTGGTATCATCAAGGCCACCACCGATGGAAGAAACTTCCACGAAGGCGTAAGTTTTCCCCTTGATAACATCTAGACTATTTTTGATACTAACCTTGAATTACAGGTTGCCGAAGATGAAGAGGATGAGGAATAAATGCTATGTTCCCATAGTCTCTGATATGTTACGACTTACGGGACCTCGACTCTGCTTTTGTTTTCTATCCTCCATTGCAAGGCATTGCGTTTTTTTTGGCCATTTCATGATTCCACCTTTGCACAAAATAGTTGAATACATTTCTTTCATATTTCAGTCATCCTTTTCTCGCACCTGGGCATACGGTTCATGTACATAATACAATATTCCAAGGTTGTTCCAAGTTTTCTGCAATGTTACTCAAAACTCAACTGTGTTCACTTTACTGTCCTTTTACTATATAGAGGGTTTGCCTCGGGGGCGTACACTTCGGAGAATTGGTGCCACCACAGAGCCTCACTTCCTCTCAACCACGGATGCACTGACAACGTTGATGTAGAGCTGACATCACATTTCTCGACAGGTGGTCGGAACTGAGGAGTCGCAAACCTTGAAATTCATCCCAAAACAGCATCAAGAACAAGTATTCAACAGCTCGCACCCGTTTCTGAATCAACCATGACGTCCATGCTATCAGCACCCTTCGCGCCACTATTCTACCTACGGCGGCGCTATCGCCAGGACCCAGACTGGACATATCGTCAAGCCCTGACAGTCACCTGGATGAAGCTCTTCCTCCGCTTGTTCGTAGCAGTCCACACAAAGCCACCTCTATCCCTCAAACCAGGCCTTGAAGGCGACCGCTTCGTACAGATAGCACCTGGCCAAACAGAACTCTACACAGGGATCACCCTGGACGACGAAATCAAGCCCGCAACCATAGGCGGCACCTGGTTTCCCTCACTCTACAAATACGACACCACAACCAGCCAAGACAAGCACGTCGTCCTGCACTTCCATGGCGGCTCCTACATCCTCGGCGATGGCCGCATAGCATCATGCAAATACCTCGCAGACAGCCTCCTCAACCACACTCCCTCAAGCCACGTCTTCAGTCTCCAATACCGTCTCGCCTGTAACCCGCACTGCCGCTTCCCAGCCCAGCTGCAAGATGCCATCACCGCCTACTCCTACCTCATCCACACCCTCCACATCCCAGCAACCCGTATCGTACTAAGTGGCGATAGCGCAGGTGGCCACTTGGTCCTCGCCCTCCTTCGGTACATATCCGACTACAACGACGACGCGGTTCTTCCACCGCCAACATGCAGCTGGCTCTTCTCGCCGTGGTGTGATGTCCCCGGTGCGCGTAGTAAGAGTCTTTGGGAAAATATTCCCAATGCAAAGACGGATTATATTCCAGCCTCGTTCCCGGCTTGGGGTGCAAAGCATTTGATTGGGGATATGGAGATCACTCGTGAGATGGAGCCGTATCTTGCGCCGATCTGGTTTCCTTTTGTGCTTCCTTCTTCGGTTTTGGTGGTTTCTGGTGGGAGGGAGGTGATGTGTCAGGAGCATGATCGGCTTGTGAGGCATTTGGCGAAGTTGCAGCAGAATGAGCAGAGGGTGGAGTTCTTTGTGCAGGATATCTTGCCACATGATGTTTTGATGGTTGCTTGGATTCTGAACTTTAGGAAGGAGGCTGACCAGTGTGCTGTTAAGGCGGGCACGTTCTTGACTCAGGTCCTTGGGGCCTCAGATGATAGTGAGGTTCCTTGTGTGCCTTTCGAGGGTCAATGATTTGATATGTCTCTTGTCAGCAGACGAGTGGCTCTGAGACAGCACTGTCGGGATATCTGGTCTAGTCTCTGATATAGTAAGCTCTCACAGCAGATGTTGAGATATCAAGCAATTCGATCTATGCAGACATACTCCTTCCGAATTGGGATGTTATAGATTGCGGGGTTTGTTTGCCTGAGCTCTCGCCATCTCCCTCGCTTCCTTTGAATTCCCCTTCATCTCTCTTTCTCTCCTTCTCTCTTCCATTCATCTCTTTATCTCTACTTCTTTCGTCTCTCAAAGCTATCATCGTCCCATCACCATCTTATCTACCTTTCATCTCTTGCATCAAAGATCAAAGCATCTACCATACTCATCTCACGTTGACCCTCGTTGACCACTGCCAGTCTTCCATCTGAGACATCTCCAAGCCTCTCGGCAGCTGGCACCTTGCAGGGTGTACACCACTCAAGTCTCTCCATTACATTGACAGGTGGTTAGGGCTCAAAGCCGCGCAAAGCCTGTCTCGTCTCAACACTACTCTTCGTCCCCTCCACCAAATATCAAGATCAAAGCATCTATCCTCATCGTACCACACCAAAGCTTCTCTACCCAGTACCATCCCAAGTACTGAGACAACTGCAAGAGCTTCGGCAGCTGGCACAAAGCAGTGAGGGGCTCGTTACTCAAACCCGTCCCGTGCGTTGGCAGGTGGTCAGGGCTCAAAGCCTCACAATATCCGAATCCGACAATCTTGATTGAGTCCGTTGCCCCAATCAATCCTTCAGTCAAGTCTTGTGAACAATGGCGCCCTTGATCGAGAAGTTTCTGGCCTTGGCTCCACAATGGAACTCGTAAGTCACAAAGCAAGAGCTGCATACCACGATCTGACACTTCGATTCTCTACAGCAAGATGCAGGATGCGACCCAGGTTTATGATGAATGCGCTTTGATGATTCTTGTCAGTCTCCTTCTGGTGCTCGTGGTCATGTGTGTCATGACACCATTCTTCTATCTCTGGCGCCGCAGCTATGCACGGTACGTGGGCCTGTCGACCGAGTGTTACTGGTGAGGGAACTGACAGCCATGCAGACACCCCGAGCATAAGGAATGCATTTGGTGCGAGCTCGAGGAGAAGTCCGAATACCCAGGCGTGAAGGAGGATGAATCGGGTAAGTGGAGGGCTCTGCGGTTTGTCTTGGTGTTACACACGGCTAACATTGTATAGACAGCTGGGGAGGCTTCGTTTACCTCTATCATGCTGCTCTTACCCTGTGACCACTGCAAGAATGTGCTGTTATGCAGAACAGACCACATTACTTTTTCGACATTGATGATCCCTCTACCAAGATTCTTCTAGATGCCATTCTTGGTGGTTGGGGTTTTTAGAGCTGAGTATTTCGCGGGAATCGAATTTGCTTTTGTTTTTTATTATATTAGAAGCGTTGGCCGACTGTGCGATTGCTTCATTGGACGGTTCCCCATTGGAGTACGGAGTACATTGGAGTACATTGGAGTTGTGGTTCCATTTCGTCCGTCTTAGTACGTCTGTACAAAGACCGATGCTTCAACCCGAACTCGACGGATTTGGAAGAATCGAGATTGAGCGAGTGTTTCTTGGAACGCCAAAGGGACACACTTAAGAATACAAGCCAAGGCAAGATACTAGAAGGCTTCGTCCTTATTGGGAACGAGGCAGAAGAAAGCTACTCATACTGGAGAAAATTAACCAAACAACTCTTATATTGTCAAGCAGAACCAGATAGCCCTGAGAGAAGTCTAGTTGATTTAAATACTCAAATCCATCAATTTCCATCAATCTTCATCGCACCACTCTCCACCCACACCCAACCCGACATAATGATCGTCGCCTGCCGTCACTTGCCAGTAACAGTGTTCAATGTTCGCCAAGAACATACCTGCCCAAGCAGGATTTGTGTCGTCGGGTCGGCCAGCATTCTCGCTTAAGCTCGTAACCCTTAAGTGTCCGCTAGGGATTTCTTTCCCTTTAAATGGTCATCATGACCCGTCATGGAGGAGCACGAATTCGCCATGCCCCGGTGGCCTTACAGTGCGTTGACGCCTCCTCCGTGTTTCGCATAGACTTTCACAGGGCCTTTAGCTGTGGGTCAAGTCAGGTAGCATGTCAAGCTGTGCACCCCGTGATCGGGTAACAACAGCAATCTCATCAAGATACGAGATCATCTCGATTCTTGGATTCTAAAACTGCAACTCAAAACCGTTGCAGAGTGTCCTGGCCAAGCGGATACAGTGCGCGAGCACATGACGGATTGAGTGTGATGGAGCAATGGGTTGATGTCGGTTTGGTGGAAATAAAGAAAGATCTGAGTGTGTGCGTCTCTCACGCTAGGAAGGCTGGCTCCCCGGGCACGACTCAAGAGGTCCCCAAAAAAAAAAAAAAGAAGAAGAAGAAGAAGATCGTTGGGGGGGAACCAGTCAAATGAATACTCCCCTTGCGTACATATATTCCGTATTACGTAATCGGTTATCAAGCCCGCAGGCCCCACCCGCGAGGTTCGAAAAAAGTTGACCTGTCGACCGATCTTCATGCTGCTGATTGAGATCAATGGTTCTTTTCTATTCCGGTGACCACTGACGTACGCTTGCCTGCTATCTAACCGCTATGTCTGACACCGAAGACGACCCCGTCGTCGCTTCCTACGACGTCTTCCTCACGGATTCGGACATCTCTCGCTATGTCTTCCAATACCTTGATCGACATGTCGACCTTCCTTACAATGAGAGCAACAACCAATGTCCCATATCGCTCAAAATGAAGCCCGAAACTGGTCTGGTCGAGGTTGATATCCCGATCAGCACCCGCTCGAACTACGACGTGAACAAGGGCTTGCGCTACGGCGAAGCAGTAAAGAAGAGTCGTTCTGCGCGGGACGGTGGCTCTTATGGAATGTCTGGCGGATTCACCGCTGGCAGTGGTGCAGCGGGCACGGGCGGAAGAATGAAGACAGAACCCGGCGGCGACGTGGAAGTGTTGGATAATAAGAGGGTGGTTGACTCGAATGCGTTGATGCGAACACAAGCACTCGCCGGTCGAGTAAAGCCCGCGGAAGAAGGCGATCCAGTTTATATGCTGGCTACATTCAAAGATAGTATGTCTTGGAGAATTGCTCTTCCAATTAACTCCTCTTGGATCAATGTGCTGACCACAGTTTCTAGAAAACTTGCATCTGTCTCCCATTTCATCCGTTGTCCAATTCCATCCACAACTTCACCATCTGGATGCACTCGATGAAATGCCAAAGGCGAAAGGCCTGCGCGGGAAAAAGGATGACGACGAGCGTCCTGCTCCCGAGACCGAGGCACGCGCAATTGATATTAAGGTTAAGGCTGCTGAGGATGGCGAAACGACCCAGACTGCGGGTAATTTGGATATTCTCAAGCAGATGCAAGAAGAGAAGTGGACGAAGTATGGCTGGATTGATGCCGAGGTACGTTCTATTGAGATTGGTTTCTATGAATGCAGCCCGCTGACTGCCTTTGACTGTAGACGGAGGAATCGTGGTACACATATGAGAGCTTTATGCTTTATGACGAAAGCATTGGCCCTCAAACCCTGGAAGCTAGCCTTGATTCGGAAGAGTACCTGGATAAAATGAGTGCTCCGAGAATCGATCCTGCACGTCCGGATCTGACTGGATGGGCTATGAAGGAGAACCGAAAGAGACAGAGAGAAGCCCAAGGCGCAAAGGGAGACCAATGATACCTCACGTGAATGAATTTAAACGATATTTTACGAAAGCACTCGACTCAGATTAGTCGATCTTGATCTCTGGAACAATCCAAAGCAGTAGTACTCTAAACACCCGTGGATGGTAATCATTGTTCACTTCCAAGATTCCAATGTTGATAATGGGTGGTAGAAAATATGTTGTAGAGGTTTGTCGTATAGAGCCACATACCAAATACTTGGAGATATACTGATACCTAGGTATGCTCCTGGCAACTCGATCTCGAAGTCGACAGCAATGTACGGAGTATACTTGTAGGGTGAATTCTTATAGATCCAATTGGACGCAGCTGAAAACTTTGCCACTTGGGCTCGAGCGATCCGCCAATCACGATAAGAGCAGTCACGTGCCGCGTTCGGTTTTTCTCCCCCGATCTCCGCTTCGTGTACAGGTCGACAATCCCCTTTCTGTTCTTCAGCTTGTGTTTTTCTTTTCCTTTTTTACCCATCGCTTTGGTTGAGCGCTGCAGGAAAGGCGAGCGCGATCATTGCTTTTCTGTGCGGCAATATCGCGTTGATCTCACCATAATCATTGCGGTGTTTTTATTTCCTAGATCTTTTGCACCTCGAGCAGGTCTGGATTCGATCATCTTATAATCATCTATTATCTTCCATCTATACGGGCAGTCAGCGCCTCTGTCCTTCCTTTTCTCTCCTGCATCTTCGATTCCCGCGATCGAAGAACACATCCATGCAACATGCTGTCGCGTGTCGCCCGCCAAAAAAATGCATTCCTTCACCTTCGGAGGGCTCAGGCCCTTCGAGGATCGGTTTCACTATCGACAACACATATTCAGCCATACTCCGGTAATCGGCCACCTCTCATGAGCTCATCGAACCATTCCCTGCTCGAGCGGGTGCGCCGGCCCTCTTCGCAAGCGGAACGCCATCTCGCAACGGCTGCCGATTATCCCCCCATCGAAGCTCAGTCCGCAGACTCCTACGATCAATTTATGCACACGCAATTCGAAGGTCTTGGTCAATCCTCCCTCGTCATTCTCGACTCCACGCCACAATCTCAATCAAAGATCTTCCGCCGGTCAAAGGGTGTTGGTGGTGACGAGACCGAGATGATGGCCAATCTGGATGTTTCATTGAAGATTGGGCAGTTTGACAGAGCTGCCGCGTTGATTGCTCGCCTTGCTCATTATCATCCACCTGGCTCGCCAGAGTACCTGGCACTCCACAACCGGTACTTGAAGGGGATGGTGGGACATATGATCCTCGCACGCGACCACTCCATGGTAGCTCCATTGCAAAAATGGTTCGAGGTTGACATGCCGGCCACAGCCGTGGTGCCAGATGCGACCACATATGCACTCATGCTCCGGGTGTCATTGCGAATGCTTCACGGGGCAAGGCGCGAACGGACCGTGCGTCGTTATTGGGAACTTGCCCAAAACGCCGGTGTGGAGGAGGAGCTTGTCGGTTTGGAGGTTCTTGAGGACTCGGATGTTGGTGAACTGTCCAAGGTGAGTTGGTGTTCTTACTGCAGATTACAAAAAAAGTCAGATACTAATATTCAACGCCCAGATTTGCTCTTCCGATATGTTGAACCTCATCTCTAAGTATATGGACTTTTCCCAGCTGGAAACTACCGCGACGCCCGACTACAATGCCACTACCGACGACACCCCCGAGGTAAACGCTGCCAATCTGAAGGGACTGGGGTTGTCATCTCTGAGACAGTCTATGGCTTCTTTCGGCAAAGAGCTCCACCTTCCTGCCACCTTCCAGGGCACCGAGGAGGAGGCCAAGGAACTACTCGCCGAGATGAGACAACGTCAGCTTGAGACCGACAGTCTTAGCTCTGCCATCGACCGGTGGCGCCAAGATCAGGAAAAGAGACAGAAGGCCGGACTGAACGCCGCTTCCGATGAAAAGAAGCTAAGCTCTCTGATGAGCCAATGGCACACAGACCTCGTGCCAAGGATCAAGCGAGAAGTTGAGATGTACGAAGAGGGCTTGAACACTCCGATGGCAACCGTCGAACACAAGGATCGCTGCGAGTACGGTGTCTTCTTGAAGGCCATGGATGCGGATCGTCTCGCCGCAATCACCATCTTGTCTGTATTGGGTACCTTCAGTCGTTACGGAGCAGCAAAGGGAATTAAACTGTCCGCCCTGAGTACCTCCGTGGGAAGAGAAGTGCAAGAAGAACTGATTGCGGATGCATATCTGGCTAAAACCAAAACCGGAGATCCAAATCGCCTGAAGGCTGTTAAAGAATTCCTCGCCAACCGCAGAGACAAAGAGGGTCGTCTTCGATGGAGAAAGCTCGTTGAGACCATTGCCACAGAGGATTCAGCTATCTTGTGGGGCTCTCGTGTTCAAGTCAGGATCGGCACTGTCTTGATTGCTTTACTATTGGAGGAAGCCAAGGTCCCGGTTCGATCGGGTGACAATATCACACAAAAGAAAACCATCAGCATGCAGCCAGCCTTTTCTCACGCTTACACCATGCACTATGGAAGGCGTTCTGGGCTAGTTCACATGCATCAGAAAGTTGTCGAAAAAGTTGCCAGGGAGCCACTGCCTGAACAGGTGGCCCGTCACCTGCCTATGATCTCGAAGCCCAAGCCGTGGATAGGTCACCGGTCTGGAGGCTATCTAATTTATCAGAACAACATCGTGCGCTCGACCCCTGGTGAACAGCTCCAGCCAGCTTACCTCAAAGCTGTTCTCAGGGACGACGGAATGAAAGAGATTAGAGCTGGACTCGACGTTCTTAGTGGCACCGGCTGGAAAATCAACAAGCCTGTTTTCGACGTTATGTTGGAAGCCTGGAATGATGGGGGCTCTATTGGAAACCTTGCTCCCTTGGATCCAAAGCTGGAAGACCCCGAAGCGCCAGGTCCAGATGCAGACTATGCCGCCCAGAGAGCTTACGATCGAAAGCTGGTCGAAATTGAGAATCTTCGCTCGGGCCTCCATTCCGTGCGATGCTTCCAAAACTTCCAAATGGAGGTCGCACGGGCTTTCCGAAATGACACATTCTACCTGCCCCACAACATGGACTTCCGTGGCAGAGCTTACCCACTTCCTCCCTATCTCAACCAGATGGGTGCTGATAACGCAAGAGGATTGCTTCTCTTCGATGGCGGAAAAGCTCTAGGCGCAACTGGTTTGCGTTGGTTGAAGATCCACATTGCAAACTTGTTTGGCTTTGATAAGGCAAGCATGTCTGAACGTGCACAGTTCACCATGGACAACCTCGAATCTGTTCTTGACTCTGCAAACAAGGGATTGCATGGTCAAAAATGGTGGCTTCAAGCTGAAGACCCATGGCAGCTTCTGGCAGCTTGCATCGAACTCCGGAATGCTATGCTTCTGCCTGACCCGACCCAATATGTCTCTCACCTTCCAATTCACCAGGATGGCTCCTGTAATGGTCTCCAGCACTATGCGGCTCTTGGTGGTGATAAAGTCGGTGCCCAGCAGGTCAACCTCGAGCCTTCTGATCGCCCTTCGGACGTTTACACTGGTGTGTGTGAATTTGTCAAGGAATCGATTGCGATAGATGCAGCCGAGGGTCAGGAGCTAGCCAAGCTCTTGAATAACAGAGTCACCAGAAAGATTGTCAAGCAGACAGTCATGACCAACGTCTACGGCGTGACCTTTTTGGGAGCAACCCGTCAAGTCAAAAAACAGCTTGTTGACTATCTACCCGATTTGGACCACGCACAACGGTCCCACGCTTCTTTCTACATTGCGCGAAAAATCTTCGGTGCTCTTGGAAGTATCTTCAACGGAGCTCACGAGATCCAACATTGGCTGGGTGACTGTGCTCATCGAATCACGGTGTCAATCACACCAGAGCAGGTCGACGAACTCACCGAAAAGGCAATGGCGCCACCAAAGGAATTACAATCAAAAAACAAATGCCTCGACCCAGAAAAGGCGTTCAGATCAACTGTTATCTGGACCACCCCACTCGGTCTGCCAGTCGTTCAGCCATACCGCAGTCGCAAATCGCGTCGTGTTCAGACCAGCATGCAGGACATTAGCATTCTTGACCCCAGCTCCGACGATGTTGTTCAACGCCGCAAACAGCTTCAAGCTTTCCCGCCCAATTTTATTCACTCTCTTGATGCCACGCACATGATTCTATCTGCCAATGCGTGCCACGAGGCAGGCCTGTCCTTCTCTGCCGTCCATGATTCCTTCTGGACCCACGCTGCCGACATCGATCAGATGAATCTCATTCTTCGCGATGCCTTTGTTCGCATGCATTCCGATAATGTTGTCGGGCGTCTTGCCTCTGAGTTCAATGTTCGATATGGCAAGAACCTTTTCCTTGCCCGAATCAACCGTTTCTCCGACATTGCCAAGGCCGTCATGGCACACCGTTCGTCTTGCAGACAAACCAAGATGGAAGAATTAATCCAGGAGAAACAGCGCCAATTCCTTCTTCAATCTTCAGATCCAGAAGATCAGGCCGAGGGCCGCGCTATGGTCACCCCCTCCAGCATCTTCGAAGCGATGGGCGGTGGGCACGATGACATGGTGCTCACCAGAACAAAGTCTCATGCCAATACTGGCATTGGACACATTCCAGAAGATCTTCCCACCAATCTGGACAATGAATTGTCGACCAACGAGCTTGATACTACCGACCCTGCTATTTCAAGTCTTGTTGGTGAAATGGGGTTGTTCGATGACAGCAAGCCCTCTTCGTCCCTGGAGGGAGAAGATGACGAAACTGAACGACAGCCCAAGAAACAAGCCAGACGTGATTACACCACTTGGCTCTGGATGCCCCTGACCTTCCGCCCAATCCCTAAGAAGGGTGACTGGGATGTTACCCGCATTCGCGAGAGTGAATACTTCTTCTCTTGAAGCTCTTGCGCCCCCTCTTCCCCTCGGGGTCTCTCCTCGCATTTTGTTGGCGTTACTGCATACTACCCTTTTGAGTCATGTCCGAGCTGCGTTGGACGAGCTCGGTACATTTTAGCTGACTTGTAATTTCCCCCTGTATATTTTCTGCATTGTACATTACACACATTTTTAGATGGCGAGTGCTTTCCAAGGTTGGAAAGCAAACAAAAAAAAAAGAATAATTATGCATATAGCGATGTACGAATATGAATATCTTCTCAGTCTTTTACTTTCTTCTCTAATTACCGAGATCCCTGTCCATACCACCCTCCCAAGGTTATTGTCGCTATGTCCGGAGTAGTCTGCAGCCAGACTAATGAGAACTTTAACCAAATAGCCGGACCAGGGTCCAATCTTCCTCCATTTAGGCAAAATACAGTGACAACACCGAGCCGCTTTGAGCTACTAGCTCTATTCAGTAACCGATAGTGGATGTTTCGAGGTCCTCAAATCATAGTCCGGTCAGTGCTAACCCCTGCATGTATCGTCCTCTTTTTGTACCGATGGATTTCTGTAGACCGAGGTTCCGTATGTACTCCGTAGCAGTGCTGGGTGAGGTCCGTTAAACGTCCAAGTTAAGGCGGTAGAATTTCCACAGATCAGGGACAAGGCAGACGGTACAAATGACACTTGGTGAAGAAAGAAAGAAAGATATAAGTCAGGATCAGGCGAGGAGTATAGCGCCAGAATAATATAAGTCGCAACACGTGCCGTTCCCCCGCCTTCCTGCCAACTTCCCCAGATCTTCACTCCCACGATCTTCGACTTGCATCATATTTGCCTTCTTTTCTTTTTTTTGTTCTGTGGGCTTATTTCCTACACATAGGCATCACTGCAATGTCGTTCTGACTTCGCCGGCAACTTTTTCACCGAGCTGAGCTATTCCGCTCTATGTCATTTCTTCCCGTCAATGACCTCCCACCGATCCTTCGACTCGTACTCGCCATTTCCACCCCAATCGAAACGAATGACACAATCTCAAACCCCCGGCTTAGATACTCTGGCAGAGGGGTCGCAATATGCGCTCGAACAGCTTCAGTTAGCCCGGGAAGCCGGTGCCACTGCAAATTCCCCGACCGACACCGGCACCTCTCTCGCCGATTCTAAGCCACCACGCCATACCCAGCATCTTCTTTACAGCGAAAAGCATGGCTCGGGCTCTGGTCTGAAGGAAACACAGCCGCGCGACTCACTCGCGGACGCGCGCTCTGTCATTCGCAAGAATTCGTCGGCAACTCCAGTCCGCCGGAGAATTAGCCGGGCCTGCGACCAGTGCAATCAATTGCGCACCAAATGCGATGGGCAGAACCCTTGCGCACATTGTCTCGGTATGGATTTTTCCGGTCAGATTTTTCCACGTTTGCGCATGTCAGTTAATCGCTCTTAGAATTCGGTCTCACTTGCGAATACGCCCGCGAGCGCAAGAAGCGCGGCAAGGCGTCGAAAAAGGATATAGCCGCAGCGGGTAATAATGAAGGCGACGTTGGCTCGAACGACGATTTACCTCGCGCAATGGGTTCTTCTTCGAATGGACAGGCCTTGCATGAACCGAATGAACATTACGATCCTGCCTTTGACGCTGCGCGCACTTTGGCGGAGGGCGCACAAGCCCGGTCGCATGAGGTAGAGGGACTGTCTGCCATGCGATCGAATCAGGCATCCGTGCAAGCGCCCTCGCAGCAGCAGATGGGTGCTACTAGCATGGTAGGCTTGCCATTTAACAATTACGCATCCGTTCAAGAACCGCATCGACCTCCTATGTCGGTACCCGACATACGCTCTATGCAAATGATGCAAAACTCAAATGGGAATCCTAGATCACCAGGCTCGATGCTTCAGTCTCAGGGCTTTGCTTCGGGGTATCCCGATGGTTCATATCCTTTGATGAACGCACAAGACGCAAATTCCACTGGCATGAATCATTTCCGCATTGGACATTCCGCAGACAACCCATCAGCTTCATTCATGGGCTTCTCCCCCAAGCCCAGTCGCCAAGCTGGCTGCCATTACCGTCGCCCTCTCCCGCCAATTTCCCCCCTTACAGCATGCCCCCCTTCTCCACTTCATTGAGATACCCTGTTTTGCAACCTGTTCTTCCACATATCGTCTCTATAATCCCCCAGTCTCTCGCTTGTGATCTCCTTGACATCTATTTCACCAGCTCATCTTCCTCACGCCTTTCACCATCGTCGCCCTACGTGGTTGGATATGTCTTCCGCAAGCAATCTTTCCTCCACCCCACCAAACCGCGCTCATGTAGCCCGGGGCTTCTCGCCAGTATGTTGTGGGTGGCAGCTCAGACAAGTGAAGCCGCCTTCCTGACATCGCCTCCCTCGGCTCGTGGCCGGGTGTGCCAAAAGCTGCTGGAGTTGACGATTGGCTTACTCCGGCCACTGATCCATGGCCCGGCTACTGGCGAAGCGTCTCCAAACTATCCGGCCAACATGGTAATTAATGGCGTCGCTCTCGGTGGCTTCGGTGTTTCCATGGACCAACTGGGTGCACAGAGCAGTGCCACAGGCGCGGTGGATGACGTCGCCACATACGTGCATTTGGCGACCGTTGTCTCCGCCAGTGAATACAAGGCTGCCAGTATGCGCTGGTGGACCGCAGCGTGGTCACTTGCTAGAGAGCTCAAGTTGGGACGTGAATTGCCGCCCAATGCAACTACTCGTCAAGACGGCGAAATGGATGGCGAGGGAGATATTGACGTCAACGGGAATAAGAGACCACCGCCATCACTGATGGGTCATGGCCCAGGCAATTCTGCGGTGAATTTGACTGAAGAAGAGCGCGAGGAGCGGCGTCGAATCTGGTGGCTACTATATGCAACAGACCGCCATCTGGCACTCTGCTACAATCGCCCACTGACTCTCTTAGACAAAGAGTGCGAGGGCTTGTTACAACCGATGAATGATGATATATGGCAGGCCGGTGATCTTTCATCTATGGGATACCGCCGCGCCGGCCCGTCATTCGAGTGCACAGGACACAGTATGTTCGGCTACTTCCTACCGCTCATGTCTATCCTCGGTGAAATTGTGGATCTCCAGCATGCTCGTAATCACCCACGCTTTGGCCTCCATTTCCGCAATAGCGGCGAGTGGGAGAGCCAGGCAATGGAGATTAGTCGACAGCTGGATGTCTACGCACAAAGCTTGAAAGAGTTCGAGGCTAGATATACTAGCTCATTGGCCCTTGGAACTGCCGAACCGGACCCGGGGATGGAAGGTTCGAATATCAACCACATGAGTCCATCCGGTCGCTCAAGTAGCACCGTCGGATCCCATGTCAGCGAGTCTATCGTTCACACAAAAATGGTCGTTGCGTACGGTACACATATCATGCATGTTCTTCACATTCTGCTTGCTGGCAAGTGGGATCCGATCAACTTACTCGATGACAACGACCTTTGGATCTCGTCCGAGTCTTTCATCTCCGCTATGGGCCATGCTGTCAGTGCCGCGGAGGCATCCTCGGACATCTTGGAATACGACCCTGATTTGAGCTTCATGCCATTCTTCTTCGGCATATATCTTCTCCAGGGTAGTTTCTTGCTTCTTCTGACGGCTGACAAACTGCAAGGGGATGCGAGCCCCAGTGTTGTTAGGGCCTGTGAAACAATAGTCCGAGCGCATGAGGCTTGTGTCGTGACTTTGAACACCGAATACCAGGTAAGGATCTCCCATGCTCTACAAGTCTACCAATACTGATCTCTTCTCTCAGCGAACTTTCCGCAAAGTGATGCGCTCGGCTCTGGCTCAGGTCCGTGGCCGCGTTCCAGAAGACTTCGGTGAGCAGCAGCAACGTAGACGCGAGGTGCTGGCTCTTTACCGGTGGAGTGGTGATGGCAGCGGCCTTGCACTTTAGGGTCGATGCAGAATTAAAGCTTTGGCTTTCGTTGGGTCAAGTATATATCCTTTTCCTGTTTTTGAATTGCTGCAACCTGTATACTATTTGCTGGATTTTGGACATACCCCGAGGAGCAAAGGCGCGCAACATTTTGGTGTCTACATATATCATGACTCGGCACATACCATACCCAATTGTTTCTTTCTTTTGACTGGTATTTTGCTATTAGTGAATTTGGATGAGTAGTTCTCAGTGATATCGGAGCTGCTCTACGAAAAACAACAAAATGTGCAAGTGTTTTGATAGACGTCATGTGACGATGCTTATTTTGGCCCCACGTAAGCTCCGATCCCCGATCTCTATCTTCACCACAACACGTCACGAACCAGAGGGCCGCCCAGCTGGTCATGAAACCCTATATCGGAATCCCGCTAGTGGCAGGCCTCGTCTATCGAGCCTGGTCCCGCAAATCCCTCACCCCACTCGGTATCATCGTTGCTGGATTCTCTGCCTCCGCACATGCACTCCACCCATGGTCCGCTCCGGTCGCCTTGCTAGCCGTGTTCTACTTCGGCGGCACAAAAGTCACCAAAGTATGTTACCTCGTTCAAACAGTCCTTCTACCAGTCCAGCTAACATTGTCGAAACTCTCAGGTTAAACATGAAATCAAATCCCGTCTGACCCTCTCCGCAACCGGTGCGGAGGGCGGCGAAGGTCCCCGCAACCACATCCAAGTCCTGGCAAATTCAGTCGTCGCAACTGTGCTATCTATTGCACATGCCATTGTGCTCTCGAGATCTGCTTCAGATTCTTGTTTCTCGCTCGGCCAGAAGTCAGCAGATATCCTAGTGGTTGGAATCGTTGCGTACGTCCATTACCTGGGCATTCCCCAATCACTGCTCTGCATAATTGCTAACACATCTTTTGCAAATAGCAACTACGCGGCGGTTGCCGCCGACACCTTCTCCTCCGAGCTCGGCATTCTCTCGAAATCCAAACCCCGTCTCATTACCTCGCTCACACTCCGTGAGGTCCCACCTGGCACAAATGGCGGTGTCACCGCTACCGGTCTGGGTGCTGGTCTTCTAGGCTCGTTTATCGTCTCCGCTACCTCTGCGGCCGTTCTTCCTTTCTGCGCTAGTGCGGGGATCAAGGAGCGGGTGCTATGGACCGTCGCTATGACTGCCTGGGGCACATTGGGCAGCGTGCTCGATAGTGTTCTTGGTGGCATTTTACAAGCTAGTGTTGTTGATAAGAGGAGTGGGAAAGTTGTTGAAGGAAGTGGGGGCAGGAAGGTAAGTTTCTTTCATTGGAATCATGGGGAGAGGGGTCTCATTGTGTTCTAGGTTCTTGTCCACCCCTCCGGTAAGGTGGTTGCCATCGACAGTGCTGAAGCTAGCGGTACTGAGAAGTCACAAGACGCTACTCTGCGTAGTGGAAGCTCGGCTAAGTTGACACGAGATGAGAGTCATGAGAGCCGGCGTGTTGAGACTGGCCATGACTGGCTGGATAACAATGGAGTGAATTTGCTCATGGCTGCGACTATGAGTGTTGGTGCTATGGGCATCTCACAGTGGCTCTGGGGCCTGGATATTACCGATTTGCTGGCATAGATTTTGGACATATAACCACACTGATTTTAGTCATCTGAGCGGTCGTCTTCATCTGCATCTATTAAGCCTTGAAGCTCTAATGACATAGCTTATTTTCGGGTTGAATGAATTTATTTTCTGTCTCTCTAAATCAATGTGTCGCTTCGTTTCGGTCTTGACATGTCAGCTTGCCCAGATTATGGCTTATGATATCACGCACAATGACTACTTGTACTAGGTACTTTCACGTCTCTGCCATTATGACAATGTTCAAGTCCAAGGGTATAAGCTCCGTCTAGTCTAGGCTAATTTTCTCACCTTTGGGCCAAGCAAGCGCGATGACCCTAGAACGTTTACCAATAACGACTTTGTTCATGCCAATACCCCAACTTAGCTCGAGAGCTGCACACACGTGGTCGTGACAACCTCATCTGGGCCTTACAGGCTTCTATGAGATAACTTCAAGTCATGCCTATGGCAAAGACCATCTATTGGCATTTCCCGGCTCATTTCTAGCCATTTCTGCTTATGAAAACAAAGCCTCTCGACACAGGACCTGACCCGAGTCTCATATAATTATAGGATGATCTCCACAGCCAAACAACACTCGGCACCAAGAAAGCTTCTCTCATGCACGATCAATCACAGTCACTGCGCCCCGTGCAAGGCTAACGGGACCGGTCCATTCCAGGTAAGTTGGTGGGATCAGGGACTGCCCAGTAGCAAGCCCCCAGTCTTGTGTCCCCATATCAGACTTAGGCATCCCTTTATCCTAGTCACCAACCAAATTGGACCATTAAGCGCTGCGCCATGCTCTAACTGGGTATTGGAATCACACGTCGATGGAACATGGCTTCGTTGCACAGAGTCAGCGCCCCGGCCAATCTTGACATAAGTCCTGTTTATGGTTGGTGTGAGATATAAATATCCAGGAAATCTTCGATTCAGCTTACATGTGTCGTTCAATCTCTGAGATCAAACATCCTTGACTAGTTATTATATGGGGTTGGATCTTGTTTCTGGTGATATCAATTTTTGAACGAACACACAACGTTCAAGCCCAGCAATATTCCTCATCATGGGTCTCCTCAAACTCTTGCTCAAAGCCATTATCATCCCCATCGTTATTCTTATTGTCATCTCCGTGGTCGTGGTCTTCGCCATCAAAATGCGCCGAGACCGCAAGAAGAAAGAGAAAGAGCTCGAGAATTCATTCCAACCACCTCCGATACAGCAGTGGGTGCCGTACACTCCAGTTCAACAGCCTGCCCCAGTTTATGCCAAAACACCAGGGGCAATGGAGCAGGGTATTGGAAATGGGCACACTTAAGGGCGTTAACTTTTGGTAAATCCCACGGGTGGCTCCAATGAACATCGCTGATCACAGAAGTACTAGACTCTCTCTCGCCCCCTGCCCGATTTTCAATGATACTTTCACGACTATTTTGCTCTTCGTCTACCAAAGCCGCTTGGTGTATCATGTACAAACCGCTCTGAGGATGCTCTTTGGCTTCTGACCCTGAGATTTGACGGCGCTGGCCCTCTGAATTGTGACATACCTAGATTCATTCCTAAACCGATACCACCTTTCAAATAATCCCGGAACTCTTTGTTTCTTTTTCATCAACTCTTACCAGTAAAGCGGGTCTTTGTGGGCCAGTGTGGCCGAAGTTGTCCAATTATTAGATCATAAAACGGAACATATTCAATTTTGGATTATTTCTAAACACACACGTCCACGTATACCCCTCACTGGAGTCCATCGGGCTAGATGTATTCATCCCAGGGCATAAAGACAAGCCAGAATATTTCTAGTCTCTTGTGGGTAACACTGCTGCCTGGTTTCTCCCCAATATGGCGGGACAAGCTTTTAATTAGACCATTCCCCATAGTGATGGACTTGCATATGCGTTGGTCTCATTAGTCACTTTAATGCTCGAAATTCTTTGAACCGTCCACGAGTGTTGAGAACCTCGTAATGCTCCAAGGTTGATGTCCCATCTTGATATCAAACAGGAACCGATTTGGTTCGTTGCACAGTACTTCGAGACTTTTGGTCCCAGGCTAGGGATGAAGACTTCATGAAAGCTACTCCATACTTCCATGAAACACATTCGTGGATTGAGTGGAACTTCACGAGATCCACCTTGCATCCCTAATTTTATCATCTGGTCACATTTGCCGCCAAGGCTCAGCCCTACGAGGTGACTCCACTCCTGATGGCGCTAATCCCTGCATTCTTCGTCACTTTGAAGGTTTGATATGAGTTCTTCGTCACTTTGAAGGTTTGATATGAGTGGTTTCCCGTTAGGCTCGGCTATTTCAGGTAACTTATAGAATTGTATTCAATTACAAGGTTCCGGTATCTCCAAAAATAGTATCAGTAGGTATTGACCAATGGATCCAAGTATAGTCCAACGAATATTTATGAAATGATGTATCTGCAATTTAATTGTTTCCTGCATGGCTTCACACTAAGGGTACATTGACTGCATCCGGGTGCACGTAGAATGCGATGGCGATAATGAGATACCTGAATGTTAGGTTTAGCCTTTATCTCCATTCCAGCACCGGGGGAAAACTCACGTTCCAACCAATAAAGATCCCTCGTAGTAATTAGATCGGCCCCCGCGGATCAAGCAGTCCATCACTATTACCGACAAGAAAAAGACCACGGTCTCGAATGGACTGTAGCGGAGAGACATCGGTTGTCCGATGATCAGACCGCAGATCACAAGGAACGGGCTGACGAACAAGGCGATTTGCAACGTGCTGCCCACGACCACACCGATCGCCAGATTCATGTTTCCCTTAATAGACGAATTGATAACCGTGTTGAACTCCCCCGCGTTCCCAACGATTGGAACGACGATAAGACCAATAAAGGCCCGGCTCACATGCCACTTGTCCACAAAACCATCCACACTCTCCACTAAGCCATCAGAACAGACGGTCACACCCAATGTTGCGAGAATCAAGATCATACTGGCCGGCCAGGGGCCCAAGACTTGGGGCTCCTCTTCTTCGGATTCATCGTCCACGAAGAGCTCTGCATGGCTCTTAAGTTGGAAGTAAAGGTAGACCAGGTAGAAGCCCAGTAGAACTACCGAGGCAGCCCGGGAGAGGTTTAGCACACTGGCCTCGACATCGTGAGACTTGGACGAAATAGTCGAATAAAGCACAGACGGGATGATAAGTGTCGCAGAAGATATTACCATCAACGAAGATAGAATACCACTGACATCGACATTGAACTCGACGGCATCTTTTGAATAGCCACCGCAGAATAAAGATACCCCGAGAATCTAAACCAGGGGTAAGCAGAAGCCAGCATGGCGCAAAAATGAAGCGTACCAACAGATTCCCAGAAAGGATACTTCCAACCATACTGGATTGAACAATATTAATCTCCCCCTGACGGACCGCCGTAATCCCCACCTGCGCGGTGACCATTAGTTTCCCCACACAGACCCAGAGTCCAAGCACTTACGATCATTTCCACCGCATTTCCAAATGTCGCATTAATCAACCCTCCGAGCGTCTGACCAACACTTTTCGCCAGTTCCTCCGTAGCGAAAGAAAGCAGTGCAGCCAGTGGGAGGATAGCTAGGAAGTTGAAAACAAAGACAATCGAATCATCCCACCCTCGACTTCCCGCCGTCATACCCAGAAACACGAACGGGAGAAGCAGGTTAGCGTAGCTGCATCCGAGGGCCGTCTTGATGACACGCCAGATCGAGCGGCCCAAGAACTCGGGGTGCTTTGTATTGAGGCCATGCGAATTAATGGTAGCTTCCGATTGCCCATCGTATGCTTGTCCGAGGAGTTGATCGCGCTGCTCGGACGGGTGGTCGGGCATATCCTCGCTGAGGTGTGGCTTTCGTAGTCGGGTCTGTGAAGTGTCCATGATTCAGGAGAGGAGTGAGGGAAACAAGAGAGATTGGTATTGAGGGGATATGTATTTCTCCACAGGCAACGCAATACCGTACAGCATCTGGCGCTAACGTTGCAAGATATACGGAGTGATACGATAAATACATGTATTACAGGTATTGCGTAACCGTGGAACAGCACGGAGCCTCATTTCACCCGAAACGTTGGATCGCCCCATGTTTGCTTTCTCTCCGCTTGATCTTCCAAGTTTGACTATCACACACCTCCGTGTCTTGGGGATTGTTATGGCCATGGCGCAGCTTCACCAATACCGCCTCGGCTTCTCGCTGCTCATGCCTGTGGTGGGTATGGCCACGGGAGCTCTACAGTGGAACAGTGCCGCAACCTTTATATTAAACACTGTCGCCTTGATTCCATTGGGGTCGTGGATCAATCGAACTGTTGATTCATTGTCTGTGGATGGGACACGGGTGGTCAACGAGCTTTTGAAGTCGACGCTGGGTAACTCGGTGGAACTAATGGTAAGCAGCGGGGAATCTGCGTACAAAACCAAGCCGATGTCAAGCTAATCTTGCTACCAGGTTGGGATTAATGCAGTCGCACAGCGACGACCACACATCTCTCAATCCGTGATCCTCGGCGGTGTCCTCAGCAATCTACTTCTGGTTTGTCCCACGATGACAAGCCTCAGCGAGCAAGGGCCCTTTGAGCTGATATCAGAACTGTGCAGGTACTCGGCGGTGCCCTTTTCTACGCCGGATATGATCAAAAGCGCCTACGGTTTGACAAGCACCTCACAACTGTGCTCTCATCTCTTATGATGGTCGTCTTTATCCTCCTCGCCATTCCAACCATAATGGACGTCTTCCCCTCCGCAAAGGCAACGCCCACAGACGAAGTGCTGTACACACAACGCATGATATCGGTGGTTTTGATGTCTCTCCTTGTTGTATTTCTCTTCTTCCGTCTCCGTACCCATGCAAGGATGTTCGCTAGTACACCATTCAGCCAACGAGATCAGCCACGTGGCCGCCATCAATACCGCCAGAGCCAGATAATCGACGCCCAGATACCAAGACCCTACATCGCGAAAGGACCCGCGGCTTTGATACTACTCGCTTCATCTAGCTCCGCCCTTCTATGCACACATTACATTGTAGCCAGCCTCAGTGGGCTAGCTTCGATAACAGGCGCGAACCAGTCTTTCCTTGCTGTGACGCTTATTCCCTTACTTGGAAATTCAGTCAAGTATTTCTCCATTATCACGGGCTCCCGATCATATGGCCAAGTTGAGCTTGGTATCAGGGCAGTTATCAATACTGTCTTGCGGATTACGATGCTGATTGCACCGCTCCTGGTTCTTATCGGCTGGGCTTTTGATCGACCGCTTGTTTTAAGGTTTGATGGATTTGAAGCGACGACGCTTTTGCTGAGCGTTGTTGTCATGACTTATCTTATCTCAGATGGGCGAAGTAACTACTTTGAAGGGTTGATGTTAATTGGAGCGTGAGTGTCTTCCCCGATTTGGATTGACTTGGATGTTAACTGATTTTGTTAGGTATCTCATCATCATGGTCTCGTTCTTTGTTCGGCCTGAGGTTCCAGCTAATGTGATCTTTCTAGGATCTTAGATTCATGAATGCTTCATTATATCGTTAGAATCTGGTTTGAATTCAACTTCTGGTGATAAAATCATCACTTAAAGCAAAAAGCGATAGAGTTAAATTGAAGGCTAGCGTGTGTAGAAAGCAGCAACTAGCCCAGAATATCTACTGAGTATTAGTACCTTTCTTTTACGTCATGAACGGGAACGGCGCCGGCAAACTTACAAAGCTAGAAGCATCGCACCGTGAATGTAGGCATATTGACCGTCCCTGAGGAGATGGTTGACCACCAGAACAGCCAGAAACATCGAGACAGTCTGTAGCGAATCAAAGAACAAAGTCATTGGCTCTCCAATGCACCATCCAACAATCACCAAGAACGGGATCGCAAAGAGGCCAATCTGCAAGAGACTATCGATAATCACCCGAATCGCAGAGTCGGTGTCCCCGGATTTAGACGATGCAACCACAGTCACGCCTTCGGTACTGTTACTTGCAAGTGGGATAAAGACGATCGCAATGAATACTTCCGACACACCGAGTGCCTGTGCCATGTCTCCGGTACTTTCGATGAGGAGTTCCGTGCAAAAGATAGTAGCCGCAACGGCCGTCGTAAGCCGAATGATAGACGAAGCCATACTTGGCGTATGATTTAGTCCGGGCTTTGACTCATCTTCATCGTCGCTGGCTTCGCTATCATTCGAGATGAAAAGATGCTTGTGAGTGCCGAGGTAGAAGTAAAGGTAGCCTGCGTATAGAGCCAGCAACACCACTGCGGTTCCTCGCGAGAAAGAAAGCACTCTGTCGTCAATCTCGGACACCGGAAAGGTTGAGTACAAAGCTGTTGGTAGGAGGAGTGCCACGGCTGTGATCATCATCAGTGATGACAGTGTCTTTGCCAGCGCGCTGTTGAAAAGTAGCACGTTCTTGTTGTAGGATGCAGTGATCAAACAACAGCCGAAGACCTGTAGACATCAGTCCTGGAAATTAAGATTGCGAGATTGATACTGACAAGTAGGATATCTGAAAGAATACTACCAACCATGACAGACTGCGCGAATCCGATCTCGCCATGCACCAACGCAAGAATGCCCGCCTGGTCTCAATCAGCACTTTGATAGGATCGGCCGTAAAGGCCCTTAAATTCATGGGAATATCTCACTGTTAGCTCGACTGTGTTTCCGAAAGTAGCGCTGAGCAATGCACCCTGCAGCTCCCCCAGATGCTCAGCGAGCTCGTCACTGGAGACTGAGATTGACTCGGACAAGAAGACGATTGCCACGATATTGACTACCAGAACTATTGTCGCGTTCCAGTGAAAGAGCTTGGCAGCACCCGCCACAGGGAGTAGCATCATCACCGGTAGGCTGGGGCTGAAGTTGAGTCCCTGCGTAGGCATATTGAACCATTCTTGGACCCGAGTTCCGAGGTCGTGATGTGGTTCTTGGCAGGAGTGTATGTCTCGCGAGGGAGACATAGAAGACATATTGGAGGTTTCCAAGGTTGAAGTGAAGTCAAACCAGGGACTCGCAATGCTTAAGTTGCGACCGGGGAGAACATGTTACCGTTAGTACTCCGTATGTTTACCCGATATACGGTATGGATTGGTATAGAGTGGTAATCAGCCCTATGACGGGTATAATACAGCCCTATTACTAGCGTGAACATGATCCCCACTTTTGTGTAGGGCTGACCCATTTACCCGCAAGGCAACCACATTTTCCACAGGGCTGAGCTATAATTACATCCGTCCGGTTCATCCTCATTTGCTGTCAAAATGAGATCGCCATACGTTTTTGTATAATTACCATACCCCTCTTTCGTGCTCTCCTTACGTCTTCCCCCTTTCCCCACCTTGGCAATGTACGCATTACTCTAGCAATTACTGTTCTCTTAATATCCTGATACTCTGTCATCCCTAAGAGCCGCATACTGGACCAATTTTGATTCCATCTCCAGTCCCAATCCTCCCTCATCCGAAGATCACCCGGCACAGATAAGACATTCCGAACCCGCTTATCAGATCGCCCACAACGCAATCGACCCCGGCTTTGCGCGGTCGCCGCCCCATTGCCCGATATCTATGGACGACCACCCGTCCCTCGAGACGCTTCAAAAGAGAGTCCACGAGCTCACAGCAACATACCATGCCCGAGGCTGGACAACCGAAGCCACAGCCCTGGAGACGGCCATCGAAACAGCCAGCAACCGCATACAGCCCGACACCTCGGACCCAGCAACAATAACCCTCGACGAACTCACCGTCTGCGTGAAAAGATGGCTCTATGCCAAATCATGGATCGTTGCTGAAGACCTCGGCATCCTGGTCCTGGATACATGCGAGAGCTTAAAGGGCGAGCGAGACTCCATGGCCATGACAGCAATGAACAATCTCGCATCCGCACACTGGGGCCGCGGACAATTAGAGCAAGCCGCAGCACTACACAAACGCGTCACAGCTCTCAGACAAAATTTCCTTGGCGAATCACATCCGCAGACCCTCGCTTCGATGACGAATCTCGCGTCCACGTACCGGAGCCAGGGTCACTGGGACGAGGCGCAGAAATTGGACGCCAGGATCGTGGAAGTTAAGATCGAGACCCTTGGTCGGTGGCATGCATCGACGTTGAGTTCCATGTCGAACCTCGTGATCTCGTACACGCATCTCGGTCGATATGAGGAAGCGGCGTCGATCGCGCGCCAGCTTATCGACCACGGCGAAGCACAGGGGTTACCGAAGACTCATCCTTCGTTATTGAACTGGAAGCTTAGTCTTGCGTCAACGTATCGGGATCAAGGGCAGTTGGACCCAGCGGAAAAACTCGAGCGGGAGCTTGTTGCTGTCAGCGTTGATGAGTTTGGGACCCATGATTCCTTCACACTGACTTGTATGGCGAACTTGGCTTCGACGTATCGGGAACAAGGGCGCTGGGCCGATGCAGAGCGTCTTGAGAAGGAAGTTGTTGCGAGCAGTGAGAAGATACTTGGCGAAACGCATCCGCAGACTCTCATGTCGATCAGTAATCTTGCTTCAACATATCGGAGTCAAGGACGACTTGAAGAGGCTAAGAACTTGGGGGAAAAGGCGACGGCTGTGTTGAAAGAGGTTCTTGGAGAACGACATCCGAATACGCTGGTCGCAATGGTGGATCTCGCTGTGACGTATCAATTGAGGCGACAGTCGCCGGAGGCGGAGGTGCTGGCGGCTCATGCGTTACGCTTGATGAAAGAGACGATAGGTGAAGACCATCCATTCACGTTGAGCGCAATGGCCAATTTGGGCTATATATACCAGTCACAGAGCAAATGGGATGTTGCCGGTGGAATGGCTGAGAGTGTTCTTGCGCGCAGAGAGAGAACAATTGGGAAAGATCATCCTGACACGTTGGCTGCATTGGAGGATTTGAGGAGAGTGGCCTATGTAGAGGCTGCGGACCGCAATGCTCAGAGTACGTTGAATTAGACTCTTCGGGTGTGGGGAGGCGTTAGGTATCTTCACCGGTAGTGCATGTTCACCGTTAGCCGTTTTTTTATGAGACCAATGACCAATCAATTCGTTTTATGTGTGATTCTGGGAGTCTGGGGGCCAGGCAGCCTTGTGAGCTGGTCTTTTGTCACGCACAGCCTCCCTGCCAAGGCCCCAGGACTGTCGACAATAGTGTTGTGCAATGTTTGAGGATCGACTGGCTCCTGAGGATATGATGTTCTTAAGCACAGCCCTACGATCAATTTAGCTGCCTATTCTGCAGTGAATCTAGTTTCAATCGAGTTGCATATGAATGTAGTCCGTAGGTTTGCTGTCCAATGCCCAGTCGTTTTGAGGGGTCCGACAGCCGCACCACCTGTGGACACGTCGGGCGCATGGAACTGCACTCGGATAATAAATATTGAGTAACCATGTATTGTTCAAAATAGTTCTGAAGATTGACCCGACACCTTGGAAGTACGGAGACAATACCTCTCCTTGGAAGGAAGCCACACAGCAATAAGGTACATGCTGATTTGGTACTAAGTACTTGTAGATTATGCCGGCAACCTTGGAAGCTAGTACTCCGTACGGTGTAGTACTAGCAATGCAAAGAGCTCTAAATGAAGGATTAGCATATACAAGGCTTTTACTTCGGTTCTTCTCTACTACAGAGTCCAAACCCAACCTCCCGTCTAAAACACTCCGAGCCCCACTTCTCGCTTGACGCGCAAGTGTTACAATACCGTCTTGCTAATTTACCGGTATTGGTATTTTCAGACCTTTTTGTGATTCCAGGTCTCAATTCCCCCATGACCCAGCATGACATTCTTGAATGGGTCTCGAGTACCTACTCTATGGTCGCGCATAGTGAGTATGAAACCCACAGTCTAGAATCGACCCTCACCGAGAATCAGAGAAAACCTCGACCGAACCCTACCACCGAGCAATCCAGCTCAACCTTAGCGGGCTTCTCCCTGGACCCCGACACGCTAGGCGATGTCGTCCAAGCTAAAAACCTCCGAGAGATCCAGACTCTGGGTGGTGTGAGGGGACTGGAAGATGCCCTGCAAACCGATGTCCATTCGGGCCTGAGCCTGAACGAGATTCATCTGGATGCGGTCGTGGTGTCAACAAGTACTGCATCCACGGAGAAGGTCACTACCCCTGAGCATCCTGTCGATACGCATCTACATCAGGAACCTTTTGTGGACCGAAGGAGATATTTTGGGGACAACCGGCTACCAACAAAACCATCCCCGAGCTTCGTATCGTTGATGTGGGCTGCATATAACGATCACGTTCTGTTCCTTCTGACCGGCGCCGCAATCATCTCACTTGCTTTGGGTCTTTATCAGACTTTCGGCACCAAACATTCTGCGGACAACCCCCCTGTCGAATGGGTCGAGGGCGTCTCGATTCTGGTCGCTATTGTCGTGATCACTCTTGCAGGTGCAGCCAACGATTACCAGAAGGAGTTCAAGTTTCGGAAGCTCAATAAGAAACAACAAGATCGGAACGTGTGGGTGCTGCGGTCCGGGCGGACTCACGAAGTTCCCATATCAGACATTGTCGTCGGTGATGTCGTCCACATCAACCCAGGCGACATCGTGCCTGCAGATGGAATCTTGATCAGTGGTCACCAGGTCAAGCTAGACGAGTCAGCAGCAACTGGGGAGTCTGATCCAGTAGATAAGCACACCGTCGATACAGTCCGCGATGCGTCTGAACAAATTGACCCGTTCATCCTTTCCCATACCAAGGTTGTGGAAGGTGTCGGTGTTTACCTCGTGTTGGCAGCAGGCACAAGATCCAGCTATGGAAGAGTACTTCTTTCCCTTGACACAGATCCTGGCTTTACACCTCTCCAAGTCCGACTGAGCTCTTTAGCTAAGAACATCGCCCGGTTCGGTGCCCTTGCAGCGCTGGTACTTTTCGTCATTCTATTCATCAAGTTCTGTGTCAGCCTTCGCAACAGTACTGAGTCAGCTTCGGAGAAAGGACAGGCCTTCTTGAACGTGTTCATTCTAGCATTGACGGTCGTTGTTATTGCTGTCCCAGAGGGACTTCCGCTGGCAGTGACGCTGGCACTGTCTTTTGCCACTACGCGCATGATGCGAGACAACAATCTGGTTCGGCAACTTCGCGCATGCGAGACTATGGGCCAGGCAACGGATATTTGCTCAGACAAGACTGGTACTCTGACACAGAACGAGATGACAGTTGTGTCCTGTTTCTTTGGTCCCAACTCATCCACTGATCCGTCAGATTCCACCGTGGAAATTGAGACAAGCCGTCTCTCTGGTCAATCTGCGTCACACTTAAGACAATCTATTGTCATCAACTCGACGGCAATTGAGAGCCGGGAGGGATCTGGCCGTCAATTTCTGGGCTCTCAGACCGAGGCTGGACTTTTGAGATTTGCGCAAGACTATCTGGGACTTGATCAGTTGGACACTGAAAGATCTAACGCAGAGGTCGTTGATCTTCTCCCATTCGATGCCTCTCGCAAATACATGATCACGATCATCAAGCTTCCTGGCGGGTCATATCGAGCTTACCTAAAAGGTGCCCCAGAGATGCTTCTCCGAAAATGTGCTACCATATCAGCACCACCAGGAGAGCAGCATCAAGTCACATTGAGTGACCATGTCATTGAGGGGATTCACTTAAAGATCTCCGAATACGCCTCACGCTCGTTGCGTACTATCGCTATCTGCTATCGTGATTTAGACGCATTGCCTGAGAGTGGTGGCGGTATAGACTTTGAGCAAGTGATGCAATCATTGACATTCCAAGGTATCCTAGGTTTACAGGACCCTCTCCGAGCCGACGCATGGAGTGCTGTGGATACGAGTCACAAAGCCGGACTAACAGTCCGAATGGTCACCGGCGATAACCCACTGACGGCTCGAGCTATTGCTCAAGAATGCGGAATTATCAGCAGTCCCGATGACATAGTGATGGAAGGTGACGAATTCCGCAAACTTGACGAATCACAACAGAAAGAGATCGTTCCACGCCTGAAGGTTCTGGCCCGGTCACGCCCAGACGACAAGCGAGTCTTGGTTCAGCGACTGAAAGATCTCGGCAGAGTCGTAGCCGTGACCGGCGATGGAACGAACGATGCCCCAGCCCTCGCAGCCGCCGACATCGGATTCTCCATGGGAATATCGGGTACCGAAATTGCCCGCGAGGCGTCCTCAATCGTGCTGATGGACGACACGTTCTCATCAATTGTCAAGGCAATCATGTGGGGCCGAGCTGTCAGCGACGCAGTGAAGAAGTTCCTCCAGTTCCAAATTACAATCACGTTCACTTCCGTCGGGCTGGCTTTTGTTTCGGCAGTGGCTGATTCCTCACAAGAGTCTGTTCTCACCCCCGTTCAGCTCATGTGGGTAAACCTATTTCAGGACACACTTGCTGCTCTGGCTTTAGCGACTGATCCTCCTCCTCGGCGAATTCTTGATCGAAAGCCTGAGCCAACATCAACCCCGTTGATCACGCCTACGATGTGGAAGATGATCATTGGTCAGTCTATCTATCAGATGGTCGTGACACTCGTTCTTTACTTTGCTGGCTCGTCGATATTTTCTTATCACGGCGCTCACCAAACGTCCCAACTGCAGACTGCCGTCTTCAACACCTATGTCTGGATGCAGATCTTCAATATGTACAAGTACGTGTAATCCCTCTGGTGTATTTTCTACGACTAACATTGATCAGCAACCGCCAAATTGAACGATCATTCAATCTCGTCGAAGGACTGCATCGCAATTGGTTATTCATCGCAATCACTTCCATCATGATGGGTGCACAGATCTTGATCATGTTTGTGGGCGGACGCGCATTCTCAATCACAACTTTGACTGGGGACCAGTGGGCTTATTCTTTAGTTCTTGGTGCCATCTCCATTCCCGTGGGATTTCTTTTACAGGCTGTCCCTGATGTCATTGTTGAGAAGCCAATGGCAGGCATCGCAGGCCTTTGGGAGCGATTGCGTCGTCGATCGTGACCTTCGCTCTTTTGTTTTCTTTTCTTTGGTATATTGTACTCTGATATTCAACCATAATCTAAAATTCCATGACATCAATGGAATATATCCAACATTCAGAATTGGTAGCTAGCTTATACCGCCATATAACCTTGGAACCTTGGAAGCCGCCTTACATGGCGTATTCTAACAAAAAAACCTTTGTCAAAAATTGCAGTTTCTCGCAACGGATTCCAAGGTTGTCCCCTAATATCAGATTGATAGAGGTTATATGATTATTCGAGCAATTCATCCCAAACTCTCCCATGTAAATTGATGACTAAATTAGACTAATGAGGAGATATGCAAAGCCCACTGGAAAAAAGCGCAGCGTTCGTGTATGACATATTACTCCAGCGAGGGCAGTGGGGTCAGTCTTTGTCTGAGGGCGTCGAGTAGGGGGTCGTAGATTGGGCCCGGGCCAGGATCTGTCAAGTCCAGCTGATCCATCTCTTCAACTGCCAAGCACCCTTTGGACGTTGAAAGCGGCCTGTGACTGGCGGGCTATCACGTTCCAGCTTATTGCTTGCCCCCATGCATTATCCTCGGGCCTTCTATGGTGGCAGATGAGGTACAAAGAACAAGATCCCCAAATAATGTCACTCCCACTCCGCATTCCAGATGGACTGCGCAACTCTCTCCAGATCTGCCCTTGAGAATATCAGATCATTTTCGGCACCTCTTCCAGTCTCGATTGGTTGCAACATCAGGCTTTCGAAGGGGATGTGAAAGGGGCAATCTCCGGTCACTATTGGGTGGACTTGTTTCGTCATCTGCGTGTATGTAACCTGATTGCGATAGATGCGGTAACTACCGTGGTGAACCTCGTGTCGTATCCAACTTTCCAATCGAATCTCGTCATTTCCACGATCGACTCGAACCGTTAAACACATCTTGACATTCCCATCATTGGGACTCAACCAATAACGGACATCCGAATTGAGTTTGTGATCATGCTCAATTTCCGCCACTTCGATCACAACTGAGGGCATTTTGGGCTCAGCGAAACCACATTGACAGCGTCTTCTTTTTGGACACCAACCGTAGTCGGGCTGTTTTCCTCTAGTATTAATTTTGCCGATAACTGTAGCGCTAGGGAACCCTTGGATGGCATTGTATAGGCCCATTGGCATAAGCTTCTCTCTTATCAAGGCATTGATCTCGTCTGCAGCGGCAGCGCGGGTTCGGGAAGGCTTCTTCACAAGTAATAATTCCTCCTTGATGTCGAATGAGGAAATGAATTTGGGGATATCAACGGTTGATTGACTGACGATAGTCTTAATTGACTCTTTTCCGGAGTAGAGAATGAAATGATCGGTTGCGTTCGAGGTCTCAGAGTCAATAATGTCACGCATTTGACGTTCTCCGTCGTAAGCATATGCTTTTGTCAATGGAAGTAGATCGTTAAGGAAGCCACGATCAAGAATATCGAGTTCGAAAACATGGTGGTCACTATTGAATTGGCGATTCATCCTGAGCGCCCTGGATTCATAATAGCACTCGCGAGATGATTGAGAGTTTAGCATAGCACACAATCATAAAGTATTTGCGGCATAGGGCAGGCGTTATCAAGCCCTGTACATGTAAGCAGGTCGTCTCTCATGATGACGACAAGGGCCTCAGTGCCGCGCTCACGCGCGGCCAAAAATGCGGTTGTAGGCCTACATAACAGCTGTTTGATGATAGAAGCCACGGAGCTGCAGTCTTTTGAATCAGTATGAATCAAGCAATGCTTAACAGACGAGCCTCCGCTGATCAAATGACAAAGAGAACAGATTTATGCGCACCAATACTGGAAGTAACGCAGTATGATAGGGATGTTGTAACCCCCGGTCATATCTTCATTGCCCCAGCAAATGTGTCGGCCAGCAATTCTGGGCCATATATTTACACCGGCTCTGGAGCAGAGGGCGGGAAAGACTGACCCCCGCACCACAACAAGTGATGACAGGCTGATATGCGGAGAAGAAGCACAAATTGCTCCAAAACAGTATATTCTGGCTGTCGAAGCAAAAAGACCGACCGGGGAAAAGGAGGGAGAGAGGGAGAGAGCTGTCTAACTAGCCAAAAAGGGGGTCATCTGACCTCCCAACAAAAAGATCTCTTTCTCTCTCCTCAAGTCCACCACAATACATACCATGCACGATCATGCATCTCCTGCTCTCATGCTCTCGACACCGTCGCATCTGCACGGAATCGGACTGCCTCAACTCAGCCACGTGTAGATGCAATGCAGGGAGATCACCGGTTGGGATAATAGATACTCCGGTGGGGGCGGAATCCAAGATGACACCAGCTTTGTCTTCAGACTCAAGTATTGAATTTCATCTCATGCTCCCAGAGATCTGAAATCACAAGTACCTGGGCAGTCCGGTTTACGTACTCCCCATGTTTCGGCAATAATGAGGCATCAAACAACGTTTGGGGATTCGAACCAGGGGTTTCAGCTTGGCATCAACTACGGACAATTTACTAGTGAATTCCATTCGCATGTTGGTGAGTCGACCCAACGCCTTGCAACAGATATGCTTGAGATCCATGGATATCTCAAGAAATTCCCGAAAGTTCCACCAATGATCAGTGTGGATCTCAATCTTATCACACGTTGCCCCGGTGACCCAGTTGGTACTCCCGAGAACGAGGTTTAACGCCCCGTCGCGGGTTACCCTACTACCTAACCGTGGAACGACGTTCACTATTGGTCATGAATATTGTGATCACTGTGGTGTGTTCGGAGATGGCGGTCGGGGTGTTGGTCAGTCACTGAGAAAATGCAGAAGCTGATGATATCAACCAGATCCACATCGCGCGGACCAGAAATGTTTACGCGATTTGAAAACCAGCGACCCACGCGAGGATAAAGATCGCATCACAGAAATCAAAGGAGGTCTTCTCAAAGACGTATTCCAATGGGTGCTCGAGAATCACGAATTCAATGATTGGCGAAATGATGAAGACAAACGAATCCTCTGGATAAATGGTGATCCCGGCAAAGGGAAAACAATGCTATTATGTGGACTTCTCGACGAGATGCCAAAGCTAGAAATCGCAGCTGGATTTGCATACGTCTTTTGCCAAGCGAATAATTCTCATATGAACGATGGAACCTCGGTTCTCCGTGGAATCATCTACATGCTTGTCACGGAGAACCCTTCTTTGCTCCAAAAGGTCCGAGTCAAGTACGACCAAAGCGGTAAGGATTTGTTCGAAGGCACGGATGGGTGGTGGAATATGGTGAAAATATTCACCGGTATCTTGGCACAGTTATCAAAGACTTACATTGTTGTTGACGCTCTTGATGAGTGTACCTCGAACCTGACATATCTTCTGAACCTCATGTCATCCGAAACTGCGAAGTTTCCACATGTCAGGTGGATAGTTTCCAGTCGGCCATGGCCCATGATCAGAGAGCGACTCAAAAGTGAGACTCAGAAGTCAGTTCTGTCGCTGGAGGACAACGGTGAACTAATTTCTTTCGCCGTTGCGAAGTACATTGGCTTCAAGACCGACGAATTGGCAAAGCTCAAGGACCTCGACTCGCAAGCACAAGACACAATTCAGAAACGCTTACTTTTTGCAGCTGAAGGAACTTTCCTATGGGTAGCTTTGGTCTGTAACGATCTCGCCAACACTGAGGCATGGAATGTGATGCAAGTGTTGGAGTCACTTCCGCAAGGCATAGATGCATTGTACCGACGCATTGTGGACAGAACTAATGACTCCAAAGATTCGAAGCTTTACAAGCAGATCTTAGGTGTCATTCTCACTGTTCACCAGCCTATAACTGTCAATGAAGTGTTTAATCTTGCTGACTTATTCGAGTCCCGGTCAAAAGCTCATTTAACTGCAATAATAGAGTCTTGTGGCTCATTTCTCACCATCCGCCGAGATACGGTCTACTTTGTACATCAATCCGCTTCCGAATTCCTGCTCAATAATGCGCATGAGACTATGCTCTTTAGCAGCGTTGATGTCATGCACGGCATGATAGCTCGCCAGTCGTTATAAAGGTTGTTCAGAGTGCTCAAGAGAGACATATATGGCATCAAAGACCCAGGATGCGCTATCGAAGGTACCACAAAACCTGAACCGGACCCTTTGGCCTCAGCAAGATATGCCTGCATTCACTGGGTTGATCACCTCGAAGTTGCAATCGATTTCCTCAAAGCCCCAGAGCTCAATGAATTCTTCGGGTCCGAGGGTCTTGTCAGCGAATTCTTGACCAAGAAATATCTCTCATGGCTTGAAGCATTGAGTATTTTTGGTAGCGTGTTCGAAGGAATTAGTGCTATTTTGAAGCCCGAGCTCCTGCTGAAAGTTAGTCTCATATTCAGTCGCGGGAATGAGTCAATCTAATGTTATGAAACAGAAACTGCAGAATGATCACCCACTCTCACTGCGCGCACACGACGCTTCACGCTTTATACGATACCACCCACCTGCGATCGAGAGCAGTCCTCTACAAGTATATTTCTCGGGGTTGACTTTCACGCCTTCTCAAAGCTTTGTTCGCAGCAGTTACCAGGGCGACAGACCTCCTTGGATGCTAAATGAAGCTATGAGGAATGCCCATTGGATTCGGTGTTTGCAGGCCCTCCAAGAGAACACAGACTGTATCTACTCGGTTGCTTGGGGTCCCAATGGTGAGCTCGCGTCAGGATCATCTGATCGAATAGTGAGGACATGGAACTCTCACACAGGAAAACGCATAGCAGCTTTGAAGGGACATCAAGACACGGTCTCCTCGGTTGCTTGGTCAAAACACGGGGTCCTTGCTTCTGGATCATCCGATGGGACGGTCAAGATATGGGATACAACGACGAAACAATGTCTCCTCACGTTGGAAATTGGCAATGGTCGGGTTTTCTTGATAGACTGGTCCCCTGATGGTGTCCTGCTTTGCTCCGGAGCCGAGGAAGGCTTCATCAAGATCTGGGACACAGTCTCCGGGGCCTGCAAATCATCTATGAGAGCCGAAACAAATAGCGTGGGCTCAGTCTCCTGGGGACAAGATGGCCGACTGGCAACCTTTTGTGGCAATGTGATCCGGGTTTGGAACCCTCTTACTAAGAGATGTATCTCAACTATCTCGGGATGCGGAGTGGTTATCCGCTCACTTGCTTGGTCTTCAGATGGGCAAATAGGAAGTGCCTGAGACAGCCGAATCTCTGCCGTGTGGCTTCCAAGGTCTGAGCTATGCCGTGCAAGCTTTAAGGGACACGAACATTGTGTCACCTCTGTTGCCTGGTCTCCGAAAGGGACTCTTGCTTCTGGTTCGTTGGATGAAACTATCAAGTTTTGGGATCCATTGGCTGGGAGGCATATTGAGACTTTAGAGGGACATGGAGGCCCAATCATGTCGATCGATTGGTCAAATGATGGGAGGCTTGTCTCTGCTTCCTCTGATGGTGCCATTAGGCTTTGGGACACAACGGGAATCGAGGAAAAGCCGGCTTTGAGCCGATGTTATCACCTTGTTTTGTCCATTATTTGGTCAGGGTTTGCAACATTTGTTTGGTGCATTGCACAAGGACAAGATAAGAAAGGGCCAATCTCTTGGACTAACTATTCAAGTGGAACAACTTACAACCCACTGACCAAGAAGTTCGAACCCATCAAGGTCCACAAGACTGACAAATTCAGAATGACCATGGCCTCCGTCTTCTGGATAGTTCTTTTCTTCAACAGCCGCTCGGTGCTCATGTTTGCTGTTTACTTTATGCTGATCGTGTCAACCTGCTCAATTTTATGGCGAAATCGTATCGTCAGAATTTGGGTTGCTCATCGAGGAAGTGGTATAATCAAGACACCTATGGATGGGGAGCAAAAGTCAGTCACCGATCTCGCATGGTCACCGGACAAAGGATTATTGGCATCAGGATCTCGAGACTCCAATGTCAAAATCTGGAGTGCAGAGACTGGGAGACGTATCTTGACACTCAAAGGGCATTTCCTCTGGGCGAAGTGCGTTAGCTGGTCGCCCAAGGGGTCTTTGCTGGCATCCGGATCGCTCGATGGGACTGTCAGGTTGTGGGACCCAGTGTCTGTACAGTGTACAAATACAATCCAAGTTGGAGAAGGGGAGCCTGTTCTTGATGTATCCTGGTCATCTGATGGGACACTATTGGTAACCGTTTCAATGACACCTGAACGTGGCGTCAAAACCAGGATCAGAGTTTGGACGAAGAACACTATGGAATGCATTTTCATGCTTGACGACAGAGAGAAAGATGATGTGTTCTTTGATTCGAAGGATCCAAACATCCTTCACACAAGTGGAGTGGCGTTTGATATAAGGTCGGGCGACCCGATGAAGCATATATTAAAATCTCCACATCGCCCTCTGGTCGAGGAGGGTCCTTTTGCAATCAACGAGGATTTGTCTTGGGTGACATACCATGGCGAGAAATTGATTTTCTTGCCTTTGGAATATCGATCACCAATCTGGTTTTCAAATGGGACAACAGTTGCGATAGGCTGTTCCTCCGGTGAAGTAATGATCTTGTGTTTTTCCGATTTTGGCCGGTCCAGCAATACGGGCTCTGATGGACCCAGCCGTTCTTGATGACCATTTTGACACCTGGAAAACACCTTCAAAACATCACCATGAGAGACTTTTTCCTGCATTTTATTGTCAAGAACTAATCACATCCGCTTTCTCATTTTCTCACCTCTCTTCTTCTCCTTGCTGCATTTAGATCTTCGGTGATTCGGACCAGCTTCAAACTTAGACCTTTTCATCCCCATGCTCCCAAGCGGACTTAGTGAAAGCAGAATTTCCACGGTAAAATTTGCAATAAAACACGAAAGCATGAGGATCCGGAGCTGCTCGTACGGCACAGAAATGAATGACTAGAATGTTGGTTTGTAGGATTAGCATTGCTCGTCATAACCGCGCCAACCGCGTTGCCGCGCTTGCCGTGGTTTGATGACCTCAGTCGCAAAGTCATCAGCAAGCAGCCTTCCCATCTTTTATCATTTCTCTCTTTCAATCTACTTAAAGGTCTTATTTAATTTCATCAAAAATTTCATCTAGGTTTTTGTTTTTACTTGGCCAGGTCGTATCGCACGAAAATATAATTTTTTATGCAAAGATCTAGTAAATCATCATCAAAAGTCTATGAGATGTCATTTCCGAAGAAGAATTAATGTTTAGAAAAAATATGAATGCCAATGCCAAAAATGAAAAACGTTCAAGCACCGAAATGGGGCGCGTTGAGAACCAGACCCATGAGACAACCACCAATGGTGCCAGCGATGGGAATAGTCATGATCCAAGCAAGCAACAAAAGACCAACACGTTGGAAGTTGACAGCCTTGAGAGATCCATTGCACAGACCGACACCGACGGTGGCACCAGTAATGCACATCGAGGTGGAGACGGGCAGAGAGTATTGGGAGAAGACCAAGACGGTAATGGCAGCGCCCATCTCCATGGAGGATCCACGGGAAGGTGAGTGGTATGTAATCTTGTTACCCATGACTAAAAAAATTGTTAGTGAATGCGGATAGTAATTAGGAAAATAGAGAAACATACCCTTCATGATGTTGTAACCGTATGTGCAGAGACCGATGGAAATGCAAATGGCCAGGACGGCGAGTTGCCACACAGGCACGGGAGACTTGGAGGCAGCGGGTGTACCAGTGGACCAGGCAGAGTAGATAGCAGCCCAGGGACCGACAGAGTTACCAATGTCGTTGGCACCGTGAGCGAAAGAAGCAGTGCAAGCAGTGATGATCTGAATGAAAGAGTAGGTATGCTCGACCTCGTTGGGGTACTTCTCGGCAGCGGCGTAGACGCGCTTCATGCGCTCACCCTCGGGAGTACCGTGGATACCACTCTGGGCAGAGTGAATGTCGTAGTGGAAACCGTACAGGAGACCAACAGTGATAATGGCAGGAAGGCGCTTGAGCATGCGTTTCATGTTGCGGAGCTCGTAAATCTCACCGGCGCCCATAGGGTTGTCGCGCAGGAGACGCATGGCCCAGCCCAGAGGGCCGCGGCTTTGGAGGAGCTTGGCGTTGTGGCGGGCTTCGGACTGGGACATGAGCTCGCGGTAAGAGAGCTGGTTGGCCTCGAGCTTCTCGACGGACCGGCCGTCGGTGGAGCCGGGGATAGAGGCAACTCCGGTCTTGACTTCCTTCTCGTCAACGTGGATGTGGCTCTCGTCTTCGGGCTCATCTTGCATGACGGCGTAGTTGGGTACCTTGGCGGACTCGCCTTCGGTGGGGACGGCACGGTTGAAAAGGAGGGGACCGAGAACGACGTGGTACCACTTGATGGAGGCATCTCTCTTGATGACACGGGAGTGCAACCAAGGGACGAAGAAGAGGGCGGACAAAAGGCAGACACCACCACCAGTACCCATGGTGACAGCGACGATGTAAGAGGCAGGCTTCTTGCTCAGACCCAGGTTGGGCGAGCCCTTGTAGACAATGGACAAAGTGCAAATGGTAGCAGCGACAAGGAAGAAGAAGGGAGCACTCCAGACAGCCCAGGGGATAGGGTTTCTGCGCATGTGCACAAGAACCTTGATGAGCATGAAAATGATAGCACCAAATGCAGCGGAGATGACAGGAGCCATGCCCAGACCTGCGAAGATAGCTCCAAGACCCTTTCCATCGTTCCAGCCCCACTGGACCTGAGAAGCACCAACAGTAGCAACACCGACGCCAGCGACGGCAGAGATAAGGGAGTAGGTGGAGGAGACGTGGGCGGAGTGCTTTGTGCACCACATGACCCAGGAGGAGGCAGCGGCAAGGGCACAGGTGAAAGCGAGCATCTGAACACCGGCGTTATCCTTGAAGGCGCTGTTGGGAATGATGCCATTCTTGATAGTATCGGCGGTACGAGCACCGACAGTGACTGCTCCAAGGAACTCGAAGACAGTACCCAGAACCATAGCCTGGCGATAGGAGATGGAGCGAGAGGAAACACTAGTAGCCCAGGAGTTGGCAACATCGTCTTTCAGGGGTTAGTAGTTGATATGATACATGGATGACAGGAGTACTCACTTGCACCGTTGTTGTATGCATCAAGCATGGCAAACAAGGTGCCGATGGCGAAGATGTAATCGTACTGGTGGAGATACATCTTGAAGGCTTGATGAATTCAAGTCAACCTCAAGTCCAAACTGAGTGGCTGAGTACTAGGTTTTGGTTGCACGAAAGAAGAAGAAATCAAGACGAGGCGGCTGGACTTTATGTACGATCAATTACACCCGGCTGAACTAACGCGTCCCATATACCACCTCAAGCGACATGGGCTCCGATGCACGATTTGCCCGGTAAGCCTTGCCCAGGCCTTCCGAATTGGGACATGCTGCACACACGTGCGGTGCAGACTCACAGCGAGAGGGCCTCTGGCATGGCATTCTTGGCGACAAGGCAGCCCAAACCCAATCTCTGTGAGGATAGGTTTGGGGGCGTTTGGTGTCACGCAATGAGACTGGCCGCCAAGGAAGAAAAGCTCGTTTTCCGCAAGCTTAGGGTCTCAAGCAAATTGGACAAGGCCTTGGCATCCAGTGTCGGGGCGGGCTCGATATCGGAGAACCATATCAAACGGGGGTTACATAGTAAAGGAACCTGCGGTGATTGGCTGCCATGACGTGACTTTCTGGGTGCGGCTCTTGGCGGGGGTGGGGCACGGCCCGCCCGTTGTCCTATGAGCACACCCGCAGCCCACACGTGGGTGTATAAGAGGTTCGGACTTTCAACTCTCTCTTACACATTTCGCGCATGGCTGCTCGCCTGCTTCTGCTGTTCTAGAATTATCTTCTTTGGTTCAATTGCCCGAGCGGGCATTCCGAGCACGTGTCTACATTTGTTAACTTCCTAGGTATGGCATCGCGTGAGCGTCTGTTGCCTCAGGTTAGACAACTAGATCTCGTCGTGGAGATCAGATTGACCGGTCGCAGACTCACAAACCAAAAGTATCGGAGATATGATCGCCCATTTGGATTGAAAACTATACGGAGCAGGTGTTCTCGTACTCAGTCAGCTTGGAGGCGCTCACATCTTACATTCTGTTAAAGTAAAAACGCCACCTGGTTCGCATGACCCTCGGCAGGGACCAATTGCATACAGCGCTATCTAATTGGCCCCGGGGCCAGCTTTAACTGTGCTCGATGGATCCTCGACCCAGTCAAACGTTCATCGTCCCCCGGTTGCCCCAAGAAGTCAATCTGATAGGCCCGAGGAATCTTCTATTTACTGCTGGCTGACACTAGCTCTTCTCTGGGGATTGCCACCCACAGTCCAAGCCAGCCTATCGGAACATATACAGACATCGACGTTCAGCTCCGGTTAATCCCAACCAAGATCTTTTGCACAAGTCAAATGAGACTTCGAGCGCGTGGCAATTTCTGTTGTGAACTCGCCTATCGGAACACAAAAGATTCATTGAGCCTAGCACGGGTTTTCTGTGCCCCCTTTGCCACACTGAAGCATGCTATTCTGGGCCGTACACGGTAGACGCCAATCTCAATTACCGGACCCAAATACCGTGCGCGACCCACCCAGATCCCACGTGGTGGAGTGTCCGTTTGGATGCATGAGAATGCATGACACCAACATGCCACTTCCTTTTATTGCTTAGGTCTTTTCCAGAACTTCCACTGAATGTTGCTTCCTGGGGGACGTGAGCTTCGCATCTCCCCACCGCCAAGGGTCGACCACACGATTGTCAAAATAGTTGGAATCGTTTGAGCGTCAGACACTCCTGTTTTGCAAGATCCCTACGTGGCCTGCAGTCCTCAAATCAGATCGAGAATCTTCAATGGTTGTTGAGACAATGCTACATATCCAGGAGCAACTCATCTTATTGAAACGCTCTCAATTTGCATCACTTTTGCAATTGAGAGGTATTCCAGGATTCTCTCTCTGATATCATGTTCCAGGTATGTGAAATTCTAGCAGCCATCATTTGTTATAGGAAGTGTCTCGACAACCATGGAAGACGATAAGACTCACCTGCCATAATTCAATGATAATCATACAGATATCACATCCCTCCTCTAGCTAAACACTCAGCCTGCTTATGTTCCCTACCTTGCCGTGTTTCAAACCTTGGAACTTCCCAGACCGGGTCATTTATCTGACTCTTACCTCCTATCGAAAATACACGAAACTTGGCACAGCAAGGATACCAAAGAATTTGAAAAAGTTTCGCTGAAGAGGATATAATCTCGGGGAACATATACAGCATTCAGGCCGCCCAGGTTCGAATCATTGACTCTCTCCGAGGCCGCGAAATTGAGCCTCTCTACATCCAGCACTGCTCTCTAGCTCGAGCCCCCGGCACAACTGTGATAGATGTTCCGGGTGTTAAATGCTGTGCGGATCACTATTTCCGGAGTCTGGGCTGTCAGTTATCTTACCACCGTCCGGCCCAATACCCTCAGAGGGCACCACTCGGTGATGGCAAGCTCCACCATAAACGAGGCCGGGAAATCTCTCAACCTAGCCGAAGTTGAAGGAGATCCCACCCTTGTAGCCTTAGCTGTGATGGGCAGCAGAGCGATCTTGGAAGCACTCCCGATGTCCCGATGGGAGACACTGGGTGCGCTCACATGAGCATTGTGTAAGATGGGCCAAGCTTGTGAAACAATGAGTAGTGTGCCCGAAGCGAGCCAACGAGATTCTTACAATTCCTCTGGGTAGGGTAGAGATCATTGTCGCCCTCAGCTTAGTTTATACTGTGCTGGAGGGAAATAACCGATACAGATAGTGCACAGACAATAATGAGCCCAGCACAGTGGGATAGAAGCGGCGCCTTGATTTTGTTGTCTATGTAATAATGACCAAAAGCGCAAGTATATTATGGTCTCAGGGCAAAGCTTGACAACTCTTGCCCCTGGCTAGACAACTCCCGGGGTCGTACCCAAGTGGGCTCCCGAGGTCTGAGGTCTTCTTTCTCCCTCCTCTCTTTGCCTCTTTTCTCTCTATACCGATGGCCATGAACTTTGGAAGGCAAGTTCATAGTACAGGGTCTTCATAGTACAAGAAAGAACCTGGCTGCACATTGTCTACTAGCAGTCAGTGCCGAATCCCTTTCATTTCCTTTCACCAGTTGCCTGACTTTGGCCTCAGTCTGGCCTCCCTGTGGGGTCAGAGCGATCTGAGATTTGCCTTAGAACATAATCAAAGTATCTTTCCTTTGTTATCTAGTTATCACTTGGGCGTAAGACCTTGGAAATACTGGTACTATCAGATTGAAAAAGAAAAAAAAATAGTTTCGCTGGGAATCGAACCCAGAACCTTTCCGGAACACTCGCCTATGAGGCAATTGTTAACGGAAAATCATAACCGCTAGACCACGAAACTTGGCAATGAAAATTTCAGTCATTTCTGACATCATGTGCCAGATTGAGCCGCCCCAAAAGTTTTTAAATGCGTTTTTACTTAGGGCTAGACACAACTTCGGGAGGACCTCGGAAATTACTCAGTTTCAGTATAAGGCTTAAGTGATTTGGCTTGCTCATTTCAATTCATTGTTTATTGAACCTTGCTATCCATGTCCCAAGGCTCTCTCTTCCTCTCGGTCACCTTAGAATAGGAATTTCTGTTACGAGGGTCAGATATATATTCAAGTATTTGTCGGATGCATGGAGCGACCTCACCAGTCAGGGTCTTTCACCTAGTCGTCTTCCCAGTCGTCCAGGTCTGCCATGCCCACAGCAGGGATCCTCCGATCCATCGTCGGGGAATCTACACCCGATGGTCCCACCGAAAGCGAGTGTAGACTCCCATCCGTTCCACCCAGGTTTGGTAATGGACGCATGGACGCGCGATATCGAACCAGAAAAGTACATTGGTTGCTTCGATGCATGGGGTGCGAGAACATGCTACTGCAAAGCTGAAATGCCAACGGGCGCTCTCCATGTCGAGATCGACAAATTCCATTAGACCGAGATAGTAGTGAATTCGGGCCATTTCGACCTGATCGATCCACCCACGACCTACGTTGGCTGCGGCAAGGAGCGATTCCTTGGCTGATCGGTAGTCCTGACGATTGAACAAGTACTGCCGAGCTCGCTCAATTTGGCCCTCGAACAGGAGTCGCCTGTAAGCCATCTCAATTTCTGTGCCCGCTTGCGATTTCTCGAGGTCGTCCATGGCGGCTTGGCAACTCTGGGAACCCATGGTGGATCGGAGGAGATCTGCACTGCCGTCTGCTTCAATTATAGCTCTTGAGCGGGGCCAATGGTCAATCGATGGAATCGGTGGTCGGTTTGGTGACTCGGCTAGATCCTCGACGGCCAGCATATCTGTCACGACTTGGATTCGTCTGACTTGATTCCAGCTTGCGTGAATGGCGTCCGCGTTAGAAACGTGCCCTGGATATGATGTTTGCATGAGTAAATGGCTTTCAATTATCGAGTTTCTCAGAAGGTGCTTACCAGGTATTCCGTTTGCTGCCATATCCAAAGTGGAAAGTTGAGAGGCGTAGTGCGTGGCGAGAAGAAAGGGTACGCCGTGGCAAAAGAGAAAGAGGTGGGGGAAGATCTCAGTGGCCCACGCAATTTTGTAAAGCGCACGCGCTCCTTTCCACGGCGCACCCCCAATCCCCCAAAGCTTCTTAAGTTCTAATACCTAAAATGCCTTTTCAAGTAGCCAATTAAGAGATTCAATTGCGGACCGGAATTATTGGCAGTCTGGGATGGGTTTATTAACTGAATCAAACGTGGGTTTAACAACTTATATCCTATCGTTTCTAAATTTTTGACTTCAACATCATATTCTCATATTGTGCACGAAATGGGCACGAAATGGGGAAGCCTAGTTCGAAGTGATGGAAATAATGGCTTAATTGTTAAAGCTATGGGAGATGCCTACTAAATAGCAAGCAAGCAAAACAGCTACTGATATAACGATAGAATCATTGATAATCATGCATCTGAGAGAAGGCAATAAGGAAGTCACAATGAGGGGGCCATAGGCTCCCAGTACACTAGATAGGAGAAATGGAGAAACAGGATAATCCGCGGATGAGATTAATGACGAGGTTTTCTTTTGTAAGAGTATTCAAATACTTTGTTTTCCATGTTCTATTCTATTCTTCTTGCTTCCATTCCAGCAGAGCTTGAGTAGACGCCAGGGAGAAGAGCCAAATTTAGCAACATTTAGGTGTGGCAGACCAGCCATAGCCTTTTGATACACATGGGCCTTTTCACCATATCCAGGCATGTCCAAAACCTGCTCAAATAACCAATAAGCCTCAGTGAAATCCTCGAGGTTCATCGAGATTTGCGCTCTGATGAAGGTAGTCACGCCAGCAACAATCGGAGACTCTGTGTTGTTGAAGGCAATATAAGACTCATTGAGCTTCTCCACAATATCCAAGCTCCCAAGAGCATCATCATACAGACCAATCTCATGTTGAACTGCGGCAACAAAGAGCCGACAGCGCATCTCGTCTATCTCGCATAGGAACGGATTGCTGTTGATGACTCGCCAGGCGAGTTCCATAGCAAGATATGGTCTTCCTCTTCGCAACACTTCTTCGGCATCTGCAAGATAAGGAGACTTACCAGAACAGACCCAGATGTCTTCAATCCAGATCATATCAGGGCCTGGTGGTGAATCCAAATTGGACTCGTCAGAAGTAGAATGTGTTTCAGTCTCATAGGAGGGTGGGTCGACAGGTGCGCTGGTTTTACATGCGTCAGACGTGTCTGTTTCCAGATGATTTGTTTCCAGATGATTCTCAAAACGCTTCTGCAGCCTGAAAAGTGCAGCCATTGTGAGATTGATTTGTTCTTGGAGAATATCAATCTGCTCGTGAGTCACATGGTCCTCTTGTGTGTGATGATCCTCGAGAGGAGTGTAGGATTTAGGGCTTCTACGGAGCCCACGAATGAAATTGAACATCTTTCTGTGGAGAGGAATATGAGGGGTAGCAATCTGTTCCATCTTGTTTAATGTACTCTGCACTTGTCGAGATGACCTGCTATGCATGTGTTTCTGCAAGTGGCATTTGGGCACTTATGTATCAGGGGGGTCTCAAAGAAAGATACTTTTCATAGTTTTTTGAATGAATGGGATATGGATGTGATTGTGAAAGTATATATAGATTATCTCTTTGGTCTTTCAGTCTTCCAAGGTTTGTTCTAAATTGACGGAGAAAGAGCTGTGTAGCCCTTTCATTCCAGTGGGACAATGTGCCTTGGCGCCGATCTCGGGTGTTCCCGCACAGGAAAAACAGTGCAAACAGGGTGGATCAGATCAAATACACCAAACATGGCAAACATGTAAACATTTGAGACAAAACCCAAGGATGCAAACACTGCAAACCAGACAAATGCGACAAACATCGCTATGACCTCACCATCCCAAAGCTCTCCCCACATCTCCGGCTGCTTCATTGGCAAGTTGGGCACGATGCAAACAAAAAGTGGAATGGTCGACGTCAGACGGCATGCTTTATGTGACTCAACATGTAGCTATCGGGGTCTCGCAAGGAAAGAATACCCGCAAAAGCCGCTCGATCGATCAGGCCACGGTTCTAGACTTGCGGGGGGTACCTGATGCAAACACCGCTCATCAATAATCATGAGAAAAAACCGGGTTGCAACCAATCTAGTGCCTAGCTCACATGGTATAAAGGCTGCAGAGCATATTCCTCCCACGGCGCTAGGCTGATTGTTTTCCTTCTCCGATCTACTCTTCCGTGTTCCAGTTCCATAGATCGTCATTCGCTACATCGGGGGACCGCGGCACCCTCGTTCTCTAATAATTTGTCATAGAGGCTAGTTGAATTTCAAGGTAAGCTATTCATTCCATAAGAACCCTGATTCCTCCAAACCTTGTCTGTCTTGATGCTGCTTTTCAGACCTAAGTTTGCTCCAGACCTAACCCTTATAGATTGTTGCCCACCAACATGTCCCCTACGGCCATTCGCAACGTCGATTCCGTCGATATTGTCAGCATCCACCAAGATGATATGCAATTTTCCTTGGTGGATGATATCTACAAGAGCTTAGACCCGCCCTCCGGCACGCCGCGCACATTCCCCACCCTCCTACTTTACGACGCCAAGGGATTGAAGCTGTTTGAGAAAATCACCTATCTGGAGGAATATTACCCCACAAACACCGAAATCGAGGTTTTGCAAAACCACGCGCAGCGGATAGTTGAGCGCATTCCGGAGAATGCTCAGTTGGTGGAGCTTGGCAGTGGGTCTGTTACCCTTACACCCCGGATCCGTCCCCACTACGACGCTATGCGTCTCACTCGTACTGCATGACCTCACAAAATACTGACGATTATTGACAGTAACCTCCGAAAGATCGAGATTCTGCTTCGAGAATGTGAGCGCACCGAGAAAAGGGTGGATTATTATGCCCTGGACCTTTCATTGGTTGAATTACAGCGGACCTTTGCTGAAATCTCGCCCGAGAGCTTTTCGTACGTCGGCTTCCACGGATTACATGGAACATATGATGATGCGGTGGGCTGGCTGAAGAGTCCCGAAAATCGGAACCGGCCGACGGTGGTGATGTCTATGGGATCATCCATAGGTAATTTCGAGCGCGCCAGTGCTGCAGAGTTCCTTGGTGGCTTTTCCAAGCTATTGGCGCCTTCAGACTTCCTCCTCATCGGTCTTGATGCCTGCAAGAATCATGACAAGGTATTCAGAGCCTACAATGACTCTGAAGGAGTGACTCGCCAGTTCTACGAGAATGGCTTAGTACACGCAAACCAAGTTCTGGGCTTCGAGGCCTTCAAGGAAAATGAATGGGAGATCTTGACTGAATATAACGACCGTGAGGGTTGTCACCAAGCTTGTTACGCGCCAAAAGTTGATGTGACAATTAATGGGATCATGATCCCTAAAGGGGAGAAGCTCATTTTCGAAGAAGCCTGGAAGTATGGTCGTGATGAAAGGGATGAATTATGGCGGAAGTCTGATTTAATCTCACAAGTTGAGTTTGGTAACACCACCGATGATTATCGTGAGAAAACTTTGATGAAATCTTTTATTTTCCCAGTACATCATTGCTAACCCATCATGCAGATGTTCATCTTTTGTCTCCTGCCACCCTTGATGTCTCGATGCACCCCTTGAAGTATGCGGGGCAGCCAATTCCCACCATTGATAACTTCCAATCCCTATGGACCGCCTGGGATATTGTGACTAAGACAATGATTCCCCGCGAAGAGCTCTTATCGAAGCCAATCAAATTACGCAACGCGTTAATCTTTTATCTCGGCCACATCCCCACGTTTTTCGGTGAGTATGCCGACCTCTGAGAGGAATGTATGCTAACATCTCTGTGAATCAGATATCCATTTGACGCGTGCCCTACAAGATCAACCCACCGAGCCTGCATACTATCAGCAGATCTTCGAACGTGGCATTGATCCAGATGTCGAAGATCCAGAGCAATGTCACAAGCACAGTGAAATTCCAGACCAATGGCCTGAGTTGAACGAGATTTTGGATTACCAGGAAAGGGTCCGTAACCGGGCGCGATCAATTCTACAGGAAGGATATGCCGATCAAGACCGAACCGTCGGTGAAGCACTATGGATCGGCTTCGAGCATGAGGCCATGCATCTAGAGACCTTCCTATACATGTTGCTTCAAAGCGATAGAACACTTCCACCGACTGGTGTTCCGCTGCCTGATTTCAACCGGATGGCCAAACAAGCAAAGTTTGACGAGAAACCCAACAAGTGGTTCAGTATTCCTCAACAGACTTTCACAATTGGATTAAATGATTGTGATGAAAACAACTTGCCACAGGCCTCATTCGGTTGGGACAACGAGAAGCCCCAAAGAGAGGTGACCGTAGGTGCTTTTGAGTCACAAGCTCGCCCTATTACCAATGGGGAATATGCCAAATATCTACAAGCCACCGGAAGTCACAACTACCCCGCGTCTTGGGTGTTTACACCTGGGCAGAAAGGCTCTCTTGTTAAAGGCATTGGTTCCACGGGGGCGCAAGCCGGCTCTAGTGCTACTGCAGCAAGCTTGCCTCTGGACGGAATCTCAGTTCGGACTGTATTTGGACCTGTATCTTTGGAGTTGGCACAAGATTGGCCATTGAGTGCTTCATATGATGAGGTGGCCAGCTACGCAAAGTGGATGAACTGCAGGATTCCGACTTTCGAAGAGGCGAGGAGTATCTACCACTACTCTGATCAGATGAAAAGTCACCGACACACAAATGGGTACAGGTAAGTCCTGGATATCAATTATTGAAGAGAGAGCAGCTTCTGATAAAAGAATTAGTAATGGGGTCAATGGGTCAACAACCAAAGGGAGCAAGCCCCAATCCACCGAAGAATCAACCTTCCGTGACCTCCACGGGTGCAATGTTGGCTTCAAACACTGGCATCCCACCCCAGTCACCCCTAATGGGGATAGACTAGCCGGTCAAGGTGACATGGGAGGACTCTGGGAATGGACTAGTACGCCATTGATGCCACATGATGGGTTCAAGTCCATGGATATCTACCCTGGCTACACCTGTGAGTTAAAATCCAAAAAGATCTCATTTTTTTGCTAAACCCATTATTACAGCTGATTTCTTTGATGGAAAGCACAATGTTGTCCTGGGAGGCTCATGGGCGACTTTACCCCGGATTGCTGGCCGCACAACCTTGTGAGTATCGATCTGGAGAACCGAGATACTTGAATCTGGCTAACATTAAAAAGCGTGAATTGGTACCAGCATAACTATATCTATGCCTGGGTGGGCGCACGCTTGGTAAGGGATCTATAGAGGACACTTTGTCTGGATGTATCTAGAAATCTTGGAATTCTTGACTTCTTGACGATGACTTCATCGCGATAAGATAAACGGCAGCGTAACGTGACTGCCCCTCAATCACCTCCCCACGTCTTCTCCAACTCCTTTCACGCTATCTTCTCTCTTGGATTATTTGCATTATGTCTCTCGAAACTATTACCACTATCTCCCCGGCTACCAATGAGCCCGTGGTCACTCGAACCGGCGTTTCCTCGGAGGAATTGAGACAGATTCCCGAGAACGCCCAGGTGGCATTCCGCTCCTTCTCGCAGTCCACTAGCTTGGAACAACGACAGAAGCTTGTGGAGCGTGCTCTTGACATTTTGGAAAAGAAGCAGGATGAGCTGGCACGCGAAGTTACAGAGCAGATGGGCCGGCCCATCGCCTATAGCGGCGTTGAAGTCGCGACCGCTATTAAGCGTTGTCGCTATCTGACACGCATCAGCACGTCTGTGCTTGGCGAAGAAGGCATTGTTCCTGGAGAGGAAGAGAAGGGCTTCCGACGATACATCAAGCGGTCTGCCGTCGGCGTGGTGCTGGTCATTTTCCCATGGAACGTAAGTTTGAATGACACGATACCAATGACAGCTTGCTGATGTGGATCTGGACATAGTACCCCTACCTCACCCTTGTCAACAGCTTGATCCCCGCAATCCTCGCCGGAAACGCAGTCATCATCAAGCCCTCCCCCCAAACTCCCACAATCGTCGAGCATTTCGCCTCCGCTTTTGCCGAAGCCGGTCTTCCCCAAAACGTGCTGCAGTTCTTCCATTGTGGATCTTTCACTTTGCTTGAGACTCTGGTCCGCTCCCCTCTCGTGAACCACATTTGCTTCACTGGCTCCGAAGCCGGTGGACTGGCAGTTCAAAAGGCAGCCGCAGACCGAATCGTGAATGTTGGACTAGAGTTGGGTGGTAAGGACCCGGCCTACGTTCGCGAGGACGTGGACCTCGCCTGGGCTGCCGAGGAAGTTGTCGACGGAGCTATCTTCAACAGCGGGCAGAGCTGTTGCGCCATTGAGCGGGTATATGTCCACGAGAAGGTGTACGATGGCTTCATTGCCGAGGTGAAGAAGGTCCTCAGCAACTACCGTGTTGGTGAGCCATCTGATCCAAACACCCAAATCGGACCTGTTGTTTCCAAACAAGCAAAGCAATCAATTTTGGCTCAAATCGAGGCCGCTGTCAAGGCTGGCGCCAAGAATGAGACCCCTGCCAACGCAACCTTTGAGAACTTCCCTCCCAATGGCAACTACGTCAAGCCTACATTGCTCACAGGTGTCACACATGAAATGGCTATCATGAAGGATGAAACCTTCGGCCCAGTCATTCCTGTCATGAAGGTTTCGGGTGACGACGAAGCTGTGCGCCTGATGAATGATAGCAACTTTGGTCTCACTGCCAGTGTCTGGAGTAAGGACGTTGCGGCGGCTGAGAAGCTAGTTGACCGCGTCGAGGCTGGTACCGTCTTTGTCAACCGCTCCGACTACCCTAGCCCCGTAAGTTCCTCAAGTATTCCCAGGATCTTATTCATTTTACTGATAATAATTTTACGCAGGATCTCGCTTGGACCGGTTGGAAGAACTCTGGTCGTGGAGTCACACTGAGCAGATTCGGATTCGAACAGTTCGTCAAGCTCAAGAGCCACCACATCAAGGATTACCCCAAATAAGTGTCTCATATTTTTGGACCTCAATTTATAATGAGATATGTAGATCTTTGATGAGAAATGCTCCCTTCGACAGATACCAATTTTACGAGTTGCCGCGGGGACGTTACCTAAAACGAGTGATCTGCACCACCTTCGGTATTTCGTACATGATATTCATTCTTTCAATTTGCTATAGAAAACAATAAAGATAGCAGCCCACCCTCATCCGAAGATAACTGGATTTCAAAGGCGGGAGAGGTTGGAAAATTCAGCTGGGGCGTGGTAAGTTGGAACCTTCATGTCCAGATCAGAACCGGAATAACCAAGATCCTCCGCAACCAGCATTGCGCACTTCTCACCAATAAGGAGAGCAGTCTATTCGCCAACGGTGTCAGTTACTCAATCTTCGTATTCAAATGAATTGATGGGTACTTACGCTGAAAGTGTTGCAGCCCACGTTGTCAGGGCAGATAGACAAGTCGCAAACCTTGAGGCCCTTGACACCGTGAACATTGAGACGCTCGTCCACGACACCTCCGTGGGGTGCGATGGAGTTGCCTTCGCGTGGTGCCATGCTGCATGTACCAAGACAATGCCAAGTTGTTTCGACGTGACGAGAGACTGCAGAAAAGTTGTCAGCTACTGAAGGAGAAGAGAATTCGGGGCTGTATCTTACTCCACTTCTCAATGTGCTTGATGTCGTCCTCGCTGTACTCCAGGGAAGCCCGGGCTTCATGCTTGTTGGAGTTGAGGATCGAAGGCCCGGATTGCTTTCCGGGCTCCAAAGGACTGGTCCAAGAGCCTGAGAGTTCTTATTAGTGGGATTCGAGTGTTTTCAGTGACTATAACATACCGTGTTGAATTCCAGCGGAGATGTGGTTGGTACCGGCATATGCCTTAGTCGTAGCCAGGTCCATGTCTTGCGCCCGTGCCGATGAGTTGAAGGCGAATTGGGGGTGCATCGCAGTAACTTCACCAGCGTATGATCCCATGCGGCGGGCAGTCTCGCGAGACTTGATGTATCCCCAAACCATGGGGGCCATGTCACGCTTGTCATTCATGAAACCAGCATCAAAGTCAGGGACTTCATAGGGATCGGCTGATTGGATGTGAGTAAATCCACGTGAGAATGGGTATTCCTAATCTCCAGTTAGAGCCGCCTCTTTTGGGGCACAATGCAGGTGTTGCATACCAGGAAGTGGAACATGGTGAAAAACTTGCCCGGAGGCATGTGCATGTGGTCTCCGAACCAGCTGTCTGTCTGTTAGTCCGAAACAGTAAGGGAAAGTTGTCATGGACTTACCCAGAGATAATCGAGTAGTGCATGACTGGCTTGTCAGGCTTGTTTCTGAAGTACGATTCGTAACCTTCAGTGAAGTCTGGAGTAGGCCACTTCTTCATTTCACCGAGCTCTTGCTCAGTGGGTCGGATCTTGACTCCAGCGTCAATGCCGTTGGTAGCCAACGGGCCAGTGCCCTTCTTGTCCCACTCCTCAAACACCTTCTTCTGGACCTTTGGATCGCCGCGAATGAAGTCATCGAAAGATTCGACATCGGGCTTGGCACGATACACGGAGAAGGTCAGGTAGTGATCTTGGAAGTTGCGGCCTACACCTGGCAGGTTGACCAAAGGCTTCACACCAGCCCGGCGCAGCTTCTCGGGGTCACCAAAGCCAGAGCGCTGGAGGACGAGTGGGGAGCTCATGGTACCAGCGCTCAGGATAATCTGCTTTCTGGCCCGGAAGATACGACGAACCGGTTCACCACCATTGAGAGGCTTAGTCGGGACTGTGACGACACCCACAGCTCGACCATTCTCAACAATGATCTTCTCCACCTTGGTGTTGCATTGGAGGTGGAGGTTGCTGTGTTTGGCTCGAGTGCTGTGGACATAGGCGTGAGCCGCATCACTTCGTCGTCCTGATTCATCATATCAACATTCGGGATCCATCGAGGAAAGTCAGGTTTTTATTCTTACCGGTGTCACGATTGATCCACTTCAACCAGTGTTCCGCACCATGGCTGAGATATCACACAAACTGATTAGCACAATGGACTGTCACCGGAGTTGGAAGGATGCATACCCGGTCTTGAGATCTTGCAAATCATCCGTGAAGGGAATTCCCTGGGTCTCGACGGCACGAAGGAAATCATTCTTGATCGGGTAGGTATAGTTGCCGAATGAAACCTTGATAGGACCATCGTGCCCATGCAGCTCTGGATTGTTGCTGGCACGTTGGTATGTCTCGTGCTTTCTCATCAATGGAAGAAGCTCTTTGGTGGTCCAGCCTTTTGCCTGGAAATCATCATAGTCGGATGCTGAGGCTCTGGTATACATCTACAATGGATTTAGCTCCTGGCACCATACTATCAAGAGGACAACGCTTACCATGAAGTTGATCGAGCTACCCCCTCCGAGGATATTAGCGCATGGAACAATAGCCTGGCGGCCGTCCAAATGTTCGGATGGTCTCGAGTGATAGAATGATGCGGTCTTGGAGTCGAGCTTCATGTTGTTTGGGTAGATACCAGGACGGTAGACCCTAGACTGAAATTAGCACAAGTTGCTGGAAAGTGGTTCACGGATGGGCCCTCATACCATTGGTTGTTCAAATTGTCCTCGCCTGCCTCGATCAACAAAACGGAAAGGTTGTGATCGAGGTTCGCGAGGCGGCCCGCGGGGACACACCCCGAACTGCCGCCGCCGCAGATGATAATATCGACCTCCTCTGGGATAGCCATGACTTTGAGTAAGTTGGCAGAATTGTGACTGAGTCAAGACTGTTAGCAAGGTGCTTGAGAAAGGAAGAAGATCCCTGAAATAGGGCTCCTTGGGGGGTCTTATATAGTCGTCCTTTTGTGCCACAGAACTGTCTACCACCCACAATCCTCCAGTCATATCGCATAGAGAGGCCATAATCCCCGTAAATCTTGAAACCCCGCATGCGGAGACAGAGTTCAAATCTTCAAGGGCTACATAATCCAAGAGTCGATATCTGTACCAGAAACGTCCACGGGCGTTTTTGATGCACCCAGATGAACATGTTTCTCTACGACGACCCAATCAAGATCAACATTCAAAAACAATAAATTCTTCAAAAAAAAGCAGCCTTGAGACCAAAGATGAGGAGTCCTGCCTGTGCAGCCTGCATCTCCCAAAGTCGAGTGTACAACCCCTGTCGTATCCCCAAAGCCTAGAGCCAAGATTTTCACCCATGGCGCTTTTTCTTGGAAACCTCCCCGCATTTCATCAATGGCTAAATTCAGCTTGATCAATTGCCCAGAAAAAGCTCATACAGCTCTCATGCAGGTAAGACTCTACCAAAGTACTTGCTATCTTTCCGTCGTCCTAGGCAGTGCAAGGATATGAGACAAGTGTGGGGGTTAATACAAGGTATGAAATGCGTTTGGCAAAACATGAATATATGCTAATTGGCATTTCAAGTAAAGAGCTCATACTCGAATTGCAGCATTGTTTGAGATAAGAACAGAAAAGCAACGCGTGTGCCGCGTATGCCGACTAATTCGCATCATACCTTATCAGATCTAATAGTAAAAGCTGCAACCACCATAAACGACCCACCAGCTTTTTTGATAATTCAAATTGCCAACTTCATTCTGCTTTGTATTGAAACGAGGTCGGTGATGTTTTGAATCAGCGAGTGTCGGATCGGCCGGGAACCATGATTCAATGTACCATTGTCGTGGCGTCCTCTCGGCGCATTAGCGTGTCGCGAAGATTGTCGCTATCCCCGCACTACTAACGCTCCAAATAGTAATTTTGCGGGGTAGACTTATTGGCGCGAGGCATACCAACGTATCCACGTAGGTGGTACTAGGATCAAATGCAGATCCGAATTCTCATTGGAGCGAAATTTCCAAGGTCAAACACCACTAGGCTGTGAATCTAGAGCAAATCCTCCTTTCCCACATAGCCCGTTAATCCGAGTCTAGGCGTGTGTATTCTCACTCTTTGACGACCCCCCAGTTTTCAGTCGATGCCGCCCCTGTTCTTGTGCTGTTTGAGCTGTTTACAATGTTCCAATTTTCTACAAAGGTCTGATAACTCTGAGTGACCTAAGTGTCTCCCCAACTTAGTGGAGGTCTGTTAATCATGCTCAACTTATGCCTAATTCTTCTCCCCAAGTGATGATCATGTCGAAATTGAGTTTCGGATGGGATATGCCGTGAGCAGGCCATTCTGCTCATTTTCACAAGAGAGGCAAAATGGGTAAATGCTTGTGATTTGCGTCGTTGGAATTATCCATAATTATTTCGGGGTCAGGTGGCTCAACGAGTTGAGGAGGCAGCCCAACTATGTCCAATGATGAAGGGGCGAGGCTTGCATGCTCCATGCCGACGAATGTGGAACTTTAGAATGAGGATCCAATGCCAGGGAATAGACCATCTGTGATGGAAAATCGATCAACCCCAACACTTTTCACAACCCGGGAAGCTGGATAATTTCTTGCGCGTCGGGCAAAATTGGAAAACCTCCAGGCAATCTGAGACCGAATGTTCAATAATCACTCATACCTCAGATTGACAGTTCCATTTCCAAGTTTGCACTATAAATTGGTGATTTCTTTGAGCAGATAGATAGGCAGTTGCAACTCTACTGCAGAATCAAATCCAAAGGGTGGAAAAATGAAAGATCTGAGAAACAGTCCAATGTATGGAGAACTTATTGTTTCTGTTTATTTCAAGAATCTGGGCCTCAAATGTTACATTCCAAAACAGGAGAGAGATATGTCAGTCCAACCTTGGAAGGACGCGACATCTAGGTCTAGGAAAACCTAAACAAATTTTGAATAGACTTTCAGCATCGGTGGGTCCCGATTTCCGTACCGAGAGCATCCGCCTTGCGCCCGCTGAATTGGGAAATATTGTTGGGTCGGCCAAAGATCCGGAAAAGTGGACACAATCCTCCGAGCATGACGTCGGGTTGATGGCGAGAGAACAATGTCATAATTTAATGCACTCTGGGAAATGAGATTGCTTCTGATAACTAGATGTTTATTCACACTTCTCTAGTCACCAGGATGCAAGCTAGGTTTGTGATATTGTTGACCACAAGGTTGTCTAGAAAGTACAATCCCCAGATGTATAGAATTAATCGTGGACTAAGATTAAAAGCTGAAGATCCTCAGATATCCACATAGCTACTGTGGTCAATGCGAACGTAATGCGATTGTAATGCAGCACCAAGGCCCTTTCGGGAATGACAGCTTGTTTACGATGTCAAGATGACAAAAGATATATTGCTTTATACGTGATGACATCCCAAAATCTTTGAACATCCCTTGTGTCTTACCGGGCGATCAAATCGACAAGAGAAGCCAACATGAGCGGTGATAGATACTACACCTTAGCCGAAGGTACCCCAATGCCCAAGAAGGAACTGGCATTGAGATCTAATGAAAGGCAGGCTGCCCCTTTGCAAATAACAGCACCGCTGTTTTGATGCAAGGTAGACAGGGCGGTAGTCTCGGGCTACTTCAGGATACTCAGCTAATCGAGACATTGGCCCATTTCTCCCGCGAGAGAATCCCTGAACGGTCAGCATCTCACTAGAAGTTCTTTTTACCCTCCGAAACTGACATTGAATATCGGAAGAGTCGTCCATGCTAAGGCTGTGGGGTATTTATTCGTTCATTCACGTGAATCAGGCTGTCCACCGCGCTGACATTTCATAGATGCTATGGGGAGTTTGAAGCTACCCGCGATTGCTCCGACTTCACATGTGCCAGTTTCCTCAGTAAAGCTGGAAAGCGAACCCCAGTACTTCAGCGCGTGTCAACTGTCGGGTTCGAATCTGGATCTGCCGACACTTCTCGTGACGTACACGGATGGGCAATGAAGCTCTACACTGATGAAGGAAACCTTGACTGGGTGTTCAACAACACAGTTCGTGCACTACTAAATCAAGCCCTCAAGTGAGAATTTGGTGAATCTGACTAAATTTCCCAGCCGGTTTTTTTTATTCGCGATCCTCTCAAGTTCCCGTCTATGAATCGATCCCACAAACGACACCCACAGACCCATTTACCGGATGTGAACATGGTAAAGTACTTCTTTTCCTTATGAGGAATAAAAAATCTGACTAGAGCGGCAGTTTTGGGAGTATGTTCTAATGTTCACAACCTTCTATCTCATTGTACAAGCTTCTTACAAAATACAGTTATCACGTTGGAAACCCAGAGGGCATTCATCAACTTCTGATTTTATTCAGCGACCGCGGCACACCAAAGTCGGTTCGTCACATGAGTTCGCACAGCGGCCACACATACAAGTTCACAAAAGAGGTATGCTGAGGTCCATCTAAAAATTCAAAGGTTGTAATCCTGAGTTGCTTCTAGGACGGATCCTTCAAGTATGCCAAGATTCATGTGAAGACGCAGCAAGGAATCAAAAACTTTACTCGCGAGGAGGCAATGAGGATTGCTGGGGAGAACCCTGATTACATGATCCAAGATATGTTTGAGTCTATCGAGAAAGGGGACTTTCCAGTTTGGAATGTGTATGTTCAGCTGATGAGCCCCGAGGAAGCCGAGAGATACGGTGTGAATATCTTCGACATGACCAAAGTGTGGCCGCACAAGGATGTTCCTTTACAGCAGATCGGACGCCTGACTATGAACCGCAATGTATGGACTTGCATTTTCCCCATGTTTTCACCCCTCTTTTTCTATGAGAACTGACTATAAACAGCCTCAAAACTACTTCACAGATATCGAGCAAGCTGCGTTTTCACCATCGACAATGGTACCGGGATTCGCAGCCTCGGCGGATCCAGGTAAGTCAAGAGAGCTCACACTATCATTTACTCCAAGTCTCCCATTCTGACGCGTGGTCAAGTCTTGCAAGCGCGGCTTTTTGCATACCCCGATGCGGCCCGTTATCGACTCGGTGTGAATTACCAGCAGCTCCCGACAAACAGAGCAAAATCACAAGTCTACTCGCCTTTTGAGAGAGATGGGAAGATGCGGTTCGACGATAACTATGGTGGAGATCCCAACTACGTTGGATCATGGATAAAGCCGACAAAATTCTACCAGGATGTGAAAAACACGAGTCCAGAAGCCCTGAGCCTACACACAGATCACGAAAAATGGGTGGGCGAGGTTGTAGCCCACACTAGTCAGATCACTGACGCTGATTTTGTTCAGCCGGCGGCTTTATGGGAGATTATAGGTCGTGAACCCGGCCATCAGGATAGAGTGGTGGAGAACCTCGTCGACAATGTCAAGGGTGTGAAGTATCCTGAATTACGACAAGCTGTTTATGGTAAGCGAATTGCCGTCATGCTGGTGAAGATCCTCCTTCTGTCGCAGTGTTAATATCGAGATAGACCTGTTTACCCGCGTCGACAAGGATTTAGGGTGTAGTCTGCAACGAAATACTGAGGCGGTGCTTAAAGCCGCGAGAGGCTGATTCACTTTCAGTAATTTCTTGGCGGAATGTTGAATAGCACGCATATCAACATGGCTAGTAAGATAAATTGCTGGTTTAATTTTGGGCGTTGAGACGTTTCCTTGCTTTGATTATTGGGTGGAGGACACTTCATGCTAGCCACCGCTCTTTAAACTGATACCAGGAGAGTTAAGAACCGAATTCTTGAAGCCCACCTCAGAGCATGGCTCAACAATGTTCGACAACATATCGGAATGCAAAATTTGAATAATTGGCAATCAACTGCAGTCATCTTATGACTTCTGCTCGTGATTGTAATCGGTCCACATGAAAACAGAGAGGAAAAGCAAAAAAATTAGTTTCGCTGGGAATCGAACCCAGAACCTTTCCGGAACACTCGCCTAATAGGCAATTGTTAACGGAAAATCATAACCGCTAGACCACGAAACTGCTTGATGGAAATTTGCACAAACTTTGTCACCATGTTCCAAATCCAGAATCTTTTCAGCACGGGCCCATGAATTGAAGTCAAATGAGGTGCGTCGCAGTAAACAAGAACGTCCGTGGTCCTACCCAGCCCTAAAGGCCAAAATCCATATTGGCACTCACCGAGCCATTTTGTTACAACGACGAGCTGAGATCAATCATGGTGTCGCCCTCCATGGCCCACGACTCTCCAAGCCGGTCGCTGAGACTTCGACCCCATGAGGCATAGGCCTGAGGTTTGCCTGCGCTTTCCGGACGCTCATTCTTTGCGTTTGATGTTTGAGTATCGGTCTTTGGGTTCCGCAAACACATACAGCTCTGCGACCATTCTTGAACCATATAAAATCAAGAGAAGATTCAAAGACCTTGCAAAGGGTGTGAAGCAACTAGATGGGTCATGAAGTTTTCGGACCGGGCTAAGAAGAACAGAATGGGGGGTTATAAAACCCGGTAAAGACTCGACAAAGACTCGACATATAACCTTTCAACAATATTATCCAACAACGCCCTTCCGGCTTTCCTTCCTGGATACAAACTCGCATCGGTCATGACTGATATCAAAATCTTACGGAGGCGGCAAGTTCTCACAGCTTAGCTTGGGTGTCAAGTGGGGAGAAGACCTCATTGAGACTGGATGTAGCGGTAGCAATCATGCCATTAGTTGGGATGATTCCGAGAGGGATCACTATGACATACTACTTCTCACGATCTACGTTTTGAATATGTATCAGTCCCTCTCGCGGTGCCCAAATCGCAGAGTCCTTTCTCCTTAGACGGCGCGTCCGCCATTCCTGCCAAGATTATCTCTTCATATCTTACAAACCCGAGAGTACATGCAGCTGTTTAGACCGACACAGTGAATGTTACTTAAGAGCACACTAAGCAATGAGTGAAGTTGAAGAACCAGGAGAATTGTGAATTACTGACGTTGAAGACACGGGGGGATGTGAATTACTGACGTTAAGACACGGGGGGATGTGAATTACTGACGTTAAGAAACCGGGGGAATTGTGAATTACTGACGTTAAGAAACCGGGGGAATTGTGAATTACTGACGTTAAAAAACCGGGGGAATTGTGAATTACTGATCTCATTCTCATTGCGAGCAGACAAATCAATTGAATTCCCCTTCAGGGGCAGCTCACGTCACTTCGTCTAATCATACAAACATAATCATACAAACATAACGGGCCCCGGGCCCCACGACCGACCCCCAAAGTCATTATTCCAGGAGGGGGTCTCCCTCCTGACGAGCCTCCCACATGGCATCGTCCAACACACCAAGCACGGCATCCACGGCATCTTGGTGTGCCCACCCCAGGATACGAGGGCCCCCGCCCATTGACCCGCTCACCTCAGAGAGAGTGCCCTGGTAAACGAGGGCGGCCTCCAGGTCATACTTGATCTGCTGGAGGTGATTGTCCACGGACAGGATGAAGACGTCAGAGGAGTGAGTGACGTCGTCCGTGACAAATACATTCACCAAGTCATCAAGAACTGACAGGCTGGTGATGGCAGCCGCCAGGCTGATGTTCATGAAGTGGGCGGCCATGTTCCCCCCAACGATCTGAGCGGCGGCAATGCTCACCATCTCCCTTGCCGCATTCAGTGCTGCACGGTCTAGGGAGACACGAAAGATACCCTGGTCATTCGGGGTGCCGCGGGCGGCCAGGCCGGACGAGGAGGAATTCTCAGTCCGGTGGTGGGTATCTTCCTCCCGGGAAGGCGTGAGGATTGCTCTGAGAGGCGCCTCGGTGACAGGAGCAGCAGGCCGGTCATTGGAAGGGGCGCTCACTTGTTGTGTCATCAGCCGCCCCAGTGGGATATCGAGCAGAGCACTCGCGGGGACGTCTAACAGCTGACCCAATGAGGACCCCAACAGCTGGCTCAATGGGATGTCCATCAGCCTGCGAGGACCAGCAGATGGTTCATTGGAGGGGGCAACGAATAGGTTGCCAAGGGGCCCAAAAATTGACCCAGTTGAGGTTTGAGGCGAGGGTTGAGTAGATAAAGGAACAAACCGCCCTGGGGGGAGTACCAAAGGCTTCTCATCGAGAGAACCACTGGGCGGCTCAGTAAGATGGCCAGAGGAGGTAGTAAGGGCTGGATCAATAGGTAGACCCGCAACATTATCCGCTGAAGGCACAGAAGAGGCGTCATTGGGCTGCAATGAAGATGGGCCAGGGGCAGGTGGTGATGCCTGCTGCGGAATAGGTGGGGCCACTGCACCTGCACAGGGACCACCTCTGTATCTGGGGTCACCACGGAGTCCGCGGTAGTGACAATTTGCACAGACCGGGAAGCTAGGTACTCCTGGAACCGATACGCAGCGTGCAAAGGGCCCTTTTCCGGCCTCGCATGCTGTGCATTCAATCACGTTGACAACTCCCACAATCTGGCCCCAGGCGGCTTCAAGGTTGGAAGTCCGCTCTGATATGAATGAATCTTCTCTTTCGTTTGAGTAACACCTTTTGGTGCGCCATGATAGTTCGCGTAGAGCAGGAAGGCCGTTTAATGCGGTGATAGCGCCTGTTGGTCGGATACGTCCGAGGCGATTGCGCATATGGGTGGCAACCCGTTCAACCCATGGGCCAGGAGGAAGGATGTCAGGGCCCTTCTGGAGAGGAGGAATGTTTCCACTGCTAGGGAAGACACATTTGTCAGGTCATGACTTCATACGTGAACAGAATAACCTGTACACTCACGTCGTCATTATGTCAAGTGCGTGTTCAGAAAAAGTTCAGTGCGTGGAAGGAGAGATTGGGAAGAGACCGAGATTGACGCAACGACGACTAATGTACGAAAGAGACGTGAGTTTTGCGCAAGAGATAAGACAAAGCGTGGAAGGAAAGAGGATAGACGTGGAAGGAAAGGAAGTGAAGGCGTGGAAGTAATGGAAGATAACGCGTGGAAGGAAAACCAGCAGGGAAATCACAAAGGATAGTCACTCCAAACAACCTTAGGCAGCATCCTCTAGGAGGTACAACCTTGAAACTCTAGAATACTCATGTTCCTAGGTTTTTTGAAAAATGCTCATGATGTTTTCGCTCGACTTTAAGATGTCCAATATTGTCGCGGCAATGAGACTGCGAGATATACCATGAACAGAGGATATGACGACAACACTTGGGGCCAGGAAGACGGGGTGACAATTAGACTCGACTGTACGCAGGTACAAGTGGTTCGAAACAGTGAGCAACACCCCTCCAGGTCATATCTTCTTCCTCTCAGGCCAGTATGGTCAAGCTTGCGTGTTAAGCTCGGGTTGGGATTTAAGTTCAAAATTCTTTTGTCTCGTAAGGCGAAACTTGAAAAGTTTTAGTACTGCAAAAGTTTCAAGTCCTAGGTAATACTTGGCCGAGTGGAAGCACTACGGATGTTCGCTGAAGTTACGCTGGAAGGCGAATTAGGGCACCGGGGACTTCGGCCGGTCGGCAAACCGAGGCTCTGTTGCTCAACCTCCGGGTCTTTACATGTCTCACCTGCCACAACCTGCAAGACACTGGTCGAAACCAAGGAGAAAATCAGAATCACTGCAAGACGAGGATTTTTGCTCTGGTTTAGGGTCTAAAATGTACACTTTGGAAGTTTTCTTCACATTTGACCTGTCGACTTCCATTTTCACTATGAAAATCATAAACCTCAGGACCCGAAAAGGGCTAGCAATTGACTGTCGGCAGATAATCCCATCTTCGCTCTGTCTTTAATTATCTTCCCGGGGTCGTTGGCAAGAGTGTGGAATCTAGATCGGCGATTCCGTGAAGTCGCTAGAAAAACCCCGATCGCTTGGCGGAAGGCTAAGCATTATGTGCCGACATCTTGGGAATTTCTTATCTTTGCCCCGAAATAACCCCGGCTGCGCCACATATGGTGAAATTCGCGATCCAAACTATCCAGATTGGGAACGAATCTCCGGAGAAGATTTCAGCTGAGAGTGGTGCACCCGGTACTCCGTACTTGGATGAGATTTGGGCAGACTCGCGACGTGCCCGGTCAAAATTCCGGAGGACCTAAGGTGACGTGCAGTATCTTCACGTACCCTTCAAAATTGAGATTATGGAGTTCTTGTGCACTAGAAGGGGGTCTGACAGGCACTAAATAATAAGGTTCTCCACGTACTTTTGTCGACATGGCCTTATTTACTGAATCTCCACAATAAACCACGTGTGTACCTGCGGCGGAACTGAATCAAATTATCCAAATGGGGATTTCTGCTCAGCTTTTCAGGCCCGCCGTTCGATTTTGGCCGAGCTCGGTGAAAGCCGAGTACCCCGCGAGCCGCGGACGATCGATCTGAAGGACTTGCTATTGTGGCCCTGTGCTGATAAGATGGCTCACGCTAAAATTCGCAGGATTCTTTGAATTTTTTCACTAGTCGGCTATTTATACCTCAGTCACACGGGAAAATTAAAGCCGTAGCGTGGCTTGCCCATGGGATGGTGTCTTGACGTGAAGTTTCAAGAAGCGCGCCTATCGTTTATACCGTAGGTGCACTGTCCGATATGGCCGATTGCCAAAATGTCTCGGTTTGTTCTTTTGGGCTTGTATGATTGATTCTCGGAGCCGAGGCTTTGCAATCCCTATATATTTCTTAGCAGTCCGCCCAGGTGGCCAGAGTCACTTTCGTTGCAAGAGACGTGTGACTGCCTCTTTGACATGAAGGCCTGGTCTATATTGGGGCTGGCAAGCCTATCTGCGGCTTCCGCCATCTCGAGTGTCGCTGTGCCCACGGCCACGACTGCTGTTATCGCCACGGCTACTTCGAATACTTCATCTGCGACAACGACCTCTGTTTCAACCGCTTCGTCGGCATCCTCCAGTAAGAGAATAAATCTCTCAATCATCTCTGAACCCACCTTGTGCTGACAAATGTATTATCAGCTTCTTCAAATGTTGTTACAGTCGCAGTAGATGGCACTGGGCAGTTCACAGCGATTGGAGACGCTATCACGTACGCTCAGAGCCATGGAATTCCAACAGTGACCGTCCTCGCGGGTACATACACCCAAGCAATCACTGTTTCGGTCACCCCTACTGTGACTGTCATTGGCCAAACCGATGCGGCAGACGACTACGCACAGAACAAGGTCACCATTACCACCTCCGGCACCGCTCTGACGATCAACAACAATGTCCAGCAAGTTAGCTTCAAGAATCTGAACTTCGTGAATACTCTATCGACATCTGGCGCCATGATCCTGAAGGGAAACAAGTATGCCTTCTACGACTGCCAGATCATTTCCACTGGCACCCTGGGCATTACTGCTAGCGTTGGTCTTGGCGTCATCGCGAACTCTTATATCGAGGCTCTTGACAAGATCATTTGCCTCTACGTCTACTGCTGTGCTGTCTCCTTCTGCTTCATCTGCGATTACAGCCGTATCAGCTACAGCCACGTCCACCACTGCTACAGCGACATCCACGTTTGTGGTAAACCCGACCGATGGTCCCTACAAGAATGTGACTGCCGCTATTGCCGCTCTGCCGAGTGATGGCAAGGAATACACCATCTACGTCATGGCGGGTACTTACAACGAGCAAATCTCTATCACCAGAACTGGAAAGACCATTCTTCGCGGCGAGACCACATTTGAAAACGATTACACTCAGAACAAGGTCACCATCTCATACTCTAACGGTGTTTTGACCAGCGCGAACCAAGATGAGGATACCCCGATTGTCAATGCCAAAAACACCGACGGAAAGGGTTTAGCCATCTACAACATCAACTTCCAAAACACATATCCTCAAACCAAGAACACTGCCGCTCTTGCCGCTGACTTTTACGGCACCGTTCAGTCCTATGGCTGTTCCTACATTGGTTACCAGGACACTTTGCTTGCAAACAAAGGAACTCAAGTATTCTCGAACTGCTACATTGAGGGATCCATTGACTTCATCTGGGGTTTCTCCACGGCATACTTTTCACAGTCTGTCATTGCGACTAACACTGCTGGCTCCTGTATTGCTGCAATGAGCCGCTCTTCTGCAACTGCCACCGGAGGTTACGTCTTTGACAATTGTCTCGTCACCTACACTTCGACCTATGGAAGCACGTATCAAAACACTTGGCTCGGAAGACCCTACTCCTCCTACAGTCGTGTTGTGTACAAGAATTCTTACCTCGACAAGCACATCAACCCCGCAGGTTGGCATATCTGGTCAACCAGTGCTCCCCAAACTGATTACGTGACATTTGGTGAATTCAACAACACCGGACCTGGCAGTTGGTCCAGCAGCCGTGCATCATTCGCAACAAACCTCACCGAGGCCCAGGCGGATTCTTACTCTCTGTCAAACTGGGTCGGAGGAACCTCATGGTTGGACATGACTGCTTACGCCTATGTTCCATCTTACGATTTGACCGGTGGTGCGAGCGCGACAGCCACCGCGACCACCTCGGCGGCATCCACAAGCGCTACCGCAGTCTCGACTGCTTCTGCGGTCTGGGCCCATCCGTCGAGCGGCACAACCCCTCCAACAGGTGCTGTTTTGGTCAGTGTCTCTGCATCCGTGAATGGATCCTATGGCAACCTGACCGACGCACTTGCGTCCATTCCCGACGACACAACTACTCAAGTCATCTTCATGTACGCCGGAACTTACGAAGAGCAAGTGCCCTCCATCAACCGCAAGCGACCCGTCATGATTGTCGGTTACACCACCGGAAACCCTGGACAAAGCTATGCCGATAACCAAGTTACAATAACCTTTGCGCATGGACTTTCCGTGTCTCCACTTCCAACCGGTCATTCCGATGCCGAGACAGCAACGGTCGCTACCGCATCTACCAAGATTGCTTTCTACAATGTGAATATCATTAACTCGGATAACCTTGATGGCTTGGAGTCTTCTTATGTCACTCTGGCTGCATCCATCTATGGAAACCACGTTGCATTCTATGGTATATTCTATTGCAGGTCTATGCCTTAGCCAGGATGCTTTACTGATCAATATTCTTTTTACAGGAGTCTACTTCCAAGGATGGCAAGATACTCTGTTGACCGGTAGTACATCGGGATACCAGTACTACGAGTCATCCTATATCGAGGGTGCAATCGATTTCATCTGGGGATACTCGAAAGCTTACTTCAAGGGTTGCACAATCGGAGCAAAGCGAGCAAAGTCTGCAATCACCGCGCAAAGTCGAGCATCAGCTTCTGCCGTTGGTGGTTACATCTTCGATCAGACGCTGTTCACCGCAGCTGTGGATTCCACTGTGGATCTCACCAACTCCGTTTACCTCGGCCGTCCCTACTCTCAGTACGCCCTCGTCGTGATCAAGAATTCTTACCTCACCGACGTGATCAATCCATCCGGATGGAAAGTCTGGTCGACTAGTGATCCTCGCACTGCTGGTGTCACTTTCGCTGAATTTAACAACACTGGCCCGGGTAACTGGGAAAACAACGAGGTTGCCCGTGAAGCATTCAGATACGCTACTCTGCTGACAGAGGATACTTACTCTCTCGCCAGTGTTATGGATTCTATTGATTGGATTGATATGACATATTGGGATTCAATCGATACGCCTACCGCAGTTTCCGGAACCGCGACTACCACAGCTACAGCCACTGCGACCGCATCGCCAACCGCCACGGCAGTATATGATGGAACAACCCCTCCCACCGGAGCTTACATTGTGTCAAAGACCAGCCTTGGGTCAAACACAACCGTGTACGATACAATCCAGAGCGCCCTTGATGCTATGCCGACTTCATCTAAGATCACACCCACGATCTTCATCTACCCTGGCACATACGAGGAGCAGCTCGTGATCAGCAAGTCTGGCTCTGTGACTTTGATGGGTTACTCCGATTCTACCTACGATTACTCTCAGAACCAGGTCATCGTTCAGTACAACCATGGAATCGACACTGGTGCGGATCAGTCCAACTCTGATGGAGCCACTGTTTATGCCACTGGTAACTACTTCAATGTATGTGTGCTGGATTATTTACCCAACATGTGATACTGACAACAAGGAAAGGCCATGAACATCAATTTCGTGAACAACAACGGAACTCAGAAGGATATTGCGACCCTTGGATTCGCTGTCAAGTCAAGCAAATACGCCAGTCTCTATGGTAAGTTTGTTTTGCTCAACATTCACAAGAAATATGATGCTGATGCCGGGACACGTAGGTTGTCAGGTAAAGGGAAACCAAGACGCTCTCTTGATCAACGGTAACCTTTTCATGAGCAACGGATATGTCGAAGGCAACATTGACATGATTTGGGGAAGTGGATCCGGTTACTTTTTGAACACAACCATCTCACCCAATGAGGATGACATCAATATCACAGCTGACAAGAGAGCTACAAGCACCACCGCTGGAGGCTTTGTATTTGATCAGTGCACCATCACTCCCTCGACAGGTTCTAGGTCCATGTCCAAAATCTCACTCGGAAGACCATGGAGTCAATATGCTCGTGTGGCCTACATTGACAGCTACCTCAGTTCTTGTGTGGAAGCTGCTGGCTGGGAACAGTGGTCTAGCTCTAGCCCTCAGACATCCGGTGTCACCTTTGCCGAATATGGCAACTATGGTCCAGGATCGAGTGTCTCAAAACGCGCTTCATTCGCCTCTCAGCTCGATGACTCGAGCGTTGCTCAGTTTGAAATCGCAAAATTCTTCACCACCACGTCCTGGATCGATTTCACCCACGTGGACGGTACTCCATTTGTGCCGGGAACGACAACCATCTCGACCGCCGTCTCAAGTGCACCTGTGACAAGTGCTACTTCGATTGTCAGCTCTTCTGCCATAATTTCAATGCCAACCACAACCGCCACTGTTACTGTTGATGTTCTGTCCACTTCAACCACAGCTGCTTTGCTTACCAACACTCCGGCCGATAAGACTTCAACGGTGAAGTCTACTATTATCCTGACTATCACCCCGGAGGTCGTGACAAAGGCGACAACCCTCAAATCAACCGTGACCAGCACCAGTGTCATTACTGAGCCAACAATCACCTCTACCAAGACATCTCTCCTGACGGTGGACGTTGGAAGCACAATCACACCCGAGCCCAAGACTGTCACCAAGACTGAAAAGGCGACCATCACAGATACAGTAACAGTCACTGGCAAGGATATCAACAAGACTGTGAAGAGCACTGTCACCTCAACCTCTGTTGTCACCGCTGCTCCATCTACTGTTACTATCAAGGAGACAGAAATTGTAACCAGCGTCAAGACTACTAGTGCCAAGGCAGGAAAGACCACCTTGATCGAAACTATCACTGTTGGCTCTGGAGGAACAACAACCGTGAAAGCCAAGGCCACTACCGAAGTTCTTACTTCAACCTCCACCAAGACAGCCATCAAAACCGTGACGACAACCGTAAGCTGTGACACTGCAGCTAGGAAGATGAAGCGAGACATTCTGCCCCGAGCAAACGCTGCTACAGTGACGGATTATGCTACGCAGGTTGTCTACGTTACCAAGACTAGTCTCACCACTCTCCCTGTCGCCACCGTGTACGTTACCCACATCACGACAAAGACAACATCACTGAAGGCCGCCACTGTGACGGATGCCATCACATCCATCTTGACCAAGTTGTCTACAAGCACTATCCCAGCTGTCACTTCCATTGTCACTGTGGCAGATATGACGTCCGTTGGCAAGACAACGACACTGAAGGCTTCCACCGTCACCAGCACTGCTACAACCTTGATCCAGAAGCAGGCTACTGTCACCCTGCCAGGTCAGACTGTCACCATCGTGAACCTGAAGACAGCGACCGTGAAGAGTACACTCAGCGTACCTGCTGCCACTACTACCGCAACAGTTCGGACTACTGTGAAGAGTACCACTGTGCTTCCAGCTTCTACCAGCACCATTTACAAGACCTCAACAGTGACCATCGAGCCTTCCGTCACCATCACCGATCGTGCCACCTCAACCTCCACCAAGGTTGTCAAGACCACTTCCACAAGTACCGCGGCTGCTACAAAGACTGCCAAGTGCTCTTGATAGCATTCTTTCTGCGCGGCGCTGAACTTTTCCATCACAACCTTGAACAGACGTCCATCTTTCTTTTGTAAATCTCTTTCCCAACACTGTGACTTTCTTTATATTTTGTTTACTTCCTTAACACTTTAATTCTCATCCATGGATTGCTTTCAAATTTCCAATATTACATATTATTCACAAACTTGATTCACAAAATGACAACTATGCTTGAGTCAACTTGAGCCACCAAATGACCGTCTTCGATCTATGTGTAGGTTTTCCCTTCCGGCTTCAACCTTGGAAGCATCCATTCAAAGCTATAGACAGAGCCAACGCCTAAAAAGAAGAGAGAACAGGCAGACCATCACTGATGACGTTCAAATCACTGTGTCTTCTTAGCGTCCACCTTTTTTCTCTTCGGCGCTTAAGGGCATCCGGAGTGTATTCAGTGTCAAGGAGGTAGTCCCACCAGCGGAAGCTACTTGCGTAGTTCCCAATGAATTTCTCATGGTGGAGGTCGTGATGGTCAGCACCAGCCCAGACAGGCAAGAAATGGTGAAGACTCCAAGGGAATTCGTAGCCACTGTGGGCATCGATAGCCTGGAACAAGCGCAAGACAATCCAGGCGTACATGGTGAGAATATGCAGGTCACCGGTGATAGCACACCAGAGGATCGGGCAGCTGACGGTCCCGAAGCCGAGAATCATCACTTCAATAGGGGAAGCATATTCGGCAGCCAAACCAAAGGGTGCGGAATACTGATGGTGGATTTTGTGAATGGCTTTGTAGAGTGGACCCCAATGAAGAGCTCGGTGGAGGAAATAGTGCCAAGTGTCCTCCATCACGAAGAAAATTGCAATCTGATATGCCATGGTCCAGGGAGAGGGGAAAGGAATCGATGTGGACAGACCGAAGAACTGAGCCATTGGGTGGAAAAGCCTAGAAGAGTCGTTAATACTCAATCGGGTCTGAGAGGCAAACGTCGAGTAGAATACCACTCCGTTGAGGGCAGTAACATACCAGATTTGAGGAAGTTCGACGGTAAAATGGCTCAGAAGCACAAACTTGGCGCAATCCCATTGCTCGCGCAATGTAGGTATTTTGCTCTGAAGCAGAATATCAGTTTCGATGGCGGCTGGAATTGAGTTTATTTCGGCTAGTGCCAGGTGTTAGACCTGCCACTTACACTTTGAATCTTGTATTTCTTGAAGAGACCCAAGGTATCAATGAAGATCCACGGAAGAGAGCGGCCGAAGTAGAACAGCTCATGGATAGCGAATGACATGATGCCGGTGGCCAGGACATCATTCTGCACCCACGCATACCATGCGACCCACAATCTCTCTGCCATGCTCATGTGGGAATTGGATTTGGTGATATCTTGATATTGGCCCCAATAGGTGCCGGGGGGCAGCACGGTAGAATTCCTAGGAGGAAAAGGGTTAGTATACAACAAATTGCACAAGAGAGTATAATTCAACCACCCGAGGGGGTGCAAAACAGGGGGGAGATACGGACATTGTCGTTCTCAGTAGATCTTGAGTAAGAGAGAAGCAGCATAGGCTGGGAGAAAAAAAAAAAAAACTACTTCGTGAAAAGGGGAGTAATAACAGAAAGCATCTGGGGGAGAGTACTACGATGTATGTGGGGCCCGGATGGCTATCCGCCCGTCTGTGGCCTGACCTTTGCGGCGCTTATTATTCGCTGCCGGTCTGACCACCCCGGGAATGGCCTGCTCCGAGTTATCAGCAATGCTCCGTACTGGGTCTTACAATGGTTTCAAACTCTGGTACAAATATTTCCCACGGCGTCGTTCACATGGTGCCACAACTAGTAATCGCGGTAGTTTTCTCGATTGTACACGCAACCCTATCGACAAATTTGGGTTCATGGAGACATACTCCCACGCCCGAATTAATTTAAAGACTATACAAAAGAGCTTCATTGTCGCTACTTTAGCAGTTTGCTCGGGAACTTAGGACAGCTTTCTCATATCATGTTATTCTACCCAGCCTGCTAGTCTGATTCAAGGAGCACAACATCCCAAAGACACGCCTATTGAGTATTCATCTTTTTAGGTATTTGAGGGAATGGATAGAGCCGCCGAAGGCGACGAGGAGGCATAGAGTAGAGTTGCCATGTCGTGCTTTTCAATTCCTCTCAAATGTCAACCTGGGAATACGTTGGAATATTTTGTTGATGTCTTGAGATACATGAAGGTAACTGAATTTTGATCTGACGTTTGATGTTTGGATAGGAATTCGGACAAAAAAAAAACATACAACAGTGAGGATTCGCTGGTGGTCACCCACCCAACTACTAACTCACCGGCGTGTGGCTTAAACGCGGCCTATAGTCGGGTGGGTGCCACCCGGGCGAGCAATGGGTGAGCGCCGCTTTTACGTCGCACGACCGGGGGTGACATGGGAAAGTGCGCTATAGACAGGGTGATAAGCTGAATGGGAATCACCCGCCGTCACCCGACGACCTCACTGACCTTCCCAGCGGAGCGGCAGTGAACAGTTATTGGATCATAGTGCTCGTTCTGAAACAACTACTCCCTTGGCACCTGCACACAGCCTCGGTTGCCAGCTCAGCGAGATGTAAGGCATGGTATATTAGTAAGTTTGTACAGCCAGGTCTTTCAGAACGCATATCATACAAATTATCTAAGCAAAAGAGGACTAAAAGTGCAAGCCGACCAGTTCTACAGTACTTCCCGAAACTGGTGTCACCACTTACGCTCTTCGAGCCTTTCTCAAACCCTAATTGCCAAGATCGACTAGTCTTCTTGGAAGGTCTATTAGAATGTAGGCAGGAAGAAAAGGAGGCTATTTGAAGAATAGTATTATGCGTCTGAAGAGAGAAGAAAGAAGAAGAGAGAAGCTATGGAGGAGCGAGAACTAATAGGCAGGAGTAGGCCTCGCCAAAACCCGCCCACCGCCCAAACCCGCCCGCGAAAACCCAGCCCATGGGCCGGGTTGGGTCTTAGTCAGCAAACCCGGGGGCGGGTTGTCATCCGGGAAACCCAACCCAAGACCCAAATGGGTACCCGCGATTACCCCAAAAAAGCAAAAAAAGCTGACTGATCATTTTACACTAAGTTATGCAGTAATTTTCGATTATCTAATTGTTTCGATGGCGTAACTACTAGCTTCTAGCTGAGAATATTTGGAAAGGAACATGAAGGGCTTGTAAAAATCAAATTGGCTAATTATTAAAGACTAGTATACCTCGTAACCTCGCAGTCTGCTGGAGGGCATTGTTACCCGACCAGAAGATCTCTTCTGGCTTCTATCACTCAATTGCATGATTGGAGGCGGAAGTAAATCTGCTTCGTCGTAATCAACCACGTCTTCCTCCATACTCTCTTCTTCTTGTTCAGGTTCGTGAATATGTCTGTGTATAGAGCTCCGGCCGGTCTCTACCACCGTACACTCCACTTGGTATGTCCCCTCTGGCTCAGAGTTACCCTCGAGATTCTCGCTCTCTTCAATCTCCTCATTGTCGCTGATCGGCTCTGCATCCTCTTCGATTGCCTTCAACGCTTCATCCTCTTCAAGTGCCTCTTGGCTCTCGCTCTCCAACGGTTTCTCCAGACGAATCAATTGCTGTCCCTCTAGTGTGAGCTTTTCTGAGCACATGTACATCATCAAGTCTTGAATAGTCCCTTCGTGAAGAGACCCTCGGCGATAATGACAAATGTCTCGTGCGCTATTGAAGAGCCTTTCTACACCCGCGCCGGTGGCAGGGACTGAAAGCAAGTCTCGTGCGAGCCGAGACAGCACTGGGAATTCGCGCTCGTGTTCTTTCCAATAAAGTCGCGGCGACACAGGGACATTGGCTATTCGAGGTCAGTCAGTTGTTCTAGTGTGTTGTACTGATTGCTCGTGCCTTCGCGAAGATACTGGTCCACTTCGTCATACTCTACTCCTTCATGGAAAATCGCTGCACCAGGTGGCTCGAGTAGCCGATCAAGCTCTGTGCTATGCGAATTGGAAGATCGCTGGACCGTACGGAATAGCAACTCGGGGTTCTGCTGCTGATACTGTGTGAAAGATGCTCTCAAATATTCACAGTACCTTTTTGACGTATCTTCATGGCAAGTTGAGTACTCTCGATCATCAAAAGCACTCAGTTTATACTGAGGGGCAAGTAATGTTCCAGTGCCATAGAGAAAACCGTGGTCGCGGTAGGTTTTTTCGTAGTACTCTTTCAGCTTCTGCCTCGCCACAAGCAACGCGCCATACATGTCTTTCTTCCAGGGTGTTGTCTTTCTCTTCAATCTTCGATTCGACCGTTCGATATGCTCCAGTAGTTTCCTATACACAAGGAACACACTATGGATTGTGACGTCTCTGGTCTTCATCAGAGCCATGGTGAACTGAAAAAACGGTTTGGTCAAATGAACGAGGTAGTCAATTTGCCTCCATTCAACGTCGGTAACCTTGAGCTGCGAGTATTCATGATCGCAGCAGTATTTGTCGATTACATTTCTCAGCCGGCGTGCTCGGCGAAGCATCAAAAAAGTTGAATTCCAGCGTGTCTGAACGTCATGTAACGGAAAAAGCCGAGTACCACCTGATTGGAGGCATAAAAAAGCATCACGCCGTTGTGGGCTTGCGTTGACAAAGATCGCAAAGGATCGAATCTAATGCTGTCAGTGCTCTGAGTATATTGAAAAAGTGAATATCTTGGCTCACCTTTGTCAGTGTATGAGCCACGTCTCCATAGTTGATCGAATCCTTCAACCCGTGGGCTTGGGTGTCGGACCAAAAGGCTCTGACTTCTTTATTCTTAGGTGCTGCCCTGATATGTCCCAGTAGCTGTTTCAGGCAAAGCTGGATCACATGAGCCATGCAGGGAACCCGGACTATTGATTCCCTGGAGCTAATAGCTCCGATAGAGAGCAGTCTCTCTTGCAAGGCGCGTATCATGGTGTCGTTGTTGGTAGCGTTGTCTGTAGTAACGCTAAAAATACGATCGAGAAGTTTTCGTTCCTCCAGTAACCGGTGCAAAACATCACTAAGGTTGTTGCCTGTATGAGGACCGTGCAACGGCTCAAAGCCGAGGAGCATTTCCCTATAGTTCCAATCTTTGTCGATGAAATAAACCGTGATTGCCATGAATGCCTGCTGAAATGGACTGGTCCAACAATCTAAAGCGAGGGAAACCTTGGCATCTTCAGGCAGATCTTGTAACTGTAACTCTTGCTGGCAATTGACTGCATCCCGGAGCCGCCTCCGCAGGGTCTTCGCTGACGGAAGTTCCAATTCTCCGGGACCAGAATATAAAAGGCTGAGTAGCCTCTGAAACACCGGGTTCTCCACCGTCTGGAAAGGCAAACGAAGACACGTAATTGTCTTCAATATCTGCTCCTCGATTTGAAATGTTGTCACTCTGTGGACACTGGGTGAGTCTCTCGTGAAATGGTTCTGCAAAGAATCCGAAATCAATGACTGATTAAATCCCTTTTTCTTCCCTTTACGACAAGTATTAGACTTTTTGTGTCTACTCATGGCGCTTGTCCCATTCCCTTTATACTGTGGATGATCAAGCACAGTGAGACAAGCCTGGCAGATGACTCGAGGACGCCCAGAATCAATATCAGCCACCTGGTCAAAGTGTTTCCACACATCAGCGTGACGCGATCCGGTGGACCATTTGATCTGGGATTGGCCTTCTCCGTTCAGCTTTTGGCCGTATTCTGTTTCCTTCCACCATTCAAGAAACTCTGTCTCTAGATGCGACTCGTACGCAATCCATTTCTTTCTGTGCTGAGGTCCCACACGTCGGAGTGTCGCTGGAGGTCTTCGAGTAGTTATGTCGTACGTTTTGCGGGGTCCTGTCAAAGGCTGCGGTCCATCTTAGTATACAAGTAGGTAGCGCCGCAACACTCAGAGGCTAGTGGAAAGGACCATTTTCTTACGGGGGATTGAATGTCAGAATCCAAGAAGCCGTCAGATGACGGCTCAATGGAGAGCAGTGGACTGAAAGGCCGATGTATTGATCGCGATGATGAGGAAGAAGACGCCATACTGAAGTAAAAGGCCACTGGTATTGGAAGAAGGGGGGATTTTTTTCATCTTGAGTACTTGATTGTGGATTTTGTTCCAGTCGCGTCGTGCGTTTGGATCTATCTATTCCTGAGTCGCGTAAAACCCGCGGGTACCCAAAACCCAACCCAACCCAACCCGCCCGGAGATGAATACGACTTTGGGAGGACACTGAGAAGGTCCAAAACACTGATTTTAAATGATCGAACTAAGGATAATATTTTTGAGCTCACTCGAAAGATTCTCAATTGATGAATTTACATAAAATCATCAATGTGGCCTGTAATCCCTTCAGATGTGT